ATTGCGTGCATATGGGCGAGAGTATGCATGCTGCAGGCCTAGTGTGGATCTAAGCTGACTGTCGGCCACGGCGGTCGCGTTGCGCACGCGTGGATAGGCGGATGCTTGCGCAGGAGAAGATTGCGATGCCCTCATGGCTGCCATAGTCGTGCGAGCGCCCATCTGGGCCATGCGCGCGCGGAAATAACAGCAGAACCGGCGCCTGATCAGACTCTCTGGTGGAAATGGCAGAAGCACTCCGTCGACGATGGTTGACTACTACTGACTGCCGCTTTGGACCATGGCAGCTGAGCCCGGAGCTCACAGACGACCATGCATATCCGCTGCCAAAACTTGATCGGGAGGCCGCACAGGCAACGCCCTGGGAGACGAACACGCGCCTCAAGCGAAAGCAGCAGAGGGCACATGCTTGCGACTGCGCTTACCTGCCCGACGGCGAGCATCATCTTGGTGTTGCGACATTGCACGGATTCCAGAAGCCTTCTGAGCGACCAAATGGAGAGCCCACCGCAGCGGCTTTGGTTCCCAATTGAGACAACTGCGGGTCAAGGACGACGGCGGATATTCGACGGCCGAACAGTAATAGTGTTTCTAAGGGTTCAGGAAGGTGGGTGTAGACGGTGTAGTCTTGGAGCATCTACAGGCCGACGTTGCTTGACGCTAAAAAATCTAAAGATGGGCTGAGTGCTACCAGCCCAATAGGATGGTCAAGCAGGGATCTGAAGCAAGGTTGCTGCCAGGACCAAAGCTCCCAGCAGCCCGCGATCATGTGAGTGCGGCCGTCCAGACAAGGTCCAGACGGAGTTGAAAAGCGCAGAGTCCCATTGTCGAGTAGCTTCGGCGCGTGCTGAAGCAGGACGCGATGCGCGACATCTTCGTGCTCGAGCAATCCTGCAACGTCGATTATGACGATGCTGTTGATCTGCGAGATGGCTTTCGAGGTTGCGCCACTTCGCCAGTAGCCGAAGCAGAGTCCGCGAGCTCCGAAGTGGCTGTGTATGGCGGTGACGAAGACCTTGGGCAGATCGTCCTCGGAGCACGCGAGTACCCATCCGGCCGCCCATCAAGCCGTTTCTTAGCAGGTAGCATCTCGTCATGCTCGCGCCGGCCGATGCTACCATCTACCGTTCGTCCACGGGAAACGGTCGCCTGTGCTATTCGTGCAGTGTTTCAACACTTGCTGATCTCTGCGTGCCAGCTGCGCGACAATTGGCGTCGAGTCTCCTCCAGAGAGAAGCAATGCAAGGCGATTACGCACATGTACGTGGCCCTATCGATAACATCCCACATCTGCCATGTTTCATGAGCTGCATCTGCGCCACTGAAACAGGAATCGCGGGGCAAGAGGCGGCCGCATTGCAGACCGGCTGTGGCGGTTGGCCATGGTATTCTTGCTGGATTTGCGCAAGGGACCCGCTGCGAGAATACTGCGCACATCGCATGAAGTCGAGTTGGGCCGTAGTCGGTCTTCGGTCGCTTGTGTCTTCAGCTCAACAAGGATGGTCGTTCAAGATCAGGTGCGCTAACCACGTGCCACTAAAGCCGAAGCGAGCCTCGTCTGCCCTCCGACTTCGTGGCAGGTTCCATCTGCTCCGCCATTGCAATACATCATGTGTACTTCGTGGCCTCTGATCCATCATTCTCGTCATCGCTATTACCGACACATGTATATGCGTCCCTAGCGAGTTTCATGTTTTGCTGGCGAACAACGGCCGCCGGTGGGCTGCATGCACTGCGACGTGGACCTGATGACTCACCGGCAGTTACCATGAAAACTTGAGGAGGAAACTGACCGCTTCACTGTCAAGACCCGTTTCCAAGCCAGGTCATGCAAGCTGCAATTTCTCCCATCCTGTATTCTGTTCGTGTTCGCTTTTCAACTGGGCCTTCAACCGCACCAACATCCCAAACCATCTAATGTCCAAGCTACTCAAGCGAGACCTCAAGGCATTGGATGCTTTGCCGACTCAACTGATCACAAGGTATCTCGGATACCACTGTCCAGCGGAAGCATGTCCAAATCTGGGTCTCAAAGCAGCTCGTGCATGTAAAGACATGTTCTTTGTTACCTTTGTTACACAAGGCGCTCGTCGTTCGCTCGCAAAAGTCGCTCAATATACATGTAAACTATTGAATATCACCATTGGCCCGGACACATAGTCCTACAGGGTAAGTGTGGGCTGCGATCTCCCCAAGCACAGGCGAGTACCCAAACCTTAGGTGTTGTACTGCAGTGCCAATACACCGAAGAAAAAGAAGAAACGGTTGACACTCATTGGGCCACGGCTCTGTTAGCTACAGTCCGGTCTTCTGGAAAGTCCGCTCCGAGGTAGGGACCTGCACTTCACCACATCCGTCCCAATCAAGGTTGTGGCGTGTCTTTGCCGCCCCCAACATCCTTGGAAGGAAAACAGGGGGACCGGGGAGCTCGGATGGCCAACCCCATGGATCTCGACACACCCTCAGATGTGTCCAACATGTCAACAACTTCAGATCCGAGACTAGGCGATCGGGGCCTTCGGCTCTTGACGCTAGTCGAACGCCTTTGCAAAGAGCAGAGACAGCCTCACCCTGCCTGCAAAGTACGGAAATTTATTCCGTTGGCAAGCCATGCTGGTCCTTACCTCATTCGAACACTCATGCATTCAAGCACCTGTGCCCGGGATGCGAACTTGGTGCATTGTCACTTGTCCACGCCGGCGCTTCGCGATACTGCTCGCTGTTTTGGAGCATCTCAACGAAATGGGGCAGGATCTAGAACCCGTCTCACACAGCCGCTGACGTCTCCACCATTGCTCCACACCGATGTCCCGCAAAGCACGTTCTCCCTAACGGGAAAACGGTCAGCCGTGGTAGGTGCCCAAGAAACGCGGCGGAAGGGTTCAATGCGTGATCTATGCAGTGCTGAACGACTGGCGACAAGACTGCACATCATGATCGCCGTCTAGCGACGCATGCTCAAGCGAAATGTATCCCCAACTTCATCTCCACTTTGCTCACTTGCTCATCAAAGTCAATCGGTACATGTGCTGCTTTGGGTATCACGCATGGCTGCAAAAGCAACGGCGAAGTCGACAGGCAATTCAAGCCGAACCACCGCCTAGCTCCCTTTAGTGCCTGATCAGCAGCAATATACTGTATGCCTCACTTCTGAAGCTACTGTAGCACCCTTGGGCTGCCTTCAAGGAAGTATCTCGGTCGGAGACGGCACTTTTCTGTGAAAGCTAAGCTGAGTGAGCACCGAGAGTCTCTCCTCCTGTCGGGCCAGAACAGTGACATATTTGCGCGGTGTTCTAGAATTAGTCTATGTGCTTGGTACGTGGAGGAGCTCCCAAGCTGGGGACATGCTTGTTGTCTTCTCCCATGGGGGAAACAGTCATGGATATGGAGCTACACGTTGTCTCTAAGCCACCTTCAGGGGCAACAGTCACGAAACATCACAGGCACCTAGTGAATGCGAAAAAGCACCAAGTCCTAAGAATAGCGTCGCAACAATACTGCCAACAACCTCGCTATCTTCAAACGCATACACATCAGCTCCTCTCCCTTACTCAACCCGCCCGGGACTCGGCGCTACTTCCCCACTCTCCCAAATCCTCTCCTCCGTCCCCAACACAAACTCAATCATCCCGCCCTCAACCATGACATCGTCATGTCTTACCCAATTCTTCGTCCAACTAACCCCATTCACTTTCACACTCTGCACATAATAGCTATCCTGCCCGAGCCCCTGCGCCGTGATGCGCAGCGTCCGGTTGTGATTCACCGTCATATTCACGTCGGGAAACCAGGGCGACGAGAGCAGGTAGATGGGCTGCGTGACGACCGGATACAGCCCGAGCATTTGCCATATGAGCCACGAGTTGAGTGCGCCGGCGTCGGAGTTTCCGGGGAGGCCATAGGGCTGATTTTTGAAGCTGCTCTTCGTGTAAGTATAGAGGTGTGAAAGGGAGGTGATGGGGACGTACTATTGCCGAGCGAGTTGGCGGGATACGTGAACGCTTTTGTACGATTTGTTGATGTAGTTGTACAAGTATGGGGTTTGGAAATCTGGTTCGTTTCTACGCGTTTGTGTTAGTGGTATGAGGTTTGCTGGGAGGGGATTGACGGTACCCGATATTCATCAATGTGTTTATGCCAGCGCCGTTGACGCCGAGATCTTGCTGGCTACTGTTCGGCTGAAACATGTAATCCAGCCTGCGTTCAAACGCATCTGCTCCGCCCATGAAGCCGATCATAGTCTGCATGTCGTGCGGGATGTTGAACGAGTATTCAAACGGCGTGGCCTCGTATGTGATTGCACTCCACGAGCAATCTCCACATTTTGCTGGATTGTATCCGGAAGAATTGAACGTGCCGTTTGCCAACCTCGGTGCTAGGAATCCAGTGAATCCAGGCGTAGTGTTTGTGCTCTTGACGTTGTGATCCCAGCTCTTCTGCCACCCCATCGAGCGGTTCAAATACTTCTCAACGTCACCCGGCTTTTCTCCTCGCGCGACTTGACTCAGCGCGAAGTCATTCACTGCATATTCCACTGTGCGGGAAATACATCGCTCGTTGCGATCTTGACTCACATACCCCAACTCGATCCAATCTTTCAGCGCCGCGCGACCTTCTTTGTCTTTGAATCTCAGATCAGGAACAACTTCAGCGTTCTTGACCATCGCGGCGTAGCCGTCTGTCCAGTTGATTGCGCCCTGAAGCCCCTTGACGTATGCGTCGGCGAGGACGTTGTCGGCATTGCTGCCGCCCTGGCTGAGCCCATTGTAGTTGCCAGACCGACCGTCAGGGAGGAAGCCGTCGTGGCGCCAGATATCGATGAGAGCTCGGATTTGAGCTTCGTATGCTTCAGGCTGTATCAAGTGGTGGAGTGAAGTGGTGCAGCGGAATGTGTCCCCTGAGCCGGAGTTAGCAAAATTCGGGTCTCATTTACCCAGTGAACTTACAGATGGCGTAAAAGTCATCGTAGTACGGCTCTTCAGAATCCCAGAGCGGGTTCTCGCCAGTTCGGTTCGATGGCATCAAGTGGGAGAAGTAGAGCATCGAATACAAAAGTGTGAGGTCCGTCTTGTTGGCCGGTGCGCCAGTGTCCACGCTGATGGTGCTGAAGATGTCCTTGTTCCACATGTCTACAGCGGTATCAACCGTCTCGTGTAGCTCCCAGGATGTTATCTCTGCATCCTTAAAGGTACACGCCCGCTCTTCTGAAATGAAAGATATTCCAATCTTTGAGCGCAAACAAGAAGCAGCTTCGGTCTCATTCCACGTAAACAGCGCACCAACTGCATCATATCGACTTGCCGCTTTTCTATGCCTTCCTCCCATGTTCGGCGTAGTCGAATTCTCCGCATTGAAAGCTTGAGCTTGATTTGGTGCCGAATCGAATTCTGCGCAAAAGAAGACTTTGTACGGCGCGCCTTCATTCCAGCCAGCTTCATAGACGCCATAGCCACGATACTCTTTGCCGTCTTCTGAGATGTTGATCTCAGAATCGACGTATCGCTGCGTACATTTACTTCCGCGAGCACTGGGTAACCTGTGCGTAAGATCCACCAGGACGTTCCTCTCTCCAGGCGGAAAGCTATACTCCACAATACCCGCATGAGCAGCCGCGGACAATTCAATCGTAACGCCACTTTCTAGATCCGTCCTGAAATATCCCACACTCGCAGTCTCATTTCCGACACGATGTTGCCAGTACGTGCGATTGTTCAGGATGTCCACCGGCGCAGCAGTCGTGGTGAGCGGCATTTGAGAAATCACTCCGTACTTTGGACACCCTCCTGTTCCGCTGACGTGCATCATGGAAACTCCAGTCACGTTCCCTTCGGGTGTGTAGCCGCCATTCAAAACGGCCATTTGAGGATTGGTCTCGTAGGTGTCGATGCCCATCTTGACGACGCCATAGGGAACGGCACCACCGACGAAGATGTCGCCTCCACCAAAAGCTCTTCCCGGCGTAGGTCCTTCGGCTCCGATGAATGGATTGACATATTGCGCATAGTCAACTTGGCTTGCTGCTTCGCTTGCGAGCGCAAGCAGGAGTACGTTCGTCAAGACTTTCATGGTGGTTGTCCTGGTGGTGCTCGCGACACCATGAAGCGCAAAGATTTTCAGATGCTGGGGACGGCCATGTCTTCATGTCGCATCTTGCCCTGAATAGTCGGCGTGACTATACTGAAGACAGTACGATCTGTTCTAGAATTGTTCCGAAAACCCGAATGTTCTGCAAGACTGCGGGGCCCCGCGCTCGTCAAGGATCGTCTAAGACAAGAAAAGATCAAGTTGCGTCATTTGCAATGTTTGGTCCAGGGACGACAAGGCGCTACGGTACAACATTCTGCGAAACTTGGTGATCACCGTTGGGGTTTGTCTCAATTGAGGCAGGTACCGATGTACCTGGTCATGTGCCTCGGTTAAGGCCATCCGCATTCGCGATTTCGATATGATATTTGGACATGCTGAATCCTGACGGGCGGCAAGTTTTCCATGGTGTGATGGAGAAATTCTGCTCAAGAAAGCTTGACCCTGACATGACTTTGCAGTGGGCGTATTCCCGCCATGGGCTTGTTCTTGGTTGAATCGGTTGCTTGACCCCGACCGCAGACGGTTGAGTGCCTAGTTGTGACAGCATAGCAAATTCCACATCTTGAGCTTTGATGAAGCACTCTCAGGCAGATAGTCTGCATCCTTCTCATAATCGTGTTGACTGATGTTATGATCGATCGACGCTGGTCGCTTCCGAGATGAGCCTCAAACTGGCGCAAAAGGACCCTTGTATCGGAAGGACCACGATGCTTGTTGAGAAAGTATACTCATTGCTTTTGATGCTTCGACTCTACTATGAGAACCATGAGACAGATCGTCTTCCATGTTGCCTAAGGACGTATCAAGTGCAGATCTTCATCGCGGCCAGCACTCACAGTCTGGACTCTCTGCTTCCTCACCAAGTCGTCGTATGCCATGTGTAACATGTATACCGAGTCTGCACGAGAATTGTGAAAGAACGACTATTGCTCTAGAAGGATACTGCAGCCGAGAACTTCGTACCGTCGTACGAAAGCCACGTGAGTCAGTGATGAAGGCGGAACTCTCGGCGCCGACTCAGCACCGCTCGGCAGTTGCTTCTGTGTGTCAAAGACTCAACTGCCGTCTGATTCCAAGCGCACAGGACATCGCTATCAGCAAGCTAGCTATCTAGCTGGAAACTCACAGCATCGGCAGTTCGAAATAGCACAAACATGACCGAAGAAATGCAGACGTTCCGCAGGAGGTCTGAGGGAGATTGAGATGGTATCTGATACCGTGATACTGTTCCGCGTGCAAAGCCCAATGACATGGAACTACGTGCATTACGTGCATTACGGGTTTGAGGCGAAACCGTTGTGCTGGACGTTCTAACTTGGGGATGATCGTTTCGTGACGGCTACCCCGCGCCCCCGGAGCGTCATCCCCGCGCTATTCCAAGCGCGCAGCCAAAGCCACAGACCCACTATCGTCATCTCGAACCTTCAAAAACAACTGCCGGCACACATAATCGCGCGCAAAGGTGAACACACACAATGCCCGGTGCCGATTGAAAACCGAAATGAATGGCTGAGCGCACGGGAAGTGTCGTGTTGCCCTGTGCCTTTGAGGCAATATATCAGACGCCCGACAGCCTCCAATGTGCAGTGTAGTTGTGGCTGCTTATTCTTCTCATCATTTCATAGCCTGGAAATCGGATCGATCATACTCTGGTTTAATCTCAGTCAGGCACCATGCTCGCTAACGAGATACTTCCCATTCTCGTCAGATATTGGCCACTTGTGACCGTCTCAATCGTTGCTTCATTCTTGCTAAGCAACAAATACTGGAAAGGTCTAAACAAATATCCAGGTCATTGGGCGGCTGGATATAGTAACTGGTGGAGATTATGGGACGGTCAATAAGGAGAAATCACCCATTGGACCCACGATCGCATTACACCGGAAACATGGAGACAATTGTACGATTGGGACCGAACGTCCTATCGTTTGCGGATCCTAAGGCAATCAAAGCAATCTATGGCTTGAACAAGGGCGTCGAAAAGGTACGTCACTTTAGTGCTGTTGTACAGCTTGCAGACAACAACGGCTAATGATCCACAGTCCGACTTCTACCCGGTTCAGGGTGCAGTGTCTAAGGGTAAAACGCTATACTCGCTCTTCTCAACGACCGATGAAGACTTCCATGCAAAATATCGTCGATGCGTAAACAATGCCTTCGCCATGAGCTCGCTCGTGAACTACGAACCCCTTGTTAGCTCGCACCCTCACATACTGGTTGGACAAGACAGATGATATGTTTGCGAGCACAGGCAAGACCTGTAATTTCAACCAGTGGCTGCAGTTCTTCGCATTCGACGTCATTGGAGAGTTGACATGGAGCAAGAGGTTGGGCTTTGTAGAGGGCAACAAAGACGTAGACAACATTATCGAATTCTTGGGCAAATTTTTCGATTACGTCGCGCCAGTAAGCACATCGCCACTATTATTTAATCACATTTGCTAATCTTTAAATCAGGTCGGACAAATGCCAATACTTGACCGTCTCCTATGGAAGAACCCGATCAGTCTTTTTGCCCAGCGCATTGGTCTCGACAAGCGTATTCACCCAGTCACCCTCTTCGCACTCAACCGCTCCAGTGAGCGCGCTCAGCAAGTAGAGAAAGTCAAGCGCTTTGGTCTCTCCGACGACGAGAAGGCCAATCCCCGCGGTATCGACCTACTCTCCAAGTTCGCTCAAGCAAGCCACGACCACGACTTCATGGACGACAACCGCATTCTCTCTACATGTACATCCATGGTATTCGCTGGTTCAGAAACCACGGCAATCTCTCTATCTGCCGTCTTCTACTTCCTCGTCAAGCACCCGCGTGTGTACTACAAGTTGATGGCAGAGCTCGACAACGCTGTCGCAGATGGAACAATCGAAGACCGCCCAGACCGCACAATCTCATGGCCAGAAGCCCAGAAACTACCTTACCTCGATGCCGTCGTCCAGGAATCGTTCCGACTTCATCCCGCACCCGGCCTAATCCTCGAACGCGTCGTCCCACCCCAAGGCATGCAAATCCTCAACGAGTTCATCCCCGGTGGGACCATCGTCGGCTGTAACGCATGGGTTGTGCATCGCCGCCCAGAAGTGTTCGGCTTCGACGTCGATGTGTTCCGCCCTGAGCGCTGGCTTGACGCTAGCCCGGAGAAGTTGAAGGAGATGAAAGGTACTATGTTGCAGTTTGGTGCTGGCGCCAGAACCTGCATCGGCAAGAACATCAGTCTGTTGGAGATTTACAAGCTTGTGCCGAGTTTCTTGAGGAGATTTGAGGTACAGCTTGAGGACCCAAGTAAGGAGTGGAAGACGCATAATGCGTGGTTTGTGGGGCAGAAGGAGTTTAACACGAGGTTCCGACCGAGGGCGTAGAGCCGTTTGGTAAAACTACATACATGTTACATACCCATATCCTTATTTTAGCGTAACGAATTTATACCATATCTTGAAACCTTTGCGTCCAGTTACAACGTTCCGAGGTGCTGCGGTTCCATTGTAGCATGATCACAAGAGGGCATCAAAAATCGAGCCCGCTCTACTCAAACTCCAGACTATGTGAGATATTATCCCGTGATCAGCACACCAGCATTTACAGGTTTAAAAACTTGCTTGAGCGAGATTTTCTTTTAGAGAAGCTTCAAAAACATGCAGTGTTAGCTATTGCTATGCTATGACTATTTACTGTGGTACGCGCGAGCAGGCATGAATACTTTGCGCGGACTAGAATGAAATGAGCACTGCCCATACGCGTGTAGCGTGGCAGAATAAAAAAACAATGCACGAAACCCTTAGAGAAAGTATATGCGACTATCTCTTTTCACCTGACGGGGTATGGATGCGGAGCCTCAGATTCCATCACATCAAAACGGAAGTAGCGTCTAACACGACACGACATGTTTACAGGCGCATCTCATATGTCCTCTGGCTGATACTTGCCCTCACTCCCGCCGATACGAGCGTCGATGACCGCGACGCGGCCACTCTGCACTGCCGCAATCGCTTCGGGCAGAAGGCGATGAAGATCCTCAGCGGTATTTGCAATGCCCGTGAAACATTTTCCCCCAGAGGCGGCTTTAGCGATCCCAGCATAGTCTGGCGTAGTCGCAAAAGATATGTTCAGCTCTTCATTTGTGGCTGCTGCCCCCTCTCCTTCGGGGTGGACGAGCAGCATGGAGTGCCTAGGAGCATTCCATCCTAAATAGTCAGTTAGTACATGTGTGGGAAGATCTTAGAAACTATAGCTAGCAACCAACCTTTGTTGTTTAAGAACAATGGTCAATACCGGAATAGAGTAGCGTTGAGCAATCCAGTAGACCGAGCCGGGCACACTGAACATGTATGTGCCGTCTCCAACGATCTGACATACGAAACTAGCCTGTTTGCTGTTGGCTTCTGTGTACTCCAGCGCGAGTTTGACACCAAGAGCGCCGCCGCCGGACCAACCTAATCCGCCTCCACCGCAGTTGATCCAGCTTCCAGGTCTTTTGGGCGCAATCTGTTCGTGTACCGTCATAGCATTCGTTACAGCCTCGACGACCCATGTTGTCTTTGCTGGACAACTGTCTTTGAGGACACGGGCTAAAAAAGCGGTGTTATACGATCCGTTAGGCTCGACTGCAGCTTTTGTCATAGCTATACTCCGGCGCTCTTGCTGCTCTTTCTCCAGATTGTCCCATCGTTCCTTGTAGATCGAGCTGCGTAGCTGATCTACCCATGTTGTCGACATACCGATAGTTTCATTAATCTGGCGGAGAGCGATGGCAACATCGACTCGATACCGAGCCACAGCGTTGATATAGAAAACAGGCATTTGCACTTTTAAAGGATCCGAATCTAGGTGAATAATGGTCGCAGAGGCGCTAGGCTGATACGCCGTTGGGACCCATGGCACGTCACAATCGATCACGAGGATCAGATCAGCCGATTCGATACAAGGATGACCACTCATATGGAGGCCTTGTGCGCCAGGATGGTCGCTCGGGAAGCACATGTCGCATCCGCCAGTTTCCAGAACACGGAGACCGCGGATTTTGTTGGCTAGAGTGACCAAGCCCTCAACGGCCGAGTGATTTCTACCGCTGTAGCCTGTAACAACCAGAGGCTGAGCCGCATTTACAAGAAGTCCGGCAATATATTGACATTGTTCCGAATCTAGCGCGGCGGGCTGAACAGGCGTCCAAAATGTTTGATTCAATTCGTAGGACTTGATATCCTCTTCGAGAGCTTCGCGTGATCCGTAGACATACACAGGGCCTTTGGGATCGCTCTGGGCAAAACCAAGAGCTCGATTGACCATTTCCTTCACGTTGGCACCCCGCTTTATCTCCGCCGTATACCTGCAGTACTGCGCGACTATTGCCTTCTGGTCGTGAACATCCTGAAGCCAGTGTATATACTCTGTACGCGATCCTCGATACTCGCCGTGAGTTGTGTAAGGGGAAAGGCCTGCAAAAATAAGCACAGGTGCGCGCCCGACTGACGCATTGTGCACGGCAGCACCAAGATTCTGAGTCCCAACGTCCACGTGTACGATTACACATTGAGGTTTGTTTGTTACCCGTGCATAGCCGTCAGCCATCGATAGAGCTACCATCTAACTATGTCAGTCTCAATATAGCCAGAGACTTAGGGCAATGTATTTGAGGTTTACCTCGTGTGGACAGGTAATTACGCGGGGAAAGCGGTTGGTCTTCTCCCGCACAGCTTTTGCCATCGCTTCCATCATCGCGGGATGATCAGAACCAAGGTTCACAAAGCAATGCGTGATGCCGGCCTACAGATAGAGATTAGTCTTTTACGTTTGCGATGCAACTTCTCAAAGTTCTTACTTCGCCGAGAGCCTCAAAAAAGGCATAGGCCCGTTGAAACGGTCATCCTGCACTGAAAGTCAATCGGTGATACTGATGATACGCGATGGCAACACGACCAGTTTGTAGACTACGACTCACATTTTCAAAGGCTGATGACTTCTTGAAACCTCAAGCTTCTGCTCTTCGACCCAGTGCTTTTCGGCGAGGTGCCGAGGTACGCACTACTTTATGAGAAGATGTCTCGCTACGCTTAGAAGGAGTGCGTGAACTTGTGATGTGAAACATGTTTAGCTATTGCTCATAAGGGTAAAGTTCTATTTCCAGCATGCGATAGACGTTCTCATGGTACCTGCTTCGTACACGGCAAAGTATACTGGATTCGGAACATGTACCCTACAAGGCCTGGATTTGGCACTCCTAAGATACTAGGGCAGAAGGTATGCACTGCTTTTACCATGCAACAGATGCTCTCTTCGCGCCTGCTTCGAACACGGCAAGGAATACTGAATCCGGAAGCTCTATCCTAGCTAGCCTGATTTGGCACTACTAGGACACTAAGAGACGGGACCACAAGTCGTGAGGTGCAGCTCCGACCTGCCTCGAAGACATTAAAAAAAGTACGTGCTCAAACAATAATGCATGATTGATAGGATGCAGCCGTCGCTACTTTACCTTGACACAATGGCGTTTTGTCAAATGTCCAGGAATTTTCAAAGGTTGAATAAAGGTCTGCGGAAGCACCAACCGCGACTCTTCCACACAATTAGACAAGGGCCTGTTCGCACCTTGCTGCAAACCCCGACTCTTCGGCGTCCGGCTCTGATACTTATCGCAACAACGATCTCCGCGTGCCTCGCTACTGCATATGTATCGCTATCTGAACGAACGCAAATACAGCCCGGATTTCTCAGAAGCTCTCAAAGGCCCCAATACGCCTCCCAAAGTGAGATCGCAAAGGTGCGTTGCAAACAAACTGGTGGTAATGAATCCTTACTGACGTTGATCAACCGCAAAGGCCATCGCAGAATTGTCTCTGCAACTTGGGGCCGATTCAATCACCACAAATGATGATGAACTTGAGCGTCACGGGTCCTCGGAATGGTCTTCGATCAATATCCCACGTATGCCAGACGCCGTAATTTACCCTAAGAGTACCAATGATGTGTCCAAAATTGTGAAGGTGTGTAATGCTTACAGAATTCCAGTCAGTGAGTGCACTAGAATTGTCATGAGTCAAGATATCTTGCTAACTCTTTCATCGTCCCATTCTCGGGCGGATCGTCTGTGGAGGGTAATTTTTCAGCCCCCTACGGAGGCATCTGCATTGACTTTACAATGATGGACAAGATCGTGGCCCTCCACGCAGATGACATGGACGTCGTCGTGCAGCCCGGCGTCGGATGGATGGACCTCAACAGTCAGATCAGCAGCTCGGGACTTTTCTTCCCCGTAGATCCGGGTCCCAGCGCCATGATTGGTGGTATGGTAGGTACCTCATGCTCCGGTACCAATGCTGTGCGTTACGGCACAATGAAGGATAACGTGGTCAACCTCACGGTCGTACTTGCTGATGGTTCCGTAATGAAGACTAAAGGTCGCCCTCGGAAGTCATCTGCAGGCTACAACTTGACGAACTTGTTCATTGGGAGTGAAGGTACCCTTGGCATTGTCACAGAGATCACTCTGAAGCTCGCGGCAGTTCCGCCGAAGACTGCGGTAGCGGTAACTACATTCCCGTCAATATACGATGCGAGTAAGGCGGCAGGGGAGATCCTGAAGGCAGGCATTCAAATGGGGGCTATGGAGATTATGGACGATGTGCAGATGGATGTTGTGAACAGGGCTGGAGGAACCGGGAGAACGTGGGAAGCTGTTCCGACCATGTTTGTCAAGTAAGCACGATTCAAGGCTGATGTCCGATCTTGCTAATGATGCTCTCAATCCAGGATCACGGGAAATGACACGCAAATCAAGGAGACCACCCGTTTATTTCGCGAAATTGCAAAACAGAATAAAAGCGGCGACCTCGAATTTGCCGGCACTCTTGACGAACAAGCCGCGCTATGGGCAGCGCGAAAGCAGGCGTTATGGTCCATGTTGTCCCTACGTGAAAAGGCTGCGGAGGTCTGGACCACCGATGTCGCGGTACCGATGTCGCGACTACCGGAAATCATCGAGAAGAGCAAGCAGGATGTCGCAGATCTGGGGCTTTTTGCGTCTGTTCTTGGTCATATCGGAGACGGGAACTTCCACGCATGCATAATGTACGACGCCCAAGATGCATCACAAGTTGCCCAAGGTGTCCGAATGCTCTCAGAGAATGGTCGACAATGCGTTGGAGATGGAAGGAACTTGCACTGGAGAACATGGCATCGGTATAGGAAAGAAGACTCACCTGATTGCGGAGGCTGGTCACGTTGCGATTGGAGTGATGCAACATGTCAAGCATTCACTGGACCCCAACTGGATCTTGAATCCGGGCAAAGTGTTTGACCATCCTTCGGAGACGGACCCTGTTGGCCATTAGACTTGATCGGAAGCCGTTCCGCTCAATGATCCGAAAGATAAGACCCCCCAAAGTACTGAAATCGTGACATAGGTTGGCGCGGATCTAGATAAGGTCGACAGAAGATAAGGGCGGTGGACCGGCACACCGGCTCCTGGTCACGGTAGCTCACTTTCGGTCCGACGCAGCCCCAACTTAGAACTACTAGCCTTATCCCATTAGCTTACCCCGCAAAATGAGTGGTCAAACACTACTTCGTTCTCCTCCCTGCTCTGCCCTTGCCGCCGGAAGTTTAGCCATGCGAACGTCAGCTGCTTGAATGCAGCAAATTTTGTTGTCGCTATGCCCAAGCACACACGCAGTCGAGGTGAGTCTTGAAACGTGTGCAACTTCTGCTTTGCAGTAAAACCCCTGCTAACATGCCCTGCCGACGGCTGCGCGAATTGCAAACAAAAGGTAAAGAATCCTCGTGATACAGCTTTCCTAAATCTCCAAATACTTCCGATGAGTGGACACTGATGGTGCCGATTAGCGTATCAAATGCGACGAGAACCGACCATTCTGCAGGAATTGCCAAGATCAACAGGTGCAGTGTCCTGGTTTTGCGCGACAATTACAGTGGAAGTCGTGCAATGTGGCACTTCCTTCCATATCTCCCAAGAAAATTCGCCGGAGTTCACGGCGACGCGATCAAGCTCTTGCATCTCAGAGCGGGCCCGATAGCCTTGACGGGACAGGATCTGCTGGGTTACAAGCACAACAAAATACATGCTATACGAACCTGCGCGAGTCGCCAACTGTAGTGCCAGATTCACATGGAGAGTCTCCGCGACCCACGGCCAGTGTATCGTCATCTGAAGATAGCTCCAAGCAATACTGGGAAGGCGATGACACGCTCCAGGCAGGCGAGCACATTCTGACGCCGAATGCTCATCAACGGCGCTCGATTCCTGAATCGATTTCGAGCGCCCACCAACATCTCTTTGAGCCTCCCGGTGTCGACCTTGACTCAACCTTGGGCTTGATATGCGACGAAACTTCTTTCGAAATGGCCACGGGAAAAAGCCCAAGATCACGAGCAAAGAGCATAATGGCGAATAGTGGACCTCTATTCCTGAACGAGCCGGAATGCGACCAGGCAGTAGAACTTTGTCTCATGACTCCTGAACTGTTTAACAACCAGGAATGCGATTCGTCGTCGCAGGACACCGAGACAAAACGTTTACTGACAAAGCATTATTTTGATCAAATCTGCCGGATTCTCTCGTGCTTTGACTCTCACGAGAACCCATTTCGAGCCGACATCGCACAGGAGATGCTCACGTGCGACTACATTTACGACTGCGTTGCTAGCTTGTCAGCCGCACACTTGGCTAATTCCGTGTCCAGCATGGAGATGATAGTGCTAAGACACCAGTCTCGGGCGCTTCTAGGTCTTTCAGACGTTATTCAAACGATGCAGAGCGGCACGAATGCCATCAATTTCCAGCAACTAGCAGGCCTGTCGCAGCGAAGTTCGATACATCAAGCATTGCTAGCGTCATTGCTGCTTGGTGTAAGCTCAGTGAGTGCGCAGAATCATTACTCTTCGACCACGCGGTTACTGATTGCCGTTTAAGGCTTGGTACGATGCCTCTGTATTAGGTCTACCATATCTTCATGGTGCTCGATTGCTCTTCCGAGCTTGGCTGATTGATCAGGACCTATGTGATTATTCTGCAGACGAGCATATCGCTTTGGACCGACGTCAAAGTTTCATTGTTGGGGCCATGGCTTATTTGGAGTGTCTGAACGCTCTAGTCGTGGATCAACCATTGGACTCATCGCATTACTTAAGAAGATTCCTCAAATGTGGCTCAGAACAGCGAGTCTACCCCAATCCTTGGACGGGCATCAGCACTTCACTGTTCATTATTTTTGCCGATGTGGGTGCGCTCGTAAAGCGACAGCGAAGCGCAACATTCGTATCGACTTCTGAGCCTATAGAGCTTTGCGAATCCGCCGAGGCACAAAATATGCTTAAAGAGGCACGATATCTGTACAAACAAACACTGCAGCAGGAATCATCGTCAACCGAATCTATAGAAGAGACGAAGGACCCGACTACTCCCCTTGAAGATCTAGTCCTAATTCACAACGTCTACCGACTCGTCATTCTTCTAGAGCTGTTATTGGCCTTTCCGCGCCTTGCGGACGAAGACACCGTTGATCTCGAGCAGTCAGGCGAATCGTTAGGGTCTCCAACGATTGAGCTTGCTACAGCGGCACTTAGCATGATATTCAGTCTTCCAGAACACTCGGGTGCTAATATCATGCTAGCTGTTCCGCTCCTATGTGCGGGAAGCGCATTGCAAAGCCCCACATTGCGGAACAGTGCAGCCTTCGATCTTTCTTCCAACTCCTTCACCGGTCTTCGAAAGAAACTCACCCCGATGATGTGGCGTCTGAAAACAATACAAATGTGGCGGAGGCAGGTCGAATGGCAAATCCAGCACCTCTACGGTCGCGTTGGTGTGGCTCCTGTGCAGCGGTTGATGGTGTTACTGAGGGCCGTGTGGGAACGAGCAGACGCGGCCGGTGTCGATCAAGAACCCAGTCACTGGATGACCGTTATGGTTCAAGAGAAGCTCGAAACTGTTTTTGGGTAGCAGAATGGGTATAGATTCGGCAAGAGTCATCGAACGTGGACATGTCTAAGCACTATAGGCCTGTCCTAGCTTCGTGCTGCAGCAAAAGAAGAGAGAACAGTACTCCATAACTCCCATGCTTGCGCTCCTCTGCTGCCGGCTCCGCATGCGACGAATGTCCCCAGGCTGGACAGTATGCATTATAGGATTGGTTGTGGAGTGAAGAATGGAACGATGTAATCCTAAATATCATCCCTTTGATCCCAAGCCCACTGCAAAAAAAGATTATAGGTAGACTGTAGTCCAACTTAGGATAAGCCTTCCACGATTGAGTAAGAATTGCCTGCGTTTCCTACGTTCGGCGATGCGAGACGACCAAGTAGGTGCTGTAGCCGAAAGCAAGGTCGCGCGTCATCCGATTATTTTTGGCAATTGGACTAGTTTCTCTTGACTTGAATACATATGGAAAGGCAAATTTTTGAACCAATGAAGTAGCGTCAATCGCTTTCGTATTCTTTCCTTTTTGGGCTCATCAGCCTATAGTTACCCATTCAAGTAAGTGCCAGAGTCTAAACTGAAATAGTGATGCTTGCTATGCAACCTTCAACGAGCCATGTTTATAGATATTGATGCCTACTTACTGTGCGGAGTATAGACGCGCCCCAAGCTCTTGAGACTAGTCTTCCTTTACAAGTTACAAAAATGGCAGACCTCAAACTAGATATTTCAGGACCGGGAGGAGAGAGAATCGTTATACCCGCGGGGCTACTCATCGATAACGTCTTCGTTCCATCTGTCGAAGGTGCAACCTTGCAAGTTCAAAATGCTCATTCGGGGGCAACAGTTGGGGCCATTGCTTCTGCCACGCAGAAGGATGTCAACGCCGCAGTCAAATCATCTTCCCAAGCATACGAAACAGTTTGGAAATTTTCTACCGGGGCGACCCGGCGACAACTTCTCAACAAACTCGCCGACTTGATCGAGCGAGACCTTCAGCTTTTCGCAACTCTCGAGGCCATCGATATTGGCCAATTGGTCTCCACCAACATAGGCGCACTTGGTCCAATGGCTGTAGAGTGGTTGCGATACTTTGCTGGATGGGCAGACAAGCTAGACGGCAGAAGCGCGAACTGGGACGCTGGATCCGAAAGACAAGGCCTATCGTACACGATTCGTGAGCCTTATGGTGTTACTGCGGCTATTGTGCCATGGAATACGCCATTGTAAGTCAGATTCCTTCTCTTCCTCTTGTACTTTCCAGAGCTAACATGGTAACCAGAATGCTTTCATGCTGGAAGATCGCTCCTTGCATTGCCGCCGGAAATACCTTGATTTTGAAATCGCCGGAACTTGCACCACTCTCCTGTCTGCATCTCGCACAGTTGATAGTCGAGGCAGGATTCCCACCAGGCGTAATCAATATCATAACCGGCTTAGGTACAGTGGCAGGCGCCGCGCTGGCACACCACATGCAAATTCGCAAGATTGCATTCACTGGCTCCACACTCACCGGCCGCTCCATTCTTAGGGCGTCAGCAGACAGTAACCTCAAAAAAGTATCGCTTAAACTTGGAGGGAAAAGCCCAACGATAATCTTCGCTGATGCAGACTTTGACGACGCAGTTGAGTGGGCTGCGGTAGGAATCACACTGGGTGAAGGCGAAGTCTGTGCGGCTGGATCAAGGATCTACGTTCAGGATTCAATCTATCAAAAGTTTCTGCAGGCCTTTGCCAATAGATGCAAGACAGCGATTGCTGGAGACCCGCTCGCCCCACAGACCGCGAAAGGACCTCTTATCAGCAAGCAGCAGCGCGACAAGGTCATGTCATACATTGATGACGCCAAGTCACGCGGTATCAAAGTACTCTTCGGTGGTACTTCAGATGCCCCAAGCAATGTCGTGGCTAATACCGCGTTCGTTGATGTACCCGAAGATGTGCCTCTCATGAAAGAAGAAGTTTTTGGGCCAGTTGCGGTAAGAGCATTTAGCATCCGGTGTATTTGAGCAAACAGACACACTAACACGCTTTATCAGGCTATTGCCAGTTTTACCACCGAAGATGAAGTCGTTCAGAAGGCTAACGACTCGGAATATGGCCTTGCTGCTTCCGTGTTCACGAGGGACCTTGTCCGAGCTCATCGTGTCGCGGCACGTCTCCAAAGTGGCCAGGTCACAGTGAACGCTTGGGGTATGCTTGCTGCCAACATGCCATTCGGAGGTAACACTGTCTTACAACATCGTTCGCTTGATAAACTACTAACAGCTTATCTCTAGGGCACAAGCAAAGTGGATTCGGTAGAGATGGGGGAGTCGAAGCGCTAGATGATTGGACAACGGTAAAGGCTGTGAAGCTGATGGGTCCTAAACTGTAATCCAGTGCTGCCGCTTGATTTCTGCCAAGCGTAAGTAGGCAAGATTACACAGCATGGCTTCAGAAACAAGATATGTTGTACTTACCTGCCCAGATCATCTTTGTACCGCTGCTTTTGCATCTGCATAGTGAGGCAGTCCAGCCGCTTCCGCTAAACTCTAGATGTTGCTAGTACAGAAGAAAGATGGTCGCCTTCTTTTTCGAGGAGCGTCAAATTCCTCAAGGTGCACAGTGATGTTGAGAAACAGTGAGTCGTCGACGTACTGACATAATTGCAGAACAGTATGAACATGGTACTAGATGCAACGATTGAGCAAAACTGTCTGACCCAACTAAATTGTATTTGTATTTTGAAAGCTGTACACCACAAGTCGAACTATCTTCCAAACCAATATCAAAACTCGTTCCAGCCAATATGATCCAGCTCATTTTCGACAAGTTATCGCTCAGCACTTCTGCAGCCATTAAAGCTTGCCCTTCACTTGGGCAGCACACTTGTAGCAGACCGCAAAGTCTGTCGAAGAAAATAAGACAGTACTGCCACGATGAATGAAAAAGGTATCGCCGCGCTCAAGAGTTCGCTCGTTTCCTGTCTCGTCGCGCAGAGTCAGAGTCCCTACACATCGTTAGAAATTTAGAAGTTTTAGTGAAAAGAGCCCGTCAGAGTCTGTACCTTCGAAAACCACTCCACTTTCGTCATATGCGTGAACACCTGGACCAACTGGGGGTCCTTGCTCTATCCGGAACCAGATGCCGACCATAGGGTCTTTCGTGGTTTTCGATTCGAGTAGATCGTCTTGCAAATTGTTAGAGGTTATATTTGGGGAGGGAGCTTTGTGAATCGTCTACCGAAGAACACATAGTCCCCAATCTGTTTCGAGATGTTGCTTCGCGCCGACGCGGGCAGGTAATCTACTGGCATTGTGTGACGTGGACTGTGTTAATGAACAGGCGTGATGCAGACGTAGCTCCTACAAAGAAGCTTATCTTGCGGACGAGACGCTCTGATGATATTATTGTGCCTCTTACACTGGCGTCTGATCCTATGTCACGGGAAGGCGGCAACCGTTAGCTCTGTTTCCTGAAAGGGGAATGATTAGGCTGTTTGGCTATAATCTCCAAGTGAGGAATAGTTAGCTGTTTGGCTATAATCTCCACAAGAGGAATAGTTAGCTGGTTGGCTATGCTTTCCGAAAGGGGTATAGCTGGTTGCTTGGCAATGTTCTCCAAAAGGGAATTTGCAGGCTGCTATAGCCTCTAGGCACCTGCCACGGTTGGTAACATGTTCAGGGAACTAATTCGCTCTGTCGGGGAGAAGGAAAGAAGTCTAGACTGATGCGATACGTATTCGCTTCAGTAAAGATGAAGATTGGGCTTTAGCAAGCATTGGCGACAAGGTCCAGTTGGTATGGCTTTTGTTCTATGGCCAATTTACTTGTCGTAACGTCCAACAGATTTACAGTAGACGAAATGCGCTATGCCTGGACTCATAGTGGACACGGAATTGCGAATGGAGTGTCATCAATCACTACTGTACAGAATGACTTGAAAGTATCGCGGGATGTCTCAATAATTATATTGATTCTACATGAGGCGATAGAGAGAGAGGAAACCTACGACCTTTTGCAGGGAATACCATGTTGATGAGGTGTTTCAATCGGCAAGGTATCACAGTTTGGCAGCCGAGGTGCTGGACTCTTTGTTGCAAGCCTGCTTGACCATAAGAGACGCTCTATGACCCTGCTCGATAGCTCCATCAACATGGCCTCTCCATCCGTGGGCCCAGTCGGCACTAGCCATGAAAACTCTTCCGTGAGGCTGTTGAAGCGCTTCAAAGTTTCTGTTGAACCATCCCGGACTTGCAGCGAACCATGCTCCTTTTTGCAAATGGATCGTTTGACCATGTGTGCGATACATAGCCGCTAACTCTGCCGGCGGGTTGAAGCTTTTTGAATTCTGAAATCACCTTTTTGCTGTCGGTAGGGTCATCAAGCTTCCCAGTGAGACCAAATAGCACGCTGTAGGAGGTGGGGACTTTAGTAGTTCGCGTCCCTTTACGAGCGTCAGCGGTGTCCGTCTGATGTTTTGCTAGACATACCGTCATGATCCTTCCAGCCAAACTGGAAATCGCTGGTCTTCGAATCGGAAGTGTTTGCGAACCAGTTTTCTTGGTGATGCTCGACTCGAAAAAGATATTTTTCGCCCTTGTTGATGTGACCCTCTTTGGTTGCTGCTTGCTTCGACGGATTGAGGGGGGGAGAAAAGTTGATATCTTGGAGACAATTCAGAGGAATGGTGCACACGGCCCAACCAGCTTCGAAAGATGCACCATCATTACAGGTGATCTTGACGCCCGTAACTGGATGTTGTTCAATTGAGGTCACAACCTGGTTAAACAAAACATCGCCCCGATACTCAGCGAAAATATGACGAGCGAAGTTGGTCATTCCTCCCTTGCCTAACTTGTAGCATGCCACTGCGTCATACATCGTGGAGAAGTTATAGCCCCCAAGAGCATACCACCGCAACGCATCCGTCCAAGCAATTTCCGGTGCAGTCGCACTGCCGAAAGAGTTCGTATGACAGACGAACATGTCTTTGTCGTACTGTGGCAAATCGAGCTGTTCCAAGCGGTCATGTAAGCTGAGGTGATCGTATTTTTGCCAAGGCTGCGGACGAGTTGGCTCATGTGGGTATGGCATGAGTTCCCGTGGCGTCATGTTATCCATGCTGAAGAACATTTCAGCAATGTCTGAGCACCTCTTGTTGTACTGTGCGACATCGTCGATGCGCTCCACGTGTTGACCTGATGCCTTGTAGAGATTGTAATCGGTAGACGTCGTGCCTGCGGAAAGCTTCAAACATTTTTCCAGGCCGTGGCGATGGAGTTCCGCCCAGAAATGGGGTTGATGCCTGATTGAAGTCAGCATGCTCTCCCAAACGAACAGTAGAAATGTCTCACCAATTAGCAAAGCCACCCCCCATCTCAAACTCTTCACCCATCGCTTTGGCTGTCCAAGTGCGGCCGCCGATTCGGTCTCGAGCTTCCAAAAGCAGAACGCGCAAGCCCCGATCATAGGCAAGATTCCGGGCAGCAACGAGACCACAGAAGCCTCCACCTATCACGATCACATCGTAGGATCTTCTAGGATAAACAGTGCTCGGCACGACGGCGTCTGTTTCCAGACCTTTGGAATGATTTTCACCGTCAAAGAGGTGACCCTCCTTAGTATATGGCATTGTGAACGATGAAAAGATGATTGCAAAGATTGCGAGAGCACTCACACTGTTTGCATGGGCACTGAAGCCCTAAGAATATTTAGAATTAGACTTATCGTGAACTGATTAGGCAAGATAGCGATTGAGTACCTACCTAAGAAGGTAGTGGTAACCTTTTTGGTCAAGATACCCGGGGCCCGTGCAGAGGCTCTGCCCTCGCCGCCCCCGCATTTTCCCCAGATTCCCGACCCTCTGGTCGCATGTCATGGACATGCTGATACCGCCAACACTGCTGACCAGTTCTGATCCCGCCCATATCCGTAGCGGGTGCAATCCTTATCGTTGACTGTTGTTTGGTCGAGGGACCATGGTTATTATAACCTTTCCCGGATGCTCTCTCGGGTGGCTGACACCAACGAAGGCATACAACTTTCGAGAAAGTTGCTGCAGTCTCTGTATCGCGAGTCTTTTTCTCATCGATTGAAGAGAACAACCGGGCACCACAATTTTCAGTGCCTCAATTCACACTTAGACTACTGCCCAGCTCTAACGCACGAGATACTACGCGCATAATGGCACAATTTGAGCCGGTTACAGACATGGAGAAGCATCTATCTGCCCCTTTGCAGTCTGGTATGTCATTGCCCTTCGGCGCGCGTGTTACTGGACTAACGTGATATTCAGTGGACGCAGCAGAAGGCATTATGATCGAGACTGGGGCGACCAGACATATCGGGATGCTCGAAATCGCGTCTGTTGGATGGTCTATCTGCAACAGCTGGGTGGGAGTCCTCTCGACCTTAGTCTTTGTCCTAAGCCAAGGTGGGTCTCCAACTCTGATATATGGGCTCTGGGTAGTTTTCATGATGTATGGGTGCATCGTGTACACACTGTCAGAGCTCACTCGATTCTATCCTTCCGCTGGAGGCCAGTAAGTCACTATCAACACCGGCAAACACAAGTCTATCTTTAACGTGTATTTTAGGTATCACTGGACTGCCATCTTGGCACCAACGCGCTTTGCTCGCGGCTTGGTAAGACATCCCTAGAGAGCCCTCGAATCTGTGCTCACTATTACGAGAGCTACTCCTGCGGAATGATCAATATGTTTTCGTGGGTCGCCATCACCTCTGGGGTCGCCATCATTTTCCCCCAAGGTCTTCTTGCCATTGTCACGCACTACAACTCCATGTACCAACTTCAAGCCTGGCATGTGTTTCTCGTATATCAAGGGGTTAATATATTGTGCCTCTTGCATAATGTTTTCACGATCAATCGCACGATGTGGGTTTTTAACGCGATATGTAAGTCTCGGAATGCACCGAAAATTGGTCACCCACAGCAAGACATAGAGACCTTGTGCTGACCTGCGTGTACCAGTTGCACTTTCGCTGGTTGCTTTTCTATCGGCCACAGTCACATGCTGGGCGCGCGCACCCACGCATCAGTCCCACAAGTCTGTATGGACAGATTTTGTCAACATGAGCGGCTGGGAAGAAGAGGGTGTCGTCTTCCTAATTGGAACGCTGACGCCAGGCTACATGTACGCTGGTATTGACGGTGCAATACATCTGGCAGAAGAAGCAGCGAATGCGACTGAAGCTGTCCCACGAGCTCTTTTGTGTACCTGGCTCATCGGTTTTGTGACGTCGTTCATCATCGCAGTGACAGCGATGTACACGACTCAGGACTTCTCTGCGGTGGCCTCAACTGTAACAGGGTATGTCAATTTTGATTGTTTCTCATCCCAAGAATGGTGCTTACAAGACTCAAAGGTTCCCGGTTTTCGAGCTTTTCAACCAGGCTATGCGTTCGGATGTAGCAGCCGCGGTCTTCGTATCATTCTTAGTCGTAGCAGCAGCAGCGGCAGTTGCTGGGTGTCAGCAGGTAAAGTTTCATTTCCGCCTGCTGTCTATGACCGACACCGTGGCTGACTTGTGCTGGCCAGACTGCTTCGCGTCTAACGTGGGCTTTCGCACGTGACTCAGGCCTCATCGCCTCATCAACATTATCCCGCATGAGTGTGCGTCGTCGAGTCCCAGTGGCAGCATTGTGCACCAATTCTGTCGTAGTCGCTATCATCGGCTGCCTCTACTTGGGCTCATCGACCGCATTCAATGCGTTCATTGGCACCGGACTAATCCTGCAGCTCATCACCTTTGCAATACCAGCAGCACTGCTCCTGTTACAAAGAAGACCAGCGAGACTCTTGCCAAAGACACGAACTTTTGGCTTGCCTAGAATTTCGGGATGGATTGCAAACTTTTTCACGGTTGGATTCGCACTTGTGTGCTTGGTCTTCTACGACTTACCTGCAATCCTGCCAACTACTGCTTCAAACATGAGTAAGTCTACACACCGATCGTTGAATTTGACTGCTCAACAGGACACAGATTATTCTCCTGCCGTCATTGGTATTGTTTGTATTCTCATGGCGCTGAATTGGGTTTTCTGGGCACGTAAACATTTCAATGGCCCACGCCTGGCGAATCTTGAGTGACTTATAAGTTGTGCGGTCGGGTCTCATCAGTCTGCGACGTAGGTGAATTAGTGCTTTTCAATGAAAGAAGGTGATGCTTCGCGTAGGCAGAACAGTGGCCAAGAAGCTGATCCTTTACTCTGTGCCTGCAGAGTAGCTGCGCTATCAATTATTATTGATTATCGATTACCTATTTCTCAAGCGTTCGCATTCGTCATTTTCCAGAAAAGTCCAGAGTCCCACGGGGCGTATGTTCTCCATCTGACACACTGCTTACTCGCGCACGTATCATTCGTTGACTCAAAAAAGATACTTGTTATCAAATGTAACAACGATCTAGTACTACTATGGGTGAGGCGGCTAACCATCGGGTACTGCCGACACAACCCGGGCGAAGCTGGGTCAGGCAATCTTTTGATCCCCAATATGTATCAGCGGCCCCTCAGCAGATCATTGGTCAATCTAGAGGTGCCACTATTACGGCTTTCAAACCTGCTTATGAACTTTGTAGGCTAGATTTGCTCCAAATGGTATAAAGCGCCAAGCTATTAGTGCACTGTTTGCGCATTCCTTATCTTTGCACTACTACTACCCCACTAATATTACGATTACTAGTAGTGTTCGTAGTTCAGTGGCGTGAAGAGGCTTATCTAGGCTATCATTACTCTATTCGGTCCACTGAGCCTCCTCTCGACTTTACACTCACACGAATAGCAAGAGAATTTAGGCAGAATTTCAATGTCAGTAATTCTTATATATCTCTCGTGGTGAATGTACAACATCTGAGATCGATCCTTAACTAAACAAACCTGCCAATTTACCATGGCCTGTTGTATCAACAAGGCGTCATCGGCCGCTGCCGTACACCCTCTGGACCCTTTGTCTCCCGAAGAGATTGCTGCAACTGTTCTGGTTGTACGAGCTCAACATAGCAACGTCGTGTTCAATGCAGTCACTTTGAAGGAGCCAAGCAAAGTAGAGCTGAAAGCATGGCTGGCGTCAAAACAAGGGCCAACCGCCCTCCCCCGTCGGATAGCAGATGTGGTAGCGATCGGTCAAGGCAGCAAAGTGTACGACGCACACGTGGACCTCACAGAAAATAAACTGATTAAATGGGAACTTGTGGACGGTGTTCAGCCCATGATTACTCCGGAAGATCTTCAAATCGTCGAGGGCATTATCAGAAGAGATGAAGGTGTTATAGAAGAGTGTCGTATCTCTGGAATACCTCGCGAAGACATGCATAAGGTTTTTGCTGACCCCTGGACGATCGGTTTCGATGAACGGTTCGGCTCCAGCATTCGTCTGCAACAAGCACTCATGTACTATCGCCCAGATGGCTCCGACGACTGCCAGTACGCACATCCGCTCGACTTCTGCCCAATTTTCGACTCAGATGCACTCAAGGTCATCCACATTGACGTTCCGAAAACGAGACGGCCGCTAGGAAAGCAAGCGCCTACCAATTACCATGGCAAGAAACATGGAGAGTACAGGACAGATTTGAAGCCAATTCAAATTTACCAGCCTAATGGAGTCTCATTCTCGCTTGAGGGGAGGATTTTGAGCTGGGCTAATTGGAAGTTTCACGTCGGCTTCAATTACCGCGGTAAGCTTGGCAATAGTCATCAACATTGACCTCTGGATGAAGACGCGATGCTGACATGTGTACAGAAGGTATCGTGTTAAGCAACATCACTTTCAATGACAAAAATACGCACACTGGGGTACGCGACCGATCAATCTTCTCGCGTCTCGCTCTAGCTGAAATGCTTGTACCTTACGGGAACCCCGAAGCGCCTCATCACCGGGTATGATCCTTGCGGCTAATTGTTGTGCAAGTTTCTGACTTCATACTGATAGAAACATGCCTTTGACTTCGGCGAATATGGCGCCGGTGCGATGTCTAATAGCCTGACGCTAGGCTGCGATTGCAAGGGTTCAATTCAATACTTGGACTTCGATTGCGTGACTAAGCACGGAGCAGTGAGAACAGTAAAGAATGCTGTCTGCATTCACGAGGAGGATGCAGGCATATTGTTCAAACACACTGACTTCCGTGACGACTCCTCCACAGTCACCAGGGCTAGAAAGCTCATCGTCAGCCATATCTTCACCGCGTGAGTCACTTCCTCACGACTTGTACTTTTTGGCAGGTATACTGACGCTTTGCAGAGCCAACTATGAGTATTGCGTGTACTGGATTTTCTACCTTGATGGGACAATTCAACTTGAAATCAAGTTAACCGGAATCCTGAACACTTACTCTCTTAACCCTGGTGAGGACGCCGCGCCTTGGGGAACTGAGGTATATCCTGGAGTTAATGCCCACAACCATCAGCATCTTTTCTGTCTTCGCATCGATCCTAGTATCGATGGCGACAATAACACAGTCATGCAAGTAGACGCACTTCCCAGCGAAGAGCCCGTCGGCAGTGCAGGAAACCCCTATGGTAACGCCTTCTACGCAAAGAAGACTAAGCTAGCTACAATGGGTAGCAGCATGTGCGACTATAACGCTGACACTAGTCGCACATGGGATATTGCCAACCCGAATTGCCTGAATCCGTACAGCAAGAAACCAACCTCATACAAATTAGTGAGTCGCGAGGTACCGCGCCTGATGCCAAAGGAAGGCTCTTTAGTCTGGAAGCGCGGTGGGTTTGCCCGACACGCAATTCATGTTACGAAGTGTAAGTCTCACCATTCAATGAATGACTTCAAATGATTCTCACTGCGCCATGTCTGACACATGAGTTTAGATAAGGAAGATCAATTATTCCCGGCAGGCCGACATGTACCACAAACCAGTGGCGAGCCTTCTCTAGGTTTGCCCGAATGGATTGCCGCCAACCCACACGAGTCGGTCGATAATACGGACATCGTTGTCTGGCACACGTTTGGTCTTACTCATTTTCCCTCCCCGGAAGACTTCCCTGTCATGCCCGCAGAGCCTATGAGCATCCTTCTCCGGCCTCGTAACTTTTTCACAGAGAACCCATGCATGGATGTGCCGCCTAGCCACTCCGCGACTCCCTCTGACGTCAGGACGGGAAACATCGGGTACACGGGAGGCATTGATGTCAACAGTAAGCTAGCTTCACACTTATGATGAATCATTATCGGACGTAAATAGAATCGGATGTAGATAGATGGGGGTTGCCACAATCTATGAAACACAATGTTATTAAAACGATCGAATCGGTAGTGATCTTCACGGAATCGTCAATCACCACCGTGCCAGCATGTAGATGCAGCGAAGACCCCATGCTGTACGTCCCTCCCGGGGGCTCATATCACGGAAATGTTTTTGGCCGTATGTAGGAATTTTGGAACTTGGATGTTCTATCATGGTCGCTACCGAGATGAACCGTCATGATTCGCTTCTTACACACTCCGCCAGTCTGTCATGACGAAGGCATACTTCCCATCCAGTGGGTAAGCCTTACAAATGCAGCTAGGCCTGTTAGCACCTATTCTTTTAAAACCTAGAGTGTAGTTAAGTAGGCAAAGTGCCTATAGCATCGCGATCTGTATACTAATCCAATTCTTGCTAGAGTTTGCTGTCTTTTAATCGCTTACCTATCCGCATATGTGCAAATAAACTGACTAGAGCGCGGTGTATATACTCTTGCATTGTCTGCTGTTTGGCGCTAGGATGCTAGTTAAGGTGGATGTTCGTTAGTCTAGACTCTGAGACTTAGTAAAAGTTCAGAATTACCCTTTAGATTGATGCCCCTATCTCTGCAATCATATGCCAAATATCATTCGATGAAACGGTGTTGTACAGTCTGAAGTAGAAGATGATATTGCTTAGTCCTAAGATATTTGCTATAATCCAGATTTGGCTACATGCTCTTGTTAGGAGCCGTTCGGTGAAATTATAAGCTTGTTACATACCCATATCCTTATTAAGCGCAAAAATCCACAGTATATTCTGAGACTCGAACAGATCGTACAGTTCACCTACTTCGTCGTGACAAACCACTTCTCTACTTCGAACTCTAGCTTCATTCCAGGTTGTCCCAACGGATCTACGAAGATCTTCATGTCGACCTCCGCAGTCATTAGGTCAAAGACGCGCATCAGAACATATACTTTTGAAGGTTGCCGCAATTGACCCAATTTCATCGTCTCCATCTGCAGCTCTTAATTAGCGCCTGTTTGCTGATAACATAACTGGTCTGGAAAGCAACTCTTACCCGTTTATACTGCCCCCCACTCATGTAAAATCGAGTGCCACAAGGCCCCGTTGTGCTCTTGACTTCGAGGTAGTACTCAATGGGGCACTCATCAAAGCTATGGTCTTCGCGGATCTGAGGTGGAAAATCACCCTCAGAATGATCTCGCAGGTATTGAGTAAGCTCGCCTGAGGTGTCTTTGTAGACTATATCTGCGGTCTCTTGTCCTGTCCAGTTTGTCATATCTGCGAAGCGCGTAGACCGGGATAGTTCGCCGCGGATGGTGCTGCGCCAGTTCGCTTCAGTGAAGTTGGGAATGTTGAGGATGGTGAGAAGCTCGAAAACCTGAGTTTGTGTTAGTATGTACGTATTTGGAGCATGTGGGGAAATCTGAGAGATGAAGGGAAGAATAACATACATATGCTTCACCAGCCGCGCCGATGCGACGATCATGGATGAAGCCATTTCCGCTACGGACGCCAAAAGTAGCTGAGTGATCAAACTCGCGATTTTGACTGCGGAGTATTGGCTCATAAATGTCATCTGCTTCGATATTGCGATATCTGTGACCCGCTTGACGAGCGCTTCCAACAACCTGCTCAATCAGATCAGGATATTGCTCCGGTGGTGCTGTCTCAATAAAGTCTTCCGGATCTAACCTGGACACCGAGCGACGGTAACGTATTGGCGTTGCTTCTGGCGTGATGGGACCAACACCAATGTTCACCAGAGTTGCTGCCTCGCTTTCGGCAATTGTTGAGGCTGGGGTACTCGGTCTTTGTTCAACAGCGACATCGGGAATGAAAATGACTGGCCGCTCGATCCATTCCACTGATGAAATATCTTGCTCAATCAGAACATTCTCGAGATCCAGAAGGCTACATGACACGATACTAGATATGTCGAAAGTGGCAATGAGAGGTACTTCCAGTATTGTCACGAGCACTTTCGGTAGCTGTGACCTGTAGCAGCTTCGGCGCTGCTGTTCATCCGCTGGGACGTATATTTTGATCTGCCCATCAGAAAGATCGTGATGTATGGCTAGCCTATCGCTCTCAACGCTAATTGATCTGCTCGGCAGACTAAGTACCAGGTTGGTTGTTATATCATCAGTGGTGTATATGATCGCTTGGGATATCTGTTCGAAAAGCGCAGAGTCGCTGCGCAAAGCTTTACTACTCTTGTACTTCGCAGCACAGCTGTACAGTGTTAACACATATCATCAAGTCAGAAATATGGTCGGAAATATTCCTTTGCATCTTTGATGCTTCGAACTTACCAATATAATGCATAAGCTTTAGCATGTAGCTGCTGGGAAAGCTGTTCGTCCTTAAGTAGTGTTTCGCCTACCATTGACACCTCTCTGACCATCGCGGAAAGGTAGCGTTTAGTCAGACCCATGTATTCGAACACAACATGCAAGATTTGTACTTCGTGTACATCGAAGTCTAGCAAGACGTCTTGATCAGCTAGCGCATCGCAGTATCGGCGATGGTCCGCGATAGCAAAGTCATCCGTTTTGCCAACAAGCACCAAGACGCCGTCATTCATCTTCTTCGGTAAAAACTTCGTATCTTTGAGGCTCATCAAAGCTTTTGACACACTGTCATCGATGGACGTTCGTGCTAACATCATGCCTATTTCAATGAGGCGAGTGCGGATGTCATGAACGCGCGGTGAAGTTGTTTCCGCCATCCGCTTAACCTCGTTGATGAGTAGGCTGGGACTCGCTTTTTTGACATTGAGCCGCTTGACGAAGAATTCCTCGAGACTGTTATATAGCGGCGAAAGATCTTGGAAGTCAGAAAGGGCAAAAGGGCTATGCCACACGCACGTCTCTAGTGTGTGCCATGTGTCACCTTCGCCCAATATCATCTTGCTCTCCTTGAATCTGGCTCTATCCATAGGTCAGCGACCGTTCAGGTAGAACACATAATGTGTGCACAAGAGAAAATTCCCAGATATTTACTAATAACTTACTTGATGATACGCCAATCGTCGTCGTTGCTCGCCTTGGAGGCCAAGAAACGCATAGATATCATGCATGATCGGTATACCCGTGTCGTCAGGACAATTTTCATGGCGATAGGTGATTTCGTCAAGTATGTGTTCCAATAGCAGACCTGAAATATCAAGAATATTCGCGAAGAAACCATCCAGCAAGTCATCTCTTTCGTATGACCTCGACAACACACTTTTGAAAGTGATGAACTCAGGGCCATCTAATAAGCACTCACTACTGCCCACCCAGAGAGTCTCATGACTATCCCAGATCAAATAATCGTCGTGGAACAATGAACTATAGAAAGTTAGCTCAAGACTCACGTAACCGAGAATTATGATTCTAATACCGAAGAGAAGTGTAGTCCGCTAGCGTTGCTAAACTTGCAATGCTTCGGTAGATTTCAACTACCTCGAACAACTCCGGCTCGAGCTCTTCGAACTTTGAGACGATGGCCTGCTTGTAGAATTCCATATCCGGCTTTGAACATACGCCAAAGTCTTCGAGGAACTTCCATGACCTGTAACTCGTCTCGTCCAATGTGCCTTCCGGCAGAGCAAGGAGTGGAAAGTTGTCTTCATCCAAGCCAAACCGATCAATCTCCGCCAGTGTCTCGGTAGTTGGAAGGTATGTGGTATTCAAAGACATACTCTTACCTGACTTACAGGGCACTGAACAGCAACCAAGCTCTGCTGCGACAACGTGAGCGCTATGCTGATAAACGCTCCAGTGTGCCCTCAGGGTGCTCAAGAACTTCGCTGGGTTTTGTTTCAAAACAGTGCTTAGTCCGGCCGACAACGTAAGAAAGGAGCCAGTACTTTTATGATGCGACAAAGGTGGAAAGTACATGGCGCCCGTCGCGCGAACAAGCCATGCCTTCCAGTCTAGTTCGTTCACACGCACAGCCGCAGGTTCGGCATGGAAGATCTCATGTGACAGTATGGAGTACCCTGAATGCGATGGCCTTAATGAAGAGGCCATGTTTGACGCGTGCGACGGGAGCAAATTGTACATGTCAAATTCACCATCGGAGGGCAGATACAGCTCGAGATCGCGGGCTCCGGTGGCGTACCTCGGGGAGTGAAACGCGCTCACGCATACCCAGGATCGACTATCGTCCAGATCGTAACCTTGATGATACATGTATCGAAGATCGTCCACGGCCCCATCAGATTCCAAGTGCGTGTGGTGTAGCTTGATCATTGCAAATACCGTCTCCTTGGGGCAATCCTCAACGCCAAGAGCTTTGTAGAAAGCTCTGCGGGTCTGGTTCTGAGATGCGATCTTGTCGAGGAGCCTGAGAGATAACCTTTCGGGTATGGGTGTCGTCCCTGTGAAAGCAAAGTAAACATTGGTAGAGCCGCCAAAACTAATATTTGGGGCGCCTGTCCATTGATTCCTTCCGGTCAGGGGGATCAGCGCAAGTTTTTTTATTCTGTCCCGTACTGCATCTAAATTCCTGCTTTGAGTCCTGAACGGTATGACCATAAGTTTCGCAAAGGCTTCATGCCATGGATCCGCCGAGTTCGTTGTCCTAATCTTAGATTGAGCAGAGACTAGATCGGCCTGGAGTCGATCCAGGAATTCGAACCACGTGATGCTTTTCAGACCCAACTCTACAAGGCGTTGCTTGTGGCTGTACGTGTACTCTGAAGCCAGATAGACGTCATCAGCTAGGTCTGAAAGGATAGGCTTCCCTTGGTATAGTGCCGCGGTTGCCACATCCCGCACTTGGAGTAGTGACTTGAACTGTCTCCGTTCCATGGTTTGAAAAACGTTTTGCACTTGGATGCGCTCTAGGAGGGCGCTATACAGCGTCTTCCATGGGTGATCCATGGCCTTTTCTGGCAGATAGTCGAGCCAAGCGTATCTCAGAGCGTGATCTGATGTAGCGAAAGTTCCAGAAACAGCAGTGGCAAACGTGTTCGCGACCTCATCGTAGAGGGCATCATTCCACGCACAATCGACAACACTTTCTCGGCTGGCAGAAGTCACAAAATCCGAATGAATCAAGAACTATCATATCGTTAGTAAGTTTTCCGACAAGGTTCTTGCGGGGTATCTTGAATTACTTGAAGTTGAGCTACCCGTTGTAGTGGTAAGAATGCAAAAACATGATGACCAGATGCTGATAGTTTGGGCTGCCCATTATCTGAGTTGATGGGAAAAGCCAGCTCGACTTGCGCTTCTATACGGTCTTTCCGGCGCTCGTGGTGTGGCATGTTCAGTCTCGTTGCCTTGAATAGGAGGTAAGTGCAGTCTTCAGTCAGGCTGCAATCGTCAGTCTCTCGCCAGCGACTAATAACGCGACGTAGAGGACTGTCGCGTCTGCTGAAAAATGTCTTCTCGCGTTGTCCGCTGATGTTAGTCACTATGAACTGAATCATACGGAGTCTCCGCAGGAAGAGTAATGTTGTGTCCGGTATATCTTGTATGGCTATGAGCAGCCGCGCATAGCTTTGTCTGGCATCGTCGGTAAAACGCAAGACCATTCTGGTCGTTACGTCTGGCGGTAGCTCTTCAGGGGATGCATCTAATGGCGTTACCATTCCCAGACCATCCTCTCCTTGGCGATGCCTGAAGCGAAAAGACCATAGTCCGGATTGTATGTGCACATCATCCGCAATAGAGAAGACAGACTTGAAGCCGAAGCCCTTCTCACCGATATGATCGTCAGTTTTGGTTGCTTTTTTCGAACTTCTGCCTGTCGCGCAAATGGCCTCGACATTTCTTCGCCTGAAGCCGTCTTCGTTCGTTTCTACAATCAGAGAATCCGGATTTACCTCGAAGCGCAGGAAAGGTGACAGTCGCTTTCGATCAGCACCAGCAAAGACGGAATCATCTGCATTCTGTATCAACTCGTACAAGAAACGATACTTCGACGAATAAAGCTGCTCTGATATGCTAGAAATATTTAGCAGGTGCAATTAGCGCTTCTGAAGCTACTTACTTGGTCGTATACGCAGCCTCAGTCTCCCGCTTTAACTTCACGATATTGAAGACTATTTCTTGGGTTCGACGGCTGTTTCCGTGGAGTTCTCGCACAACTTCGGCGTCTAAGTAGCCTTTCTCAGCCCTGATGTGTTCGACAACAGATTGCGCCTCAAGATAAGTAGCTGGTTCACGGTCTCCGAGCCGTTTAAAAGTATCGTCATGCTTGTTGAGACTATCCGGAAACTCGTTGTCCATGGCAGATGTGTTGATGCGCAGTTTACGACTGTTTTGGAGTATAGTGTGTTGATGCGCCAGAGGTGGGTGGCGTTGGACGGAGCTTTATTATCTAGGAAGAGCTGGACAATTGCACATAAGCATATGTACGCGCCCAAGCAGCTGTGCCGTATTGGTGCAGAGGCACGAAACATTGCAGGCACAGATGCGCATCTTGGACTAAGCCACACTTTGGGAGCCTGTCAAAGATCCATGTTTCCGCCAGCTCTATTGGTCGGTCAATCTCCTCCTGGGACTCGAAGCAACACAAAACCCAACGTTCCACAGTCCTACCTTTTCTTCTCGACACAACCGTACCATGTTAGGTAGGCAAGTTCGAGATGTGCATGGCGTAGCAGCGTTATAATCAGGAGGCTATGAGGGCAAACAGCTGTTGGAATCAGGTGTCGCGCCTGCGGTCGGGACAGATATGCAGCAACGAATGTCGTGTCACTCCGCATTAGGGTGCGTTTCATGGGGTAGTTCTTAGGTACGCCATATCCGTACGTTCTGTTTGGTGTGGGGGCGGACGGACTCTCGGGCTCTAACTTAGCCGCTTCATTTTAGCGCCCAACGGCAACAGCCCAAGAGTGCACCGTGTAGGACACATCTGACACCAACGTGATCTAACACCTTTGGAAAGTAGGCCTATCGCCAGCCGCCGCTGTCCATCATTTCCATCTTGCCACGACTACCTCACTACCACATAGACGTATATGTGAAAGACCCGCAAGTTCACATGAGCACTTCCAACGAGACCACAATGGGCACATTCAAGTCCTTTACAGCGGCGCTATCAAAGCTTGCTCTCTCAGCCACCTAGTCTCGTTCTCATGTGCAAACGATGTTTACATCCCAGCGATTAATATACTTCTACCTACCTTATCTTGATGCAGTGTGTATCCCGCGGCGGTCGAGCACGTTCACACAGCTCCAACAACTTGTCCACCTCCTCCGAACCCACCAGAATAATCCATAAAAGACTGTTCTTGACAACCACTCGCTGTATTTCGATTATGCTTCGGCTCAATTCTCGACTTTCTGGTACTTTGACAAGTGTTACACCCGAAGCCAGTGTGAGATATGAGCGTGTTTGCTACCATCGTAGCTGTAGGCCGTTCCGAGTAATCGTTGTGCATCATGGCCAGTATGGTCGGATGCAAGAAGCGGTACGTAGAGTTGCCTAGTGCGCGAAAGGCGTGATCGATGTTACTTGCAGTGATATTATGATCGTTGTGTTCCAGAGGATATTGCCCGATTAGCGCAGCTAAGATTTCCATGTAGATGGAGCCAAGCGAATGGATATCACATGTGCGTTTGTGTCGATGAAAGTTGCCCTTTCGGTACTCGGTCCAGTCGTGTTTGCAGCCAGCACATGGTGTTCTCACTCCAGCTTCATGCTCAGGTTCAAGTCGTCCAGTATTGCTACCACCAGCGTAGATGACATAGCCTTCATGCACCAAGATGTTCTGAAGCGTTATATCTGGGTTCACTATATGATTCTCTTGCATGTAGGTAAGTCCGGAAGCGAGACAGCCTAATGGTGCTTGAAGGATCGATGTTGAGGTCTGTTGTCCGTCGAAGTTGGCCAGGAAGTGTTCGAGGATGCCGTCATTTCCGGAAGGTTGGAGTGGCGTACCGAGTTTGCGCATTCTTTGATCTGAGTTGACAATGTTGATGATATGCTGGAGTCCATTCGTCCACGATACCTCCCTTTGGGTGCGAGTAATCTGCCCGCGGAATAGTGGTAGATGGAACGTTTTGTGAGAGTACATCCAGGCGACGACACCATTTTCGACAGTACGCATAGCTCCTTCTTGGTCTTGTTGTAGGTTCAGAATAACCTGGTGAAGAAGCTGTACTTGTTCACTAATAGTGGCATTGACCTTCTGAGATATCGCTGTTCTGTCCGTCGACGACATCTGTGTAGATCTGGAATCGACCACCAAGGACTCATCCCTTACATCAGTCCCTTTAGACCGACACTGGCGACAACTAAGTCCGGCCTGTGTCATCAATCGCGATCGAACTCGATCCGCCGTCCAGCGAGCGTTAGGGTTCCTCGCAGACATACTGATGATGACCTCTGGTAGGACTGCAAGCTTCGCGGGAACTTCGATTGAATCCAGCTGTTCGTGTATACTGGGCATCAGTTCCGAGAACAACCCCTCCTCATAGGAGAGAGACTCAGTCAGTGTCGAGAAGATCTCGATGAAGACACACGCCAGGGAGAACACGTCAGATGAAGAACCTCGCAGACCTCCGCTGAGTAGTTCTGGAGCTGCGTATTTTCTGGTCATCTCGGTCGGACCCTCTGTGATACTGTTGTCGAACAGAGTTGAGTCCAGCGAGAGACCAAAGTCCGTATACAAGACCCGGCCTTTGTGGATCAGGATGTTCTTCAGCTTGATGTCCTTGTGCCGTATCTTCATCCGGCGCATGAAGGAGAGACCATCTGCCAAACAGCCAAAGGACTGTTCCAGGATCCGCACCATCGACTTGATTTGCACTTCATACTGCATCGGCCGTTCGCGGCATACCACCAACTCCCCCAGGAACTTATCCAAGTCGCCCCCATCAGCCACAGGGCTTAATATCAGTCCAAGGCGATCTTTCGAAGTGTACGTAGCAAACAGCCGAATCATATGGCGGTGTTGCCGAAGCGCTCGGATGACTTTCACTTCATTCATGAAGGCCTCCGTCAACCTGACCCTGTTCTTCCTGCTGAAGAGGAAGAGTTTGTGCGCAAAGATGCGGCTGGTGGTGAGGTCTTTGACTTCTTCGACTATGCAGCATCCGCCGACGCCCAGGTTTCGTTGCAGGATGTAAGGAAGGTGCGCTTCGTCGATGTCGACGAGGTCGCAACCCTCCTCGACTGACAGCATCTTCGGGCTTATGCGTTACCGTCAGCAGCCTGCTCGCGATGTCGACGGGGCGTGTGGAAGTGACGTGAACGATGCGGACCACACCTCAAGTGGAGAGCGATGAAGCAGTGACGGAGCTGGCCGTGGCCCAGGTGGAGACAGAGCAAGCACTAGAATCGTTAGTGCGAAGCCAAACTCGCATTCTGTGAAGGAATCTAACCTTGAATTTCCGATTTAAATACTAGTCTATCATAGTAGCGCTATAACGCTGAAGTATGGATGTCAAGTGCAAGGCTACAGAGGGGCGAGGATCTCAGCTCGTCCTCCACATGTACGATCGTAAGCTGCAGGTTCGCCAAGGTCTACTCCGCCCAGATAGTCTTTCATGGCTTCATTGGCCAATATTACAACATTCTATTGTATTCTACAAACCAATTCCATCTAAGAATCCAAAACTCCTAACCATGCAAACATCCACTATCTTACATCCTTTTCACAACCTCACCCTCCCCTCTTCCCCCCGTCCACCAAACAACGATAAAAATCCATTCCCCCGCTCCTCCTCTCTCCTCACCGGCGTACCTTCATCCTCATCCCCACCCATCCACGCGGGCCTCTTGAAGCTAAAATCCTTCGTTTCAAACGTGTTCTTCCACCTGGTCGCGAACGTGTCGAAGAAACCCGTGTCCTCTTCGTCTTCGGGACCGAGTCTGCGGCGCGTGCGTTCAGGGCGCGATGATGACGGCTGGTCTAATAGCGGCGCAGACGATGGCGCATCGGTGAAGCGCTCGTTCGGCGGCGATGTGTTGCGCTGCGAAAGGCCGAGGCTGTTGTTACTCGTGCCCTGAAGCTCGCGTTCGATGAGCGCGCGGCCTTCGCGCCACGACCCGGTACCCGCGTAATTGCCTGCGCTGCCGTCGTCTTCGTCGTCGAGGAGGTCGCCGAAGCCGCAGATGTTTTTAATCTTGCCATAGAGGCCGAAGGCGGTGGCGAGGACGGGGACGAGGATGAAGATTGGGAAGAAGGAGCTGAAGCCTTTGCCGAGTGGGGAGAGGTCGATGAGCTTGCCGAGGAACTTGTGGAACATGGTTTCTTTCCAGATACTAGGGTCCGTCATGGTAAGGAAGTTGTAGGATAGTGGGACGGTGAGTTTGGCGACTTGGAGGCCGTACCAGGTCGCGGACTCTTGGTATGTGTTTCGTCGGACGAGTGCGCGATTTCCCCAGATCTTAACTTCCGTAAGGCTGTAGAATGCGCAGATGCACATATAGCACAACCAAAATGCGGCGGTAACTTGGCTGCCGAATCCGATCTGACTGCGTGCTGAGGCGTGACGATGCACGACTGTCCATCCGATGAGGGAAAGTTTAGGGCCGCCGAAGTCTTGGGCTTCGCGCACACATTCAGACCAGACGATTGCGGTGGATGCAAGCACCGTGATGCCCCATGTGGCGTATGTGAGGGCGGGTACAATATGGGCGTGCAGGTGGTACCTGGTGTAGGGTGTGAGGATTATGATGCGATCAAGGGGACCTCTTGACGATTGATATGGCGAGCTCTTGAACTCGAGACGTTGACTAGCCTTCGAGTCGAGAATAGCCTGGGTTCGGACTGCCTTCGCCACGACATGATCCCATTCATTCTCGAACCGTAATTTCGCGTGTCGTGCTCTCTTCAACTTCCTCGCTAGGTCCGCAAGATACCCCTCCGTGATGACTGACGGAATAGTCGAAGTACCCGCTGCCCTTCCACCTCCAGCTCTGTTCTCAGGCAAGCTCCCCTTCTCCGCCATTTCATCAATCCATTCCTGAAACTCCTTCGTGACTCCATTCTTCCTCTGCTTCAATTGCACGACCTGGCCTTCATACTGATCCAGCTTCTCCAGCGCCTCGGTCAACTTCTCGTGCGTCTTCGGGGCCTGACTCTGTATCCTCTTCAACCGCTCACTAACATTGGCATATCTGAACAGACTCCTTGGAAAAGCCACGAGTCCATGGCCCATCAGATAGATACCCAGTATCAGACCCCACGTATATGCCAGCGCCATAACCAAGCTCTTAAACGTCTCCAAATGCAGCCCATTCCACCATATCAAATACACGGATCCGACAATCCCGGCACCGAGCATCATCGCCCAATACCGCCCCAGGCTGCGAATCGCATACATGCCGCGCGCCTTGGGCTCTCTATACCCGCTGTCGCAGTACTCGCCGAGCATGGGCAGAATCGCCCACGTCAACATGAACGTGAGCCAGTATATGATGCGCCATGACTTGTACACGACCGTGTCGGAGAGCCAGATTCCCCGCGCGCCTTCGGTGTCTGTTCCGGCACTGCTCGCGAGGTCGATGGGCAGGAGCACGACGATGCTGGCGGGCAGCGCGATTGCGAGGAAGACGGGGACGGTTACGTATGCGGGCGTGGTGCGCAGCGGGAGGTAGTAGCGCAGGAGGAGCAGCACGAGGCCGCAGATGCTGAGGAGCGAGAGCACGAAGAAGGCGCTGGAGCCGGCTGACGTGGATGTCATCGTGGGCTGGGAGAGGCGCGCATGTGTCGTGTGCTTGGAGGAGTGTTGGTGCCTGTGAACCTGCGATGGTCCCTGAAGCGCGATCCGGACGAAACGAAGTCGCGAGGCTCGGAACGGCTCGGAAAGAGTTTACTCCCTCTTCACTATGCTATTCTATCCTATCAATTCACTGCTGTCTTCAGAGTCCATATGCAGTACTCAAAAACATCCCACCACTATCTCCCTCCCCCCCGTCGCATCCAGACCCTGCGTCATCCGCGACTCCCAATATACCCCTTCCGCGCCCCAGCCCATGCTTGATAATCACCGGCTATCTCCGGCGCGCAAAAACGGGCTAATGCGACTCACCCACACCCGAATGATGCAATCGCTCGTGAAGACGACAGCTGCGGGGCGCGCATAACTAATCCTACATCACCACTACCACCTACTATTCATCCATACCCTTATTCACCACACTTCAACAATCACAAACTCAGCGTAAGTCTACATATACCCCTCCCTCCTCTTGTCCATCCCCTCCACAACCATCTTTTCTACACCATACATACTCACCCACCATCCACAGCCCACCCAAAAAAAAACCGCCACCATTTCCTTCCTGCGCCACTTCTTCACGCGCGCCCCCTCGCCCGCCACCATGTCCGCCACAAAGACCAAGGTCCAATCCATCATCGACGAGAACCCCGTCGCCGTCTTCAGCAAGAGCTACTGCCCTTACTGCCGCCAGGCAAAGGAGCTGCTGAGCCAGAGCGGCGCCAAGTTCTATGCTATTGAGCTGGACCAAGTCGGTACGTTCATGCCCAGGATGATAGCTAGACTGTTTGGAGAAAGTGGTTGTTTGGATACAGCGGCTAACGAGACATCACAGATGACGGCTCAGCCATTCAGAGCACCCTCGGCGAGATGACGGGCCAGACTACCGTGCCCAACATCTTCATTGCGAAGGAGCACATTGGTGGAAACTCGGACCTGCAGGCCAAGAAGAACAACTTGAAGACGCTGCTCAAAGATGCTGGTGCTTTGTAGATACCTCGTCACAAAGCTCGTCAGTCTGGCGCTCTTCTACGAGTTGATACATCAATGAAGAAATGAACAATCACACACATCTCTGCGCTTCAATTGGTGACGCCGAAAAAAATGCATTGAAACATAAAATGATCATGAATCTAACAGGGTAATCTTTAATCTTGGAGGTTTGATTGATAATTCCAACGTGCCCTCCGCCAGAGCTGCTCTTCCCCTAGTCGCTACAATGCTGGACATCAGGTACCCAATGCAAGCCTAGGCTTGCCTCTCCATCTATCCATATCGGGGCTTCATTATACCATACGCGAATGCTTTTTCATCATGTCATTCCACGCCGTTAACTTCTTTCTTCGGATGCAATCCAACTTCCTACGTCTGCATTGCGTTCGCGTCTGAGAAGCCCTGTGCCGCTGTCGTTGCAAAGTACCTGACGTCCACGTCGTCATCCTGTTGCAGCTTCTCCAGATTCGGCAGGATGCTCTTTGTAATGAGATCCGTCGCCTTCTGGCAGCCTTGACCTGGTGTACCGGCCTTCTCCAATGCAATGACGGTGCCTTGTTCTGGTAGCTGCTTGAGTGTGCTTACCAGGACACCATATGACTTTGCGACATTGAAACGAATGTTGGGAATGTCGTCGTTGACCAGCTTGTCCATCATTGGCAGGATTGACTGCTCAATGACATCGAGACTGAGGGCGGGGGCAAGGGTCTGACTAACATTAGTACAAGAAGAGAATGTGAAGGCGCTGAACTCACCGAAACAGCAAAACAAGTGGTCATGCGGTAGAGATAGTTGGGATGCTGGCCCATTGCCATGACCTTGGGAACAATGGCATCATTCGCCCACTCGACACCGAATACCTCAGTCAGCTTCTTAAGATTCTGCGTTGACGCTTCACGGATCGAGAAGACGGTGTCGCCGAGCCAGCTCATGCACAAGCTGCTGAGCTTCTCATCAAAGAACTTGACACCGAGCTGCGAGGCAAGGAGCGGAACGTATTCGATGATAGCCAATCGAACGCGCCATTGCTTGTCTTCGGCAAGCTGGACAATGGCAGGAAGGAGCGACTGCGACAAGAGCTCGATGCCAATAACGTTGTTGACAGACTCGAGTTTGGAGATGATGTTCAGACGCACGTCAGGGAACTCGTCCTTGAGCATCTGCAGGAACATGGGAAGGAGATGTGAAATGGTCCTGGGCGGCGTTAGTGGGCACGTGGTCACGCGTGGGCGGGTACATACTCCTCCTTGCCGAGAATTGGGGCCAGCCCACTAATTTGGGTTCCTAGAGCCGCGCGCACATGTTGAGACTGGTCCGAGACAAGCTCTTCTATGCTGGGCATGACATCGTGGAGAAGAGTCTCGCGCTCAAGTAGCGAGCAAAAGCCTAGTAGCGAAGATTAGCGTGATGTCACACTCCTGCCTTGATGCTTCCATACCTGGAATTTGCCCCGCGATCGCACTGCGAACTTCTGCCTCGGTGTCTTTCAATAGCTTTACGAACGCGGGCACGAGGTCTCGGTTGACAACCTCCTCGTCGACGGCTTTGGCAATCTAGCACGCATTAGCTCGGTTCGTGTCTTGGGAACCGAACCTCGCCTACCTTCTCAAATCGGTCTGCAACCATGTAGCGCACTCTCCAGCTCTTGTCTTCGAACAAACTCCTCAAAGCTGTCAAAAGCACACCGTGACTTGACTGCTGCTCCTTGGGCACGGCCTCGGCGATCGCGATGAGAATGTCGACGGTCAGAAGCCTGACGCTATCCTGGTCATCTGCCGCGAGGTGCTGGAAGAGCGGGATCATCTCATCGATGACAATCGCTGCGGGCATGGCCTTGATGAACTTGGCGAGGTTGTTCGCGGCTTGTCTTCGGACCATGGGGGTGTCGTCGTGCACCAGCTGGCCATAATGCTGTCGGAGCGCTTCTTGCGATGGAGGTGTGGCGCGCGAGTACGGCGTCTGGTAGAGACCAGTTGCAGAGATCTTTGAAGTGAACCAGTCTGCCTTGGACAGGCGCATGACTAGTGGTATGAAGGCATCTTCAATCTGCTGCTGTGACAGCTCCTCGCAGATCTTGTTGAGCGACTCGACAGCCTATACTTGTTAGACTTGCGACTGTGTGCTTGAATACCAACTGCGTACCTTCTCCCGTACGAGAGGCTCCTCTATCGCGGCAAGATTCTCCAAAGGTGAAAGGAGCACATGCGCGTACTCAGGGCCACCGACGTACTCGACAAATTTGCCCAGCTCCTCGCTCAAAGCTGTGAGCACCTCATCCTCGTCCTCGACAGACTCTGCATATAGGGTTAGCCTTTCCTCGCTTGGCATCTGCCTCTCGCATCTCCTTACCGTCTAGGAAGGGAATGAGCTCCTCCCGTGTTCGCTCTGCGCCAAGGGCAAGAGCGATTGTGTTGAGGCGGTGGATGGCATTCAATCGCAGAATGACATCGTCATGCTTCAGTTCGTCGATGAGCACGGCGATTGGGTAGAGCTCGTCGTTCTGGTTCGCTTCCATGTTGGGCAATCTATAGCGGGTGACGGAGAGGGCGTGTTAGGGCTGGCGACCGTCCTGGATGTGTGGCGGTGAAAGCGTCGATGGTGATGAAATCAAGCGTGGTGTCGTGATTTAGCTTGCCCCTGGCTAATTATAAGCTTGTGACAGCGGGGTGATGGAGCTCGAGCGCAGCGTGGTGTTGACGTACCTGCTGTTGGCGAGGAAGCGAAGAGGGGCTTGGGGCACCGACAGCGACAGGTGTAGCGGGCTTGGCGTGCGATGGGTGATTAGAGAGAAAGCTGTCTGCCCCGCGTCTTTTCTTGGTGGTGTGTCGTGTGTCGCGCGTTATGAGTTTGATATGTATAGGCCAGGCGGGAGAGTGGGCTGGTCTTTGGCATCGCTGGTTGTGTGCCAAGCTTTCTGAGCCTGATCCCTGCCGCGGGGCAAGCGCAGCCAACGACCGATCGATTTCCTCCAACATCGAACATCATCCTTCCAATTCCCATACCTCGACACTGTCAGCACCATAGAAGCCTGCAGAGAAGATGAAAGCTAGATAGCAAGATTTCTTGGCCTCGAACATCCTCTACGTGGCTTGGACCCTTGAACTGCTAGCAAACAACGCCGAGGAATAGTGGTACAGTGAAAACGTATTTCTCGACAATTGAGGTGTTTGGGGGAAATGGATAATATTGAAGATGCAGCTTCGCCCAAGCCTAGTGGTGTGAATGAGACGGAGCCGCTTCTGCAACGACGGGCATCTGGCGGATCACAACAGAGCCAACAGCTGACGAAGCAACTCACTACCCGCCATGCGTTCGCTGTGCTTGTCACCCTCCAAATAGGATCAGGAATTTTTGCCTCGCCTGCTCAGGTGGACAGCAACGTACCTTCGCCTGGAGCAGCCTTACTCGTATGGATCCTGGGTGGTCTCTTGTCATGGGCTGGTGCTGCATCATTTGCAGAGCTCGGTGCCGCACTTCCTCTCAATGGAGGCATGCAGGAATATTTACGCCATGTATACGGAGACACAGCTGCTTTTCTAATGGCCTGGATCTATATCGTCGCAGTCAAGCCCTCATCAATGGCAATACAGAGCATTGTCATTGCAGAATCGATCGGCTCGGTAGGGTCTGTTCAAGTCGGCAACCCCGAAAGCGCGACGCTGCTTAAAATTATTGCAGCAATCAGCTTTGTACTCATGGTTTTGCTCAACTCTATCAACACCAGGTTCACGCTACGGCTCAGCGAATCCTTTACTGTCTTCAAGATAGGCACCGTCGGTCTGATAGTACTGGGAGGACTCGTGGCTGTTATTGCTCACTTTGTGAATCCTCATTCGTCTCTGTCAGGATCTAGTGATTGGTACTCGAAGAACTGGTTCGACAGTAGGCCAACTACATCCAACGGACATACTATCGACTGGACGTCCATGGGTGCGTGGGACCGGTATGGCCATTACTGTGCAGCAATTTATGGTGGGCTTTGGGCTTATGACGGTTGGGACAACGTAAGTATTCTTCGTGGAGCCGGTCAACAACTCCTTCATGTCGACTGACGTGACCAATGCAGGCGAATATTGTCGCGAGCGAGATTCGTGACCCTGGGCGTGCACTGCCGCAAGCCATCAAGGCCGCCATGATCGTGGTACTAAGCTCCTTCGAACTTGTCAACATTGCGTACTATGTGCTTCTGCCATGGCACCAGATCAGTGCCAACAACGCTGTAGCTGTTTCAGCTGCCTCTGCACTCCTTGGTCGCCCTGCTGGCATTGCCATTACACTTTTGGTGGCTGTATCATGTGCTGGGTCGATCACAAGTAACGTCTTCTCTGTCGGCAGGCTCACAATAGCTGCATCGCAGAGGAACTATCTTCCTGCGATGTTCAGCAAACGAGGTTTGCCTAATAACAGGCCATCAGAGGAGCAGGAAGAGAGGATCTCGGTCTTTGATGCACCACTGTATGTCAACTAGCCTCTCGCTTTATCCCGTTGCTAACATAAGATACAGCTATGCTAATCTCCTCACACTCATCATAACATTAATCTATATCTCTACTGGTAGCTTTCGAGCGCTGCTGACCTTCGTCGGAATGGCCGAATGGGTCTTCTATGTGAGCACGGTCGTCGGCTTGCTCATACTACGCCGCAGGGAGCCCCAGCTCGAACGACCATACCGCCCTACAATCATCCTTCCTATCGCCTTTGTTGTGGTTGGAACGCTCGTCATCCTTCGGTCGGCCATGTTTGCACCTATGCAGAGCGGGTTGCTTGCAGGACTGTTGGTTGTTGGCGCACTCGTGAGTCGTTTACGTAGCCGCTGAACTAGCGACATAGACCGACTTCATTAATCGATACATCGCATCGAATTGTCAAACACGCCAATTTACTCGTCGTAGGTAGTGTTCCAAATTCTTTGCTTCATCCACCATTCGAGTGCAGTGCCTTCACCACAGGCTTCAGCGTGAATATGATGTCCGCCACCAAGTAAAGTGGTTGCCTACGCCAGACTCAACGCCCTCGTAATCCGAAGTCAGAGTAACGCATCATGCGCCAATGTCTACATCACGCATACTGGTGTGCGTTCACCCCAGTTTGAAACAACTCTGCCGGTAAGTGACGCGGGGGCGGCTGCTTACACCGCGGCGACTACGGCTCGCGCCGTGCTTACTCGGTCGATCTTGACTGGGAGTCGCATCGGAGATTTATTGCTCAACGGAAGATTGGAGGGTACGCGTGTGGGACGTGTTGAAGGGAGTCCATGTATTTTTTCTGTGTGCGAAATCGCGCCAAGCATCCATGTATGTAGTTCCGGTCGATGCGCCCTCTGAAGTATAAAAGGTTTGTCTTGCTCGCTTCTTTCCACCAAATATCAAAAATGCCATCTTGCGGGTTATTCCTAAAAAAAACGACTAGTTCTCTGCTCCAAGTATCCAAGAATAACGACAAGGAGAACTTTATGATTCTTTGCTCCTGCTCCGACTAAAATACGAGTTCGCACTTGCCATGACTTCTGGGATTTCGAAACCGAGTACCAAAAGCTAACGCTGAACTTTTGATGTGTTTGAGCGAGGAGATGTGCAAAAAAATACCTTTTGTCCGCTAGCATGATATTGTACTGGCTTTCTGCAAATGACCAGAACCAAGTTCGATGTGTGGAGAAGTGCTTCAATGCTTATAAACAAGCCTTTACCAACCAAGGAGGTCCACAAAGCTGCGCATATAAAGCTCTCTCGTCCTCCTCTGTTCTTCCCTCCCTACTACAGCTCGCCATTCCTAACGCATCAAACAATGCATGTCTGCGGTAAGATTATGAGTTCTGCCCTTTCCGAAAAGTGATCAAGAGAGGAGCAGATATCCGCTCTACTTCTCTGAACTTCTAAAGTTAAAACAACAACCTGGCATGTGACCAACGCAAAATCGACCATTAGGCGAACATATGGCATCTCGAAAACCCCATCTAAACCGCTGCCATGTTTTCGAACAAGCAAGCCTTTTGATTTTGCGGCAAGTACAGTGTAGAAAGACAATGCAGAACGGCGTTGCGATGACCCGTCCTATAATATAGCCTAAAGAAGTCATTCGGTGTGTTTGCATCCGTCTAGTGGGAGATGTAAAGATCTTGTATTCTTCGAGCAAAACTTTTGGCTTATCTCTTTCGTGAACTAGAGCTCACTACAAGACGATTGTATGTCCGTCTTTTCTTGCGGTCGAGTGCACTAAAACCGCTACTACAAAACGATGGAATGTCGGTCTCTTCTGCGGTGTCTAAAGTCTACATCGTTGTCATGGAACGACCGTCCGTCTGTGCCTTTGAAAAAACACTACAAAAGAGACCACCTATGCCTCCTCCTCGTCTTTCCGAAAAACATCCCGACAACGATCCGATATTTGCTCTGCCGTGCGGTGCTTCGTTACGAAACATACTTTTAGATGCAATGATGATGATCACTACCTTTCCCTACAACTGATCAACCCGTCCACTTCGAGATCATCGGTAATAATGTAACACATCCAATTCTACAAAAGGGGGTATCTCAAACTACACTGCACGCACAAAAACAAACAGACATCTACACCCTACGCCCTCGCACTCGCGTTCAAATCCAACGTCCTCCCCTCCACCCCTTCTGCCTGCTTCCTCATAATCGCCCAATCGACCCCATCGGTCTCGACCTTCGTCTCCTCAGAACCCGTATCCGCACTCGGCCGCCTCATCTCATCCTTCGCTTCTTCCACCGTAAGATGATCCTGCTTATCAGCCGACTGATCGATATTCTCATCAGATTGATTCTTCTCACCGCCGGCGGCGAGATGGACGTTCCCAACCATATCCTCTGGCTCCTGCTGTTCTTTAATATCCGTCGGCTTCGCCGAACCCATCGGTCGCTCGAGCGGCTTCATGTCGTTTGTGCCCTTGTGTTCGAGCGTGGTGATGGGCGCGGTGCTACTCCGATTGAGTCCACGATGGCCGCCATCAAGTCTCATCTTCGCGCCCTCGCGATCCATGCTTTGTTTCTCTTTAGTTACTTGTTTCTCCGTTTTTGCGTGCGGGATAGAGCCTTGAACTGGGCGGTCGGTGGCGTATTCTTTGCTTTTGCGGGGCACGCGCTGGCCTTCTTTTTTGTCGCCCAGGCCGAGCAGTGAGCCTACGAGGCCAGGCTTATGGTGCTTCTTTTCGTCGTTCATGCCTTGTTGGAGGGCTTGCCAACGTGTACTGACTTTCTGCTCGATGATGTCGCGCTTCTCGACGGGCTTGTTTGAGCCTTCTTTGGCTTCGTCGATGCGGGCGACGCGGGCTTGGGTCTCGAGCAACTGGAGTTCGCGCTGACCCTGGGCGATGCGCGCGCGGCGTAGATAGTTGGTGGGTTGGTATCGCTTCATGTATTCTGCGTCCAGACCCTTCATCAGATATGCGCCAGGCCCGATGATAGCTGCAATGTCTTTGAGGACAAAACCACCGATGCCAAAGCCTACGCCTCGAGCTGCGCCTACGACGCCTTTCTGTTTTGCTCCGCGAATCGGTTGAGTGACGAGACCTGTGACACCATCTTTGACTCCATAAATAAGCTCGTCACGACCGGCGCGCAGGCCAGAGTGGAAGCCGGTGACTCTCGGAGGCCTGCGAACAGTCTCGTCTCCATAGAGACGAGGTGCGTTGTGAAAGCCTTGCGTCAAAGCTAGGGTGAAGTTCATAGGGAAGCGCGCGATTGCACCGCCCGTTTTCCTAAACCCGGCGCCTGCTTCATGAGCAAGCTCTTCTCCGAGTTCTTCCTCAGGCTCTTCCAGCTTTGACAGCGACGACTCTCCTCGCTTTGCAGTTGGACGGCCGTTCTTTTCCTGCTTCTTCTCCGAGCCCTCTGCCACAGCGCCATCGACTGTGCTCGAATTCACCCTAGACAGCGTGGACTTCTGATGTTGCTTCCTCTTCTGAATGGCGCGCTTCTTCTCCCTCAGCTTCTCGCGCTTCTGTATGCTCTTGCCCATCTCAACCGGTACACCTCCAACGCCCGTGGCTGCATCTGTGAGACTTGTCATGATGCTGCCCCAGACACCTGTCAGCGGTTCACCAGGGCCACCAAAATCGTTCCACTCGTAATGTCGCAAGAGGCGGAGTTCATTCCACTTAAGTTTCTTCTTCTCAACCAGGAGGTCTGCTACAAGTGCGGAAAGCTTGACATCAGTGTTCTTGATTTTCCAGGTCGCTACACGGTTGTCGAGAAAGTCACAGCGCATGCTGCCCTCCCCACGTAGTGGAAGTGATCGATGAAAAGAGCGTACGGCATTAAGCGCACCATCGCCTTCATCTTCAATGCTTTTCGCAATCTTCTTGACATTCTCCCTGGCCTCCTCAGTGAGACATTGCTTGATGCCCTCGGCAAGACGTTCCGCGTTGAGCTTCTTGTATGGTATGCAATCGTGTGCTCCAGCCTTTGCCTTGCTGACCATGGCACCCCAGAATGGTTGATCACCAAAGAAGGGTACGATCATCGTAGGCCTAGCGGTCTTTAATCCAATAGCGGTTGTACCCGCACCGCCGTGGTGGACGACTGCAGCGCATCGCGGAAAGAGCCAGTCGTGAGGAGTGTTTTCCAGCATGAAGATGTTGTCGGGGCAATCTGAATTTGAACCAAACCCACCCCAGCCCTTCGAAACCAAGGCGCGACAGCCAGCGATCTTGACGGCTTCAAAGATTAGTTTGGTGAACTCATCCGGATCGTCAACAACAATTGAGCCGAATCCGATATACACGGGTGGGTCGCCATTGTCCAAAAATTCCTTCAGATCATCTGGCGGAGTAAAGCTGGATGCGAGGTCGAGGAACACGAATCCTGTGACGTCGATTTCCGGGCCCCAATCTTTCGGCTTGGCAATGAGGCTGGGAGACCACATGTAGGTGTATGGAACTTTGAGTCGGTAGAGTTGGCCTGGCGCCCAGAGAGTGCTGACCTCCTCCAACCGCAGAATTTTGGAACGGAAGCGATTAATGAGATCGCCCAAGCCTTGCCAAGTCATCATTTCTACGAGCGGGTATGACATGAAGTTGCTGTACGTGGCCTCGACGTTGCTGGTTTTGATGTTCGCTAGAGGATGCGGGAAGTGGACTGTGGGGGTATAGGGAAATCTGTCAAAGTCAGCAATGATTGAAAGCGTGGGCAAGAATCAATACGCACGTGAACATCATATGCAGAGGTATACCGAGCTTCTCGGCGATGTGAGGAGGAGCAAAGCTAGGAGGGTTGGCGATTATTGCATCAGCCACGAAGGGTTCCTTGTCGCCCACTGCAAGGAGTTAGCAGAAATCATGCTTGAAGTACGGTCAAACACACTCATTTTGGCATTTGCCTTGTCGGTCTCGTCGTCGGTTGCGTTGATGCATGCCCGCCACATCCCTTGAAACATCTCGTACATCTGAGCTCTTCTCCGACCAATCTCACCTTCCTTGATGGTGTCGAGGTTTGGAATCAGGCCGGGGTTCTTCACCATGAAGGCCATGAGCTCAGCCGGGTTGCCACCAATGGAGAAGAACTCGAGCCCGGAATCCTTCTCCACAAAGTCCTTGAACGAGGGATGTGTTGCCATCCGTACCCTATGCCCGTAGTCGTTCTGCAGTATCTTGCCTATCCGAATGAAGGGCTGTATGTCTCCCCGGGACCCGATGATGATTATGACGATGTTGAGCTTTACCCTCCGCGAAAGGTCGTGTTCCATCTCATCGTCCTCGGGTGCGATCTTCTGGGCCTCAATATCTCTCTTGTCATATCCAGTCAAGTCGTCCTCATTCTTGGTGTGTTTGCTCAGCACCGCGCCCAGCGCCTTCGCCAAATAACCCTGGTCGCCATCCTTCTCCAGCAGACTAAGCTTCAGGCGCCCATCCGACTTTGATATTCTGCCTCGAGTCGTGAGCGCCTCATTGGTGAACTTGAGGCGAGAGAACGGCCCAGCAGTGCTAGTGCGGCGTTTCTTAGATTCCTCCCCGGCTATTGCGTTGTTGTGACTGAGGCTCTTGTTGGGCGTGCGCTCATCTTCGGAGGAGTCGGATTCGGACGAGTAGGGATCGAAGGTGACAGCTGTTGCTGGCTTATACAACAACTGTGACGAGTTCTGTCTGCGAGGGCCAGATTGTAGTCTGCCGAGGAGTGAGTGCTTAGTTGACGGCTTCGGTCGCTCCGTCGCCCATCTTTGTTGCGTGGGACGCGATGATGCGGGCTCATCTTGCTGTGGTGCTGGGCTTGGTGAGTCTGTTTGCTTCTCAGGCTGCGTAGCGATTGCTTGTTGCGACATGCTCGCTGGAGACGGCCCTTTGGCAGCGCTCAGGCTAAGCTCGTTCCCTGTCGCAAGGGCTGGGGTGGTGCCGATATTCGGGAAAATGGGTTCGTTGATGATGGTCCCTGTCGGCGTGACATTGTGATGTAGCTGGCTACTCTGAGCCATCGTGTGTGGGGAAAGAATGGCAGATCTGTGGAGCCCGTAGAGTTTGAGCGCTCGCCGGGGTTCTGTTGTTTGATGTGAATATGACGAAATGCAAGATTAGTAGCGGCCTGGGCAAACGCGATCAAGTTTCGGCGGCAGGTGCCAGCGAACCGTAATGGTGAAGTCAGGGGACTTCAACTTGGAAAGTTCGAGCTACCCTAAGTGTGTTGGCAGATATTGGCAAACGCGTGCAAGACGCCTCTTTTGCATAGCGTCGATCGCGCCGATATTATTGTGGCGTCACAGCAAGCGTCCAGGCACATGTTGGCGCATTTTCGAGCTCCTCAGCCCAGGCGCAAGGCGGTTAAACTCCGCATTAGTGGCCGGGCTACCCGCATGGATGCGGCGCACGTGCGATGATGTCATGAATCTCCTGTTCCTGATTGCTGACACCCCGGTTGGGCAGCATGGGATTGTGCCATGGCATTCTGTGCCGTGCGCCAGCCTTGCCCACTGAATTGCGCAACGCTGGGATGCTGGTCTGTAAAAGTAGCCAGGAATTCTTCGTGTATTCTAGAGGACCCTGAATGATATCTAGTGACATACAAAACATGTGATCACGCCCGCAAGATGGTGTGAATAACTAAATAAGCTGCACTCTGACCTCATCACTGTCCGAGCGATCCGAGGACAGTTTATTCACCGAAAATTCCTTCACCGTCCAAAGCCGAGGCCGTAAAACACCGCCTTCACAACGTCTGTCGCCCAGCCCGTCCAACCTCGGCCGATTTGGACGAGGTTCAGCAACTTGACCAAATTACGGTCAAAGGCGTCAACATCCTCCCAGTCGTCCGCGTAGGGCTCGAAACAAGCTGCTTCAATGCTGTCGGGCGTGCCAGGCGTCACGAGATCCCATTCGCCGGTGTCCTTTTGGCGAACATGCATCTTGGGGCCAATGACGAGTGATCGACCCAGTATTCGCGAGTCTGCCAGCATACGTGTTCCAGCATCGACAACGTCCTCGACCTTGCCCATGGCTCCGCCTGCTAGGACCAGTCGTGCGGGCATTGGAACGATTGGTGTGTCAATGAAGTATGGACAGAGCAAGTTGACGCGCACGCCTTGCAGACCGCTCGAGCAGCGCAGGCTTCTGAAAAGTCCCAAGACAGCATGCTTCGATGCGGCATACTGTGGTTGAATAGCGATGGGTGCAAGAGATGCAATAGAGCCAATGAACAGGAGATGACGGTCACGTGTTCGGGTTGCAGGGTCGCTGTCTATGCTGCAGTCCTTCGATCCAGGGTTCTTCGGCAGCCAGAAGTAGGCGAGATGCGTCGTATACATGACGCCAGTGCCGTTGACGTCCATGATCTTGAAGTCTGGCGGCGGGGGATTGGCACCGTCCAGGTTCTTTCCCCATTGCATGGAGTCGTCGCCCGCAATTCCAGCATTGGCAACAACAGTGTCCAGCCCGCCATGAGGGCTCAGCTTGACGGCCTCCTTGAATAGGTTGACCTGTGACTGCCAGTCTGTCACGTTGCACTGGACGAAGTGGACTTTGTTCTTGCCCGTCAGCTCCTTGTTGATATCACGGCACAGTGCATCGCCCTTCTGTACGTTGATGTCTCCGACGATGACGGTTGCGCCGTGTTTTGCCCAGTGTCGCACAAAAGCTGCGCCGAAGCCACTCGCTCCACCTGTGATGAGAATCACCTTGCCGTTGACCCAGTTCGCATCGTAGGGTTTGCGGATGTCGATCGGCGGGGACTGGCGAATGGTCTTGACCATGCTCTGGTTTTTGTATGTGTCCATGCTGGTTCGGGTCGGGTTTGAGAGACTGTAATCCAGTTGTGGTATATGTTTGCGGTGCAACGCAGTTGTGAGGTGGGCGAGACTACATGCAGGTGCTGAACCGTAGCTGGATTTGGACGTGCCGAGGCACGCTGGCGGAAGGAGAGCTTTCCGACATGACGGCGCGGGGGAGCAGGTCCAGCAGGTGAGCAGCCATGTCGTAGTCTCTGTCTTGTGAAGATTGACTAAACCGAGACGTGGATTCGACCAGACGTGCGGAGAGGTTGCAAGCATCACTGGCCGGCATGACAGGACTCAGGTACGTGGGGCCGCTAGCGCCTTCCTGCTTGAAGGACCCTGGTCAACATTTTCATCCCACCAAACAACCCCGCCATATAGCAAACATTGCCCTCGTCCAGCATTGCCTCTATTCGCCGCTTCACTAGACTAAGCCATAGAGCCAGGCCGACTCACAATGGCCACCAGACCTCCCGCGCTCGATGTCTCCCCCACGCACCTCGTCGCGACGCTCTTCTACAAGTCTGACTCTCCACACTTCTTCCAGCACGCCGACCTATCACCGCGAAGTCCCAATGACCAGCTCCCCTCGGCGTCACTCGAAGCGCTCAAGGATGGCGCCGCACCCACCGAAAACCTCGCCGACTACCCTCTTGAGCCACCCACGCCCGGCCCCAGCGCGCTCGACAACCTCTACGGAAGCTATCTCAGCCAGAGCTGTCTGACAGATTTCTTCGTCACGCTCACAAATATACTTCCCGGCCTCGAGCAGAGCACGATAACGAGTCGGAAGCTGGAGGCTGCCAAGCTCTGTCGCGTGGTTGAAGTCACCTTCCCACTACCCAGCGCGTCACCCATTGCGCTCGAGACACTGCGGCGGGATGAGGCTGTGTCACGCTTTGAGCGCGAGTGGAATGTCGAGTGCGTTTTCCAGGCAGACAACATATACAGGCGGTACAAGAGACTTGCCGTGTTCGACATGGACAGCACTCTGATACAGCAAGAGGTCATTGACGAGATCGCATCGCTGATTGGCGTCGAGAAGGAGGTTTCGGCAATCACCGCAGCGGCAATGAACGGTGAACTGGACTTCGAAGCGAGTCTGAGGGCAAGATGCAAGCTACTAAAGGGCGTACCGAGCACAGTATTCGAGACACTGAGGCCACGAATAACACTCAACGAGGGCGTCAAGGAACTCATCACCGGCCTGAAGAAACTGGGCTTCAAGACCGCAGTCCTGAGCGGCGGCTTCACACCACTAACCTCCTGGATGGGCCAACAACTCGGCCTCGACTACGCCTTCGCAAACCACCTCGTCGTCTCCGAAGACGGCAAGACGCTGACCGGCGAGCTGACTGGCGAAATCGTCCACGCGCAAAAGAAGCGCCAACATGTTCTCGAAATCGCGGAGAAAGAAGGTATATTACTAGACCAAGTCATCGCAATCGGTGACGGCGCAAACGACCTTCCCATGATGGGCGTCGCTGGCCTCGGCGTCGCATTCCACGCGAAGCCAAACGTCCAGATGCAAGCGCCGGCGCGACTGAACTCGAAGAGCATGCAGGACGTGCTCTATTTGTTCGGCATCACCAAGGAGGAACAGCAGGTACTCCTGCAATAGTAATAATTAGAGCTCTTGTAGCAGACGGTGAGCGAGAAAAAGTAATGTTCTATACCCTACACGCAAATATACACAGCGTTATTGTTCGTGTTCTCCGTCTTTCCTTGGAATGTCTAGTCTGCATACTGATGATGATCATCTTAACCATGTGGAAACATCATGAAGGGTATGTATCGCATTTTGGAACTGAGGAATGATTCAAGAAGAGGCGAAGGCGATCCAGTGAAGCTTATTTGCATCTGCCTTAGACTAGCCTGATCTAGGTGCCGAGAGGTTTCCAGATGTATCCATAGCGATCTTTGAAGCTACAGACCACGGCGAAACACTCCAGGGTAGACTATCAGCTGCCAATGAACAAGTATTCGATGCGTCGCAGATTTCCGCCCAACACCCCAAGAATTCTTCAAACCACATCCGAAGAGCTTCTAGGCGTCTCTGTTGGTCCACTGCCGGTTGTGGATGCAGCGCCGGCAGTTGGCTACATTGCACACACCACAGCGCATTACAAAAGGAAGGTAGTCAACACCACACTCCTCGCATTCAACGCCATTCACAGGTCGCCAATCGTTTTCGTGAGCAGTAACAGGCGTGGCTGCGATAACGATGGGAGCTAGCGGGCGAGTAAGGTAGTCCTCATCGGCCTGCGGGCAAGTGCAGCTCTTCCACTTGAGGCCGCATAGATAGCAGAACTCGTGGCTGCAGCGGCATCTGAATTACAGTTGCGATCTCGGCCTTGATGTATGAACTCGGAGCATTCAGCGTTGGTTGGAGCAGTAGGTCGGATTTGGCGTCGCTAGCTCCTCGGTCTTCAGGTCAAACTTCTTGATCAGGTCCTTGGGTAGGACGGCGCGGCACGTAGCGAGTGGAACGGGGAGCTTGCAGCATCAAGGAGGGAAGAGGGTGGGGTTGTCGATGGCGCTCTGGAATAAGTCGACGAGACACTTGCGGCAGTATGAATGAGCATCTGGCTTGCACTTGATTGTAAGAGTGTTCTTGGTGGCGACTACGTCTATGCAAGCGCAGCACTTGACGAGCGTCTTCGTTCCAAGGATCTCGGACCTGGTGGCCGCCTTCACTTCACCATCCGTGACGGCAAACTCGTCGCGTGCGAAGGCAGCGGTTTATAGCTTTCGTGCCATATCCCATTGCTCGTCTTTGTCCAGGCCAGACGCATTGCAGAGGCTTGTCTCGTAGTCGTCTGAACGCTCATCGTGGGGGTCCTCGATAGTCACTCCTGCCAGCTCCACGGCGAGTTGATGGTCGGTAACAGCCTGTCGTTCTTCTTCCAATAGTCTGGAGAATGCAATGCGGTTGTCGTGCTCTTCTCTCAGGATCTTAAGCGTCAGTATCTGACCCTCCAGGACCTGCAGCTGTCGTTGAAGGTTGTAACGGAGGACGAGGAAGCTGGAGCGTGAGTCGCCGTGGGGGATCTCTTCCTCATTGTAAAGACCGTCGAGCAGGTCGTTGATGTCCTCGAGCTGGAGGTCGACTGCTAGCTTGGCCGTTGCCGTGTCCATTGAGCTGACTGGCACAGTTGATCTGGCGATCAATGGTATGGCGTTCCAAGGTAGACATAGCGGTAGGTGAAGGGCTGATTACGATGATATCTATTTTTACGCTAAAGGCCTTACTAGCATAAATGATGGGCTCTCGTGTTGAATGATAGGAGAGACCAGCTCAGGGTGCTCACCGCACCGAAGACTACCAAGACTAAGTAAGAGTAAGACATTATATGTGCATAGAAAAACTGACTGACACGAGAAAAGATTGACACCCGAACACAACTCATCCCGAAAAGAAAATTTTGCAATGAAAATCGCGAAAAAGACGATCATGAGTGATATCTAGCATAACCGCGCGCACCCATCGGCATGCTCATTGCCCACCTCTTCTTCGCAGAGTCAGTCGGGATCAGACTCGAGCAATCTTGTAGGCTGTCGACATCGTTGCCAATGACAGCAAAGCGGTTCCATGCATCAACAAATTTGGCAGCCCAAAGATCTTGGCTGTTGCCAAAGTCCGTCCAAGTCTTAGCAGTCTACAAACGTTAGCATCAGCAAAATTTGGGAGAGACTGTGTTGATTTTACCTGAGTGTCATTGGCCATCCGTAAGTCGCTATCCAGGCTGGATGGTGCGGTTCCAGACTGTGTCTCGACGTAGTATTTGGTGTCGCATACAGCCGGCGTAGAATCGAGCGGCTGGCCAACGTTGTTGGGGTCCGTCACAACTTGGATTGCAACGGAATGAGTGCCTAGCAGGGCAACAACATCATCAGAAGAGAAGCCCCGTGCGCTGAATGCAGCCAAGATACTGTCAACAGAGTCTTTGCTACTGGGCATCGAGTTCAAGGGAGCGGCGACAGAGCTATCGGTTCTTCCCACCAGTGCCTTGACGTTTGGTCCCAGTGGGCATGCAGAAATCGCGTATGCAGCGGCAAACTGTATCATGTCGGCTGCGCTCACTTTGTACTTGTTGGTCAGGTCCAAGAGTGTTTCGCAGATGAAGCTCAAGCCACCGTTCTCAGAGCGACTACATTCGTCGGTCAAAATAAGACTTCCGTCGCAGCCGTTGTTTATGCAATCATGGAATGGAGCGCGAATAGCTCCATGTGCCGCTCTGCCGCATGTCGAAAAGGTGCTCTGGAGTTCTTTGGCAACATCTGTCCATACGGCAGGGCAGCTGCTGGTTTGACGCGGCCAGAGACTGAAGGCTGATGTTGGCGCGATCAAAGCAAGGAGGATAGGGAAGCGGGAAAGCATCTTGATGGCAGGTAGAGAGGTCTACTAGTGAAATGATATTCTTGAAGAGATAGTAGCGATTATGCGTTCGAACGATGAGAAAGGAAGTAAGTGTAAGGAGATGAATGAAAAGAATAGTCATTACAAGATCATCATGTTATATCTCGCAAGTGGTATGAAGTCCATTTCTCGAGAGCGAGATCTGACAGGGACAGTGCATCTTTCGTTGACCCACATCCCGGTCGTCTGTTCGCTGTCAAGGCTGTTAGATTTGCCCCGATAAGATGCAACACGGTGAACGTAAACGGTGATGTTTGTCAGACGACACTAAGTTAGTGGATACGGTGTCGGCCAATTATTTTTAGGCACCGGCCTAACAAGTTCAACCCTCAACGCTTTTGTTAAGCATGTATCGTTATCAGACTCTTGTGGACTTTACTTTGTATCAGGCAGAAGTAGGTTTGCGACGCTGCGCAGAATAACCTCGCTTGATTAGGGGAGGTGAAACTTACTTGCTCAATTCGCCGGTATCCCGTGTTACCCTTGCACACTGTTCATACGCTCAGCCGCTGGTTTACCCTCTTTACACCACGTTTGCACGACAGCTCCAATATGCTGTAGTCTTTCCATCTTGCAGTTTGGGCATGGCGCTGACTGCAACCAATGTTCTAACGGTCGATCATGGCCTTTCTTACGCACCGAGGGCTCTCATGACCCACATATAAGATCGCGCTGACAGCGATCACGGATCGCGAACGCGGAGACCCGGACGTAAGATTCCCTCCGGGTGATCCATCTCCTTGGGCAATACAAATGCTGAGGGAGGTGCGCTGTAGTTCTGTTTCCCGACACTTTGGGAAGGTCGACAGAGCTCCTTTGACTGACATCTCCAGTGTTGTGATTTCTTTGAGCTCGAAAAATCCATCTCTTTGCACTCATCCAAATGATCGCTGGACTTCGCCAATCTCAGGCCAAAACCTTGTCGTGGTAACCTTCCGCGTCGCCACGCTACGTCCAAAGGACCGACTTTCATCTCCCTCCGACCTCATCAATCCATCCCGTTGACGGAGATTCAATTTTTCAGCGATGCCTTCATTGGCTGCGTAGTGCTTACTCTACGCTGGCGACCGTCCGTGGAACCGCGCCGGTTTCCGAGGCGTATACAGAGATCGGTCGTTCTTTTGCCTAGGTCGGTTCGGCCGTTGGGCGCCCAACATGCCAGCGAACTTCGTCGTACCGGCGTGCTGTGCATGCTGTGGCCCTCTCAAGGAACGCCTGTCGAAGATGCGTGCAATCGCAGCGCACGGAAAACAACAACAAGCTGGGTCGCGATGAGTCGAAGACTTGTGCGTGTTGAGATTGTAATGATGATGTTTACAAGACACCCGTGGACGTCGGGTTCTTCGGGTTCTGTCGGCTTGGCGAGCGAGGCTCCAAGCGAAAGCGAAGGAGTGCTGCCTACGACCTTGGAATACAATGTCACTGCGTTTACTTCATTCATGTCCGACCAGAACAAATGCAACACAATTCGAGAAACGTCAGCATGGTATATTATGATAAGATGAAGCAAGTGTTGGTCTATTAATGCGTCTGACCTAAGCCTGACCAGTGCTCCTGGGATAGTCCCGAAACCCAATCATAGCGGCGCGAATGAATCCGGTCAAAACTACATTCAATCAGCTCAAGGAGGCTGCGTGCTTCTAAATTTACCCGGTGGTACAGTGGTTCCCTTCTAGAGCGACCCTAGACTTATCTCACGTCTTCATTCTAGAGCTGCGCAACCGCATTTATGGTTTCATCATTGCGCAGACCTTAGAGAATCGTGTCTGGATGGCACGGAGGTCGATCCGAAAAACTTTAAAGAGTGGCCCAGTACACCGCTGGGCTACGGCAAGACCGTATATGGGTTTGACGCAAGCTTGCCGGCTTTTGAGACATGAATTCCGTCCGCTGTACATGGGTGCACTGCGATACTCCACGTCTCTAGATAATCTTGCTGAAGTCATTGAATTGGTTGAGCTGCGGGAAATGAAGCGCGATATTGGAACGATACTGGATGATCTCGAGCAATGGCCGCTCCCTGCACGCGGTATCGATCTCCTCCAATTCTTCAACATCATCCAGTCTCAGTCGGAGAAGATGAACGTGCACGGCATTGGCTATCCTGTCGACTATCCTTATGACATTCCCTCGTACCTGCCTGGGTTCTGGATGCGAATGCGCGGCTACATGACTGAATTTACAAGTCGGATCCCCCATCTGAGGCTCCTGTCGAAACCTGATTCACACCCCTCAAGCGCCATGGATGACCTTGAGCACTTACTTCAAATAACAATCCCGCCTATGGATGACAAATCGCGCAACCAAAGAGAAGCAGATTCGTACGTATGGCGATTTGTAAGATCAGTTCATCTTGAGATAAAAGATTGCACTGTCGAATGTCACCGTGGAGATGATCGATTCACTAGTCAAATTACATCTCAACGCGATAAAGGCAACCCGAGATACTTTTCGAAACGAATAATGGGTTACGGAGCTAGAAGATAGCCTAGGCGCAGTAGAACCTGCAAGGCTCGCAACAAGGTACTATCCCATAGCATTAGTACCCGCTACGTGTGACAACTACATTGCCTTCAGATACTTCTTAAACGATATTGTAGCATGATGTAAATCATCCCGAGTGGGTTATCTTGGATCCTTCTATTGTTGTATTGGACTTATGTCTTTCCTCCCTGCCAGGAGCAGAACTCCTGGACGTTACGGCTGACCATCACCGTCATCCAAGATTTTAGACATCGAAGCGCATGGTGTAGTACGATATGTGCATCCATGTCTACTGCGGCTGCTTCTCAAGTCATCGAAATTTGTGTCAAGAGCATCACGACAAGAACCTGAAAGACATGAGCCGACAGGTTACTCACAGAAGACATGTTTGTATCTCTGTGGTCTCACAATGATCGAGGACTGACAGAAGAAATGTAAAAGCGTTGATTGAAGAAGCTATACGCAGCTCCTCGGCCTGTTGACAGGAAGGTGTGGACGTATTCGACATCTCTGGGATGCACCAGAGTACGTACATTCAGCCTTCATCCCACCCATGAATAAACCCAGCATGCCTCCAAGCTCTAGCAAAGAAGGAGATTAAGGCGTTCGTGGCTTCCTGACTCCATGATATACCCGTGTCTTGCTGCTTAGTACCTATGGACAGAAGCTAAATCGAAGACCCCGTTTTGTGTCCACCGGAACACGAGAGATTGATCACTCCGGCCCGCGTGCATGACACCTCTCAGAATCGCCCTGCCTAATGTCCTATCCTCGGTCTCCTTGATGTCCAATCCCTGCTGACGAAAGAATTCACTCTCGCCTCCGTAGTTGTCCTTCATGAAAAAACGCTCAGCTGGGATGTACAAGCGCGTTCCGTCGAACCCCAACGCCATCGGATATTTCATCTTGAACGCCTCCCACTTCTGCACCTCAGCCTTGTTCCACGAGCAAGGCATCATGTCCGGATCACCCGGTGCGAAAGCTGACGGTTCGAATACATGGCTGCCTGGCGGAAGGACGTCGACTGTGACGAGATGGTCGTCTTCCTTTGTGCATGTGATTTGTTCGCGTGATTCGCTTAAGATACCGCCCTTCTCACCCTTGCTGGTGTCGACTATGTCGTCGTCGAAGATGCCTTGTCCGATGACATTGCAGTCGTAGTCTGGCACGTGGAGGACGTCATGCAGCGTGATAGTCGTGGTGATGCCGTCAACGCAAGTTTGTAGATCGACGGTGCCGACGCCGAAGACGGGGGTGCCATCGCCACCAGCAGAAATGGATCCAAGTCTCGAAGCCCAAGGTGTGTAGGTTTGGAACGATCCTCGATCCTTTGCGACGCTGAGAGCATTAGCGCACATTATTGAATGATTTTGAAAGACTTACTGGACGTTGGACTGGTTCAAGATGACCCAGTTGGGGCGCAGAAGTTCTGTGGCTGCTGCCATGCTGTCGTCATGTGTCAGTAGTGAGATCGAGTGGAGTTGAATATTTTGACGGGAGGCAGGTGTAAGGATTTTGCATACTCGGGAAGCAAACGCTTTTTCCATAGGCACAGAGTGTTGTGCGTTTGTTGTCCGGCACAAGCGCACTGCGGTCGCGTCGTCCCAAGTTGCTTTCAGACCCCATCGAAAAGAACGCGGTTTACCGGCTACTGTCATAGTGTGCGAAGAATTCAGTACCGATCATAAGATAGCTCTGGAGCAATAGAAAATGGATGTGGTGCACCGCGGACATCTTGCGAGTCAGAAGGCTTTCACTGCAAAGGGACAATTTTGGTAAGAGGAACTTCTCAGTCCCCATTGATCAAGCATGACATTCAAAAATCGCTACAAGAATAGAAAGTCTCCCTCTGGGAGAAGAGTATATACAACGGTCACCAAGACGCACTCGTAACATCTCGGATGAAGAGAATGATCGCACTAAGTGTGCAGTCCGCCTACTGAAGAGCCTCGATCATGCGACGGATCTTAGCAGCGCTCTCGCTACCAGCGTTCTTCTCGAGGAAAGCAATGAAAGTCTCGAGAGTGTAGGTCTTCTCCGCGGGTTCGTTCTCAGAAGGCGCGACAACGACGGGCTCCGCAGCTGGCGCAGACGCAGCCGGAGCGGAAGGGGCCTGGGGAGAAGATGGCACCTGAGGTGTAGATGGGGCCTGAGGTGTAGAAGGTGCCTGAGGTGTAGAAGGTGCCTGAGGAGAAGATGGCACCTGAGGAGAAGATGGTGCCTGAGGGGCGCTTGGAGCGTTGGCACCGCCCTCAGACTTGATGCACTGGCTGTAGTACGGGTTCCAGTCCTTGCAAACGAGACCAGAGGCGCACGCACTGGCGCCCTGGAAGCCCTGACCACCACACTGAGCCCATTCTTTGATAGCACCGTTGTTGCCACCCTGGGTAGGCTGCGGGCGAGTGGAGGTAGCGAGAGTGCTAGGAGCAGGAGCGAGGGTCATGCTGAAGTTGCTGGACATAACTGGGGGAGTCAGAGCAGGGACGCTGGATGGAACGACTGGGGCAGCGCTTGGTGTGGGCGCAACGGTGCTGTTTGCAACTGGAGTGGTGACGGCACCAGCGATGACGCTAGAGGATGCGGGAGCAATAGCAGCGGAGGAGGTGGCGGGAGCAATGGCAGCGGTGGAGCTGGCAGGCGCAGCAACCTTGGAGGAAGATGCAGGCTTAGGAGAGCCGTTTCCAGCAGCAGGGGCGCCAGTGATGGTGCCGAAAGTGAGGAGCTGAGGAGTGGACTTGGTTCCGGAGGCGATGAGCTCAGGGCCAGGCATGGGGTAGGCGTCGAGAGGTGCGTGGATGGAGAATCCAAGGCCAGGGCCAGTCTTGGAGTATGCTTCTGGGAACTTCACACCTTTGGGTGTGAGAGTACCGCTTCCAGTAACAGTCAACTGGTAGCAAGTGACATAGTGCTGAGCGCCTCCAGCGGAGCTAGCAGCGTGGAGAGCAACGGCCTCAGCCCTCAGCAGGTAGTCACCCGGAGCGATGTCAGAGGGGATCTTGAAGTCGAGCTTTCCGCAGTTATAGTTCAAGTCCTTGGTGCCCCAGAAGTCGGCATCACCCTGGGACGAGCCAGGTGCCTTAGCCCAACCGTTCTCGTAGACCTTGAAGAATTCGCCAGAGCCATCGGCACTCGCAGCATCCTCGACCTTGCCCATGTAGGCCATGACGGGACCCCAGTGAGCACCGCCAATGCCCTCGGTTTTGCAGTCACGGCTGTTGGTCTGCTGGTGCATCTCGATGGTAACAGTGTCACCTGCCTCGAAAGAACACTTGCCGGCGGCCGCAGCGGGCTTCACATTGCCTTGCATAGAAGTCAGTAATGTTCCATGTGCAATACTTTGCAAAAACTAACATTGCAATGCCGTGCTAGTGTAGTCCTCAATAGGGCTGTTGGTTGATGGAAGCCTGGCGCAAGTGCTCTCAAGGTCCTCTCCGTTCTTCCAGAGTTGTTGCCAAGTGGCGTGGGCGTTTGCCAGCGCGATGATCGCGGAAAGAGCTGCTGCTGTCTTCATGATGATGATGTGTGTGGTCTGAAAAGAGTGACTGAATATAAAAAACGAATGACAAAGTATGTAGAGAATGAATGTCCAGCGCAGCTGCGTTGTCTTTCAAGGAGTGGTGGGCAAACACATCTTATACTCAGAGCCCGGGATCGTTGCTGCGGCCGTCAACCCGAATAATGGTTAGGCTCACCATGTTCTATTGTTTCGTCTACCACCGGCTAGGTCCTGAATGCACCGGAAAGGGTATGGTGGTTTTCTGTCGACATGCAAATATATGAACCAAGGAAGCTTAAACGCCGAGAACCCCGTTCTACGAACCACGAACGATCCTGCAGGCTCCAGGAAACAACTGACATCTGTCAAACGTGAGGCGTTGGTTGGTGGAGTAATCTACGTGCCTGGACATCGACCTCAGATGGGCATGGTCGTGCTTCGCTTCGTGCCGGGCGCGAGTACGCAGATTGCAGGGTTTCTTGGCCACCTACCACCAACTGCACATTGCTACTGCCAGCCCGTTTTTCTAGAAGCCGACGAGGATCCACTCAGTACGTACATTTGATGCACTTGAAAAGAAGACTGCTATCGACAAGTAACCCTGCCATAATGGAGAGTGACAGGATGTCAAGAGGAGCGCCGAGTTGTCCACCGGTCAAACGTGGAGTCTGTATGCGGGAAACACAATCCTTAGAAGTTTCTCAAGCGAAAGCAATGCGGCACATGCAGCCAATATTGCGGTTTGTTTGGAAGATGATGCAGGTACCCGCCGTAATCTTGACGTGTCATGGCTGGTGTCTGTCCACCGCCCACCACCCGCAAGACTCGCAGCATTAACATGAACTCAAGACAGCCCAGTTGCTAAAATGATTTGAAGGAGCGCAACGGATCCATGTAATTCACTCCCTGGTTATTTGGGTATTTTCGATCTTTTTCGAGCCGATACAGAGTTGGAACCGGCATTGGTGTTGTTGCGTGGGCGTCAAGTTGAAACGTCGAAGTGGACATCGAAACTGCCCTTGCATGATCGCTGCCAGGTTCTGTGCCCCATGCAAAATTGCTGCCGCCGCCCAGAAGTCAACGGAGCTGGCTACCGGTGGAAATGGATAGGTCTCGGCTAAAGTACATTCCAAGCGGATAAATTTGTGTTTACGTATTGATGTCATATTGCATCGTCTGCTCGCATCAATGCTAAAATGCGCCTTTCAGTACCTAGCCATGCAAGCTGAATGGATCTCAGTATGTGCAGTGACTTCATGAATGTCACTTTTTTTTATACAGAAATAATTACAATCGCAACACCAGAGACGTTGGTACCAAGCTTTTCGGTGATGCCTAGCACGTGGTGGTGGCCCGATTGCAAAACACCCAGGTCCATGCTATCCGGGATTTGTGAAGCTTGAGAAGAATGTAAGATTCTTATTCATCGGCAACTGGCAGATCATCATTCTGGGTAAACCATCTTTCTTCCGACACCTCCATCCACAACAACCTCTTGTCCAGTCACGAAATCACTGCCAATAAGATAGTCTACAGCCCTAGCGATATCGTCCGCTTTGCCAACCCGGCCCGCGGGATGCCATTTGATATCCTCTTTGCTTAAACCTTCTTGCCACTCCACCGCTTCTTCGTCGGCCTTTTTGCACTCGTTCGCGACATGTATCCACCCAGGGATAATCGCATTGACTCTAATGTTGTGTCGATGGCCGAGCGAAATTGACATTGACTGAGTGAGCCCAAGAAGTCCAGCTTTTGCAGCAGAGTATGCTTCGTGATCGGACTCGGACTGGTATGCGCGAGTAGACGAAATGTTGATAATTGTTCCCGGAGATTGCGTTGTCGAATTTCCGCTTGCGAGAAGTGGAATGCAAAGCCGGCTCAGTATGCTGGTCAAGTGGAAGCCATAGTTAGCGGGTGTCATGTTAACGAGAATCTCGGGAAAGGTACATCGACAGAAGTACTTTTGAACCACTTTTTTGTCTAGCCGATTCGCTTATTGGGAACAGGAGTCTTACTTACTGTGCAAAAGTCAGCAGGGAGGCGACGAATGTGTTGTTCACAGCCATCAATTACCTAAGGTGCTGTAAGACCAATGGCAATCTTCACATCCCATTCTTGTTCGATGGCATCGCCCTCAGCTTCCATTCGTCGATCTTCGGACATCGAAAGTGTCGTAGGAAAGGCATTATTGATAAGGAGATCCAGCTTGCCATCGAAGTTCTCCTTGACGGTGTTCACGGCCGTTTTGATGTCGTCTCGTTTACTGAGATCACAATGAATCGCAGCCCAGCTTGCTTTACTCGAGCCCGACCATTTCTCAGCTTGCTTCTTAACGTGCTCCAGCTCTTCTGCATTTGAGTCTAGCATTATAACATGATGCCCACATTGCAGGAAGTGCCGGAACAGACCTCGTCCTATACCGCGCGCTCCGCCCGTTAAAAGTACCTTCAATGTCATATTGCCTGCGGTGAGGATAAATCGAGACGGAAAGAAAAGTTCAGGCTAATTTCATGGGCCGATTTGGGGTATCAAATTTCTTCGCGTCGTGTTCGTCGCGGCGGCTTGTTCGTCTTAGAACGTTTCCAAAAAGGCAATGACGTCATCGTTCCGATGCTCCCACTAGATGGCGCGACAATCCGTGCCTGTTCTCACGCACTACAGCGAGCAGTATTTTGTAGCGATGGCTAAGGCTGTCAATTCTTAATGTCTCTTTAAGGATATGTCGCAGTCTTATAAGTATTTGAAGCTATACAGGCTGTCGTATAAGTTGCTGGATATTCCAGAGGAGGTCGCAAGTTTGAGCAGAGCGGACACAAATGCTTGCGGCAGCTGGTGCTCCCAAAGTATGTAGTTGTGACGTCTCGAGTTCGGGAAACATGTCGCTATCAAGATATTTGGCATTGCACCGATACGCGTACGTGATACCATTTTTCTGTTCTCGACGATCAAGGCCGTGTTCAAATCTTGTCTGATTGCTACCAACTTACTGATGCACTACATAAATTCGATCTGATATGACGCATGCTTCGCAGATCACACAGCTCGAAGACATCATCACCGAGGTCCCGTTCGTATCTATCAAATACGTTTACAATTTGTTTCCGCAGCATCTTCTCATATGTTTTTGAGCCACCTACCACAGCTGTTAGGGCATCAATTTGCATGCGTACAATGGTCTCGACCTGTTTTCCTTATCCGCCACAATGGCAGCGACGGAATCGTTACCTCAGCTTTCGTGGCCTTTCTTTCCTTCATAACAAATTACATCCTCTTTTGAGGACGAGAGTGAACAAGGATATCCCGACTCTATCCGGACATAAGCGCACTCATAGCCGGGCCTTTATTCCCTCATATTTCACCACGCGTCACACTTATCCTAACTGAGCATCAAATGCAGTGCACCAATAGCCTAAGGACGAGCACAGGAGCTGCCATGCCTCTTTACTGGACGGCGGCGGGTCCGGCAGAAGAGTTGCAGCATTGATGCATTGGACCCCCCATTGCCCCGCTGCCGCCATTAACAGTTGCATGCGAGTGTTGGCATTATCACGCAATGCCAGAAGCATATAACTGGAATCTCAGCTCATAGTTGTTCCGTTGCTCGTCCTTCTCCCTCAATACCACCAGCTCATATCTTTTTGTCCAAGTTTCTCGCCAATACCAGCATCACCACGGTACGATGCGACGACCATCATCGCAGCACAATGGTGTCATTATGACTCCACCTTCACTGAGCTCGTTCACGATCAAGTATAAAAGTGTCATATGACATGGACAGGTACCTTCTCAAAGTCTGAAGCTAGCATGGCGGGTGTTCAAGCACCGAGCAATCCTTATGGGGTTGTGCAGTGCTTGTTCTGAGATCATACCGTTCAAACTTGATCTGGATAATTCCAGCGAAAGGACAAAGCTGCTTCTTGATGCCCCTTCCCCGGTTTGTTGGCATGCTGATAGGTGTAGCTTCAACTCTGAATCATGTCGACGGATAAGATCACGGTTTTGACCAACTGGTGCGTGATGCACAGGAGGGAAAGAGAATATACTGATTGACACAGGCACGCTACGCCGTATCATGCCCCACTGTACCTTGCACAGAGTAAAGGTTACTTCAAGGATGAAGGGGTCAAAGTTGCCATCTTAGAGCCAAACGACCCGAGTGTACGCCGCATTGCTATGTTGTTCTTGGGAACATGTGCTGACAGCCACGTAGGACGTCACTGAGATAATTGGATCGGGCAAAGTCGATCTCGGATTCAAAGCGATGATTCACACGCTCGCCGCCGCCGCTCGAGGTTTTCCCGTCACTTCAATTGGTTCGCTTCTCAACGAACCCTTCACTGGCGTTGTGTACCTCACCTCTTCTGGCATCACGACCGACTTCACCACGCTGAAGGGCAAGAAGATTGGATACGTCGGGGAGTTTGGCAAGATCCAGCTTGATGAACTCACTGCGCACTATGGCATGTCGCCTGACGACTATCAGGCCGTCCGTGTCGGCATGAACGTCACTCGCTCCATCATCACTGGCGAGATCGACGCCGGCATTGGTCTCGAGAATGTTCAGATGGTCGAACTCGAAGAATGGCTCGTTAGTCAGAACCGCTCCCGCAACGAGGTCAAGATGCTTCGCATCGATGAGCTCGCTCAGTTGGGTTGCTGCTGCTTCTGCAGCATCTTGTACATCGGTAACGACGCCTTTGTCAAGGCCAATCCGGAGAAAGTGCGCGCTTTCTTGCGCGCTTGTAAGCGGGCTACGGACTTTGTACTCGCATCTCCTGATAAGGCTTGGGAGGAGTTCATCACCGTTAAATCTGTCCTGAATACGCCAACGAACCGGAAGATCTTCGAGCGTAGCTTCGCATACTTCAGTCCAGATTTGCAGAATGTGCAGCGCGACTGGGAGAAGGTTACACGCTACGGAAAGAGACTTGGTGTCTTAAACGAGGGCTTTACACCCAATTACACGAACGAGTATCTTGAGTGGGGCCTCGAGCGAGAGGCTGACGACCCGACTGGCGATCAGAAGAAAATGGTGGCTCTACAGCAGGATGTCAAGGATCACGGTGGCTTCAAGCGCCTTGAAAGTATTGCTGGAAAGGCTGTAGTTGGAGCAGCTGCTTCTAGGCCATACTAGAGACTCGGGAAGGGCGCAATATTTTTCGATGCACGGTTAAATAGCTTTGGTTGGAGATTCATTCGTTTGCTCCATCAGAGTCGAAATGTCCTAAAAGGAAACCAATACAGCCATTCTGTAACTGGATCTAGTATCAGTTTTCTACACTAACAGCATAGCAAGCCGCTTACACAGACTTGCGCGTAGGCCCACTAGGCCCCGGCAAAATTCATGTCCGCTTCTGCCCAACGAGAAGGGTTAAGAGCTAGCCTAAATGTATTTAAAAACTTCTGCAAGAGCAATTGAGATATCTCATAGTATTGAATATATCTAGGCTTCTTTATAAACTTCATAGTACGCTTCTAAAGACTATTAGATCACTTCGCGCATGTGCGGAGCCGGCACGAATTTTGCCGCCGTCTGGTGTTCCATTTTCGTCATCATCTGAATCATCATGCTCTCAAGCTGCGCGGTACAAGAGCAAGCCAATCTCAGCTCATTCATGTCAAAAGTGATTTGCACCTTTCGTGCCCGAAATTTGTTCGTGGATTCGGCAAGACGCATCTCCATTTGATTCCAGTCACCAGCGCTCACCTCGCACTCTGGACACACTGTTGTATCGTCGGGGTGCCAGAGACCATCCGGGGAGATGAATGTGAGCTTCAACTCTTTCAGATTAAGAAAGCTTGATTGCCATGCTAGGCTCCGGCTCACATAATACTCCAGAAATTCGTCCTCCAAATCACGATCAGTTTCCTCTGACTCTTTTGATGCTTTCGGGAAAAGCGGCCAGGTATTTTGACGCGGCCAAGTGCTCTGGCGCGGGTCGGGAGGAGGTCCTGGTATCGCGAGAAGATCGCAGTCGTCAACATGGATGTGCAAGGTCTGGATTCGCGCTGCCCATGTACGTGAAGGAGACTTGACTTTGAGAGACATAATGGTTTTTCCCACTCGTCGGTACGCAATTTTGAGGCTAAAGGCATTGCATTGATAATACATCTCAAGCGACAGTGCAACGAAGTCTCGGTTATTTGTGTCGATTATGATGTCGAGCTCTTCCTCCATGATTTTGAAGTGTCCTTCTACATCGATAATACCCTCGAATGTGAGGTGATGAGCGAGCACTTGCAGCTTGAGTTCTGTGGGTAATTGGTGCCAGTCTTGGAAAGTACTGTGCGTCGCGCGCTGACGGTCAGTAGGTATGTCTTTAGGTGTTTGGGTAGGCATGTTGCTCCGCGGAGAGCTTTAGATTTTCTCATTGACTGCATTCCATAGGGGTTCGCACATGCTGATTAAATACAAGAGGAGTTGACAGTGAGTCATAACGTGAGATTGCGTCACAGATGACGTGTTAGCAAGAATCAGGCGAGAAGTCCAGGAGAATGGCGTGTGATTGATTGGTGAGGCTGCATGTGTGATCGTTCTAGGAATCTACGTCAAGCTATCTGGAGGCCCGCTCGTCGTGTATGTTAAACGGAATTATTCCTGGTAGCCATGTTCTTGATAAGGAGCTCGGTTGACTTGCCACATTGGCAATCACACCTGGAGTTGAACACCAGCCTGACCGTCACATTCTGACCCTTCAGCCTAATCTCCGTTGTTTTGAGCCAGTTTCTCAATCCATCATAGTGTGCTGGAACAAACCAACATGAGCTGCATTCATCTTTCCAGTAAATCTTCCCATTTGAAATGAAAACAATGATCAACTTCAATTCTTTTAAGTTCGGGAAATTCTCCTGCCACGTCAGGCTAGAGTGTGTTCCCGTATATTTCTGGTCGTGAAATAAGAGCCTGAGAAACGGGCTAGTGGTATAGGAGGCGATGCTTGGATCCCAAGAGATGTAAAATCGTGTTTCGAGGCTGCGAATGAGATAGCCATATGTGGGTGGTGGAGACGTATCGAATTTGCGGCTTTTGGGACGCAGGCAAGAGGCAAGGAAAGTGTTCATCGAGTAGTATATGTCCAGGCACAAGGTCACTAATTCACGATTGCATGTCTGAAAGATCTTGCTAAGCGTAGGTCGAAGCTGTTCCCTATGGTTGCTCCAAGTGATCTCTTGAGCAACGGGGACGTGGTGTGAAAGAATTTCGAGCTTGAGCTGAGCAGGTAGGCGTGACCGGCCGTGAAATGTCGTTGGTGTGCTCTCTCCGGGATCCGTAGCGGCACTGCTATCGAGAGTGTTTTCTGCAGCCATGGTGCGTGGGTCTTGTTCACAACGTCAGCGTTATTGACATACTGCAGGCTGTCAACTACGACGGAAAGTAAACAAGGGTTTGTAATAACCCGAACCTATACACAGTATCATTACGCTTCAATTGTGACAGCAAGTCCCCGTGTATTGCTCCAGGCATCCTGATCGCTGTCCGTCGTAGGTGAGAACCTGCAGTAAATTCCTTATACAACGTACCCGGTGACTTATTGACAGAGCCGTTCATAGCCCTGGAGAGGCAGCGTGAGTTGTTGGGGCTGCAGTCCAATCGCGAAAGTTGATTGTGTTCGTGCTGAAGTGAGAGGATCCTAACATGCGAGAAACGTAGAGAATCGGAGTAGAGCGTTGGTCACGTGCAAACAGACAGGAGCGAATGAACATTGACAGTACGCCTAAGCAAGCCGTATAATGTTCGGCTATCGTACGGGTTATTGAGCCATGTTTCCTTCACGTCTCCACAACGACCTTGACGTCACTCATCGCAGCGAATGGCGTGGTCTTCGTCTCCCCGCTCAATGCCCACGAAACGGTCTTCTCCACCACACGTCGGCCGCCCGACTCGAGAGGCAACCAGTGGCCTGCGTCCTTCACCAACAGCACCTGACTGCCGCCAACAAGAAAGTCCTTCGCATTGCTGAGCGCTAGTCGTTGGTCAAATGCCGGATCATGGTCACCCAGCATGAACGTCGTTGGTGCCTTGAGAGAGCCCTCAGGTGCACCGCCCATCAGTGGATCGGAAGAAACGGAGGAGTGGGGCGTTGATCCAGCAGCGGACGCAATTTCGAACAGTGCAGCGGTAGTTTGCAGAGACTTCTCCCATTTTCCGATGAACAATCCGTCGCGATAAATGCCGACTTTTTGAGACATGCCGCGATCGCTCATACGCTTCCGTACCGATTCACCATACCTAGTCACGTGCGAATCACTCATCTGGAGTTTTCCTGGACCTGTGGACATGGCCATGGCTTCTCCTGCTTCCTTTGGATCCAGACGGCCGATGAGCTTTTCATCTTTGCGTGCTTTGCCTTTACCGAGACTGTGCAACGTGCGCAAAAACCAGTAGTTGCCAAATGTTGCGAAGAAGCTGCTGAATGGCCAGGGAAGATGGAAGCAGAATACGTAAAACGAGCGTCTGAATTGGGAACGAACTGGGTCCAAGGTTGTAAGTGCTGTCTTGAGAAGGCGGAAGTTCGTTGGTGTATGAATCCATGTACGTAACATCTGCTTAGCCAGGGTCATCTGGGAGATCGCATTCGATGTGGTTAGATGCGGCTGTCAAGATGTTAGCGCAGCAAGCGCTCAGATGTCTCGTGCATCTTACGATTATGCCGCTCATGATGATCCAATGATCTGCCAACTGGGCTGCTTCAGACGCCAACCTGGCTCCAACGAGCGCGCCCCAGTCATGTGTCGTTACAACGACCTTCCTGTCTGCCTTAAGATACTGCATCCTCATATCAAGTATGAACTCGGCCAGTGGCTCGAGCATGTCGTACGGCCCGTAGTGGGGCAGGCCATCAGAGCCACCATAGCCTGGCAGATCGACCGCGATGAGGATGTGATTGTGTCTCAGTTCTGGGGATTGGAGGATATGGCGCCACAGGAGGAAGGAATCGGGAAAGCCTGTAAAGACGGGATTAGCCAAGATATCGTAAGAGACGGTGATTGTTAGAACCCTTCTGCCAACGACGTACCATGTATGAATATCCCTACATTCTTCGGATCCGCGCTCTTAACATCTGCGTTCACAACGTAGTGAAGTCGTGCTCCAGTACTCGTCGTGAAGAACGCGTGTCGAAATCCCATAAATGGTCCGTGATCAAGACTCCAGTACTTCTCCTGAGCAGCGGCTAGTTCCTTCCTCTCTTCACTCGTGTCGTCCGCCCACAATGCTCCGTTTTTGAGTACAGCTGTCGCCCACACCGTAGCCAGACTCACGAGGCCGAAGCCGAGCTTGAAGCCAAACCATGCAAGGTCCGTGGCTATTCTTCGTACGCTCGCCCGCAGGCGTGTGGCGTTCGGTGAAGACATTCAGGCTTCGATACAGATTGTGGTATGCGCGTGAATGATGGAAAGAAATATGTCGAAGCGCGTACACGATAGCGCGATTTGTTGTGGGACGAAGCAGGAGAATAACGTCAAGGCGGACGTCGTTGTGTCCTGTGCCCCCGCATCACGACTCCCGCATCCATGTGTAACTGCATCTGTAAGGGCGGGCAATCGAGATCGTCTATCATCCACGCGACAGGGCGGAATCAAGGGTCCTGCACGCATTTGGCAGCTGCAGAGGAGATCGTGGGGAAAGTAACGATGGAGTCCGAGCTTCTGATGATCTTCACCGAACTTCAACCCATGGCTGACCAATCATATGAGTGTTGACGCAGGGTGACAATACTGAGTCTATGGCTTCGCTTCATTCAGATTCTCTTAAGATGAGGCTTGTGTTCAAGTTTTATTTCAATTGTTCCCCAATGCATATGTAGCAGCAGCCCTGGAACACAAGACACATATCGCTCTCTTTCAAGTCTGCATCGCTTTCCTTCTTTTCTCTCCTGTATTTACCTCCTTTCGTCCTATTCGTCTCAATTTGAAGCCATTGCGCCTTTACCACTCTCTCTATCACCCGTTGGTCGTTGCGTGCGTAGGGATAGGTCTCAGTAAGACTTTATGCTTCACTCAGAGAGGTCGTTGTCGTTGCGGATGTACCACTGTTCTTGTATCTCCACATCCTTCTGAGCAAATATCGTAAAGAGCGGTAACACGGCCCCAAGGGTAATTCAGTAGGGTCAAGTAGAGGCGGGAAGGCGTAATTGTAGCTTGATTGGCAAGGCGAGGAGTAGATATGCATAGAGAGTCGGCAGCGCCAGGAGATAGCCGTGTGTGATTGCTCCAAGCATCTTCTCATTTGCGACACGCCGCCATCCACATGGTAAAAACGGGCCAATAGCATGCTCACGTTGAATCTGGAGCGGTCGAACCTAAGCAGTCCAAGGAAGAGCCTCATGGCAACAAGGTATATTTGTGCATACGCTTATAAGAAAAGAACGAGCGTCCTAGAACATCTGCCTATTCCGCATCTCGACTGGCAAGAAGACCATCATGAGTGCAGAAAGCCATATACCACCTGCGCCCAGCCATAGAATGCCAGAGCTCTCGTTCGCGAGCAGCTGGGCACCAGCGTATGGTGCCACGATTCCAGCAATACGACCCAAGCAGGAGAGCATGCCGCTAACACTACCACGGTAGGCAGTGTCGAACAACTCGGGTGCAGATGCGTAAAGAACCGCATTGAAGTACTACACTTTATTAGCATCATATCTTGCATTTAGAAATCAAAGACTCACTGTTTGCATGATGTACTCAAGTGCGTTCAGCCCAACGTATGCCGCGGTTGAATCGACCTGGGTATACATGGCCATGGAAAGACCTTGGCAGATGGCGGAGAAGACGAGCGACCATTTACGTCCAAGGAGTGGCATTTGTACGGATGCGAGGGCAAGGATGGCGCCAAGAATACCAGGAGTATAGATGATGATGTACTGTTTGTACGTGTCTTGCACAGTTCCTCGGCCATTGGAAACGTTGTTGCGGAGCAGGATGATAGGCAAGAAATTCCCAGCAAGGTTGAAGGACCAGTAATCTCCCATGTACGCGATGCCGAGGAGGATGAAGATGAACAAGGACAGTTTGTTGGTGAAAATACCCTTCAAACGTTTGAGTTCCTTGCCAACATTCTTGAAGACCGCCTTGTTCTTCTCGGCGCGCGTGAGATTTGTTGGCGCAACTACTGCCGCGTGGAAGTCTGGATCAGCAGCATCAATGGCTGCAAACATCTCCAATGTCAGGGTAGGTGGTGGCGCGCGGTTGAACTTGGCGATTTTGTGCAAAACCTCGATGGCCTCAGCCTCACGACCTCGAGCGAGCAGGAATTTAGGTGACTCGTGGAAGTTGAATACAAAGTAGCGGAGGAAGAAGATGACGAGAGTCATGGCGCCGAGAACGATGACATTGTAACGCCAGCCCATGTTGCTGGAGACAGTACAGCAAGCCTCCCCAGCAGCAACAGCCTTGCACGATGGGAGCTCAGGTTCACATCGCCATTTGGCAGCCGTTCCGTAAGCAATGCCGGAAGCAACACTTACTCCAATAGGCTGCCACATGGAGAGAAGTGCCACAAGAAAGCGGCGACTCTGTGGAAGGAACTCAAGAGCAATGGTAGCGTCAATTGGGATGTTGCCGCCGAGTCCCAGAGAGGCGAGAAAATAGATGCCACAGATCGCGCCGTAGTTGAACTTTGGTGCAGCAAGTAGGAGCCCAAACACAGAAGTGATCAGACACGTCAAATTGAAAGCCCACTTCCTTCCAATAATGTCGACTGCCAATCCGAATCCCAGAGCACCAATGGCAAGACCAGCGTTGGCCAGCGCGAAGATTGTTCCAGTATCCTTGTCAGCGACATTCATTTCCTGGTAGATTGCTGTAGAGATAAGACCAACACCCTGTGACCACGCCAGATCGAGGAAGTATCCGAAACCACAGAGGAACCAAATGCATATCTGATAGCGGCCAAGTCCGAAATTGTCCAGCTCGGCGTTGATAAGGGCGGCTTTCTTCTCGAATGTGTTGAGCGGGTGGGCTGCTGTGCCTTTGAGGATGGCCGTGAAAGTGAGATTTTCAGACGACACTAATTCCAAGTTGTTATAGATGGGTATCTGTACACCTCCAGCTCCTGGTACCTCTGCCAATTGCTTTTCATTATCGTAATCTTGGGACTTGCTGCTCTTATCGAGGTTGTTGTAGATGGGCATCTGTACACCTCCAGCTCCTGGTCCCTCTACCACTTGCTTTTCGTTGTCGTAGTCTTGGGACTTGCTGCTCTTATCCAAGTCGTTGGCCATCCTGTCTTACGAATGAAATGCCTCGAAAGAGTTCGAGGTAATGGAAAAACTTAGAAGGTTTAAAAACAGTGAGAGATGAGAGTCAGGTGACACCGCGTATGTGAAACGCGAGGGAAAGACACCGGCTTGTCTGTTTCTGCAGGAAACCGAAACGATGGACAAGATATATTTAAGGGCGGGGAAACTGTTCCCAGCCTTGCCCGTGCACAACACGCTACAAAGTCTCACGGATCTAAGCGACAGGCGTTGATGTGCTAGCGCACCGGATTCTGAATGGTCAATCTCACTCCAAGACGGGAAGATCTTGCATGATTGGACTAACGGGTAATCATGACGACATGGCAAACACCTGTTGTGCTGATTTGCGCCTCTTTGTCCCATGCGACTCTCGGAACTACCGTATCGTTGAAGGATTTTGCGGTGCTAGGACATGCACTATCGCGTAGCCTAAATCATGGCGGCGGCGTAAGTCACCGTGGCTAGCCTAGGCCAACGGTATTGAGAAAGACGCTTCGCTTGCGTCGCGTGTTGACCACGGGGGCGCCGTTTAGAGTTGACATTCACTCTGTGCCACGTACGCTAACTCAAGCTGAAGTGGCGTGCGTGATGCAAGCGTTGTGTTATGCCCCACTCATGTTGCTCCGCGGTGGCGCTAGTCTATTCTTGGCTTGGCGCAAATGGCTCTCTCACGTCGCATGTGATTTCGACTCTCATATCAGCGCACACCTCGAGTGGTTTTTGTTCCATGTATTCGTGCCTTGAATTATCTTCAATAGCACGGGTCCTTCTGTTTCTCAGCAGCATCTAACAGCATTACTCCCATGTGGGTCGATGACACTTACAATGGTTCCACATACCACTGCCACTCCCGCAATCCTGGTCCATGAAACATTACTCAAGCACAACAATCGTTCCGCGATATGCCCATTTTTCTCAAAAAGATCTTTTTTCCACCTCGGCAATCTATGCCAAGCCGGAAACCATGTCATGATCGGTCCTCGGCACTCCACAATATGCTGGCGCCAGGGCTAAGTAGTTGAACAAGTTTTCAGGACGCTAACAAACACATGCAAGTTGACTCGATTCGACTTCGACCTGGATCAATAGCTGCAGAGCCAGCCCATGTTCCCAAGTTGTCAGATGCCATGTCAATCTTGAGTCAAACACTACAAAGGCGATGTCTGCGTCAATCATGCTACGACACGACATGGCTTGCTTGGACACGGGCGCGGCTGTAAAGATTACCCCATACGTTCCATGTAATTGTCAGCATGACACGATATATGTGTACCACAGGACGTCTTGTACAGGTGAAAGAATAACGACAACAAGCAATTCACTTCAGCCGCCCGAGGTCTTGCGAGAGGAAAACGCTGTAGGCTCAAGGCATTCGTAAAGACCAGGATTGTGAAAGTGAACAAACCTATCCCCATAGCTTTTCTACCATCCATGAATCGCGTGTATCGGACGGTTAGAGTCATGGATAGGTGGCCGGAGGCTGTGCATTCTGCTGGGGAGAAGTATTTAAGGGGGAGGACGGGGAGGTAGTCCGGTTTCAATGTGATTCGCAGCACATGGAAACATTCAGACAAACATATAGTATAAGACCAAGAACCAGGCATTCTCATTGGAGTTATTTATCAGCATGAGTTGTGACAACTGCAAGTTCACTTAGCCAGGCTCCACCTGCTCTCTAGGATCATTCACCTACAGTAGTTACTGTCAGGGTCAGTGAGATGCTCAGGGTAGAAAGGTTGGACAGAGCTCCAACTTCAACGGCTTCGAGGATGCTGCAGGTTGTCAAGTACGACGGAAAGTGAGTCTTGCAAAAGGACATCTCATAGGTAGCCTCAAGCTAGATACAGTATTGCTGTGCTTCGATTGCGACGGCAAAGCCGTGTGTATACCTTCATGCACCCTAGCCACTTTCCATCGCAAGTTATAGAAGCTCGCGTCAGACACGCGAGGTCTTGCAGACTATGACGTATCGAGTGAAAGTGAAAGTGTAGTTTCGGCCTCTAGACCACTCCGCGCTAGTGCCGCCCACGTTCCGCCTCCAGACTCACGTGATCAAGCAACCTCCAGTTGCACATGTTCCCACACCTTTTCCCCACCCCGCCCGATTAACCTCCCACCCTCGACTCAACTACCCCTCGGACTGGAATCCAACCATGTCTGACCAAACAACGCCCCTTCCTGGCCGGCTGGACCAAGCTCCCTCGACGAACTCAAGCTCGAAGTCTTGCGTAACGCTCTCCCCCCGCGACATGGAGTTCAATTCGATTTGGACCCGGCCCCAAGCCCTGCAAGACGTTGTGCCTTTTGGAACATTGTATACCATATCTCGCGTGTCCACCTCCTCGCCGCGTTGGCCCTCGAAGTAATCTACAGTCAGAATACACTGAGATTCTCCATATTGCGAGAGCTGAACCCCGCTCTTCCGCCCGTGCATTGCCGAAACTTTGTGCGATATTGGCATGTCCTTATCGAAGTGAACCACGTCCCTTTCGGCGGCCTGGACAAGCTAGCAGCCGCGTTTCCCAACGTGCAGAGCGTTCGGGTCAACATCCATCCGTATTAACAGGCAAGTTTCGAAAAGCTGGTATTCAGCAAAGCCATACTGCGGGAACTGGAGAACATGTCTGTCGTACACTTCCCAGCGAAGAGCCTTCATATTACGTACCACCCAGCGAGAATACCCGGATTCTCGCATGGGCGCTCCGTTGAACTGGATGAGTTTCAAGACCCGAAATTGAGCAAGTTGTCGATTGTTGAAGGAGGGGAACAGTGGTGCCGACGCCGGATTCTGGAGTGGGATGATGAGAAGCGGAGGAACGTCGAAGTAGAGGTCCCGAATGCAAATCCTGGGAATGACTACATATTTACGACCAAGGAGATGCGGCGCTAGTGAGCCTGCGAAATGGCGTAAAGTGCAACCGATGAATTGGAACGGACGGTAGGATCGTTCGAAAAGGAAACTGGGTATATTGCCGATGCTCTCAAACTCCTTGTATGCAATGCAGAAATCTCCAACTATTCTCGCCATTCTTTCGCGCACTTGGTGCACTTGAAAATGTTAGTGAATGCCCTGTCCAATTTAAAGCTTGACATACCTTGTAAAACGCAGTCATAGGCTCATCAGCACTACGAATTTGCAGCTGATACCAGTACGCTTCGTCGTTTCTGCACTTCTCGTTCGGACATTGTACTGTGGAAGGATAAGTAGCCACCCGTACAACAACATCTCGTCGCATAATGTGTGAAGCGTACCCTGTGTCTTGTCCACGTTGTCCCATGCGCCCTTGCCTCCCAAGATGTCTTCGACTTCCTTCTTCTTCATGTACTTGCGCTCAAAGTAGCGCTTATTGATGACGAACTGGTAGGGACAGGTGAGACATTCGAAACGGTTTTCTCCAACGTTCATTTCGGTGTTGGGATCGCCTGGTGGGACTTTGGAGACGCGCAGCACGTTGCTGCATGTTGGGCAGACTAAGAACGTTAGTGATGTGTTTTGCCAAGTTCTGAAATGACGTGGGAGTCTATTGGCGGACTCACAGAGCAACATGGCGTCTAGATGTCGAGCTTGAACGAGGACGCGACTGACTGGACTTCGCGGTCTCAAAAGTTATGGCGGGACCTTGGGCCGCTAGCGACGCAAGCGGATAGTGCGGGGCCAGATGCCGACGCAGCGATGAGCCTCCGCCGACGCGCAATTGTAAACACTGTTTCACTTTGCGAGTCCAGTGTGCCGGCTGTTTTCAGATTGATCGCTCGTTGACTCTCCTTCGCTATAAAACGGCCCATCCTGCTAGAAGTTGACCAAACTATTTCGGACCACCTGGCTGTGGTCCCGCATAAGACAAGGATCTCAACAGTTACTCCCGCGGCCCTACTGTGCCCAAGTACCTTTGCTCATATTCAACAAACCTCACAATGGCGGACGAAGAGGTTTGTAATACTACACGAGTTCCTTCTGAAGTACTGCTGACATGGATCAAGGGCGCATCCCCTCGCGAGCTCATCTTCGAATCATGCCGCCGCAACAACACAACCCTACTCGAAGAAACCCTGGAAAACGTCGCGTCCTCCGCAAAGAAGTCCGGCGGCAAGCCCACTGAACTCATAGCACAGCTGCTCAACAGTGCAAGGGACGGTGTAGGCAACGGCGCTCTTCACGTGGCAGCAACAAATGGAAGCTGTAGGCTTCACCAACACGATTTCAAGTACAGAAAAGACTAACAACCCCCAGACGAAGTCATCGACATCCTCCTCGACCAAGAAGGCCTCGAAATCGACGAAATCGACCGCATGGAACAGGACACGCCCCTGCACAAAGCCGTCCGCTATGTAAACTCGCTCGACAAGTCCGACTGGGCAGGCCACGGCCACCCCATTGTAGAGATACTGCTCGACGCTGGCTGCGATCCCAGGATACGGAACAAGGCGAAGCTGAAGCCCGTGGAGTTGGCGGACCCCAGGAATGCGGAGCTCAGGAGCATATTGCAGAAGGGCGAGTTTGCTATGCAGGCTGGTGGGGATGTGGTGGAGGAGGATGATGATGGGCCGACGGGGAGCGCGAGTGATAGTGATTGAGATCATGGGGAAGAGGGAGGACGATGAGAGGGTCTTGCGCATAGGCTTTCAGCATGCCACTGTTCGGCGCGTGCTGCCTGAAGTCCTGGGTATATTTCTTAGAAAGACTCCTCGTGTACGTAATATACACTGCATGTCACTGATTCCAACATCAGACTGCGACTTCTGCGCCTGATCACTTGCAACCCACTCCTTCGTCGCACAGTCTCGACCCTCTGAAGCGCTTCTCGGTGTCGCATGTGCCCTGGATTGTCGCGCGTGGTGTGTCTTGCTCGTCATCGATTCATATCCTCCATCCACCGTCCTCCAAGCCTCATCAGTCCTGTTGCTACACCCACTCATCAGCCGCATTCCCACACCACCCTACCCACTCAATCACTCACCTCAGGCGGCGGTCCCACCGGCCTAACCATCCTCTCCAACATCTGCACCCTCGTAACCTCCCTCGGCTGTCCCAGCCCAATGCTCATATACTGCAGCAGCGGCGGGTGTCCAATATACGAACTCATGCTATCGCGCTGCATGTTGCTCATCCATTCGAACTTGGTCGTGTCTGCGGAGCCGATACCGATGAAGCGCGCCTGTTGCGCTTCGAGCTGCTGTTGCGCGCGGAGTTTGTCGGCCATTGCGGTGGTATGCGATGGGGAGCGTGATTTGGCGAGCGGAAAGTTGTGTTTGGTGGAGTCGCGAACATGGCGCTGCGACTGCGGTGATCTTCTCGGGAGTCCGAAAAAACCGCTTAGTCAGGCACCGTTCACTTCACAGACAGCTCCACCCACGCGTCACAAACCTCACGCACCAAAAGACGCAATGGCACACCTAACACCCTCCCGCCCCCTCACCCCTTCTTCGGAACCCAGCCCCGCCGCCCCATGCACCGCAAACGACCCCCCACACTCCCAACCCGTCGTCGACTTCTCCCCCGCAACAGTCCCCTACAACGAGTCCTTCGAGAACGAGCTTATGAACCTACTTCTCAATCCACCACCCACCCCATCCGCCCCCACACCCCTTGACCCCCCAATGATCCCTGCCTCATCTCTCCCCATACCCCTCTCCTCGCCCCTGCGTACCCACCCATCCCCGATCCCAGGCCTGTTCCTCACCCACGCGAACGGGTACCACACGGGCGGCCCCGGTCCCAGTTCCGAGACCATACGGGCGTTTGCGGAGAAGGTGGCGCGGGAGTGGGGGGTGGATGTTCGCGATACGGAGGGCGTGAGGAGGGTGATTGAGGAGAAGGTGCAGGAGGTGCGGGAGCGCATGGGGGAGAGGGAGAAGGCGGTCAGGCGGAATCGGGAGGTGGACGAGGAGTTGGAGAAACTGAGACTGCAGAGGGATGCCGAGGTTAGGGTTTTGGAGAAGATGAAGGGGAAAAGATGAAGGGGGGAGAGGGAGATGGATATGGAATTATGCTACAGCTGGTGGACGGCGCTTGCACTGGGCGGAGTATCACGTCGCGAGGAGGCAGAGACGCGCTGAGGTGATGTACGAGTATGTTTAATTGGTATGGTAAGTGAACTTTAACGTCCGAAGGTTCAACGATCAGACTGACTAACCGCCGTCCCAGAAGTATGAGACGGCGAACATGTCTACGAAGAGAAGAAGGATAGCGCACCACCATACCAAGCGTATACCCAGCGTATACGAACAGCCCTAGTTGTACAACATAAACAGAAAAATATAAACATACAACAGTAAAAGCACCCTCATTCCTATCAAGTATCCCTACTACTTCCCGTCCCATTCCTATCGATCCCAAAAAGCGGCACAACACTGTCTCCAATCCGTACCACCTCGCCTCTTGGACTTCCCATGGCCGGCGTATTACTTGGACTTCCCATGGCCGGCGTATTACTCGGCCACGCCCACAGCGCATCGAAATCGATCTGTTCATCCTGCCCACTATCTTCAGAGTGCAGACTCGGGACCCTAGTACCGTCCAGAGCCGACAGGTCTAGCATCGTGGAAAGCGACGGTGGTTTAGACAACGGTGTGTTCATGGAGTTGGTGGTAATATCGAAGGACGGGTCTTGGATGATTGGTGAAAGGTGTACGGAGAAGTCAGTGGGTTGCGAGACATGACGCGGCTGGAACGATGGGGTAGGTGAACTTATTGGGGCCGTTTCCATGCCTGGGTAGATGTGTATAGGAACTTGGTGGAGATGAGAAGTTGCAGTCATGGGGTTCGTGGTATTCGCCAGACTGCCATCGTTCGGACCCTGCTGCTGATTCGACATGGGTACGCCATAGAGCTGCGACGATATGCTTGGCAGAGTAGTATTGTCGGTCATGGTCTGCTTCCTCCGCATTCGCTGTTGTGCAACGACGTCGCGGTAGGCGCTGAGAATGTATACAAGACGACTGGCCTGTTGATCACTTTCGCCGCAGTAGTTCATGATGCTGATGGCATTGACAATGCATGTGTCTGAGGCGTCTACACGGTAGAGACCGGCAAATTCGTTAGATAGGATGACGAGTGCCGCAGCGAAGAGGAAGTAGATGACAGCTGGATTCCGCCGCGAGAGGTGGCCGGCATCAAAAGCATTCTGTACGAGGAGAATGGTGTGTGTCGATGCTATCACACAAGCTTCACTAAACTTTTCCATGCGAAGGTATGGTCGTGGTCCCCGAGTTGCGCTTTGACCGACTTGTCGTTGTGTCTCTAGATTCAATATGTAAAGGAAAAATGGACGCGTCAGCAGAACGATAGAGTGGCAATAGAACAGGTTGACGTGCAGGATCGCAACGCCTTGACTCGGCGAGGCGTTAGCTGCCTGCCGCCAGTGCAGCATATCGGGCAGCGACCGTGGCCATGACTTGCAGATGTCCGCGATCTCTTGAGCAAGGCGAGTGCTTATCTTCCGTTGCTGGTAGACCTTTTTCAGTATCGTTCCGATCACTGAGCAACTCCGGACAGCAGCCTCCAGTGCACGAGGCCCGGTTTCATTGTGACCTGGTCTCGAGTGTATGCTAAGGTTGACTGATTCGACAGGCTGTTCGGCGGGATGAAGAGCGTCACCTGAACAGTCGTCGTCCGATATTGCGGTTGGTCGGCCTAGAGAGCACGAAAGTAGGCGGTCAATAACAAAGAGTGATCGCCAAAGATTCTTGCGGGACAACTGCTCTTCTTGGCTAAAGATCGCCATGGTCTCTTCTCGGTGGAGACCGAGAGCGTAACCAGACCGTACTGCCATTCCGAGTGGTGCAAAAGCTGTGTTTCGCTTCGATTTGGCAAGCATGTACACAGCCATCAAGAGCAATGCCTGCACTGCCCAGAAGTCCTGATCCTCGAATCCAGTCATGGGGTCGTTCAGGCTTCTCGCATTCAGATAGAAGACCTCGGCTCGATCAAGGTGCTCGCTCCGGAGCTTGTCAACTATCAGCGCCTCAGGACTGCCAGAAAGTGGTGTTGCCATGGTCAATCCGATGGCAAAGACAAGGTTTAGCAAGCATAGCCAGGACGACTCCACGGACAGCGGATCTGCGTAGCAACCACTCAGCTGCTCCATGAAGGCATCGCGCTCGAAGACCTGCAGCAGTCCATGAGTATTGATGAAGAACGCTTCTACAAGCACGTGGGCCGTCTGTAGATCGGGCAGGACTTGGGTATGACGATATCCAGGGGGGAGGGAATATTGCCCTTCGACGATCTTGTGCCGCCGGGGATCTAGATTACATTGTCAGTATTCACATATTCAATCACACCAAATGCTTCGGTTCATCTGGAACACAGGTTGAGACCTTGTGAGTAAGTGCATCAAGCAACAAGCAACAAGAGGTGCTTAGCGGCATTGTGGAGTACGAACCATTGGTGAAGGGTGATGAACCAGCCACGGTCTCAACCATCATCCTCAGCAGCTGGAGGAATGACAGTGTTGCCGAGTCACCAATGTACAGAACCCGGCCTGTCGGGTCCTGTAGCATTCTACTCTGGCTGTAGATGACAGCTTCCTCATCAGGACCGCTGTTGACGGTAGTAGCTCGTGAAGGCACGACATGACGCTGGTCTCCGTTGACATGGTTGCTCGGTGGTACTGCACCGCTAGACAACTCGATGGTTGGTCTTGCTCCTGGTGATTTGAAGGGTGTCTCCAGCTTGACTCCCGGTGCGTTCAGATGACCCGAAGACGGATGCTGAATGACAGAAGATCGACGCCCTCGTGCTGGGAGCGGGGATGGATGACTTTGGTCATTATTGCTGGGCGTATTCGACGTGGATTGATCGTTGGCTAGTGGGCTGTCAAGATCGCTGCCGTCGATCGCTCGCCGCTTGTTTGGCGGTCGACCGTCAGGAGAAGAAGGATCCCGGTCCGTGTATACGCAAGTGAATTTTCGCTGGCCAACGTGAGCAAACGCCACAATGTTGAGTACGTGATACGTGACAGACTAACCTTATCGCAGGTGTTGCAGGGGCATAGACCATTACACTTTTGGGGTGTTAGCCGATGTCTGGCATGACAAACTTGACGAGTAGCAGCGCTGCCAAAAAAAGTAGTGGAAGGCCCAACGAAAATTTGTGCTTGTATAGGGCCGAGTACGCGCAAAGCACCCGAGAGTACATCCGACAGACTAAACAGTCTGAATTGCCGGCAGTGCGACAAAGAGAAACTCGGCCAACTGTCGAAGCCATGGGGGACTAGCAGGGGTCTTGAAGTCGCAGCATTTCCGTGTATGGGCATCAGATCCACATGTCTCGAGATGCGCTGAGGAATGGAGGCAACTCGCTTAACACGTGAAACGATGCGTATAGCAAGGGCCAAGGAAGCAAGCGTAAAAGTGCGTAAAAGTGCTCAATACTCGCCTTCTGCTTTCTTCGCTTGCAGCTCTCGCATGCCTGGGCGGTGCGCTGCCTTTGGTCTGCGAGGCAACACGTCAGCGCTCGCAATTCGTGCGTGGCTCGTAGAACATGCGCATCTTACCAGGTGGGACCTTTGGACGAGTCATCGTAAGTCTCAGGGCGTCGCGGCCGCGTAGCGATCACGTGCAACGTTGCAATAACGAGTCGTGTGGGTGCTTTGCCGATGAGACGGATGGCGACTGATCGGATGAGGGACAAGACGACAGGCTTGCTACCTTGCGATTGCGCCCATGTGGATCACGGATGGCTTCGCGAGTCGCAGGAGCACCTCCGCGGACCTGACTCGTGACTGCAAGTAGTAGATTGGCGGTGATGGATACACTGGATGCACTGGATGCAGACAATGCTGAAGAAGCGTCTCTAGATGCAAGTCCCCCTCAGAGCTGGCTACGCTCGTGCCCAAGATGGGGTCTGTCCGCGGATCAAGCCGAAGAGACGCCACTTCGGCTTCGGGTACCACTGCCGATCTCTGCATCGCGAAATCCGGCGGATCGTTCACATGGCCCCCCGTACTCGCTGTACCCTTGGCCGTAGGGGTGAGCTGATTGCGCCCTTGATATGCCGTACTTCGCCACGGCCAGACAATTTTCTGGTCACCATGCGGCTAAACGGTTCTGATGTGATCCACCGAAGTTCTGGCTCGAACTTATATGACCCGTGGGTCTCCTCATGCTCCTCGGCCTCTAGTAAATAGCTAACACTCCGCGGAAGGCTGGCTCCTTTATTCTATTCGCTATCATCCCCCTCTTGTGTGGCTGAGGCTTTCCTTCAGCCGTCTTCATCAACATGACACCTTATCTTGGTGAAAGCCCTGAGAGGACGCTCAGCAGCGATGCCTCACAAAGCAACGTACTCCTCTCCGGCACTCGCTCGGCCCTGCAACAACTACTGGACAAAGCCGAGGATCATCTACCAGCAGAGAGCCTGCCTCACATAAACAGAGTCCAGTTTACCACAGCTAACACCGGATCTCCCTACTTTCCCAGTCCTCTTAAGCAGACGGAAGCCATCTCAGCTCTGAAGGCGGTCGAAGCCGGAGTAGCCTCCGCAATCGCAGATCTCAAAGATGCCTCAAGTGTACGAAAGATCAATGTCGACCTGGAACGAGCCACCGCATTTCTCTTCTCAACGTACCTGGCTACCGTGGGAGGCATGGACAAGGCACACCCAAAAGTTAAAAAGTTACTTAAAGGTAGGCGCTCTTCACTGCGTACGCCGTGGGGAAATCTCTGACCTTGCTAGATACCGATTTACTCAAAGCACAATCAGTACTGTACCGGAGACTATCCGCTAACCTTTACGAGACCAAGAAGCCGGGAGAGTATTTCCATCTGCATGGCTCCTTGGAGGCCACAAAAGCCCTCAACATGATCGGACTAGAAGGACACAGACCAGATCTTACCGACTACCATGAGTGCATCAAGATTATTGAGGAAAAGGTCAAGCAGTACACAGCTGATCAATTGGAAGAGATGAATTGGAAGATTAAACAGGCCGGCGTTACTTGTTTGAAATGGGAAGATTTCCAGATTACTCAACACGGAGAAGAGCTTGTTGAACAGCCACCATGGAAGGTCGAGTCATTGGAAGCAGATACCCCGCCAACACCGTTTCCCTTCGCATCTTCACGCGCACCGAAGCCGCAGATTCTTTCCGGTATTCGCGTACTGGAGCTTTGCAGAATAATTGCAGGGCCAGCCATGGGCCGTGGACTTGCCGAGTACGGCGCAGAAGTCATCAAGATTACATCACCGAACCTTTCAGATGTGCCCTTCTTCCAGGTCGATGCAAACATCGGAAAGCACACAGTCGACCTCAATCTGAAAGATGCTGGCGAACGAAAGATATTTGAAGATTTATTACAGTCTGCTGATGTAGTACTGGACGGCTACCGACCAGGCAGCTTGAATCGCCTTGGCTACGGACCACGTCAACTGGTAGAGCTCGCCAAGCGCCGCGGGCGGGGCTTCGTATATGTCAGCGAGAACTGCTTCGGCCACACGGGACCTTGGTCATGCCGGCCAGGATGGCAACAGATTGCAGACTGTGTGACCGGTGTTGCATGGGCCCAAGGTCAGGCTATGGGTCTGGACGAGCCCGTTGTACCGCCATTCCCCATGAGCGATTACGGCACGGGCTGCATGGGTACTATCGCAGCCCTTACGGGACTGTACAAGCGGGCCAAATTCGGTGGAAGCTACATTGGCACAACATCCCTGGTCCAGTACGACATCTACCTACTTGAGCTTGGCCTGTACGACGACCAGATGATGGCAAAATTGAGGAAGCAGCATGACACCGAGTTTTTCGGCCTGCGCCACCACGACTCGGTTGACGAGGTTGGAAAGCGAGCCCTGAAGACGATGCGCAGGACGCATCCCGAGTTGTTTGAGGATCGACATATGCAAGAATGCTATAGCGAGGGTTTCAAGGCCAACGTCAGGACAATCAGGCCAGTGGTCGACATTGATGGTTACTGGAACGGTTTTCTACGCAGCTCAAGACCGAATGGGTTCGACCAGCCGACTTGGAATAGCTGGGAAGTTGATGAGGATCTGCTCAAGGCGTGATACGGCAGCCCAACAGTACGACTTTGCTTCATTCAGTAATACCTTAATTGCATGTCTTTCCAGGCTGCCAGCACAGCATCTCCGGATACAACATTTTAATACCCTGCAATAATGTTCTTATTTCCATGCCAATCCCTACTCGCACTGTGCGTCTCCGCTTTTCTTCGGTCAATCTTCGTCCGTACTCAAGTCTCGCCCAGCACAAGAGAGATGATGCCCCGCCGCCCCCACAATCTGAAGTTCTTGCGCAAGACCACTCGGTGTACCTTCCGACAGACCGATCCATAAAACAGATCCACGTGCATCACCATTACATATCGCCACCCGCAGTCTCTGTCACAATCCTGTGTTCCAGAAGAAGTTCGCCATGCGACGCTAAGCTTGGCCGGCGAGCAAGCACAGGAAGCCTGTACCCGACCCTCAACGGCAGCCGATCATCTGGATATCGGCACTTTAGCCTACGGCGTGGCCCAGACCTCGGTCTCTTTCACATGGATATCAAGACCGTCAAGCTGCAACGTCCATGGTGGATGAATCCTGCCATGGCAATCTCCGTCCCAGCAGATGGGTAGAAGAGACAGCGCTAGCGGATAAGGTGCGGGAACGGCATAGTGCGCTTTCGTCACGTATGGCGTGCATGTGCCAAGTCGGTTGTGTGCAGATTCTCATCACGACGCGCCTGGCTGGACGTGTATACAGCCCACTTGCCTTGTTCCCCGGGCTCGCGATGAGGCCTGAGGTATGCAGGGCGCCTTATGCAGTGTGCTACGTGCTGTAGGAAGGTGTGCTGCGACGACATAGCACCGAGAAGATAAGCCCTGGCACACAAGGCGCATGCTTGCATCGAGTCAGGGCTGCGAGGCCTACGTCACTTGTAAATCATTGTGGAGGGGCTTATCGCCCTTAGGGATGTGGGTGAAGGATTCTGCATGTCGACAGTAGACAGCATAAGCTGTTGTTACCGAGCTCCTTGTTCTTTCTCATGCTGCCGGCGCTAGGAAGTGGTCAGAGACTTCGTACGCTCTCATGTCCGACATGCAGCTGCACATCGCATCTTCGCTACACTTTCTACATGTCATAGTCCTGTCACGGCAGCCCTATAGGATCTGCACAAGGCCTCTGATCTCTGCATCCACTCATCTCATCTCTTGACATCCACTTCATGGCATTATTCATAATCTGCTCAACATTTCTTCTTCTCAATTTGTCCACATCAGTGTGTCCAAGCTTGCTATGCCTGTCCTCAATATTACCAACCTCCATCTCGCTTGTCTGCTACCCTGCTCTCTTGTGACTTCGTTGCCGCTGCTACTGTTGCTGCCACCATGTCCGTCTGGTTCCTCTTGCCTCTCAGGAAGCTGTAGAGGGGGGTCTTAATTGTCTGCTCTCCGTAACTATCGTCGTTTCTGCCGCTGCCGTACGTGATACCTAGTTTCGCACCTCTAACTTTGTGGGAGAGGTTGTCATTCTCGCAACGGCGGTGATCGGATGCTCACACATTTGAGAGAAGTCGGTGAGGCGGCCTCGGTGTGTACTATCAAACGAGTTCGTCGTGCTCGCGGGGCCGCTTGCGTGAGGGCCGTTAGATTGTGAAGAGTGCGCGCGCTCCACAGCTCAACGCGAGCAATCCGGGGGCTGACTACCGACTAATTTCTATTGTCACTTGATTTCGTCTCTTGCAGTCGCTGTTATCGATTTCACGAGGTCGTCCATGTAGGAGTTGAGAGACGTGAGATCAATGTGCGCGCTCAGCAGCTCAACGCCCGCGATCCGGAGGCCAGCTGCCCTTTTGGTTCTGTAGTAGCTTGGTGTCGATTCTTGCAGTCGCTGCTGTTGAATTCGTGGGTTCACCCGTGTAGGAGTCGAGAGATGGGCGCTGAGTGTCTGCGCTCAGCAGCTCGTCACATGCAGCCATCAAGCAGTCTGCTCATCTGCTCACGTGCCAATGCGACGCCAGCTTTCATTCGTCCTGTGTATCTGTATTGAGCGCAAATTTCTGTTGTCACTGCTGCTGTCCTGGGTGTCAGCGCCGCAGTGCCTGCGCGCGGCCTTGCGGGCACAAGCATATGCTCACTCTGGCCTCACCGATGGAGGCTCTCATGTGGCAAGAATCATCACTGGTAGGATTTTACGTAGAATGTAGGCGCTCTGGTGCGCGACAGAGGTCTAGAAGGTCTTTGGGCGCTTGTGTGGCACTCTGGCCTTGGGTTCTTGCGCAGTGCGAGCATATCACATACTCGAGGCTTATGCTAATGCTCATGATATTGATAAATTTGACGCAATACAAGCCCTCATCGTAGCCTTGTTCATTGCCTCGTTGTGTTGTTGCACTCGCTATTCAACTGCACCATTTACCGCCAGTCAGTGGCTGCGTGCTGCTGTCAACTCGTGTCTACAGTGGCCGAGTATACGAGACCTCATAGTGATATCCAGAGCATGTTTCGAGAGATGGGTAGCAGCATTCAGGCACTTCTCGCGGCACACACAGGTCAGCGCCTTGCTTGCTGCTCTCCGCAAGACAGCATCGTGCAAGGTGGGTCCCTCACTCTCATGAAGCATCACGCTATCGGCTCAGCAAGTCGAGGCTCACTGTCCAGCACATCTCCTCAGTCTACCTGACAAGTTGCCTTATGGTTTGAAGCCCACAGGCGCGCAGAGAGGCTGGCTCTGAGCCCCCGAGGCCACTTTGAGCGCCTCAAGTTGGCTTGAGTTGATCTGTTTCGAAGCTGATATCACGTATGTCGATGTCATACCGAGTATCACATCACACAACACGGTTGCGAGCAATGGGCGCGTTCCAATACCTCACCAAAGGCGCCCTCAACTTCGCATTTTGCATATGTGCGCCCTCACTCTCGCTGCCTTCGGCTAATACTGCCCAGCTTAGAGGCCCGCCACAGCTTTCCCGACCCCTCCCCCGCTTCATCTTGCCCTCCCAGCGTCGGCCAAGGCTCGCTTGATACTGTGCACGGTCAGAACATGGTCGTCACATGACTTAGCGCGCCGCTAATCCTTAGTGCCTGAGGGAGGGTATATCAGCAGTCCAGGAGCTTGACTTGACCATATCTTTCCAACTTCTGCCCAAGAATCAACCAGTCCGAGCAGGTCCTCGCTCAACTCAACATTCTTCAATCTTCCTTACTTCATCAAACTTCTTCCACAATCACATTGGTCTTTGACCATGTCATCCATCCTTCACCCTCCTCGCCTTGGCACTTGGCATCAACCTTCACCCCAACCAACCTTCCATCATCAACATCCTTGATCAAGCTTCATCACCATAATAAGTCTTCACTCCTACAAGCTTCTTCAAGCATGCTCAGTCACCATCACCTCAATCACATGTCACCCTCGACATCAACATTGACTTGAGCTTCGACATCAGCAACTCAATCTCAACTTCAGCCAAGTGCCTTTGGCATCTTTGGTCTTGGAGTGTTTATGGTTTGTCTTTTTTCCCCTCCTTCGCCATTCTTCACCACTTTCACTTGACCTTGCTGACACCACCATCCACCCAGGTTCAACCACCACCACCATCATCCACCATGGACACTCCTCAAACCTACCACCTCCACCTTCACCCTCACTCTTCAATTCGATCTCCCATCCCCCCCTCCGACCGCGGCGAGCGACACTGTTGGCGCATGGATTTATTCACGGCTCTACTCACGAGCCCCACGCCTTCTGGCATCGCCACCACCACTTTCAGGATCTCTGAATCACATTCATGGTGCTGGAGGACAGAGCGTCTTTGCACGTGGCCTACCATGTTTGTATGCTTTCATCTCCCTACCTCAATCTTGTGGCGGCTTCGGCTCAGGTCAAACTTGATTGACTGGTAGAAGTGTGTGGTGTCGATTTCCTGGTTGGCGCTGGAGCTGGTGAGCAATCCTCTGGGCGAAATATGTAAGAGCGTGGAATTTTTTTTTGGCTGTTGGGCGCATACGATGACTTCGACTTCACAATCTCTTCTTCAACTTCGACTCCGCTTCTTCAATCTTCTGCATGGTTTGGTATTCTTGGAATGAGATGGTTTGCCTCATTATGGGTGCTTGAATCTTGGTCTGCAGCTATCACATTGAGAATGAATGATATCCTGCTTCACATCAACACTTTGACTTGTCTTCTCATCTGCCTTTGACTCCTGTGACGCTTCTCTCATGTTCTTGCCTTGCTTCTTTCTCTGCTTGTGACTTGGTGCTTCTTCTCTCTTCCATCTCAGCTCTTGCCATGGCGTGTCTCCCAAGCTTCCTCATCGTTGGTCACTTCAAGCTTTCAACCCATCACCCACCATATTCCTCCGCTACACCACAACATGCACATCCCCCCTCCCCTCTCTTCGCTAAACCTTGTCGCCCATTGCCAGTGCAAAGCCTGGGAACGAAGTGAAGATTTCAAAACTCACATCACCACCATCACAAGCACTCATCACACACCCGCGCCATATCACAGCACACACACAGCAAAGTCAGAACCACCGGCCCCTCTCATCTCAGAGCCAAATCCATACATTCCCAATCACATTCTACCCATTCCTACACATCCCTAACCCCCCGTCTCGGAATCTCCGCCTCCACCATCTCCAACCCACTCAAACTCGGATATCGCTTGCTAAACGCATCCACATCCCACTCCTCCCCCTCACCTGGCGGCCTCGTCTTCGTCGGACTGCCCGAACCCCCAGTCTGCAGATTCTTCGGTTTCGGGGGCGCGCGCGGCGCAGGGCCGGATGGTGCGCGCAGATTCATTGCTGGCGGGGCTGAAGCAGATGGTACGGGTGGAGGCATATTGGGCCTCACGGAGGATGGTTTGGCGTACGTGAGATCCTGCTGCGTGACTGGTTTGCGTGCGATTGTGGGAGGGGGTTGACGCAATGGCATTCCCGATTGATCCTGGGGGCGTTGGGGGAGGGGTTTACCACTCGTGTCTGTGTACTTGCCATATCCCTCCGCGGTGCGATTAACCTGTGTGGGCTTGGAGCTTTCGTCGAGGAGGTTCTTGACGCGGTTTTGGATGTAGGCGGCTTTGGTGGGGACTTTGGGCTTGCCGGAGCCCTGGGAGGAGATGCGTTGGCGGTACTCGGCGGCGGCGGCGGAGACGCGGCGCTCTTCTTCGCTAAGGCGGCGGCGTTCGAGGTCGCGGCGGACTTCGGGGGGGAGGTCGAGGGTTTCGTCGATGGCGCTGCGGTCGTCGTCGCTGAGGCCGCCGGTGGCTTCGGAGCCAGCGATGGGGGTGAGGGCGGCGTTGCCTGTCTTGGGGTCGATGAGCTGGTCAGTTGGGGTCAGGGGCGGCTGGTCGCGCTCGTGCTCGGGCGTCTTGTTGGACTCGAAGCGTCTGAATGCGTCGCCGAATCGGCCTTTGACAATATTTTTGGTGTTGCCTGCTAGCGATGACAAGCTGCCGCGCTTCACATGCTTGGATTGCGAACTGCTTCTGCGGTGCTTGTGCTTGTTTTCAGGATGATCTTCCCTCTCGATAGCTCGAAGGAAGTCGATACTCGATCGGACATTCTTCTCTTCTTCAGGTGAATCGTCGATTGCGCTTGAGGTAATGCGACGCTGCAATGAAGGCGCATCAAATTTGCGGCCTGGCGCCATCTCGCGGTCGCGGAGATAATCAAGGTTGCTCTCAACATACATACTTGCTGGTCGAGCGTTGGAATTGGCTGACTTCGATCGGTCCAGTGAGGAGCCAAGATCCATTGCGGAAGGACGCTGGCTTTCGAGGGACGGCCGGGTTGATGCTGGAGACTTTGGAATGGTCAGGTTCGACATGTGTGACTTGGATCGTGATTCTAACAATGGCCTTGTAGGTAGTGCGAATTCAGGCTTCAGGGAAGGGCTAGGCTGCGGCGACTTGTCAAAGGGACGAGGCGAGCTTAGGGTACGGTTGTGTTGTGTGGACGCTGGTACCTTCCATACTGGCCGGTTGTTGATGTCGGGTAACTTTTGCTGTGTCGGAACAGGAGAGGCGCGAGGCGATGTTTGCACGCCTGTGGAGACCATGCCTACGCGTTGAGCTACTGGCTGTGCGATGGCTGGGGCGGACGACCGGGGACTGTCCTTCACCTCAGAAGGCTTCGGTTTCTTGATAGATGCGGTTCTAGAAACAACAGTGGATGGCACATTTGATCGCGGCTTTGTAGGCGACGGCGCGCGGTCTGCGTTTGTCGTGGAGACTGAGGCAAAAGCATCATCTGCTAGTGCCTGCACAACGCGATTGTTCAAGGCCGGCTCGGTAGGCGTAGGTGCCTGCCCAAACTCAAACTTCTGACCGCGATCATGTAGTAGTGAGAACTCATCAAGCGAGGGGAAGCGTGACGCGAGTTCGTCAGCTGCAGCACGCCGTACTTGGACGTCCTGCGAGTCAAGAGCCGCAAATGGGTCAGAAGCGGTGCCTCGCATAGGAGAAGCACTGGGCTTCGCAGCCGGGGGCTGCTGAGCTGGCCCAGTTGGTCTACCCCGCCGCATTGGTGTTATGTCAGGTATCTGCTGGACCTGCTTGACAGGCGCAACCTTTTGTAGGCCTATCGTGGGAGGTGAAGCGACATCTGGCTCAGTGGGTGGAAGCTGTTGATTCCTTCGTGCTTCTGACTGCGTGCGTTCGGAGTAGATCTGATTTGTATGAGCATAAGAAGTTGGCGTGCGAGGTCCGCACATACGTCTTTGATGGGCACTGCTCGGTGTCTCATCGAGCACACCTCGGACACGACCTGATAGATGTTGGGGCGATGCTGTGGGCTCTCGCGCAGCATCCATCCTGCTCCATATTAGCCATGGTTTGTCGCTCAGACAGCCAACACCCACCTATGAGCTTCTTTATGCGGTCCGAGAACTGCGGGTATGATGGGTACTTGAATGTCGCATTCAGGATGGCCATCTGCCCCACCTCCTCAAACGGTGTTGTGTAGTAGCACAGCTTGTATAACAACACGCCTAGCGCCCAGATGTCGCTCTTCTCGTCAATCGGCTGCTTCCGGTACACGTCGATCATTTCGGGGCTGCGGTACTGCAGCGTCGTATGCCGCTGCACATCGTCTTCGATAAGCCGTCCCTCGGCGGCAGTTGTTGCGGCAGGTCTCGGAGGCGCAGTAGACCCGAAATCGCAAAGCTTGTAGATTTTGTTGCCTGAGACGGTGGTAATCAGAACGTTTTCGACCTTGAGATCGCGGTGGAGCAGCGGTGGCTTGAGATAGTGCATTGTCGCAACGCCTTCGGCCACATCGGAGAAGATGTGCAGAATCTCGGGCTCTGTCAGCCGGTGCTGCAGCCGTGTGTTCATGAAGTCGATTAATCCTCCTCCTGAGCAGTATTCCATGAGTAGGAACACCTCGTATCCCCCGCCCTTGAGTTGCGAAGCATGCGAGTCCATGTAGGTCACAATCTTGTGATGTCCTTTGAGCTTCTTCATCGTCTCCACCTCAGTCCGCATGTTTCCTAGTGCATCCTTGTCCGGCGCAGCGACTCTCTTGAGCACTGCGACGTCCGAGTTGCGGCCATCTGCCCTCGGCACTCTGACGAGATATACGTGTGCAAAGCCGCCTTCGGAGAGGTATCTCTCTATCGTGACGCGGTGGCCCCCGACCTGGACCTTGGTGCCGGGTGCGAATGTGCCGGGCGGAGCATTGGAGACAGCAATGGGTGCTGGAGCGCGATGTTGGGCCATGGGCTGCGATGTGGAGAAGGCGTTGTGGGCAAATGCCATGGCGTGGTTTGGGAATACCTGCGGCGAGCAGGGACAGGAGGCGGACTACTTGTTAGGCATAGAGAGCAGATCGGGCACGTAACAGAGGAGACTTGGGCTCTAGGCGGTGGTGTTGCGGTCTGGTAGCGAAGGCAGATGAACGGACCCCCGAGCTTCGAGTGGCCGCCGCATGGCATGCATGCATGGCATGGCGGTCACGAGCACAGCCACATGTTCAACATCACGGCTGCATTCGCTGTGAGTGTGCATGCAGCTCGCGAAGTCAGTGGCCATGTTCTATACTTGATCTGAACAAGCAATTCGCAGCTTCAGGACTACCCCTTTGCGGGCGTGCTGGTGTCCCATCAAGCTGTGGCGTCGAGGTGTGGCGTTACTTTAGCGTCAAGTTTCATCTTGTCTTATCGATTGTAGTGATTGGGTAGACTATTCCGCGACACCATGTTTGCATCAGAGTCGCCGAGTAAGGTCCAGCAGATCCGCGCTCTCAGTCTTCGAAGAGAATCCTCGGCTTGACGGAACTGCAGTGTATAATGTGGAATCCAGGTCACAGTCAGATGTGTTTTGCAGCCACGTCGATATCTTGGACCTGCTGATGTGCCGGCACCAGCATCTTACGTTCCGCAGCAAAAATCAAAGTTGAAGGAGCTAGTCTTTGGTTACCTTGCAATAAGCAGCTCTAAAAGTAAAGGCCGGCTTCGAGAATCGGCGCTGCTCTCGAAGCAGACAGAGTCACCCAAAGGCCAGGAAACCCAGTCTACTCGTCGTCCTCAGTGCGGGGTACACACTGTGCCATCTATTATGGGGGCCAACAGCCCAATCCAGCAGTGAGAATAGGCAATGTTCGTGATACCAAGACGTGACTGGGACTCTCACGAGCACGCCGAAGACGCCCAACTGCGGCATGTGACTCTACAAATGGACAACAGCGATACGAGATCAGGTGACACCGACGGCGACAGCTGTATGGAAGGGATGTGCGATGCGGCGGTTTCACGAAGCAAACGCAAAAGCAATGTGATCAAGGCAAAGCAGACGACCAAGGCCGTGCTGGGTCCCAAAAAGGAGCGCAGCAGAAAGAGCGCTAACGCCCCACCATCGCAGCCAACGACGGATGGAACCACCTGGGCACCTTGAACACGCACGGCATCCTGCCTCAACCGCGACAGTCTCTCTAGCCAATTCACTCCTTTCTCTCACTCCTATAATTCTGAACTTCTATAATCTGCCGTTTACTTGGAAGGAGCCAGCTGCAATCCCTCCGTCTGCACCTCCTGCTGCTCTGCTTACCGTGATCTGTTGTCGCTCGCGCCCTCTGCTCCGTCATAGCCTTGTTGGCGAAACAGTGCCCCGTGCACGTCAACCCAACTTGGTAGCGAAGACTGCTGCCATTTGCGCTTTCACTGCCTGCCACGCAACCAGATTCCCTGTGACGTCCCGCGGTGCAGCATAAGAGTGCGACTGGCCCACCACGAGCCGAGCCATACGCCGCCATCCGCCGCTATACACATTCACGTTAGCACTTGTACCTGCCACGCGCGACCACGAGCCCTCTAACCCTAATTCCTGAACCACCTCAACCGCCATGAACGAACGCTCCAAGCTCCCCGTCTTTACACGCAGCACGGCACTGCGACAAGCCGCCATGTCTCGCTCACGGCGGCCAGACAGAGACACGAGCGCCTCCCGATCCGACTCCTCCGCCTCCACCTCCCCCGAGCGCGGCTTCGACGATGACAAGGACTCGATCATGCTGAATTCCAATGATTCCCTGTCTTCCCTCGCACCCTCGGTTTCTCTCGATTCGGACGACGATGCTCGGCGACGGGCCATTGAGGAGCAGAACCGAATCTCACCCATATCCCGCCTACCCGCCGAGCTCATGATAGCCGTCTTTGCAAAACTGTCCTCGCCCGCCGACCTCAAGAACTGCATGCTAGTCTCCAAAGACTGGTCCCGAAACAGCGTCGGCCTTTTATGGCACAGGCCGTCGACGAACAAGTGGACGAACGTGAAGAGCGTCATACACACAATACGGACCGTCGCGAGCTTCTTCGAGTACAGCAGCCTCATCAAGCGCCTCAATCTGTCGGCGCTAGGCAACGAAGTGAGCGACGGAACACTGGGCCCTCTTTCCGTGTGCAAGCGTGTCGAACGATTGACGCTTACAAACTGCACCAAGTTGACCGATCTGAGCCTGGAGGCCATGCTGGAGGGCAACAGGAGTCTCTTGGCCCTCGACGTGACAAGCGTGGAGGCCCTGACCGACAGGACCATGCTCGCCCTCGCCAAGAACGCAGTACGGCTACAGGGACTGAACATCACAAATTGCAGGAAGATAACAGACGATTCACTGGAAGAGGTCGCCAAGAGCTGCCGTCATCTGAAGCGCCTCAAGCTGAACGGATGCTCCCAGCTCACCGACCGGAGCATAATCGCATTCGCCATGAACTGCCGCTATATCCTCGAAATCGATCTCCACGACTGCAAGAACCTCGCCGACGAGTCCATCACGACCCTGATCACAGAAGGACCACAACTGAGAGAGCTACGGCTGGCTCACTGCTGGAGAATCACGGACCAGGCCTTCCTTCGCCTGCCCTCTGAAGCCTCATATGAGAGCCTTCGCATACTAGATTTGACCGACTGTGGGGAGCTAAACGATGCGGGAGTTCAGAAGATCGTATACGCAGCGCCACGTCTGCGCAATCTTGTCCTCGCCAAATGCCGCAACATCACAGACAGAGCCGTGCTTGCAATTACGCGCCTCGGCAAGAACCTGCACTACATACACCTCGGCCACTGTTCGCGAATCACAGATGTGGGTGTTGCCCAGCTGGTCAAATTGTGCAACAGGATACGTTACATCGATTTGGCGTGCTGTACGAACCTTACAGACCAGTCTGTCATGCAGTTGGCTACACTCCCGAAATTGAAGCGCATAGGACTTGTCAAGTGCGCAGCCATCACAGATCGCAGTATCCTAGCGCTCGCCAAACCGAAGCAGGTTGGCAGTGGCGGACCTATCGCACCTAGTGTATTAGAGAGAGTGCATCTCAGCTATTGCACGAACCTCACTCTTCAGGTATGTAATCAATCACTAAAAAGTCCAAATTCAGTCAGCTAACATTGTCAGGGCATACATGCACTCTTAAACAACTGCCCACGCCTCACCCACCTAAGTTTAACAGGCGTACAAGCCTTCCTCCGTGATGACCTCCTCGTGTTTTGCCGCGAAGCACCGCCCGAGTTCAACGAGCACCAACGCGACGTCTTCTGCGTATTTAGTGGCCTAGGCGTGGGCCGATTGCGCTTGTTCTTGAACACGCACGGGCAGGGCGAACTCCGTACCTACGACGGTGAAGGCACCATGTACGCCGATGACGATGGCGACCAGATGGGCAACGTGACTGCCCAAGCAGCTGGCATGGTCATGGACGAGGGCGAGGAAGAGCCGTTTGGTGACGACAGTGAGATGTTAGGCCAGGACTAATGTCGCCAATGTCACCTGTTGGGTTAGCTTTTTCCTTTACTTTCCTTACACATGCATTGTAACGGCGTTTTGCATCTTCATATCAGCGGCATTGATTCCTACAGAAGGGATAAGGATGGAAGGACTGAACGGCCGAGTCAGATCCGCGGCTGCTTATACCCTTTTTATGTACTCGAGTTTCGTTAGTGTGTAGTAGGTGATAGAACGATGAGAGCGTATGGAGTAGCGCAATGTATACTTTGACGCAAAATAAATGTTTGGAATTACTCTCTCACACAATTACCATACCACTCTATTGCTGCTTCACAAACGTTCACTTCCCAACTTACTCCAAAGGACATAACCCGCATCACCCTTTCATTTCAACAACCCACACATACACCCGCAGTCCGGCACCGGACACATGGCATGCCGCGCAAACCAATCCCGCGCATGATGCCCATGAAACCCATGACTACACCCCATGCAAAACACCATCAACCGCGCCTCCAAATCCTCCCCCGCCAGACTCGCCGCAGCCCCTACTTTGCTCGCGTCCGGACTTCCCAGCCACAACATGCAGATCCCACACCTGGGCATCTGCGTCCCGCAATTCGGACACGCGAGGGCGGGACTACTCGATGCGTGTTTGGGCCTAGCCGCGGGTCTGGCCGACGACGTGGACGTAGGGACGAGTCTGGGCTTGGAGTTTTGCGCAGGGTCCTTGCGCAGCGCGAGGTTCTGCTGGCAATTCAGACAGCGCAGGGTGAGGCTGGGCTGGTTTGGTTTGTTTGTGCTGCGGCCCTCGCGCGTGACGGTTGCGCGGTTGTGTTCTTTCACATATCGTGTGCGCTGCAGGAAGGCGCGCCAGGTCTGCATGTGTGACAGGTAGATGTCGCGCCAGAGGGGGAAGCGGGCGTCTTGGATGTACAAGGGACAGGCGCGCGAGAGGAGGAGGACGGCGTCTTGGATGCCGGAGGGGTGCTGGGAAATATATACGGTCAGCAGGTCGAGGGCGCGGGTTGTTAGGCCAGTGAGGAGCAGGCCGGAGATGGAGCCGGAGGATATGGTGGATGATGTGAGGGAGTTGAGGAAGGATGTGAGAGAGGTGTCGGGCAGGTATTTGAGGGCGATGGCGACGCGGTCGGAGAGGGCGAGTTGGGGCATGGAGACGACAGTGTCCCAGGAGGCGGAGATGAAGTATGTGAGGAGGGATTTGAGATACGGGTCGGTGGTCATGTCGGCCATCCAGGCGCATGTGGAGCGTTGTTCGGGGGAGATGGAGGATGTAGGGGAGGCGCAGGCGATGACGGCGGCGAGGCCGATGTCGTCCTGGGGGAGTTTCTTTTGTTGGAGGGTGGAGCGGAGGAGGGAGAGGGCGATGTCTTTGTGGCCTTGGAAGACGGCGAGGACGATGGCTTTGTAGATGCTGCCCGAGTCGACGAGTTGTTCGCAGGAGTGCTGGGCGGCGGTGTTGGAGAGTGGCCAGCCGCAGAGGCTCAGACATAGCTGTCTGTTCTCTGGGTATTCTGTCTTGACGCCTTCGAAGGGTGGAAGCTCCATGACGTCGACAATCTCTTTGACGGCATCGCTGAACATTTCTTGGCTTGTCTTTGCGTCGGGATCGATGAGACGATCGTCGTACATGGTGAGCTCGTTGGCCCATATAGCAGTGACACCGAGATATTTCAGGTCCAATCCGTTCCCTACCATGCCGTCGCCTACCGCATGGGCGTCCATACGATCGACCAGCGTCCAAGCATCGACTAGCCAAGGATCGTTGCTCAAGATCTGCTTGTTCTTGTCGCAATCCAGGGAGTAGCCTTCCTGAGCTCGACGCTTCGCTGCATGCAGTACAGCAAGGTAGTCGTCTAAGGGAATCTTGACGTCAGGATATCCTAGGTTCAGGAGGTCTTCGTGCATTTCGTGACTTGGATGCGTTGCTGACAGCAGAGGGAGACTTCGCTGGCTGTTGCTTAGACTGAACCTGGTCATGCTCTCTGACAGACTGTTTCCCATGTCATAATCAATGCCAAATTTGGTGCTCAACGCGAGGTTTTGGACTTCGATGAGGTCGTTGGCCACCGTGCCGTGCGGCAGGCTGGGTTTTGCAATGCAATATCTGTCTTTGTAAATCTCTTCGAGAGCACTGACGTTGATCTTTGGCGCTGGAGGGGGCACTTTAAGCACCTCTACCTCGCGGTTGGGGAGCAGAGCGAGAGCGCATTGTCCGCTCATTATGTTTCCAGCTGTCATGAAATCATACGCAACAACACGGTCTTTGGGATCCTGAGGATGGGCCTTGTCGTGTAGTGGATATCGGAAATGGTGTGTGGCTTTGGTATAGTGTGGTGAAGACCATCCTGGCCCAGACGAGGTCTTTGATGTCGGATCTAGCCGATGTGTGTGCTGTGCTAGCTCAATTATCTTGAACTCTCCCGTGTTCGCAAGTACACCAAAAGTTCCTCTCTTGGTACCAGAGTAGCGCAGGCTCCAAATACTCGCTGCCTGGCTGTTGTCAACGACTGGCTTGAACTCCAGAACCGCACCGGAGTTCGCAGCGTCGTTGGAGGTGCTGCGCTGCTTAACGAATCGCTGATCCCAGACAGTCACAGTTGGATCGCCTGTGGTGCCGGCAGAGAGGAAGTAGTTCTCATCCATGGGATCTATGGCGATATTGTGCACTTGGCGTGTCTGAAATTGGGCGATGCCAGTGGTCGTCGAGTCTGCTTGCATGAGCCTCTAGTAATAGTCCACAGTTCAAAAAACAAAATGCATACCTCTAAGATCATAGATACGCACGTACTGCCTTGAAACACCAGCAATGAGTGTATCCGGCTGTCCAGTGAAGAACTTGATGCTATAGATAGCCTCTGAGCTTGCCAATTTCTTGTACGGCTCATCTTTGCTGGTGATTCTTGAATCATTCAGATCATAGATGTTTAAGCAAACATCATTTCTGACCCTGTCGAGCCCAGTGGCCAGGAGATTCTTGTTGCTGAATGCGATTGAATTGCACTTCCGCTGATGCCGGATGGGGAATGCATGGATGAGGTCGTGATCGGGTCTTTCAGGGTCCAGTGTCACTAGTACAGCCTCACCAGTCGCTGAACCGATTCCAACGACACTGGCATCCTTCTTGGACCAGTCAAAGGCCGTGTAGTTGGGCAGCTTATCGCGGATGCATATCTGTCTGTAGTTGACCTTCTTTTTGGACAGACCATCGATTTGGCAAAGGCGTAGTCGATTCCCCGCGACATCGATTATCAAGAACCGGGGATTGGACTGGGTGGAGTGCGGCGACCATCGGATCGCAGCTTCCATGTTACTGGCTTATCATTGGTGGCGCCAGGAAGCTGAAGGGATTGGCTAAATCACGGACGGCTTCATCAAATGCAAGACGGTGAAGGCAAAGAATAATCGGCTGGGGGCATGTCGGTCACAGCATATCTTGACGCGACAATGATGTTCCAGAAGCAACAACCTTGGAGTGAAGGCCGCGGCTCGTGACATGCCACTAGCGCGTTCAGGCCCCACTAAAACTTCCAGACGCCGAAGTTCTCGAAACTTTTACCACCAGCAACCCGAGGAACAACAGCACAACAACATGTCGCAAAAGCGCAAGCACGACGATACTCCAGGCGATGCCTCTTCCGCGTCGAAGACCTTTAAGAAACACCGCCCCTTCAAGCCTGGCCAGAACCACCAGCAGACCAAGCACCATAGGCGGCCGAACCTCTCCCACGATGACGAGAACGGGCGCAGCACCAATGCGCTCAAGAGCAGGATACGAGATCTGAAGCGGTTTCTCACGCACATGGACAGTGTAGAGAAACATAAGATGTCAGCTGGCGCAAGGCAGGAGCGAGAGCGAGAACTGGAGGCATGCGAGCACGAGTTGGCGGAGAAGCTTAATGCGAGTAGAGAGGCCGAGTACCGCAAGAAGATGATTGGAAAATACCACCAAGTGCGATTCTTCGGTACGTCGCCCTATATCAATATATTTCTTGGTAAGGACAGAGCTGACACGCGCAGATCGACAAAAGGGCACGCGCATTCTCAAACGACTCAAGAAGGAGCTTTCCGCACTGGAGGACGACTCGAAGAAGACGGCGCTACAGCAGCGAATACACAACGCCGAGGTCGACGTCAACTACGCGATATACTACCCGCTCATGAAGCCGTACTCGTCGCTGTATCCCAAGTCGAAGAACAAGAAGTCGAGTGACTCGGAAGAGGCAGAGGACACGGGCGAGGACAGCAAGAACAGCGCCGAGGTCGATGGACCCAAGGGCGACGTCAACATGTGGAAAGCGATAGAGGAGGCCATGCAGGACGGCACGCTGGAGAAGCTGAGGTACAGCAAAGACGCGGTCCCAGCCGAGCCGCCGAAGAAGAGCAAGAAGCCCAAAGCCAAGGACAGCAAGAAGGAAAAGAGCGTGAGCAAGACATCACATGACGCTTCTGCTTCGCACAACTACGCCGTCCAAGACCAGGACGAAGACAGCGACGGAGGATTCTTCGAGTAGATTCTTGACGTCATTCGATTCAGCTAGCAAGCAGCACATTAGATACCCAATCCCACACCCCATCTTACTTCGCACCCCCAACAACCCTAACCGGATGCGCCTCCGTATTAAACACCCACGTATCCCTCCCCCCATCCCCAACCTGCCACTCCTCACTCCCCTCCGTCTGAATCAGATAACTATACTTGAGCACTTCCGCGAACCAAAAGCTCTCCTGGAAATCCGACCAGCCGCCTCCGCCCGGCACATTCACGTCATTAATACTGCTATACCCGCTGCCCACGCGGGTAGTACTATTAATCGCAACAAACGCCTCCCACGCCCAGTCCTGGTATTTCTTATCCTTGGTCGCGCGGTACGCGTAGTAGTAGCTCTCGATGACTTCCGGGCGCAGATTGTACGATGGGTCTGAAATGACGGTGCCGGATTTCGCAAAGTACTCCGTCTGGTTGGCGGGGACAGTAACATTACTTTCCCAGCGGAATTGCTCGGCGCCGATGCCCGTTGCGGTACTCGTGTACGTGAGCCTGCAGCCCTCGACGAGCTTGAGGCCAAAGTCGATGTAAGTCTGCTCGCCCAGCGTTTGCCCCGCGAGGATGAAGTTGCCGCCGTCGAAGCACGCGAGATGCTGACTTCTCAAACGCAGCGTCGTGCCGTTGTAGTACGCGAGGAACGTCACGTCCGGCTTGGTCTTGGGGTGCGAGGTGAGGTACTTGATTGTCGAGTCGGCAGCGACGATCCAGGCGTCTTTGAGGTAGGAGAAGCGCGTGGGGTCGTAGATGTACATCTTGATCAGGTATTCGTAGTACGAGTCTGCACCGCCGACCCAGCCGCCCAGCGCGTCTTTGAACAGGCCGGTTTTGGGGTCGATGCGCATGCCGAGAAGGCCGGGGAAAGGCTCGCCGAATGCGGGTTGGGGGTTGAGGAGGTACTTGTAAGCATTTTCGGCGAGGGTGGCGTAGGTCTCGTTCCCGGAGAGGTCAGCGAGGCGCGTCCATTCGAGAATCAATGTGCCGACTGTTGCGAGGAGGTTGGGCGTGTCGACATTGCTGCGGTTGGAGAAGGTGAGGTCGTTCCAGGGGATGCCGGTGGGTGTTTCGAAGGCGTAGCTAAGGTTGTTCGCAAGAGTGATACTTTGCGCGAGCAGGGCGTCGACCTGGTCCTTATTATCTGCTAGATGCGCCAGCGGGCCGTTGAGGAAGTCGTAGCCGGAAATCAGGCCGCCGAGATAGCGGATTGTGGTTTCAAAGAGGGAGACTTCGATATCGGTTTTAGACCAGTTGATCGTGGGGACATGGGCGAGGATCTGGTTCACGATTTCTTTTTCTTCCATTACGAGGGCGGTGGAGAGTGCATCGACGGCTGAGGCGCCCCATCCGTTCCTACACAAGTTTGTCAGACTGAAATACCCCGAAAATAAATAGGATGTCGGACCTTGAGTTACTGAAATTGTTCGTGACTGGGTTCAGCTCGTCGTTGGGAAACGCATATTTGTAGTAACCATCCCAACTGATCTTAAAAGTATCGACGACTGCCTGAGCTCTATCTACCGATTCCGAATACTGTCTCTGTTCAACAGTGTTGACTACCAGGTTGAGAGGCTCGCTTGATGGTAGTGCCAACGCCGAAGGGAGCAAGACAGCTCCAAGAGCGAGAAAGTGCAGCCGTGCCATAACGAAGTAGTTGTCAGGAATGAATGGATGAAGCCCGGACAGACGTGGATTACATGTAAGCATATATACACATCGCAATTACACCGCGCAGCTCCAATTGGTACCCGGAAATTGAGTTAACGCTACCCATGTTACCTCTACATTGAAACCGAGCCACGAAAAGTATCCCCTGACGCACTTCTGCGTAGCTCCCGCCGTCGTTGGGTCTGCCAGCTGTGCAGTTATAGGTTTGCTACATGTGAAAGTGGAGAAGGGACGCTGCGCATGTGGTGGCAGCGCGTGGTACAGACACCTCTTAGGAAGGTGGTAGAAGTCATTGCAGCCATCTGAGATCTGCAAGCTTGCCGATCCTCAAGCTACACAAGCATGAGGAGTGCATGATCAGCTGGCGTCATCGGTTCTCGCCAAGTTTGGTTGATGTAATTCTTTTGTGCTGACAGGACCGAATGCTCAACGTTGTGGTCTGATTGTTTCATAAGTGGGGCGTATAAATTGCACAAAAAGCGTCAACAAACGTAGCGTAAGAGCATTGCGGTGTGTTGAAGAAGCACTGGGGTGAACCTAGTTAAGGGCCTGTCCGGTACACTACTACTCCAGATTTACCGCTTCGTTTTGGCTTAATACGCAGCCAGCTCCGTTTCGCTAGCCAGATTTAAAGGCGGTCAGATGCTTCGTTTTAGCCGCGTTAACACTTGACAAATTTAGCCTAGGCATTACCCCTTTTAGCGCGTCTATAAACTGTAGGCTCCGGTTTAGAGAGGTCATTTCAAATTTCAGTAGCGAGCTGGAGCCTCCGTTTACGCTAAGATTCTGCCATCCTTTCTGCCAAAACTGAGCGGTGAATCTGGTGTACCGGACAGGCCCTAAAGTCTCGCGAGCGTGCCTGACTGCGGGGTGATCTCCGGTCAAGATTCCGCCCCTCCCGAGTCTTATCCCCACGTCACTGCATGGAGCTATCCATAGTCGAAGCTTGGCAATTAATGATTAGAGATGACGGTATTGTTCAGCGCAGCAATGGTCCTTGCTGAGTTCTATATCACCGTAAGTAGCGCAATGCCAACAAGGTGCTCGCTCGATGCATGTACTGTATATCTTGCCGGCGTGCTATCCTGATCTCTACAAAGCCGGGCCTACACTTATGAAGGCTCTGACCAGTCGACCTGTTCTGTGACAGGGCCGCCATCGGCAGAATAACTGACCTTCAACCTTAATCTTAACCTGGCTGGCGGAGGCTAATAGCAGGGTTAGCACTGATTCCAGATTTAGATGTTATGTTAAACTCACTCCGCTGACTGAGGTGACCCGCATCTGCTGAGTCGCTTCTTGACCGGCATCCAGTTCTGATGTACTGATCGGTTGTAGTTGCAACTTCTGACTTTTCGGCACTGCGGCCTGTAGGTTGACCGCCGACAACTGACTTAGACTACCAGTATTCCGGAATCGAGCTAGGAGCTGAATGGCGTTTGCATCGCGTTTCATCTGGAAAGCAATCTGTAAATCGTTCTTGTTGTACACAGGATGAGGAGCAGGCCCTGATGATGCCGCTGGCATAGACGGTTGTGCTGAGGACATGCCACCGAGAAGATCCATGGAACCTGCTTGTGGAGGTTGGCGAGATTGGGTAGGGGCAGGCGAGCTAGAGGGACCGGAGTTGAATAGGTCCATGATATTTGCAACGTTCGATTGTGGTCCAGGAGTCGATGTCTGTGGTGGCGGTGATGAGGATCCTCCTCCACCTAGGATATCAGCGAGTAAGTCTTGACTTTGTGTGCCATTCGAGGTTCCATTGATTTGTGTAGATGGACCTGAGTCGCCCATGAGATCCAAGAGTAGATCTTCGGTTGCGGCTTGTGCGGGTTTCTTCTTAAGAATCTTCGATTGTCGCTTCTTGGTGGCTTCTCCAAGCACGCGCTGCTCCTCTCGAATTTCCGGTGCAGGCATCTTCTCAAGGACACCTCTTCTGACTGAGTCTTGTCCAAACAGATTACCATACTCAACGGCACGCTGCTGTATCTCAACGTCAAGGTTGGCATTATATCTCTGCAGCAATCTCCGAAGGCGTTCGATTTGGGCGGGTTCGGTCAAGCGCGTAGTAAGCTTGATGGAGGCAGTGATGATGTACTGCTGGACGATGAGACCGGCGTAGCTGCTGCCGAGAATAGTCTCAAACAGATCGACTATGTCGCTTTCCTTGACTTCCTTCACAAGCTCCTCCTCTTCATACTGACCACCCCTCAGCAGCGCATCACCATATTCGCCAATGACCCAAGATCCAGCAAGGGTGAGACCTTCCTGAGTGATGTCGTCCTTTAGCGCGGCGTACAACTTCTGGACGGAGTATGTCTGTAGATCCGGGGTTGTCGCAATCAAGCGGACAAACGATGATAGAATCTGCTCCTTGACGTAGTTGCCAGCCTGTAGATTCGGGTCAGCATTCTCCATTTTCAGATTCGAAAGCAAACCAATATCCTACTTACCAACTTCAATACGCGAAGCATGGTATCGACGTGCCAGCGCTTATTTGGTGCGAATCGGTCAGCTGCAATACCGATCTGGGAGGTCATCACAGGCTTGAACTCATTGTCGGCGACTTCCAAGAATGCAAGCAACTCGCGAATTAAGACCCGTACGTTGCTCTCGTTGATTAACGTGAAACTGAGGTCGAGAGCTCTTCGTCGAATACTGATATCTGGGTCGCGCAAGCAGTCCAAGATTGTGTTCCTGTGTCGCTGAACAGCGTTGGGCTCAACAGCAACAACCTTGATCAGTGTGTTGAGGGCAACGTATCGAATGTTGTTGTCACGATTGGACAAGAATTTGCCGAGAATGTTTACACCAAGCACGCGCAGACCGGAATCTGCCTCGATATCGAGAATGGTGAGTACTGCTTCGTAGAGAATGGAATTTCCAACGTTTTTTGAAGAGTCCGTGTTGGTAGCGACCTGATAAAGTTAGAACTCATTCTTCTAGATGCGCGCGTGGCAATTACCTGAGCCAATATATCGTTGATCTGCTCGCTGACAGAAGCATCACCACGTGCCAGTATGCGGAGCAGCTGCAATATTTTGCATTGCAAGAAAGGATCCGTGATGCCTGTGACGTCGTGCTCAGGCGCATAACCAGAAGACGAGAGCCCCTTCAAGATCTTGACCAGACTGGGGACAACTGGCTTGAACAGGTCCCTGACGCCGTTCTCGTCATCTTCTAGTTCGTCTGCCTCGCAGAGATTCGCAACCAATGTGACACCGCACAGCAGAACGCCGTGGTTGCGGTCTTGTAGCAGCAATTTGGCTTTTTCCAGGAAATGCTCCTGCAGATCAGGCACCTTTCGACAGATTCTCATGGCGCAAAGGGCAGCTTTCCGGCGAATGTAGGGGTTCGAGCTCGATATGATGGTCTCAACTTCGGGGAAGAGATCACGGGCCATCTCGACTGAGGCGATGTTTCCGAGGGTGCAGAGCGCCAGGCCAACGATGTACTGGTTGGAGTGGTTCAAGTCGCTGTACCATTGTCAGCGGGAGGCTTCACAATCGCGGAGAAGCCCATACTTCTTGGTCGAGTTGGTCACCAGCGTCAGAACCTCTTGGTTTTCGTCCAGGAGCAACATAGTCCCCAGATACCCCAGGCGCTTGTCCGCAAAACGCGGGGAGGCCAGTAGCTTCAGACATTCAATCTGTCCAAAGTGCGTCCTCTCACCCAAGGTGAAGAGGTACAGTAGCTTGGCGACATTGTTTCTTCTGCTCGGGTGTGAATATACGTCCTTGGGTTCGTGAGGTCTCAACACACCTCACATTGGAGTCGTGGCTCTCCTCCCTAAAGCTGGCGCGAATGGCAGCGCTTTCCTTCTGCACCACAGCCCGCTCGTCGGCAATCGTCTTCGCGGCTCGCACATTCCGAATGAATTGCTTCACTGCATTGTCTTAGTATACGTGCATACAGCGGGCGTTGCGGTCTTGGCGTACAGGAAGTCATTGTGGTGGCCTCTAGGACCCCACCGGGGCGGCGGTCGGAATGGCAGGCAAGTGAAGGCTCGGGAGGCTGGAGGATGGAGGGATGCGCGGGTCGGACGAATGCTGGAGCCGAAAGCGGTATGCGATATGGGTGAGGCACCGCTGCTTGTGATTATTCGAGGAGTACAGTAGCTGGCATGTCCGAACGCGGGCCGTCTGTTAATCCAGACAGGGTCGTCGCGCCTTCCCTACCCTGTCGCAGAAGCTTGAGCCGCCTGACTCGCGCAACCGCTGATGTAACCACCGTCACACGCACTCCAACGCCCACGATCTTGTTTGCGCCAATGTGTCGGCAATGATCGGCTTCCGTAGTAGCCTGCACATATACTGAAATACCGATGCCATGCTCACATGATCCCAGCTCCATTCCTGCAAACGTCAGCTCCACCTGTGCCGCGGAAGCCACGGCGACGTGTGACATCAACCCCAAGGAACCCCGTCGAGTCGCAGATCATCGTCTAGGCTGACCGCATCGCCAAAGCCACCTTTCTTCGCATTCACTGCGACATGCCCTTGCAATTCTCCACGTGATGGCCGAGTCTTCTTCTATCGACACAAAAGCCCGCAACGGGCACGGCGAGCTTCACTCGCCGCGACCGCGCAAAGCTACGCGCATAGACTTGCTGAAGCCGCAGCTCAACGAGGAAGCCTTTAACAAGGATGGAACTCTCAAAGAGCCTGGCTCTGGCGTCTCGAGGTACCCGGAATTTTCTCGTGGCCAGGCGCATGGCTGACTTTCACAGTGGAAGAACAACTCCCATTCCTGCAGATGCCCCTCCATCAGTCCAGGCTACCTCGTCTGCGCGCCGTCAGATTCGCGCCCAGCAGAAACAGCGCATGTTTCCCACCATCGAATACGTGAATCGCGTGTCCCACTTCGACCCGGAGAGCGACTATCATGACTTCAGAGGCTTCTTTGTCCTGTTCTGGATCGGGCTCGCAATCATGGTCCTCACAACGATGCTTCGCAACATGACCGAGACGGGCTATCCTCTGCAGTTGAAGCAGTGGGGGCTCTTCAAGGAGAAGGTGGTCGAACTCGGCATGGTGGACGGAGCTATGGTGGGCAGCACTATGATATCGCTGCCACTACAGCAGCTCTTTCTCAGCGGCAAAGGTTCCCTGCGCTGGAGCAAGTTTGGCATATGGATACAGAGCATATACCAGGTGCTATGGCTTACCTTCTGGGTTACGTACCCTTTCATCCGTGACTGGAGCTGGACCGCTCAGGTGTTCTTCACGCTGCATTTGCTTGCCATCTTCATGAAGATGCATTCATACGCGTACGTCCATCAGAGTCAGATAGCGGTTCGATGTACTAACATTATACAGCTTCTACAATGGACATCTGAGCGAGACTCTACGCCGTCTCAGCGAACTCGATACGCCCGATCAGGCGAGCAAAGCCGCAGCAGTCAGATACCCCGAGCCTCGAACACATTTGCACGAGATCCCTCAGTCACCCACCCACCAAGAGCCCAAGGACGCAAACGCGGAATATCTGCGCCAGCTACGAGAAGATTTGGCGTTTGAGCTCGCCTCACCACTAGGTCGTGTCTCATATCCCGAGAACCTCACTGTCTACAACTACATCGACTTTCTCTTCTGCCCGACCCTTTGCTATGAGATCGAGTATCCCCGCACGTCGCACATCCGCTGGATGGAAGTCTTCTACAAGACGCTTGCTGTATTCGGATGCATCTTCTTGATGGTCATCACATCTGAGGAGTTTATCTTGCCTGTGCTTGACGCCTCCGCAGCCCGCCTTCACCATGCAGACGGCGCACTGGACTTTACCCTGATCGTAGCAGAGACTGTTGGCCGCCTGCTTTTCCCATTCATGATCACGTTTCTGCTGGTTTTCCTTGTCATTTTCGAGTACGTCCTCGGTGCATTCGCCGAGCTCACATGTAAGTCGCACAATACCGCAAATAGATCTTGGCTAACAAACTATAGGCTTCGCGGATCGTCAATTCTACGCGGATTGGTGGAACAGTTGCGACTGGCTCGAATTCTCGCGCGAGTGGTGAGTGCAATTGCGTTCAAATGTCTTGTGCTTTTTGCTAATCATTCCTTTAGGAATAAGCCAGTTCACCACTTCTTCCGTCGTCACGTCTACTCTGCATCGAAGAACCACATGTCGCGCCCAGTTGCGACCACAATCACTTTCCTCATATCTGCGCTTGCGCACGAGTTGGTCATGGGTTGTATTACGCGCAAGTTCCGAGGCTACGGATTTTTCGCAATGATGCTGCAGATGCCCATTGTCATGGTGCAGAGAAGCAAGTGGGTGAGAGGGCGCACCTTGCTCAACAACGTGCTCTTCTGGTGCAGCATGATCTTGGGGCTGAGCATGGTAAGTCAAAGCTTCCATCAAACCGACATACGGCTAACAATTTCCAGATGTGCGCGCTGTACGTCCTCGTGTAAGAGTACAACTTCGGTGGTTGTATATTTGAAGGATTGCATGTACAGCGGACTACGTGAATTTTGAGATACCCTTCTCTTTGGCTGTGAAGTGTTTGTTGTAAGATAGGTTAGAGCTTAGCATGTATTAGGCATTTAGAGACATGTTTGATCCTACGTTGGTAATCTCGCAAGCAGCACCAGAAAAGGTGTAGGTGACGTAGATTGATAGGTCCGTATTCCTTCAGGGTCCTGTAACGGGACTTGAGCCCATCCGAAGCCGACCCCGCGAAGTACGCAAGGCAAGGATCAAGGGTATGACGTCGGAGCATCAACAATCAGCTGCTTGAACGCAAGCATTACCGGCAGCCTCGCGTTTGTACAACAATTACCTCGTGTTCCGCGTTGTTCCACGGCCCGAATCTTGTCCATAGTCAAATACATGCGAATTTACCTTTGCGCTGTGATTTCATACGTCGTCACCATACAACACTAAGCTCCAGCCACGGGTACATCGGAGACAGCCACACCTTGACAGCTCTTGAAGAAGCCTGACATTCACAGAGGAGGGAAGCATTCAAACTACTGTTCCTAGCTCTACATTACGACTACATCTGTCCTCGAAGAGAGACGGCGCATCCCAACATGTCGGAACTGCACGATGCGCTAGCATGCCTGCGCCCTAAGGAATTTAGCGATGTACCAATCGACAACCTCAAGTCCTTCCTCCCAGAGATTCTCGCAAATGCAGAGCTCATCGCGAACTCGGTCCCACCGCCGCCCAATGGCACGCCCTACGAAGCCGCGCAGCGCACGCGGACAGACTCGCGACCAGCTGCCAATGCCGCAGATCTGACCATATCTCAAGTACGGCGGCCACCACCAGCCAAAGCACACGAGGCGCTGCAGAAGTCATGGGGAAAGCCGGTGAAACTGGGAGCGAAGGAGACGGCTACGGGCATGAGCGTCTACAAGATGGCAGGACATGACAGACATGGCGCGTGGTTTGCACGGTCAAGTGTACATGAAGGACTAGGGTTCACCAAGTGGAAGGAGTGCATGCAGAAAGAGTTCCCAGAGAGCTTGGAAGTGCAAGGTGGACCTGGAGAGGGCAACGTGCGGGGCATTGGCGGCGACCAGAGGCTTGAACAGATGAATGTGGACGGCATTGGAAAGCTGGAGGGTATGTGATCGACAGCTGAAACGCACGTAAACGTGTCGCTAACAATCGCAGTGTACCAACTATCCGCTCAATTCCCTGGACCTACGTCCCCGCGAGAGTTCATCACGCTACTCATCACCTCTGAGACCTGCCTCACAGATGCGTCCAAAGTCGGCAATGCGGTACCGCGGCACTACATGGTCGTCTCGATACCGGTCTCACATCCCGACGCACCGCCCAGAAACGGAATGGTCCGCGGATACTATGAGAGTATCGAGATGATCTCTGAAATTCCGCTTGCCGGAGCAGAGGACCCAGAGTCGAATCCTGTGCAATGGACAATGGTAACGCGAAGCGACCCTGGTGGCGGCATACCGCGCTTCATGGTCGAAAGAAATGTCCCCAGCAGCATTGTGCAGGATGCTGTCAAGTTCCTGGACTGGGCCTGTGCAAAGACCGATGTTAACGGTGAAGAGATCGCGGACAAGGATGGTGCTTCAAGCGCATTGCGAGTGCAAGAATCAGAGCAAGAGCGAAGACGCTCGATCGCAGATCTGAATGGCATAGGTGCAGGAGTTGGAACAAGCATAGTTGATCAGCCCTCGATCAGCACAAAGCGTGCATCGATGCGAGCTGAGAGCGAGACCAGCGCTCCACCCGCCGAAGGTTGGATAGCTTCGATCAGAGACACAGTAGGCGGCTACGTTCCCGATGCTCTCAACCCACTACAACGCACAACCTCGAGCAGCTCGTCTTCATCTTCATCATCGATAGAATCATTTGCTTCAGCCGAGCAATTCAACACAGCTATGGAGGGCGGCTTACCCGTTACTGACGACATAGCTACTCCGTCCACTATATCACAACCAGAGCTACCAGTTATCGACGACAGCCCCCATGGCCGCAAACTGCAAGAGATAGAGGACAAGAAGAAACAAATGCGAGAGCGACTTGATCAAGCGCAAGAAAAACAAGCCAAAGATCTCGCCACCGAAAACAACAAGACGCAAAAAGAAATCGAAAAAGCCGCCGAGAAACACACCCGCGAGCGCAAAAAGCACGAAGACAAATTCGAAAAGGAAATTCGCAAACTCGAGGAGCGCCGCGAGAAGGAAACTAAGAAACTTCTCGCTCGCCAGCAGAAGGAGGCGGATAAGAACCACCTCCTCAAGGCCCAGCGCGAGCGCGACGAGAATAAACAGAGAGGCGATATTCTCGAGCAGGAGAACAAGCTGCTGAAAGAGCAGATTGGCGAGTTGCAGAGGGAGAATACGGCGCTCGTGGCGCGCCTGGGGAAGACGGAGTTGGGAAAGGATATACTGAAAGCTGTTAAGCAGGAAGATCTGACCGGAAGGCCGAGGGCGAGTTCGAGTAGTTCGAGGAAGAGCGCAAAATCTGCGAAGTCGAGGGGAGAGAGTGAGCTTAGTGGGCTTGCGAGGTCGAGTACGGAGCCAGTCAAGCCTTGAGGGGGGATGTTTGGCGTAGATTTTCTTATCATTCTTTGAGCGCTGGACTTTTTCACTTTTAGGGCGTAAGATCGAGCATCGTTAGTGTATACCATTATTTGAATCTTTCTTGCGGAGTTGTTGGACTTGCAGTTGTGCAGACATGCCGTTATCTGATCTGACTAATCCCATCCTGGTAAAGACTCATCCGCCTCGGAACCCGATCGCAGCCCAGCCCTATCCATCAGCGCCATGTCTTACATTTCCACGTCCGACCTGTATCCACGGAAGATTCTTGTGCTGAAGGTTGTGTCTCCAGCAAACTATTCTCCCAAAGGTGTGCTGTCTTGGCATATGACGTGTTGAGCCGAGTATCGGACCTTTTTTCCCCAACACAGAATTATCAGATCGAAGTGGGATGAGGCGTTAAACCACCTGACACCAAGTTGAAGGAAATACCGAAGAAAACAAACGCAAAGAGAAGGGAAAGCAGAAACCGGAGTCAACCCCAAGGGGTCAAAAAATTCGCTTTTAGAAAGAGCTCGGAATTCCCACTGCGCACATTCAAACCTTCACCCCCACCAAGCGCATCTTCTGCACAGCATCAACAACAATCATGTCTTCAACCGAAAACCCAACATACATCACCACCGCCGAACATCCGCAGTCCTCATCTCCGGGCCCCATAAAACCCACTCTCCTCGCCTTCCATGGCTCGGGGAGTAATGCAACGGTACACACAGTCCAACTCGCCCGTCTGATGCGCCTGCTTATGACCGCATTTCGACGTCGAGAGCCTGGAAGGTTATGTATATCCCCACAGAGACTCTTATCCCCCCCCCCCCCCCCCCCACCTGTCCCCATGCACCAGATCTGCGCTCCCCCCGTCTCTCAAAACTTGAATAGTTGATTGATTCCTAACAATATCCCAGCGCCCTTCGCCTCCCCCGCGGGCCCAGGCGTCCTGCCCTTCTTCGACGGCTGCGGCCCTTTCTACCGCTGGCTGCCCCCCTCGCAGAAAATCACCCTCGAGTCCATGCGCGCGCAGTCGTCCACCTCGGAACTCGCCCCCGAAGTAGAGGCGCTGATCAAGAGCACCGTGCAGCGCATCCGCGCCGCCGGCGGCCGCGTCGTGGGTCTCATCGGGTTTAGCCAGGGCACGAAGATTGTCGCGGGCTTGTTGCGCGCCTCCGAGTTTGTGGAGGAGTACGGGCTTACGGGGGAGGATGTCGACTGGTTGGATTTCTCCTTTGGGCTGAGCGTGTGTGGGAGTTATGCGCCGCTGTTGATGCCCGGTGCTGTGCGGAAGAGGTTACCGCCCGGCGTGGACTATCTGGAGGGGAAGATCAGGAAGCCGACGTTTCATGTGCAGGGCACGCAGGATGAGTGGGAGTGGGCAGGTAAGGGGTTGATTGAGAGGCATTATGAGAAGGGTGAGGGGAAGAGTGAGGTTGTGGAGTGGGACATGGGTCACCATTATCCGGTGGAGGCGGAGCAGAGTGAAAGGATTGCGGAGTGGGCGGTGGGAGTTTGGAAGGGGATTGAGGGTGGGGAGGTTAGATGATGGCCTGCTAGAAGGGTGTGCGGGTTTGATGTATAGAGGGATTAGAGGGTAGAGCATAGAAGTATCGAGAACGAACAGGCACGATGGGTTATACAGGCACATGGTCTTGCGTTTTGAACTCGTTCCTCGTTTTGATTCGTGGCACAAGGGCCATCTATTTCCGTTGCGCCCATCACATCATAACTTTACATCCCCGCTCATCCCACTCCATGCCATGCCCGAATGAACCGAACCGACGCAGCAAAAGGGCGAGATGATGCTTGAGACGTAGCTACCGACAGTGTTGGGCGAGCGTATGCCGTGGCGACACGCTTACTGCTCGGTCTGGAAGTAGTTGAGGAGGATGCTGCGCTCCTGGGACTCCTCACCCCAATCCTTGACAACGACGCAAGAGCAGTTAACCACCTTACGGGGGTTACCCTCACGATCGATCTGGCCTGTTCACTGATTAGCCCTAACCCCACAACCCCAAACCCACTCAATACGTACAAAGACCAGCCCACTCGCCGAGCTGCTTGCCATCGGGGACCTTGATGAGAGGAATCTTGTGCTCGCTGCACAGCGCAACGACGAGCTTCTTGTACGCCTCCTCCTCGCACGCCTCGTTGAGGACGCACATGTGTGCCTGGCGGCGGTCGAGGGCCTTGGAGGCCTCGCGCAGACCGCGGGCGAGTCCGTCGTGGATCAGAGCCAGCTTGAGGACGCCCTTGAGCGCCTCGAGCACAGACATCTGGCCCTTGGAACCGGTCTCATCGGCTGAGACCTCGACCTCGGCGGCCGCGCTGACTTGGGACTTGGTATCGTCTTCTCCGTCCGACTGGTGGTGGTGGTGTTAGCATGTTTTCTGGGTGGTGATGGCGGGGTGAGGAATGCGAATTGCTCGCAGCGCAGGCTGTGGTTGCTGTAGAGCCAGTGTTGGAGGGGTGGGTGCATACCATGATGAATGATTTCTTGTCGGGTTTCCTCGAAGAGTTGGATTTGGAGATATGTAGAAGAATCAAAAGTTCGAGGCGGCCCGCCAGTCGAAATTCGTCAATCGTCGGTGGGCGCTAGCGGGAGGCCGCGGCTTAGCGTCATGTCACGTGGTCTCCGCTGTTCGTCTGACACCATTATGGATCTCAAATGTGATAAGCGAACGTTCCTACTCAGTAGTTCGGACGCATCATATTGTACTACATTGTCACTTGGGATGGAAAGGGATCAGTGTGTCTGAAGCTATACACAGAGCCTTGCCAGTGTAACAAAACCTAGCAGAACTGTACATAGCTCTAGGTCACCAAATGCTCTTGTTCACCTTCCGTCGCAGTGAATGACCTGCAGTGTGGCTTGAATCATGCTTGAAAGGTTGTTATGACTAATTTTGTACAAATCAGGAGGAAACCGGCAGCAGCGTGCAGGCACTCATCTCAGACACTGACCACGCTGGCCCAATGTATGAATAGTCAACACTCAAATTGATTCTCATCAGCTGTATACACTATCTGCCACTCTGCCACAGCTCATCCACATCCTCCTCTGGACCAGCCATCTTCGCATCTCCCATGCTCACATCCTTCGTAGAAAGTTATCAAGTCAGATCCAGTCTCCCGTCCCTGAAGACCACCACCAACAAGCATTAACAAAAACATGGCTGATGGCCAGTCATAGGCCCTCAAGCCTCTATGAAAAAGCAAGGCTTTTTGAGCAAAATATACGGCAGAAAACAGCATGCGCTGAAACTACTCGCTTGATCGCAAGAATAGAAATTAAGCACAGAATACACGCAAAGACAGAAGCTAGGAAAACTTTGTACGCTTGTACGCTATCAGCTCATATTGCAGAGCATTTGCTGACCCTCCGTCTTTAAAATTGACCATCTTCTGGGCTCCTGGAAAACGCCATGTACAGTGAAAGTAATGAGATTGCCTTGGGCTGACGATAGTGGAGAACGGAAGCAATGGGACAATGGGTATATAAAAAGTAATAAACGAAAGATGCTACATGACGATGCAGCACACCCCTTCTTTTCCTGCTCTCGACTGGCTCGGGAAGTCGTGTGTCTGCGGGTGCGATGCTGCTGGTTCAATGGGAGGCGCGAGTTTGGGTGAAGGGACGCGTGGACCTTGCGGAATGGTTGGAGTCAATTTGTATGCACCGCCCTGCTCGTTGGCTTTGGTGTCGGTCTTCTCGAGAGATGGGTCTGGTGAGGCCGACTTCTCTGGACTGGGCAATGGCCATTGACCGTTCTCGCGCTCGCGTTCTTTCTCAAGAGCAATTGGGTCGATTTGTGATAGGCGCTTGCCATCCATGTCCTCTGTGTTCAGGAGTCGGAAGTCCTTGTCATACATGGATCCCACTCTGCCCTCATTCTCCCACTGCTCCTGTTGCATGCGTTTGGCGTGCGTAGGAATAATTTGCTGATCCGGAGGCAGGCGCGGATCTGGCTTGTACATCGTAGCTATCCATGGAGCCTCGCCCTCAGGCTTGTGACTAGTGACCGGACGAATTGCAGCTGCAGCTCCACTTGTGCCTGGACGCTTTGGCGGCGATGTTCCGGACACATTTCGACCCTTTGGCTGCGTCTTCGCACTAGTCTTGCGGTTGCCAGGAGGACCAGTCTTGCCAGTGGGTTTTGCTTTCATAGGAGATTTCTGTGGTGATTTCGGAGGGGATCCACTGTTTGCTGAGACTTTCCGCGCATGTCCATATGGAGGGGTTATCCGACGACTTTCTTCTGGATCATCAAGCAGCATTTGGCTCGACACGCTTCCACTGCGAGCCCTCACACCATTAGCCGCAATAGCATCACCATTCCAGTTGCCACTACCGGCCCGTGATCGAGATAACGGTGCGTCGCGGTCAGCAGCGGAGGCTGGTACCGGTAGACCACTCGTCTTCGGAAGAGGTATACGGGATGTGCTAGGCCTGCCGTTGTGGGTAGTTGCTCGTGGTGAGGCAGGCTGGCCTCCTCCTGCCGCCAGCTCCTCGAACGTTGTAGAGTTCCTCCAGCTGTGGTCCTGGTCTAATGCATCCTCGTCTTCAGCCGGTATTGGGGATACTACTCGTCGACCGTCATGGCGCTCATCGCCAGTCTGGTTTTGCCCTGCGGCTTCTGAGCCTCTGCGATCGCGGGGTTTGCGGGTTGTACTCTGCGAGCGGCTGTTCGTCCCGCTGGCTCGTCCTCCGACCCTGAAGCCAGCCGCCTCAAGCTCTTTCGTCTCAATCTCCTTTAGCTTGTCGCGGTGTATCCAGTTGTTCTGGTCGTGCTCGACTGCCGTCCAGTTTGGGTCCCCTGGGCCACCCTTAGATGTCTTCTTCTTGGGCTTGCCCTTTAAAGACGCCGCGGTGCTCTTCTTATTGGTGTTGTGGCTTTTGTAGTACTCCATCACACTGTCGGGGTCATTACTGATGGCGTTCATGTCTCCGCTTGGTTTTCGGTGCAGCTCGTTCATGCGGTCGGAGGAGAGGTACGATTGGTCGTTCTCGTAAGACTGGTTCATTGAATCCCAGGTAGGCGATCGCACGGGCTTTGCAAAACCATTAGCCTGCGAAGTATGGGGCTGGCGAGTGGCGTATGACGAGGCGCCGTATTGAGACATGTATGGCTCTTCGTCGTAGCTTGCACTCTATCTGGAGGTCAGCACTTTGTCACCGCCCCATGGTGGCCATTGTTGAAGGTGGAATGTCTGAGGTTGGGATGGCGCTACAGTGCGGCATGACGGACAGCTGCAGTAGTGTGGAGCCTGGCGGAGGGCATGTGACACAATGACATGGGAAGGCAGGGTATACGCACAGAATTGTCCAGAGGAACCGCAAGATCCCACGATGCTCCTCCTCCGTGAGAGCTGCTTGGTGGTGTTAGTTGCTGTCCGGACGCTGGCTGCTGGCGAGAGTATGCGACAGCGGCCATGGAGTGTATTGCAACGCCAATGCAATGCGGTATATCACGCGTCCTGGGACCTCACGGGTTAGGCTTGGGTCGTTTTATGTGTGTCGGTATGGCGGAATTGCGCAGTGACGGAGCGGTCAGATGTGTTGCTGCACGGGAAGGGGCGATGATGCTCGAGTGGGTTGTTATGGGCAGTTGGTCGCGCTTGGGCGATGTCGCATGCCAAAAGATCCACCGAGACGTCTAAGCAGGTCCGCTATGGGAGGGATGCCATGAATGAGCCAGAGTAATGGTCGTCGGGTGATGAGCAGGGTGGGAGGTAAGAGGGGGCGTTTGCATGCACAAAGCAAGCAGTTCCCTGCACGTCCGGGTCGCGGCCTATAGGAAAAGGAAGGATATATAGTACAAAGACACAAACGAATAGAAGAGTAGCGAATGACGGTTCCAGCTCTAGGCTTGCTCGCCAGCAGTAGTAGCTGCAGTGCCTATTGAAGATTACGACGGTGAGCGCGAGAGACTTCTTCGAATGCGCGGACCTGGGGCGCGACGTCCTCTTGGCTAATTTGGGGAAGCGCTCGGACGTCCGAATCAGGCCTGTAGCCGTTGATTGAAAGGTCTAGATAGCGGACTAAGTACTCCTTGCCCTGTGACTGTACCTGCATGCTGACTCTTCTACCGTGGTCGCCGAAGAAAGGAGACAACTGTCCTGCAAGCATGCGATGTTGACCTCCGCTTGCAGCTCTCCGACTTGACCTCCAACACGAAAACGAAAGCATCATGCGCGGCCTCCCGACTTTTGATTATAGCGCACCCGCAAACCCGCTGCGCCTCCTGGACTCCTGTACCAAACAAGCTTCATTGATTGGAGCCTTTCCCGATTGATGCGCCCTAGTCTTCGCTAGACGGCCATAGCGCGAGAAGGGGGGGATCGGGAGCCACGGATTTTGCTGTCTGGCACCTGTCACTGGACCCGCCCGGAAACTTATGACTTGGTCAACCTTTATGCGACGTAACGACGTCAGAGACTGCTTTATTTTATGCACATTTTTGAGTTTCTCTGTTGTGGGAAACATGTTGGTAGTGTCGCTCCCAGATGCCGGGTTGCCGGTTAATCACCATGGGATGCTCATGTGCAAGATAACCGAAAAGACCCACTGGAGGTGCGTGAACCACTCTGTCAAGTTGCAGATGAAGTCAGACCAGATTGACGCTGCAATGCCGTTACCATGGTTTATCATAAGGCTGGGAGAATTGCAAGATTAGCGACGAATAATCCTATGACTGACTCTTTATCGGTCGATCAGCCGACTAAGTTTACAACGCAACAACTACCATCCAAACGTCTCATCCCACCAAAACACCTCATTCCCCCTCTTGATCCAAATCTCAACATCTTTCTTCAAATCCTCCGTCAGCCTCTTCGGCCCACAGCAAATCACGGCCGTTCTCAGACCCTTGCTGAACACCTCATCAACGATGACGTCTAATTTCGGCCGGCCGCTCTTGATGACCATGCCCTTCCGAGGTTTGTCCATCTGATCTTCCATGCTTAGTAGCTGCTCGTCTTCTGCCATTTCGATTGCTTCGCTATCTTCGTCGTCTACGGCGAAGACATTGGGGTTGGGCGATTGTAGGCTTGGACCGGAGGGGCGCGTGACGTAAACTTCGACGACGCTTGTGGCCTGTGCTGACCCATTTTCTTCGTCACTTGATTCTGCATCACTTTCGTCTTCCTTCGAAGGTGTGGACGTGGGGAAAGCCCATTGCGTCTCGGCCAGTTTCTGAACAGCCCATACACAGCGTATCTGCGTACCTGCAGGTGATGGGTCGTGCATTTCGACGATGCTGCGATATATGGGCATGATGAATGTTGCGCCGACTCCTCCAGCTACTAGTAAAACCCTGTCATAATCTGACAGATCTGGTAATCGTGATGATGCGCCATATGGACCTTCAAGTGCAATTGGCAAGATGGGGATATCGCCTCCAGCTGTGGGCAGCATCGGGATGCCACTTCCACCTTGGGCTAGTTTTTGCGCGAGCTCTGCAAGATACTTCGTATTGCCTTTTAAGGTCCTTGCAACAAGCAGCAACTCTTTGTCCTTGGATGGTATTGAAGCAATTGTGAATGGATTTGTCTTGTTCGTCATCAACCACTGCTGATAGAACGATGGCGAAGTTGCTTTGCCCCAGGGCTTGCTGAGGTATACGTGCTGTCCGGGCTTCCATTCCAGGGCAGAGCTGTTATCCGGTAACGGTATGCGTATTTGTGTAAGATTGGTGCCGGGCAGGAGTCGAATGGTGCCTTGGTATACTTTTAGTCGCAAGGCTCGGAAGACGAGGTGAAGCGCTTCAACAAATATGACCTGGTAAACAAATATGCGAATGTGCGACACATGCAGCCACATTGGCAAAATTATAAAGTTTGCGATCGCGATGTGGGAGATGAAGAAGACTCGATAGCTCCGTCGCCTTACAAAGGCAAGAGCTGTTGTGCTAATTGTGGCAAATAGGGCAATGCTGACGATGCCCCAGATGACGTCCCAGTCTTTGATGCGTTTTGCGAGGAAGCCAGAAATGATGAAGAAGTTGAGGTAGAAGATTCCATGCAAGGAGAACAAGAGGAAGACGATGCGGCCAAGGATCTGATGGGCAGCCTTCAACTGCTCGTGTGAGCACCGCGTCAGCCACTGGACTGGTGAATATGGCGCTCTCATGGCCAACAGATAGTGAACCGGCAGCTGCGAGGCCCCGACCTGCCCGAAACGCTTTGTGAGGTGTAGATAATCTGAAGCATTTAGCAAGAGTACCACCTGACAAGGATACCGTACTTACCATTTCCAGTTTTGGCGATGCACAGGTACAGCAGCCATATCGTCCAGAGACTCCCACCAACCCACTCCCCTCTTGTGCCCCAATCCCAACCTCTGATGACGTCTTTACTCATCCACCAATTCGCCTTTGTCGAAAGGTTCTGCAGCTTCCTAGTCCATCCAAGCCTCCCAGTTGGACGCTTGGTGAAAGACGGCGACTTTGGTGCATCATATTTGAGGCCGCTCTTCGCCGTCCATTGGATGAGGAAGGCAATTTGAAATAGCACAAATATGGCCAAGACCGACCATTGCGCCACGAATCCATACCAGTCCAAGTATTCTCGTCGCTGGTGCTTTTGCTTGTCGTTGAGAGTCTCTAAATAGTAACCAAATGCCCAGTATTGGTCAGTCTTCACTTCTTTGTGACCTTCATGGCGCCGAATGAGATGCATGCTGATGCCTGGATGCCTGAAGAAGAAGGCGATGTTTGCCTTGTAAGGTGTCGGATCACGAAGGAAAGGAAAGTAATTGAAGCACTTCACCGTCCCGACATGCACGAAGAGCTTCAACTGACTGAGGCAGATAGTGTCGCAAGGTGTGCTACGAGGCGAGAGTGCATGAAGATGACAGAGGTGTCTTGTACGCGGGGTTTGGGAAAGCCCGAGGCTTACGACGAGAGTACAGTCGTCGTGGCTTCGACACGCCAATCAAAACATGCTCATGTCAAAAATTCCGAATACTTTTTCCGGGGATTCCGAGAATGGTGATGAATTGTGTACCTGCATATCTGGAGATGGCGGGCATGTGATTTAAACAAGGGAGGGTCAAAAGCAGGCATCAATAGCGACACACTTATTGGAAACTTCCAAGTTCCGACTGCCAGGGTCCGCCTTGTTAAGTGGCACCCCCATTGTTGGCGCCAACCCCACCATCTCTCTGCTGGACCCTGCATTTCGCTACCTTCCCGTTGTACAAAGAAGATCGATCTGACATCTTTTGTTTACTATATCATATCATTATTAGACGGCCATGACAGACACTACCTCCAGGATCCCGCTGTGGCTCGATTGTGTCCGTACGCCGCTCGCACCTTCCCCGAAAACCCGTACTGACAACCACAGGACACGGGACACGATGTACCAAAGTCCCCCACAACAACACCAGATGATGAAGCTCATCATCGCTACTTCTAGGATGCCTACGCCCTTCTGCTGTGTGCCCACGATCCCCGCGTCGAGCTCCTGGGCGTCTCAACCGTCCACGGCAACGCTGCCCTGGACCAGACCACGTTCAACACGAGAGCGATATTGGAAGCAATTGGGAGACGTGATGTGAAAGTCTACTCAGGAGCTGCGAAGCCCATTGTTCGCGACGCTGTCCACGCTGCCGACATACATGGTACATGAGCTGCTCAGAGCCTACAAGATTGGACTGACATTGTCAGGCGAATCCGGCCTGGATGGTGTCACGTTACTCCCACAGCCTATCGAGCCAGCGGTGACCGGTGTGAACTACCTCGAAGCCATGTACAAGGCCCTCATATCAACGCCGCTGGATACTGCTTGGCTGGTATCGACCGGTACTTTGACCAACATTGGCTTGTTGTTTCAGAAGTACCCCGACCTAGCAGGACACCTCAAGGGCTTGTCAATAATGGGAGGGGCTGTTGGGGGCGGCTTCACAAATGCACCAATGGGCAAAGTGAAGGGCGAGGGCGAACGCTTCGGAAACTGGACTGCCTATGCCGAGTTCAATGTGAGTAATGAGCATGTACAAGACACACACCAAACTAACATCACGGTAGATCTATGTATGAACAACCACTCCTTGTATAATGATCTGACTGACGACAATAGTGCGACCCCGAAGCCTCGCACTTCATCTTCTCGCATCCCGTCCTCAAGTCCAAGACCTCGCTGATTCCACTCGATCTGAGTCATCAGGTTCTGGGGACAAAGGCAGTTCGCCATACGCAGCTCTATGGCTCAGAGAAGTCAATCGATGCTTCCACAAAGCCCACACCCTCTGCTCTCCGAGCACTGTTCACGCAAATCATGTCATTTTTCGCGGGTACATATGCCGAGGTATTCTCAATCACGGAAGGGCCACCGCTGCACGATCCGCTTGCGGTATCTGCCGCCATCTACCCTGAAATATTCAATGATGAAGGCGGCGAACGTTTCCAAGTCGATATAGTCACTGAAGGAGTTCATTCTTTGACTCAGTCCGATGTGGGCGAGCTTGGCAGGACCAAGGTTACAAAGCTTCCCTCCGGCGAAGGGGGTTGCCGAATTCCAAGAAGTGTGGACTTGGACAGGTTCTGGGAAAGCATTGAAAGCTCACTAAAGAAAGCTGACGCTGTCAGTCCGATGCCCAAGATCTCCCGTGAAGATCTGGAGAAAGATGGCGTTTTCGTTGGCATAGACTAGAACGGTGGGACCATCCCATGGTTACGACCCAAAGACCATATATAACTTGATCAAAACACCTCGAACGACCTGATTTTTGAAACGCGATAAAAAGTACCCAAAATCTGCGATACAAAGGATCATTGCCGATAGCGCTTTTTCCAGAATTTTCTAGTCAATCTCATGTACGACGTACCTGCAAATTAGGGTCTGTCTACTTATCCGTTTTGAAAACGCCGTTTCAGCAGAAAAGTAGCAGAGTCTTGCTACAGTCAGCTGCAATCACATGACAAAACGGAGCAAACTAGTAGGTATCAAAATTTTTAAATAACTGCATAGAGATAGAATATCTATCTGCTACGTGCGCTTAGAACAGCAAGTTTTAAGCCTTATTTATTAAGATTCAGCGCAAGCAAAACAGAGTTCTTCACCGCCCCCTTTTTTATAAAAGCTTATGATAGCGCTTACTTTAGAGCAGGCGCTATACTTTATCAGCCAAAACAGCGTTTTGGAAACAGAGCGAGTAGCCAGACCCTTATAGTGCCAAGATACCCAGCATCCCAGAACCTGGAAACCATACTTCGGAAGGGAAGGTTTCCCTTGGTGCTTGGATATATTGCGGGGTAAATGTGCCTTCTACATTAACCAGACGAAACTTGGCAGTGAGACTACATCACAGACGACGCGGAGAAATTGCAGTACAGAAAACGTCAATGAAGAGTGGAAGATGTAATCAAACCCTGATCCTGTGCTTCTTATCATAAGATTCAGGTAATGGTTCATGCTGGCAAAACATTATGAGGAGCAATGAATACCGGGAAATCGCAACATATCGACATCCCGACAACACACAATGACTGCAATACACTGATGCCCAGATCGTTATTAACCGAAATGACCGATAGCACTTGTATCCTAGCTAGAACTGAAACTGGGAGAGTGCAAATCCAGGAACTTGGATGAATTGTTCCCTCTAGCCCTCCCAAGACGGCTTCGAATCGCTAATTGACTCCGAATTCAAGTCTGGCCTGCCGAGCCATCGTATCCAAGTCCAGTATATAACTGCGCACTACAGACCTCGCTTGAAGATAACTTGCGCAATCTCAGACACTGCTTCGGCCGCGCACCGTCAAGATGAAGGCTTCCCTCGCCCTAACTCTCCTCCCCCTCATCGCCGCCACCCCAACTCCTTCCAAACGCGAGCCCGAGTCCGCCCCTGGCCTCGGCGATCTAGCAAAGAATGCCGGCCTAGAATATTTCGGCACCGCAATCGACAACGTCGTACTCAACAACACGCAATACACCAACATCGCCTTCAACCGCTCTGAATTCAACCAAGTCACCCCCTCTAACGGCCAGAAAATGGATGCACATCGAGCCCGCCCGCAACGTCTTCAACTACACCCTCGGCGACCAAGTCATGGTTCCCGCCAAATCCGCCGGCCAGATCCGCCGCTGCCACACTTTCGTATGGCACAGCCCAATTGCCCGACTGGGTGCGCGCCGGTAACTTCTCCAAACCCGAGCTGCTGTCAATTTTGGAGAACCACATCAAGCAGGAGGCGGAGTACTACTCCTGGCGACTGCTACGCCTGGGACACAGTTAATGAAGCATTTGAAGAAGATGGCTCGTACCGCAAGGATGTGTGGCTCGACACCATTGGACCCGAGTACATCGAGCATGCGTTCCGTTGGGCGCGGCAATATACGAACCCCGGCACAAAGCTGTACTACAACGACTACGGCATCGAGCGCGTGAACAACAAGAGTCTGGCGGTGCAGAAGATGGTCAAGGATTTCATTGCGAGGGGCGTGCCGATTGATGGTGTGGGCCTGCAGGCGCATTTCACTGTCGGGCGCGCGCCGACGTACGACGAGGTGCGCAATTCGCAGGCACTCTTCTCTTCACTTGGTCTAGACACCGCACTCACCGAACTCGATGTCAGAATCGCGCTGCCCGCAAACGCTACGACAGAAGCAATCCAAGCGGAAGTCTACGCGAATGCTACGAGGGCGTGTGTTGATGAGAAGAAGTGCGTTGGTGTGACGGTGTGGGACTTTTGGGATCCGGTTAGCTTGGGTACCGTCGGCATTCCCTGGGAATGGAGACGCGTGTCTTTGGAGGGAGAATTTCGAGCGCAAGCCGGCATACTATAGTATTGCAGAGGTTTTGAAGAATGCGGCGGGGAAGACGAGGGATTAGGGGGTGTAACGAAGTACTTGCTTTTTTCACCATACGGGTATATAGATAACGAATTAGAGCATCTTTCTTTGAATAAGCAATACTAGATGCTCACTGTTGTACACTTGAGAAAGGAGTGAGGGTCTATTTGATTCCTGTGTAAGTCTCAGACTTCAACGATGCCTAGCCTTGCCGGAAGATGCTCGATGGGCACCATTTTAAATTTCTACCACAGTATTGCTGTGACATAGGCAAACTTCTCGCCATTTTTTCAACTATGCAGGGGGAGAAATGTATCTCTACATCAACTTGTGTAGAGGTGGTAAGCCGCAAGTATACCTACGTCCGGAAGCACACTAACCGTGCCATAGTCGCGCATCACTTTCCCACGAAAGCTGCGGAGAAGTGAGATTGAGGCTTTGTTGCTCAAACCTACGCGACGACTGGAGTGAAGGAAAGCTGTGGCACAGTTTGAGGCTCGAGCCGGCTATGCTTAAGCGTGCTCAGGGCATATCGAAATTCACAGAAGAAATTCGTTAAGGGCATTGTACGAGTATGGCACAGCTATACTTCAAGCCAATAATCGCACGCATCGTGAAAATTGCTGGATGATGGAGACGTTGGGTTCATGGTTGACGGACAAATTTCGCGAGCTGTGTGCCTGGACTACACGATTATCCGTGACCCAATTTTCTGATTCTTCAAAGCTCTACCCCCCAAAAAAGATGCAAGAGTTACAAGATACCGGAACCAAGCGGCACGACGATATTGTGTGTTTAGAAAGGCTGAAAAGAACCGCCTTGCAAACAAACCCTTTGACAAATTCCGACACTTGCAAAATGTGAGAGAACTTGTCCATTGCAGTTTTGAGCCACTCGTCCGACTACAAGGCGCACGCATAGTTTTGGCGCCTGCGTTTATGACACTGAAATCTCGAGCCGGTAATCAGGACATGAACCTGATTCAGATAGGTTATGGACCATCACCAAAGGATCCGAGGCCGAATAACCTTTGCAATGTAGTAGTCTGGAGTGAACTGAGTGTCTACTTTACTAGATGTTGAGGCCTAGCCCGAGTACGTTTCCTATGTTGCCGTGAAAAACCAGCATAAGTGAATGGACGTTCAGTACTAGGGCATATCAGCAGAAGTGATGCCTAATGTGTAAAAAGTCGCGATGTTGAGCATATTGGTAATTGAGGTAGTGTTGGCAGGGTTGGGTTTTCAAATATTCATGCGACGAAGGTTCATCAGATAGTCGCGTGCTCCTCCCCCAGTACTCGCGTTGTGATATTCTTAGTATACACAGCAACGCGAGTGGATGGTACAACGATGATTCCGCGCGTGGCTTGCGGACCGAAGTTCACTAAATTCGGTAGTGATGTGTTTCGACTTCAACCGTGAATGCTCCGAAGCACACCGAAACTGCAATTCATGAACGATGCAATTGTTGCGCATAGCCCTTTGTCGAGGTCTCCCTAAACTCAAGTGCTGCTGATGCTGAGATCGCGGAAAGTTGGAGTTCTTCTTGGCAAACGATTCCGCTGCGTTGTCTTGGTCTTTGCCCAGGTGTGCGGAAAACTCGGCAGAGAGTCAAGCAAACGTCTCTTTGTCCAAGCCGTCCGCGCCCTTGGAAGCACACCCGTTCCTGTTCGTCTCCTTGACGATTCCATCATCCTGCAGTAGGTGTGATAAGTGGCTACGCTCCTGTTCTAGTCGACCTGAACCTTTGGTCCGAGAACCTGCTCTTCGGGCGTTAAGATCCCCTACTTCTACCGAAGAACAGGCCAAGGTGACCTGCCGGAGTTCTGCCACGCGAGCCGCCTGATTAACCAAGTGTGAAATTGTGGGGAAGTGTGCACCTCAGGAGTACAACGTTGTACCTATGTAACATGCGAGGCTACTCCACATTTCACTCCATCTCTCGAGATTAGCTGTATCAATGCCTGCTCATGTCTCGCGATATCAAGCACAGCGTTGCAAGAATGGTGTCGACTAAATTAGACTGCTGATATTGCACCACTACGGCATTGAGAGTCGCGTTGCACAGATTGATGAGCATACCCCCAGTAGCCTGACCACCTTGTGAGATGAGAGCGCATGCGGGCAATTCAACGGCTCTGATGACGAGGTTGCACAGCCCCAATGGCCCTGTGACGAGGGCAGCGTCAAAAGCGCATTTGCAAACATAGCCTCTTGGCTGCCTGCTCTTGGCTGTCTGGGCAGCGTGGCAGCCAGAAGTCCGCTCGGAAAGCTCAAGTCCAAGACCAAGACAAAGTCGCCTCAGCCTCGAGGACAAAGCGTGGTCCATGGCTGCGGCTTGATTACACCGAGCTGCGTATGGAGTTTGATGGCCACCTGCTGAAGTCCGGTGTACAGGGCCGTACACGAGCCATGATCTTTCTATATCGAAAACGAAACGTGCGAGCATGAACAAGGGCTATGATATGGCAACTTCTGTCCAGTATCTCAACAAACTCAACCGTCGTGTGCGAGGTATGAAGATGGCTGGCCATGAGTTCCTGCTAGGTGGTGAGAACGACAGCGGCCCCTTTCGCTCACGCCGGGCACTTCTGTGTAGTCGGAGACAGGCGGCAAGCAGGACGCGCCACTGCAATCATGCAGCGTAAAGGCGTGCCAATATCTGGAGCGCCGAATGCCAAACAGTGTCTTTTCCGCTCGGCCAAGTCCCACGTCCCAAGAATATCCGCTTCGCTGGGCGGTTTGAGAAATCTTGGTTCCCTGCCAGAGGGGGCTGGTGCTGACTATGACGACACCACCTCCGGAACTCGCGGGACAACCACGTAGGACTATGTTGTAGAACGCAAAGACGAGGAGAGCTGATGTTCACAATAGTGCGTCCCGATCAGCGAGCTGAGCGCTCAACGGAGCAGCGTCGCAAGAGGCATGGAAACCCCTCACCTGCTCTTGCCAAGGGCTTTGCCCAGCCTTGGAAGGCGCTAATTCGGTCTAACGCACGCAAGCGCCATCGCCATCGCCTCGAGCGGCTGGATCGAGCTTAGCGCTTTCCGGTTTTAGCGCAACTTCCAAGGTTCTGTTTTTCTGGGCTAAGTAGCGGAAGTCGGGCGGCGGGGCGCGGCATACAAGAAACCGCTGTCCCCCCAGCGCGCTCGGCGTCCACTTCCCACATCGCACTACAATACAACCCAAGGACGCGCTCCCAACCCTGCGGTCATACACTGACATTTTTCTGCAATCGCGCTGAACATTGTTCGCGTTCTGTGCTTTTTACGCTTTCTTTAGACTTGAAGCTCCACTGCCAAGAGCTTCTCCGAACTATGAGCGCTGAACAAGCTGCCGCTCAGGCGGCTGTCGCTGCTGCGAACACTCCACAGCAGCCCCAGGGCACTCCGCAACAGACTGCCTCTACTCCCGCCTCTGTCGTTAACTCTTCTGGCGACCAGCTTGTCTGCCAGTGGCAAAGTTGCGGCGAGCGTCTCCCTTCTGCTGAGCAACTCTACGTAAGTCATCACTCTTTCGTTCGAAGCCTTGGGCGTACCTCAGTACCAATCGAGCGACCACAGCATATGCGTTTCTACATGTACTGACTTCATTCAGGATCACGTCTGTGAGCGTCACGTTGGTCGCAAGAGCACCAACAACTTGAACTTGACCTGCCAGTGGGGCAACTGCCGCACCACGACGGTCAAGCGAGACCACATCACTTCTCACATCCGTGTTCACGTGCCTTTGAAGCCGCACAAGTGCGACTTCTGCGGCAAGGCGTTCAAGCGCCCGCAGGATCTGAAGAAACACGTCAAGACTCACGCTGATGACTCTGTCTTGCTTCGCTCACCCGAGCCCAACCGCGGCGGACCTCACGGCGCCGGCGGCTACCCTGGCCAGAACGGTAAACGTAAGTCTGCCATCTCACATTACCAACAAACCCGGTCATTCTTTATCTCTTTTCAATTTCTAACTGGAGTTCTACAGTTGTCGCTGACTTGCAGGCGCTTGCCGCTACAGCGAGTGGATATCAGTATCCTGATGGCGCGCTTGGCCCCAATGGCAGCTATGGCCAGCAACATCCCGGTGGTGCCCCTGCCGGCTTCTACGGCGGACCACCTCAAAACTCTGCTTACGGCCCCGTCTATTATGCCGTCAACCAGTCTCAACAGTTGAACAACGACTACGAGATCCGTAAGCGTGCAGCATATGATGCGTTGAACGAATTCTTCGGCGACGCTAAGCGTCGTGCCATTGACCCGTCAACCTACTATGATGTTGGTCAAAGACTCATGGGTCTTCAAGGAGTTCAGCTTCCAGTCCTCGGCGGCGGTGGTGGTGGCTACCAAAGCGGTGGCATGTCCGACTACGGCCATGGAGGTTCCATGGTTGCTCAAGCGACGCACCCCCCGATGCATCACCCATACTCATTGCCCCTGCCCAACCTCAGGACGAAGAGCGATCTCTTGAACATCGACCAGTTTTTGGAGCAACTCCAAAGCACCGTTTATGAGAACCCCAACCAGGCTGCAGCCGCCGGCGTGCACCAGCCTGGCGCACACTACGTCCACACTGGTGCCGGCTACCGCTCAAGCCACTCACCGCCTGGCCTCTCCTCCAGCCACTCACAGTCCTCCCATGCGACTGCAATCGGCTCCACCACCGCTGAGACCCCTGCTCTCACCCCAGCATCAAGTGTTATGTCTTATGGCTCCCAGCACTCTCCTGGTGGTCACCACTCTGCAAGCAACGTTTCGCCTACTTCAAGGACAAACATTGGTAGCATGTACCCCACGCTCCCCTCTGTTAGTGCAATGTCAGATATGTCAGCTGCTGCTCCTTCATCTGGGCTTGCACCTGCTTTCGACGCTGATGGCCGTCGTCGATTCTCTGGCAACCTGCTGCAAAAGGCTGCCCCAGACCGACGCAGTGGTGAGGACATGGACACATCAAGCGATGGCCCATCTCCCAAGGACGAGGACAACCTCCATCACAACGTCAATCAGCTGGCCCTTCACTCGCCCAAGGTTGATCCTGCCCTGCGATCACCAAGCGTAGTTTCAGATTCCACTGAGACGGGCGACTCGTCTCAGCAATCATGGGTTGAGAACATCCGCGTTATCGAGCGCCTCCGAGCTTACCTCAAGGAGAGACTCGAATCTCATGATTTCTCGGATGAAGAGGATGAAGATGCCAAAGAGGAACGCCGCATGGAGGACGATGATGCGCACAGCCTGTACCCCGTATTACGTGCGGTTCAAGAAGGCCGTGAGTAGAGTGTTTTTCAACTTCGAGCATGTCATACCGCGGTACGAACTTGCATGGTGTTTTGAGGGGCGTTCAGGTGTCATCCACGATAGGTCTTAGTCGCTCCTGCGGGAGACGAACTTCATGTAGGTGGGAATGTCTAGGCGTATTGTGGAAGCGATGTTGCTTTGGTATGTTGGTTACGCCTTGATGGCTGGACGTTTTTCAGCGAGCCGTCCACAGATATTAGTGTGCAATTTCATGATTCCCCATTGTCCAATCTATCGCATATTGATCGTACATTGGATCGCCACTTGCAAATGAATCGCCAAAGCTAGGGAAACGGCGCCAGGGCTATCCCCAGTTCTTATCAGCTGCCAAGCATGTGACAAATTAGGTTGGCCTGACATTCCCCACACCTATCAGGTCTTGACCGTGCGAACAAGCTTCCCCACGTTGCTATCAAGTCCAGGTGTCCGGCATCTGTAAGGGCAGACAGTTACGCCGCGATGCCGTAACCTGGCAAATGCAGTACCCTTTGTCAACCCACAAAAGCACTATAGCACTCACATCTTCGTGAAACCTCATTGCCTTGCACTAATCTCACATTTCCTTAACTACACACCTGAGTCGCCAAGATGCCCTACGGACGTGGAGGTGCAGGTAACATATTGCAGGCCAAGGAGGACAGCAAGAAGATCGTAGAGGTAACTGCGCATTACCGCACTTCAACGCCGGCGCACCGCCCTACTACCTCAGCGGCCTAACAGCCATCACAGGACATCGAAGCGAACCGCGCACCCACCTCCACATCTCAATCCGCCCAAGCAATCGCCCAAGCAACCGCCCAACAAGCCTGCGACTACGCACACATGGGCCGAGGCGGCGCAGGAAACTGGTACCAACCCACCGAGCTCCAAAAAGAAGGCACATTCACCCAACCCTCCGATTCCACCGCCATACCCACGTCCTCGAAACCACAAGTTAGCACGCCATGGCATCCTGAGAGCCAGGAGTTGCCGGTCGCGCGGTCGGGACGCGGGGGCGCGGGAAATTTCGTGTGGAAGAGCGAGGAGCAGGTAAGGAGGGAGAGGGAGGGGAGGGAAATGGATGAGATTAAGAAGAAGGAGAAGGTTAGTTTGGAGGTGGAGAGGGGGGTTGAGGCGGTGCTGGCGAGGCCAGGGCAGGCGAGGTTGGGGGAGGACAAGGTGGGGAGGGGGTGGTGATTGGGCATTGTGGGAACGATGTTGTAATGCTGATGGAGATATAAGTTTCTGGGGCATGACAGGATCATATATGCCCTTTGCGAAATGTCATCACTTTCGGCTTGACATATGCGCTGACCTACACTTCTATCATCTTTGAGGGTACAGCCTGACGTTATGACAGCTGTCAAGGACGGAAAGCAGCGAAGGCAATAGCGGCCCACTCCTACAACGACCTCGAGCCTTACGCCGTGTCGCTGGATTTTGGACGCGATGGCAAAACTCTGATTATTCAAAATCTTGAAAGATGGCCTGCAGCACTCGCGGGACCGGATAGTTCATCTCCGTCACGGCGCACAGCAGATGTCATGGTATTTAAGCACCAAATCTGTGCCTTGCATGTACCACTACGAAGTATAACAACGCTTCTATGTTGCGACTCTCGATCGGCACGGCTGTCTCAAATGACGTCGCGATCATACTGGGGCCCGTGCGTTGTTTGTTATGATTTGCCAAGCTGACTCCACCACCTCAACACCTCTCTCTCCACCCACAGACCACCTTAATCTCCGCTCGTTTTCTTCCGACATTCCTTCTGAACTTGTTCAACACCAACAGCAGTCATGGCGCGCCGCTCAGCCCGGTTGCAAAAGGTATGCGCATCTCGCTTTACTTTCGTCCCATATTTGGTTTGTTTACATGTGCTAATGCGCCTCCATAGCAGCCCACACCTACACCCACCGCCGACACCTCTGCGAGGTCGCGCTCGAGCGATGACAGCTGGATGACAGCAGATTCTTCACCACACACAGGACTGCCGGTGCTGCCAGAGATGCCTGACCTTCCCGACCCATCCTCCGTGAAAACTCCGCAAAAGGCCGCCGCTCCAGCATCAAGACTCCCGCATGCGACAGCTACGCCCGCGGCGCTCAAGAGCAAGTCATCCAAGTCGCTTCTCTCAACTAAGGGGAGCCAAACGCCCACCAACCGAACGCCTATCAAGCCTGCCGGTCAGGAGATGCACCCCGCGCACCATCATGCGAGCACTGCAAAGGTTCTGGACGAGGCGCGATGGCTTGGATTCCAGGCTTTGGGCGCGCACACAGCGCCTCCTAAGGCAGCGGGCATGAACCAGGCGACGCCTTCAAAGACCCCTGTGCCTGCTTCCGCCGCCAACGCTGCGCGTATTGAGTCGTCACCCGACTTTCGTTTCCGCTTCAAGTCTCCGTTTGCTGGTTTCACAAAGAGCTATCGCCAGGAGGACGCCACGCTCAGTCCAGGCACGCGAAATCTCCTCAAAGACGTAAATGGTGGAGCTACTCCCGGTCGTCCTGCGCTCTTCGGCGCAACCCATTTCTCTTCCAAGGCGGATGTGTCCCCAGAGCGCAAGAAGGCCCGAGCCCAAGGGCAAAATCGCGCGCTTCAGCGATGTTCACATGCAGCAGTTCAAGAAGATGGATTCGATCGCCAACCATGCATCCGCGTTCCGCGCCGACCCGACTCGTTTCAAGCCCGTTGTATCGCAGCCCTTGAAGAAATCGCCTTCCAAGCCCGAGCTGGCCAAGCCTGAGACGAGCAAGCTCAAGCGCACACAGTCGAAGATGGATCTAACAGACTCTGGCAGCAAGATTCCGCCAACACCGCTAAAGCGTACACAGTCCAAGATGGACCTTGCTGGCTCGAGCCTACCGCGCTCGCAGTCGACTGTTCGTCTGGTGGCTTCTGCAAGCGCTTCGCGTCCTATGTCTCGTGATGGTCCAGTTGAAAGCAACCAGACGGCAAAGCGGATCAAACGCACAGAAGCCGACGATGCTGCGACCACCCGTCCAACGACTCGGGATGCCATGTCTGGACCTTCGGCGCCTCCCGCTCCTACACCCGCGCGCAAGATTACCTCTCAGACTGCGCTCCCCCGTCTTGCTGCTCGGCTCATGACCCCGACCAAGGCCTCCATGGCTCGTTCCCAGAGCGTCAAGACGTTGAAGACGACTTCGATGATTCCTTCCTTGGCCAAGTCGCCCTCTACCAACAACCTGTTCTCGCCCACGAACGTGGCGCAGTCCATGCGAGATGGTGCTCGTGAGAGCATGCGCAAGGTAGGTTGAGTTCTTACAAGCTCGTTTGAGATGAGATGTGCTAATTGTGTCACTAGGCAAGCCAGAACCTACAGCGCGTACGTTCCATCCTGCGTACTCCAGGTTGCAAGTACTCGGACGACCCTGTTCAGATCGCTGCTGGTACTCACATGTCGCCGCCAATGTCATTGAACCTTGAGAAAGCTTTGCCTCCTATGCCAGCAACTGCACCAGTGAAGAAACACGTCATCTTCACCAACAGCACTCTACAGCGAGCAGGAGACGACGATCTTGGCAAGTCTCCGTCACCGATGAAGTTCAGGGCTGGTAGCGAGGTGCCCAGTGGTGCAGTCATCTATCCTACGCTTTCGAGTGTCCAGTACCCAGAGATCTCTCAGGAAGCCGAGTCCCCATCAACTTCACCCTCTCGACGTCTGACATTTGGTGAGGCGACTGCGAACCAGTCGCGCTCCTTCTCATTCGAGTCAGGCAAGGCCGTTGATTTTGGTGAGTTTCTTGAATACAATTCAGCACCTTCAGAAAGTCACTAACATTACATCTTCAGGCCCCTCCTCTGCCGGTACTATCCGTATGGTCCGTAAGAGCGACGCATCGACTCTCGTCGAAGGCAAGAAGCGCAAGCTCGACACTGTCCAGGAGACCTCCGACAAGGAAAATGATACGCCTGCGGACGACAGCTACCGATCTGCGAAGAAGATGAAGCCTATGCCTGCTACACCTTCGAAGACACCTGCTGGCTCCAGCAAAGTTGCACGCAAGACACCGAGTCGAGGCAGCGCCATTAGCAAGTCACGACTTGCCTTCCTGGCCACACCCAAGCGTGGCAAGGCCTGAGGCCACCATTCTTGAACCTTGTTTCTTGCATTTTCAAGCTTTCACAGGGGAGCGCATTGCCGCTTAGCTTCCAGGCAGCAGTTTCCCTTCTTCATCGTCTCATCCGTCTCTTCTCTTTCCTATGTCACGACATCTGAACGGCAATGCTTGGCGAAATGGTGTACATCGGACGGTCAAAATTTCCTTTTCTCTCGGTGTCATGTCTCTTTTGGAGTTAAAACCCATGACACGACCTTCACGAACATACTTATAGCGCGCATTGTGTACCATATAATGATTGAATGGACAGCCTGATTCACACTACTGTGTCATGTGGACTGACACGTCTGATCTGTAAGGATACCCTGGCATTGTGACAAGTGATCGTCGATCGACTGCTATGCTCGTACTCGGTTTCTGTGCCTCCAGGCTGTGTCGATTGATCTGAAACTGCTCTAATCAACTGGCCGTGAATTGTGCTATGCATGGAGTTTGTACTGGAAAAAGCTTGTGGAACTGTAGAAGTGAGACTAAGCGTGGACCCTTCTTTCGAGTCTCGCGTGTGCGGCTGCGGGCATTTTCCGAGAGTCGACGTCAGGCCGCTTCAACATTTGGCCGATCAACAAGCACTTCGCAGGCTTACAGAACCCCACCCTTCAGCATTCACCAGTGCCAGCACTTTCCCAGCTGCTTACTACGTCATTCTGAAAGCACGCGCTAGCCTTGCTCTATCTTTGGCAAGGCGAGTGAATACTAGCTGTTCACCGTGGCGTCGCTAAATACTCTGCTCGACGACGTAAAGAGGTCGTTCGACTTTCTCAAGAACCATCCTGCTCTCGGCGCAACATCAACTACCTCGAATACTGAGAATCAAAATCTGTCTACAGACGTTTTCTCGAAGATCACCAGATACTTGCAGCACGCGAGCGCAAACGACCTCGTCGAGTTTGTCACAAACCCTCGCTTCGACGACCCAGCCTACCTCACCACACTCGCCGTCGCACTTGCGGCAGTCTTCGTCACTATGTCCTGGTTCTCTCGCGCTGGTGGCAGCGGCGGTGGCAGTTGGGCAGGACGCTTCTCACCCTTCGGCCGTCCAGGCAACTCGCCGAATTCGGGTGTGGTCAACGACTCGGACTTCTCATACATCACCAACGAAGACCTGCGGAGAAACGGTGCTGCCCAGGCTCCTGAGATTGTGGATTGGGACGACAAAAACCCGGAGCGCGAAACCGATGTCTTGATCTTCAAGGAGAAGCGCACGAATTACCCCACACACTTTCCCGCGCACAGCATACGCGATGGAGATCTCAAGATCGGCACCGTGCGACAGGCGGCAGCGAAGAAGCTGGGCATCGACGATCACCGGCGGATACGCATGTTCTACAAGGGCCGGAACCTAAAGCACGACGAGCGCAGCGCCCGCGAGGAGGGTCTGCGAGGCGACGGAACCGGCAGCGAGATTCTCGTCACCATTGGCGAGGCTCCTGCCGGAGGATTCGCGCCAGGTGCTGAACACTCAACCCAGCGTGCATGGAGCGAAGGCGAAGACGAGGAAGACGACGACGATGACGACGGCGACTCCGGCGCAAACACTGGAGGCAAGAAGAAGTCCCGCAAGCGCGGCGGCAGGAAGAGCAAGAAGAAGGGCCCAGCGTCCGCCAACGCATCCGGCACCTCCACCCCAGGCTACGTCGGCCAGGGCGCAGGCTCCGAATACCTCCCCATACCCTCCCACATCAATGCGCAACCCCGTCCTACCTCCGCGCCCCCATCAGCTCCTCGTCCAGCTGCGCCCCAGACCCCGTCTGCGAAGCTCGACGCCATCGCCAGCAAATTCCGCACCGAGTTCGTACCGGTTGCTATCCAGTACATGAACAACCCGCCGCAAGAAAAGGCAAAGCGCGAGTTTGAGTACAAGAAGCTGAGCGAGTCTATTCTCACGCAGATCATCTTCAAGCTGGATGGTGTGGAGACGGAGGGCGATCAGGAGGCCAGGTTGCAACGGAAGGCGCTGGTCAAGGAGGTGCAGGGCATGTTGAATAAGTTGGATGAGGTTGGCAAGGCTGGTTAGATGGCGGAAATTGAGATTGAGGATAAGGGGTTTGCTTCGTGTCCATCTTTTCGAGGGAGTGTGATAGAATGGTATCGATATAGGCGTCTAGATAATGGCGCTGAATGGACGCACGAGAATGAAAGTAATTCTCGAGATTTTTTCTTCTTCTATCTCTAGTAACATGAGTCCGTCAGAGAGGTTTTGATTAAAACTGCGCTAGGGTTCTTCGGAAAAGAACGAAGACAGTCTGCTCATGCTTGCTGGAACTAGAGTGACGGAAATAGGTAGGTGACACTCCATCAACTGCACACTTTACACTCACGATTATCATTCGAGTCTGAGAAACTTAACGCAGAGGGATGTTCAGTGACACATGCCTTGCGAAATTGGCTCGAGCATAGAACTCTGGACAATGTATACATTGTTCAACGACGGACAATCAGTCTTCAACGGCATCTAGTCCTCTCAACAAAATGCATCAGTACATGGACTCGACAAGACAAGAATGTACAAAAGAAAACAATAACCAAGCAATTCGGATTCCTCGATAACTCATTTGATAATCCCCACAAGGACAAAGCCTGGCGGATTTAAGTGTTTTCGAGACGACGAACTCGGAGTGTGGAAATGTTACCAAGTGCTATGATCTAGATGTAAATTCCAATCGAAAATATCATGAACGTATACTCAAAGACTATCAATCTCGACGAAGAATCAACGCTGTGGTACTACTTCTCGTTTGATGTGCAAAACTGCACTTCAATCACACATGCGTGTCGAGGGAAATTGAGCACTGACATCACTCGCTGTCGAAATAGAGTGAATGTGAAGACGTAACGGAAACAATCATAATGTAGTTAGTGATGATCAACCGCCGAAGCACGAACCCATGAGGATGTTGCCTCGTGTTAATGCAGGCCTTTGCTCAATATCAACGGAGCGAGTTGTGGCGGAGAGAGGGCAGTGCGTATCAGCCGTCGTAGTAACCCACTGCGAAGGAATACGTACGAGTTAGCGTTGACCAACTGCTCAGATGTAAGGCCAGTCCCCGAGGAACTTTTCCCGCAGAACATGCCCAAGGAGTCGTTTGATGCAGCAGACATCGCTTTCGTTCTCCTCGACGCCCGATGCTTCTCAATTCTTCGCAAACTCACGTCGGGCTTTCTACCCCATCTGGCATTCTACAACAAACACCCCATCCCGGTACACTCATATATCGCAACAATCAGCAGTTTCCCCATCAGATCTTGAATCACGTTGTTAGCCCGGTCGTTCAGCTAAAGCAGTGCTCAAATTCAACTAATTTTATCCCAGGTTCGCTACACATCTTTTCTGTTCTGGTGTAGGGCTTCGGTTCTATTGGGGTCTCTTTTTTGCTGATTTGGACTGCCATGAAGGGCACTGTGATGCATGCGAAGGTGCAGGGCAATCTTTGTGCGGAGGAGGTGGTTGTCTTCGGATGGGGGGTTGGAGTGTTTTGACAATAGGCAGAAGCATTGACTTGATATGAGAGTGGTAGAGGTGGAAGTATAGTTGTGGAATTTGTGGAGCTTGGTTGGGCGGAGAATAGCGGTGTTGGTGTTTTGTAGATGAAAGGGTGGGTCAACGAATCTGTTGAATGGAAACCTGCGCTCACTGAGCAGCTCCACCGTGCAGTTTTACATTAGACATAATATGTGAACTTACTTGTTTATCTGCAGCTCGTTACTTCTCAACAAATTGCGAGCCAATAAGTGTACTCCTCTAATTGATGCTTATCAGCATCCGAGACTCTGCCGTAGTGCTTATTTCAGCGGTGAAGCGGCTACGAAGAATCATATTGAAGGTTCTGAGAAGGTGTGCGTGAATGTTTTAGGTGGGTCATGCGTAAGCTTTGCTTACTATCTTGTTGTATTGCAGGTTGACGTGGACCTAGTTCTGACGGAGAAAGCCGTCACTGTTTGCTTAGCTTGTTTGATGGACTTGGGACTTGTTGCTGTTCAAATTCTCTTCGTGCGTACGCATGTTGCTGAAAAGATTCACTGATGGTTTCCGAGCGCGCGTGCTCTGAAACACTTGAGTGTATCGGAGAGTCTCCAGGCGAAGAGGTACAGAACAATGTGCACAAGAATGAGGAATAAGTAGTAAATGTTATGCACTGCTTACATCCATTGGACCTCTGTTGCACCAGTCTACTCCATACACTATCCAATCGCCATCACACTTGATCACTACGCACGTAAAGAGCAACGTACCACACTCCCATACTCTGGTACAGTTTCGGCGCCGATGGCTGAAGTAACGGGAGAAGTCGCCCAAGCCTTCGGGAACCGTTGACCCGACAGTGACAGAGAGCAAGGGCTAAGACGATCCCTCTAGATCCTTGCGTCGGTCAAACCTTGACTTAGCGGCACCCTGCATGTCACCGTGGGGGTGGGGTGATGCCATAGCGGCCATGACCACGTGCTAGCGTGTTGATGCATGGGTGTGGCGCGTTGTAGGTTACTTAGTGCATGTGCGTGGCGTAGCAACCGATCTGTTTCAATATTGGATAGGTGGAGATGAGCAAGAGGGAAACTTGGATATTGTAGATGATGCGTGCAAGTAGATAAGAGTGTCATTGTGTGCTTCACTTCAGAGACCACACACCGTTCTCCTCAACGATCTCAATCGGTCGGCTCTCGTCTAGTGATCTCCTACCTGCCTCCAAAATAGCAGTGGTAGCGATTGTGTTCTTGAGAGTAGGTAGTGGACGTGCGTCGAGCTGCTCTAGGGTGAGCTTCCCCTCGTTCAGGCCGGTCACAGCGTCGATGAACTTCTCGAAGGAGATGTAGCCGTAGCCGGTCTGTCCCGCAAAGTTGCCCTCCTCGTCTGGCGCGTACTTCATGTAGAAGCTGTGGGCGGTCAGCGTCTACCGAAAATATGGATATCTGCCAAAACTTACGGGTTGTACCAGAGCAGGCCGGTGTCATCGTCAGTGACATCGTAGCCTCGCTTGGCCTGGTTGACGCGAATTTCTCCTTTGGACGCCATGTAGTGGAAGTACTGATTTGAGTGTACGCCAGCCTTTTGTGGTGCTGCCCATCCTGCTGTGTACACACCGGTGGCACGCTTGCTCGGGTCATCCTTCTTTACCCAGTCGGTAAGCAGGGTAATGGTGTCTTCAGTAGAAGGGTCGCAGCCAAGATTGGTTGCGATACCTTTGGCTCCGCTGGCCATAACGCGAACTGGCTTGTAATCCGGTATCATGGACTCGTTTATGTCGACGTGATGCGAATTGAGGTAATATGAGATATCGCTGTCCTTGCCCGCCCATGCCTTGAAGGTTTCGAGTTGGCTCCTGCATGTATTTTTTAGCAGCTTCGCGTCAGAGCAGGTATGAAAAATGCCTTACTTTGGCTGACTCATGTACGAGTAAAAGTAGTTGAAATCGCCCAATTTCTGTGCCCGGAAACGCGCATCAGCGTATGCAGGGTCGTAGCGCTTGTGGTGCTCAATGTACACGAACACATTGTGTTTCTTTGCAAGTGCCATGAGGTCCTGGTGGTGCTCGAGTAGCTTCACTGCTGGCTTGGTGATGAGGACGTGGATACCGCGCTCGATCGCGTATTGAGCGATCGGATAGTGAGTGGTGTCGGGCGTGAAGATTGTGACTAGGAGAAATTAGCAGGGTGTTTTATCTGAGAACTGACAGCACACAACTTACTTGCGCTGCCTTTTGGTAAAGCGTCGATTGCGGTCTTGTACGCATCTGGGTCTGTTTTGCCCTCTTTCGGGTATTCGTCGAAGGACACGTCTAGACCGTTGTAGGCTTCAGAGATGTTCTTCTGCAAATGCTCCCCTACGCAACATGAGCATGACAAGTCAATCGGATAGGGAGCTCACAACTCACGGATTGCAGAGAATTTGCCTCCAGAGACTCCCACCATGGAGAGCTTTCCAACCTTCCCACGCTTTCGAAGGTCGAAAAGGGTCAAGCCCACAACGCCGACTTTCTTGTCAGACTTGGACGCACCTCCACCGACAAATCCCGTCGTATACTCGCCGGTACCGACCTGTCATTCTTGTCAAAAACATTGCACTTATAGACGACACATGAGCGGGGCAACAGTACCATGAGAACTTCTGGAGGCGCCATGGTAGCTGTTCTTAATGTTTTCGGACAATAAATAGGTCAATGGCACTTGTCTTCAGCTTCAGCTACAATTTCCAAAGAACAGCAAGGTGACCGACGCTCAATGCTGTGGAGGCGCATTCACTACATTCGACACGCGCAGACGCCGCGGCATTTGAACCACACCGAGCTTGGTCGAATAGGGCAAGCTGGAATTACATTTCCCCCGTAGCGACATGAGGGGCACTTGGAGGGGCTGAGGCGCTCACGGTAGGATGCAATTTTCCCGGCTGCCGCGGCCGGATGTCGTTATGTGTTCCAAACAATGATTGAATTGATGACAGCTGTTTAAGCGGTGCGTTTGTTGCAAAATTTAGATGATTAGAAGCGGCGGCACTGGTGAATTGGAACGCGTTGCTGCTCAGCGTTCGGACGTGTAAGCTGACGCAGCTCCGAGGTGTTAATGCCACCTTCCCCAGGCCAAGAAACAGAGGTGATCCCTTCCCTTGTGCCCCCACACTGCTGTGCCACGTGCTATTGGTGGAGAAATGTGCTGACTTCTTCCGTCTCTGCCTTCAAGACGTCGGTCTGCAATGTTTGTCGTCCCAACCCTGCCACAGACGGTATTGCTATCCATGGGTCATGGAGGTTTAGTCACCAGCCCCGAGGAAAAAGCCGCATCACGTCCCGCAACCTCGCGCAGTTGTCCCCCGAGGTGTCAGACGGCCCACAGCCCCTTGCACGCGACGTAGGATCTAGCCACGCCGTTTCACAGTTATGTCGTCTCTGGCGAATCGACGATGCGCATCTGACAGGATCGCGACGACGTTAGAGTTCTCATAGCGTGCGAAATAAAGGTGGGATGGATTTGGGCTCTGCCGACCTAGCTCCTCTGCTTTACTTTACGCCGATTGACATCCATTCCGCAGTTATATTAAAGCTGACCGAACCCGTCTGTGTCCGTTATTACTGAGTGTTCCATCCTCTTTCCCGAGTTCACCACCTGCTGCTTCATCATCTTCTAAGCACTTCCTCGACACAACGCAAGTATGACTTCCAACAACGGGACCAATGGCCACAGCAATGGGCAGAACAAGGAGCGTACACCCCTGCGAGCGGGCATCTACTCGCCAACTATGACCTTTTTCGACCCCGAGACCGAAGAGCTGGACATTCCTACCATCAAGAAGCACGCTGTCAGGCTTGCACAAGCTGGCCTCGTGGGTCTTGTAACTATGGGATCGAATGGAGAGGCCGTCCACCTCTCGCGAGCGGAGAAGGCCACAGTCACGCGAGCGACCAGGGAAGCACTGGACGAGGCTGGTTACCAAAACGTGCCAGTCTTGGTAGGAGCTTCTGAGCACGGCATTAAGCTCACTATTGAGCTCTGCAAGGAAGCAGAAGCTGCGGGCGGCGAATATGTCCTCATTGTACCTCCAAGTTACTACCGCTATGCCATTGACGAGGACGCAATCGTCGAGTATTTTACAAAAGTCGCAGATGCCTCGCCACTTCCCGTAGTCCTCTACAACTACCCCGGAGCTGTTGCTGGAATCGACATGGATAGCGATCTCATCATCAAGCTTGCCCAGCATCCTAACATCGTTGGCACAAAGTTCACATGTGGCAACACTGGAAAACTTACACGCGTTGCACTGGCTACAGACGCGTGTACGACAAAGAGCAATGGCAGCGGCTACATGGCTTTCGGTGGAATGGCAGACTTCACTGCTCAGACTGCTGCTAGTGGCGGCTCCGGAATCATTGCCGGGGGAGCAAACGTCCTTCCAAAGACTTGTGTCAAAGTATGGAACCTGTGGGCCGAAGGCAAATATGACGAATCCATTGCACTACAGAAGGTGCTCAGCAAGGGTGATTGGGTGTTGACGAAAGCTGCCATTCCTGGAACCAAGTCAGCTATTCAGTCATACTACGGCTACGGCGGATACCCCCGCCGACCACTCAAGAGGCTTCCGAAGGAAAAGGTTGATGCGGTCGCTGAAGGCATCCGCGAGGTCATGGAAGTTGAGAAGAAGTTATAAAGAAATCTGACACGTCTGCTCTGTGATTTCCCGACTTTGCCTTTATGATGCTGCGGAGCACGTCAATTCTCAGACGGAGGCTAACGTGTTCAATACTCTACATTTGTTCAATCAAGGCTTTGAGGTCACCTACTGCGATTGCAGATGCGCTTTCGAGTGTCCATCACGCAGATCCCCTGCTTGGCACATAGTGCGACCAGTGATTAAGCTTCTTTGCTAGTTGTGCATAACACCGAGCACGATGCCGCTACTTTATTATACCTACATATTATACCCGGTGCTTCAATTGCTTAATCTTGCCCCACATGGGCGTGGCGTAGTCGCGCCTGCCTTTTGGCAAAAGACAACGTCACGTGCACAGACTGACAGCTCCTTCCTTACATATAGCCTCAAACTTGCCGCCGCCAAACAAACTATCTCACCTCACCACATCGCGCCCCTCGCACGGGCACACTCACCTATTTACACTGCGCATCCTCAACACTTTGGCACACTTTGCGTACCTTCCTTTGTTGGAAGACGGCATCATAAACACGAGCGTATTCCGACCCTGGGAGCTACCTATATGATAGCATCCTGGGTTCGGGTGAGCGAAAGGTCACCATTGTCATACAGCTATCGGGACATTGTACCGTGCGGAGTCAGGAACTGTATGTGACATCGAACTCATCAAGAGCTCTATTTTAACATTAACCATGTATAGAACAACCGAACAGCATACGCTCGAATGAGAACCAATCCTCTGCGCTCATCAAAACCAAATATCCAAACACCTGGCATATAATCGTCGCTTCAAACCCGTGATCTGCTGGCAGAATTTTGTTACCAGACCCAATCCGTACTCTTACAAAAATGGACAACCACCAGACTACCGCAGATTGTCTTAAGCGATTTGCACCCTTGAACTAACCCAGGATATCACGTTCAATACAAAACGCCCTGCGCCACTACATCACCGATCTCAAATTGCAAGGCCATTTCCGAGACTAGTCCATCGATACAGCGAAAGCACTTCTCGTCGTTTCGCTGGCGTCATTTCTCGAGCGTGGCCATGACCCTTGATCTGCGCCAGGGTCGAGATCATGACCTTTCGGAAATTCCTCTGATACTCAGTGTTGAGAGTAACTACTGCAGCTTCGTGCGCTCGAACAATGGTCTCGCATGCTCTGATGACCCCGTCATTCGTCTCGGTAGACAATTTGTCGGCCAGAAGGAGCAAAATCAAACTGCCTTGCAAGAGATACTGCTCTGTGTTAGCTATGCTCCTTTCATATCAACATGTGGAGCAGCATTTGCAATGGATTGCAGATGCGAAGCTACCGGAGAAATTGAAGACTTACCATTCCAAACAGATACGGCATAAAAGACAGATCTGGATCCAGATCGAGGATCTCCCCAACAGCGTGTGCAGCCGAAATTGCACTTGAAGTTGCGGCGAGGAAATTCTGCGAGCAAATCCACATGTTGTCGTCCTCGAGAAGTGCGACAGGGTCCCACTTGCCGTGGAGCAGTATATGCAAAACATGCATGATATGTGTCGCGTATGCAGCAACCTTCCGCGTTTGGTGTGTCCATTCGCTACGAACGGGGTCCGGGCTCGTCGTCTGTTGGTTCTCTTCGCTTGGTCCACAGCCGTGCTGGGCTTTGAACTCTTCAATGCTGTACGCATACCTCTCCAATTGGCGCCTTATCTCAGCTTCGTGGAGTTCCCAGGAATTTCGTTGTCCGAATCTAGGGTGGTTCTTCTGTGCGTTCAAGTCGACGATATCACCGAGAATTGTCATCAGAGGAAGGAAGAAGCCGAAGACATCGTGCGAGGTGCACTGGAAGTTTAATCCCTTGGTGCGCGGTCCAGAGTGGCCAGTGTAAAACTCGCCAGCCTGCCACAGGGTATCAGCAACCGGCTGAAACAAGTCCTCGCATTCGTTGTCCAGCATCGCAAGTGGTCGGTTGTAACAGAGGCCAAGATGTCGGTCAATCATGTAAAGTAGCCACCAAAGTCGCCGTCTCTCTTCTTTCATCTCTTCAATCACAGCTGCTGCTGGAGTACCAACAGGGACCTGTACGCCTGAGCGAGAGCAATCCGTTAAATCCATTTCGCCGCTTTCGGATGTATGCGGATCCCGCTCCTTCACTGAATCTTGAGGCATTTCCCTACCGAGTTTGAGCTCTCTGGCAAGCGACCACGCCGCGTTCCACCATCGCAGAGATGCTGCTTTATACTCGCTTGCAGATGTCACGACTCCGAGATTCATGTAGGTCGCGATGTCGTCTAGAGTGCTTGTTGGAGGCATAGCTCCGTCAGGTCGGCCGTCGTAGCGTCCCATCACCCGATCGACGCGGAAGTTATCATGTGCTGCTGCTGAAAGTCCGGAACCAGGAGCGAATCCGTGGGACGACGGAGAGTGAACTAGAGGCTTAAGCAGATCGACTGTCAATTTCCACAGCTTCTGACAGATGGTGGACCTCGCAGATGGCGACGAAGTCAAATAGCTGGCCTCGCTAGTCTGAGCAGCTATCCACAACATGCTCGCTAGCAGTGCAGGACTGCACTTGCGAGGCTTGTGTTGCCGCAAGAATGACCGTTTCCTGAAAACGGAGCCGAGTATGTAAGGCGACGTGGGCTCCATGAATACCGATGACGAACTTTGGAAATAGTATTCGAGGAGGTCGCAGGCGGTCGAGACTGTCATGATGGTACCAAGGTGTGGAATCAGCGGCTTCAGTACAGGGTACCTGCACGGCACCAAACCACCACCTCCATTCTGGGAGGAGCTGACGCTTACTCCTGACCCAGGAGATCCCGTGTCTACGGAGCCGTAACTGTGTGGTGAAGACTGCCTCGCTCCAGCCTGGTACTGAATGGAGTAATTTGCCATATTCGCATATTCAGGCGGAACCTGTCCGTTCTGTTCAGGAAGCAGATGCATGCCATTCATAGCATACATCAGCTCGCCTCTTGGCATTTCAGCATGCATCGATGAGTATGCCGCGCCAGAACCGAGAAGCAAAGGATCTATCATCATGTGGTTGACGGGCGTTTCGAACTGGGCGCCTGGTGATTGTCAGCGCCGACGTAAAACACGGACATTGTAGTAATTACCTGGATGCATCGCTCGCCACTCAGCCTGCGGCGCGCTGTGTAGAGCTTTGCTTGATGGGAATTGTGGAACTACTGGCGTTGCTTCTGATTGAGACCACACCTCCTCGTCCATTTCCGAGAGACTAGGTCTCTCGAAGTACCCATTGCCCTGCGCCAACCCAGGTGTTTGCGGGCTGTGTCCTGCAGCAGCGGCCTCCTCTCGCTGTTTCTGAATGTGACGCGGCACCTTGCACAGTCAGCTTCCAAGTCGCGGGGCAACAAGTGCTGAACATTTGTACAGCTTGGACTGTTGTTGTCGTAGTGGTCTACAATAGAGCAGAGACGTGTTGCATTAAGGAAGGAATACACACCTTTCCGCGGCGTTTCTTCTCGCGATTGTACTGGCAAACGTACTCCAACTCGACACAGCGAGAACACGGTGACTGGCCGTTACACCTGGTTCGCATGCGGTGGCAGTGGTCGCAGGCTCGGCTTACTCGTCGCTTGACGGGTGCAGAGCTCCTGCGTTCAAGTTTCGGTATGTCTGTGGTGGCGGGGTCCATGGTGGCCATTGTTGTTTGTCGAAAAAAAGAAACAGGTGTCAGTATCGATTGACTCGAGGAGTCTCGACTTCAAAGAGCGGGAGGAAGCGGTCAGACAATGGGAAAATCTGGGGACGGTCATGCGTTACTTGGGGAGCATATGTGGGCCCTCGGAGCGTTAGTGCAAAGCAGTTCCGACCTGGAGGAATCCTGGTCGCTGAAAGCCACGATCTGAATCTTCTATGCGTCCATGCGTCTTCGAGAAGCGAGATCACCTCGAGCGTAATATCAGAAGACGCAATCGTTAATTCCACCACCCATGGATGTATGGAACGTCTCCAGGATTGGCTTGCCGATCTTGGAGGGCACTTACGGTCGGCACCTGGTTTTCGGCGACGCCACCTTAATGTGCTCCTCTCGACAGGCCATTCACAGCGTCTACGGCTAAACTCCCTAGACCAACAGGGGTTCAGGATAAAGACGCACACTCCCCCGCATTGCCAGGCTAGAGAACGACCCTTTCTGCGCGGGTCAGAGGTCCGCTTGAGTGCACGTCAACACCCGTCTCGTCACTACCGCTTGGCTACGCCTTCTAGCACCTTGTGCCCGCCTCGTCAAGGCCGTAGCTTGAGGGCGCTGGAAATCCCCAGTGGTGCCTTGCGTACTAACAAGGGGATGAAATCTATATCATGTGCCTGTTATAGCTATATCTGATCACCCTAATGCGACTACTAACGCGCACGATTTGGTAATGCTAAAGCCTGCTGAAACGGGCTCCATACCGATCCCAGGTATGCTGGACGAACACATGGTGATTAACTGGAAGACGTCAGGGCATCACTGTTGTGGACGCAAGCCCGCTCCGACGCCATGAAACAGCTGCCAGTGGCACCAAACGAGCCTCGCGTGTGCTTGGTGCTACCAGCGTCGCGGCGAATGACGTCCTGGCTGGCCCACTTTTGGGTACCCACCTCTGAGGGCCCACTTTTAGTGCCATAGAAGACAAAGACAGGTGTTCGAGAACTCGCATGTACCTTGGTAGCAGGTCGCGCCCAAAACACAGCGACAGGGCCTTCCGTGAGTACTAACTACTGGTGCGTAACTGCTGAAAATTTATGGGGCTACCATTTTGGTAGTATGCAAGCGCAATTACCTCCGGAGAAGGAAGCTGGACAATGTTGCAATGTTGTGGGGTTGCTGACCCAGTGCTTACATGCACTGCGCGCCTGGCTCGACAATGTATCCGCCCGAGGTCACCGCACAACACGACGAGAAGCCCATCACAAGATGTGACATACTGTCCTGGTCTGGTAAGCGTGAAATGACAAGATAGCCACCGAGGGTGTTCCCTTTCGTCGGCTATGCGTTGTCGACTACCACTTCAATGTGAAGCATGAACCTTTAGTTGCCTCACATGCTGCTACAAATTCCAGGAGACACCCCTCCTGGCTGTAGGGCTGGTCGCACATCCCAACCGATTACTAGTGATACCAACACAGACGCCGGTCTATGAGCAGTCCATCTTAACTTGAAACAAGTCACTGGTGCAAAGGGGAAGAGCTGCTTTGCTCCATGCGTTGATCTTCACGCCACATCCCCAGTTCCTCTTCACATGCAAAGGCGTGGCTTTATGCAGATGTGCAACGAAGGATTCGTGCTGACAGCGCACACCGGCCCGCCCACAGCTCGCGCAAACAGAAATGCAAATTCTCGGGTGGTGATTCGTGGATTTGTTGGTTCACATCGAGAATTGCTGGAGCATTACTGCAGGCTACGAGCACGAGGTCACTGCGGAGAGCCACCTTGCATCCTGCGCTGCGTCGCGGCAGAACTGTGCGCAATCTGCTTCCTTAACGCTGCTGCAGTATCGAGCTGCATGTCTCGGGGTGCAGGGCGCGTCTTCGCATTGGCGCAGACCCCTTGAGTCTCCTCTCCCACAGAAACAAGCAACCTGGAAGCACAACGCACGCCGCAAGCTCTGCTGTGGAGCCCAGTACTTCAGTAGTTCCTCCCATGATGGGTCAAGCGGTCACGGCCGTTTGACGGCTTCCGGTTAGGTGGACCCGCACGATTCGTTGGGTCCTGGCCGCTAATCAGCAGCCAGCCTCGAGGTAACCCTGAGGTTCTCCACAAACGCTAATATGTGGCTCTTCTGCTCAGCGCCGACTCTAAGCCTGTTCGGTCCAGCGCTAAGTAGTGGACCAAAATGCTTCACCGAGGCTTCGGCCCCAAACTCTGAACGGCACGGCTTCCCCACATACCGATGTCATGTCCTGTGCTTCACCATGGCCTGGTATGGCCACTTGTGTTAGTCTCGGCGATTGCCTGGCGCAATAGGTTTCGTGAGCGGGCACAGAGGCATACGACAAACAGAACTCTGTGGAAATGACGGATGCGATAGATATATTGTGAGCGGTTAGATTAAGGGTCCAACACTTGGCGCCTTCGCCGAGTATCCACCAGGAAATGTCACCGAAGACCAGCTTAATTAGGACAGATGCCTTTGACCGGGATTGTTACAATCCGGCATCACGAGGTTTGGTACCGACGTCGCACGAGCTGCAGGAGAAACTGGGCTGGGGAGGTGCTGCCACGCTCTGACCGCAAGTCTGGAGGCCTCGAGGTGGGTGGTCTTTCACCCCAGGTTTTCCGCCTATCAGTTCCCGGGTCACACAATGCATGCAGTCATAACGGGAAGAACATCTCGGCTGAGCGGAGCGGCGTCTACGAAGCGATGCCGCAAGCCCTGTCCATCTTATACCTCACTCCCCTCTGTTATACCCTCTTGTTCTATAAGGACCCACACAGCCCTCGCACAATGGTACTGCAATGTTGGGATCAAGCATCAAGAGTAGCCTGTCTGTCCAACGCCTCGCCTGGGCAAAGGTAAACCGGCTATGTTCGAATTGCCCCAGACTCATACTTGGGCACAGCCCCAAGACCCGTTGTGGTTAGAAGCAACAAAATACATTGCAAATAAACACACTTAGGCAAGCGCTTCTCTCCGCGCTAAGCGAGACCAATTCAAGATCATGCAGAAAGCTGCTGCATCGCAGAGTTCGTGTGGGGATACGCAAGGGTCCGAGCAACACCTCAATGGGCAAGCACCAAGGAACAGGTCAAGGCAATGCGTTCCGGAGCCGATGTTTGATGAGGGAATCTCAACGACGACGAACGAGAACGCGAGTGCGAAATACCTCACACTAATTGACAAGGTCAAGGTTGGTATTGCTGATCACAGGCAGTGCATCACTTGATCGTTTGACCGATGAGTAGGCAACCATGACCTGCGAAAATCACCTGACACATGATAAACGTCAAATGCTTTTCATACCTCAGCCATGCACGCAATATACCGCAACGCCTCTCTCGAGCGCTGATGCACAGTGGCAAAGTAGATCAAGGGGTCGCCACGTGTGTACCACGCACACCGTAAGCAACAATGTCTATTCTGGTCGATCACCAACACTGTATAACACGACCGGTCAAGTGGCGATCGATCATATCGTCGAAGCCGGACGGCATTATTGATGTGTTTGGGACTACTGCACGACAGCCCAATGACTGTTGGACCCAAGACGTTAGAAAAATCGAAAGGAACTGTTTTCTCCCGCAATCGGCTCGGTAATCTCAGGCAGCCCTCCAGGGATACGGCCACTTCCAATAGTGGGTCCTTGTAAGACATGGGACCAGCAGATTTGCATGCGATCTTGATTTAGTATTGGGACTGGGAATAATGCAGGCAATTTCGTTGAAGTGCGCGGAAGCGTAGGTGTGAGACTAACTGGTGAGATCAGCGGCGCAGGGACTTGATGGACGTCAGGCATTGTATCAAGGTGTCCCGGAGAAGTATTCAGAGGTATTGGTGTACGGAAGGAGGATTATCGCATCATCAACGGGACGGCACATGAGTAATTTCTTTTTTCTGACTTCGGGCAGTTATCGTTGGACTCAGTCCACTGTGGCAAAGAGTCCGAACGACTTCCTCTCGTCCGCTAGGTATTGCTTACAACCTGCAGGTGAGTAACAGTCAGCTGGGATGTCGTGATCGTTTCAGGTACTTGTTCATTTCCCCCCCCCCCCCCCCCATCCCCAGCCAGCATACCAACTGTACAGCCACGATTCGTAAGGTATGACAAAACTGTCCCGCCCGCTACCGCTCATCTCCCGTTCTCCACTTTCCGAAAACCGCGTCGTCAAGTCAGGCCATGCTGACTACCAGGTAATTAGGAAATCTTATCACTTACTCACTTCTCACTTTTTGCGGCATCTTCCTTCATGCCCTTCTGTACCCACGCGCGGCTCTTGGCCGCATACTCCTCCATCTTCGTCTTATCCTTGAGCAGCTCCTTGATCGTGTGCGGATCGGGTACGTGGCGACCCTTCTCGACGCCCGGACGTGCCGTCATGCGTTCTTCCCAGGCCTTGAGCGTGGGGAATTCATCGATGTCGATGCCCGCCCATCCGGCACTCGCGATCCAGCCGTAGTGCGCGAGATCTGCGTAAAAGATGCATGAGTGATGTGGATGACGCAGGGGGGGGGGTCGATGCTTACCAGCAATAGTGCACTTCTCGCCCATAATGTACGGGCGGTTGTCGGCAGCGAGATGCTTGTCCAACACGCCATATAGACGGCGCGTTTCGTTCTGGTATCGGTTCACGCCGTATTCGATGTGCTCGGGAGCGTACCGTGTGAAATGGTCTGTGTGAGATTTTCGCGTTAGCTTGCTGTTCAGTACAGTAATCGCTCCACATGCAGCGAACTGTAAGATTCCGGCGTAGATCCGGGAACGGGCGGAAAGGACACTAAGGAGACTATCGTTTGACCTTCTGCTGGTAAGACGGGTTGCCGGCCGGGATATACGTGGTGTGCTTTTTTTTCGTCGAGTGGGATGTTGTCCGACGGGTGGCCGTCTCCGAGATTACGCCCTTGTCAATTTGGGGAGGCGGGATCTTGGGGGCGGTGGATTTGTCTGGAGCTCAACCGTTTGGGCGGACAGCTTGTTTCAAGGATGTTGTGCGTGAACTTCTGCAACGTTGGTGGATCTGATGGCAAATAGGTGATTTCCCTAGAAGGGACTATCGATTCACTCGGTAACTGCCACAGCCTCACTCCCTCTATGACAAATAAATAGTTTGTACTTACTTGCTTGTCCTTGCATTGGGCCTACACCAGCGTTCATGAAGAATAGCCAGTTGTTCATCTCGTAGTACTCCCTCGTGCCTTTGGGGAAACTGATCTTGTACTCCGTGTCGTAGCGCTCAACGAGGTACTGCATGATGCCACCGCTCTCGAAGAGGTTGATGGGCTTTCCATCGGTGAAGGTGTCAGTCAAAGCTGGAATCCTGCCATTCGGATTGATGGCTCGAAACCAGGGCTCTTTCTGAGTGTCCTTGCTGATGTCGATCTTGTGCACTTTGTAGGGGAGACTGGGTTAGATGTTAGAATTTGTGCTAGAGTCATTTAATGTCCATCGATTGAGCTTTCATAGATAGTAGGATAGTTCGAACTATCTTCCACTTTCTTTCTGTAATCCTCCTGCGGTATTTTCTGCTAGGGTGCATCATGACACCCCCAACTTCAGTCTCCTCGACCAAAAATATCCCTCGTTTCTTCTCAGCTGAAGGGCAACTTGTAGAGTTCTGATACCAAACTTTCACATTGCGGACTTCTAAGATCCAATAATGAGTAAGAAATGACAACAATAACTTACCCTAGCTCTTCGAGCGTGATGGAGATTTTGATGCCATTGGGCGTTTGTGTAGTGTACAAAGTGATGTCAGAATTCTGGGAAGACATGATGTTCTGTAGATAGCAATACGTAGTCAGTTGTCGTAGTATTGCAGTCTGAAGTCTTGTGAAGATGGCGTTTGTTAGTTCGAGTGGGGTCAGAGAGGGGCAACTATGACGATTTGGGAGCTGATTAGAAATGTAGTAGTGCCGAGCTACGGACTTAATACTCTACGGAGTGTTGGACATCTTGTATATGACTCGAGTTTGGTTCGCATTGCAACTGTATTTGCAAGCAAGTTCTATGAGTTCCAAAAGTGTTGTATTGGAGAGCAGGACGCATAGGAGATTCGGGCATGCCAAAGATAATTCGCAGTCTCCAAAAAGAACGATGAGAAGTCGACTTGACTGCGATCCATCCTATTAGTGCAATAGCAGGATCCCATAGGTCTGGAAAGACACTCTGACTCGAAGGCACGTGCGGAAAGCGGCAGCCTATCAGCACGTGACTACCCTCGATAAGCAGCAAACGGACTAGCCGATATTCATCCGCCTCCTCGAAAGCTTTCTACGCGACTTTCCTAACACCTCACCCTCATCCCCTCACCATCAACTCACACAGCAATCATGTCTTGGCGCAACCAGGGCATCACCGGCTCGAACAACATTCCGCTTGGAAATCGTCGTCGCTTCGGCGGTGATGACGCTGATGATGGAGGTTACAATCCTGCAGCGCCAGCGGAAGGTTTGTCTGAGCTGAAGCGCGGTCGCAGCCCACAGCGTGGTAAGCCCTGTTCCTCCATAAATACACGGTCGCGTACTGACTGCCATATCGCAGACCCCGATGGTCCCCGACAGCGCAAGAAGCGCAATCGATGGGGCGATGCCAGTGAGAACAAGGCTGCTGGCTTGATGGGCTTGCCCACTGCCATTTACAGCGCCATGACTACTGAGCAGCTCGACGCTTACACCCTGCACTTGCGCATTGAGGAAATTACGCAGAAGCTCAAAATTAACGATGTCGTGCCAGCCGACGGTGATAGGTATGTGTTCCAGTTCGATGCGAGAAGCTCATTTCTAACTTATTCAGGTCTCCCTCACCTCCTCCACAGTACGATAACTTTGGTCGCCGTGTCAACACCCGCGAGTTCCGCTACCGCAAGCGCCTCGAAGATGAGCGCCATAAGCTGGTTGAGAAGGCGATGAAGACGCTTCCCAACTATCACCCGCCTGCCGACTACAGGCGCCCTACTAAGACACAGGAGAAAGTCTACGTTCCGGTCAATGACTACCCGGAGATTAACTTCAGTATGGAACTAACCCCTCTAACTTTCCTTTTTTGGTTCTTTTCCTTCCCAGCCTTTGTCTTGACAGCCTGCTCAGGATGCTTGATGCTTATGCGCGTTCAGTGGCACCTGCAGTTTAGCTATGTCACTAACCCCCACCGTCCCCGTTACTCATACCAACTTTGATCATATACTAACCGCAGCTTTTTGCACTAACAGTTGGCCTCCTCATCGGCCCTCGTGGAAACACGCTCAAGAAAATGGAGTCCGAATCGGGCGCTAAGATTGCTATCCGTGGCAAAGGCTCCGTCAAGGAGGGTAAAGGACGTTCTGACGCCGCTCACACCAGCAATCAGGAGGAGGACTTGCACTGTCTGATCATGGCCGATACCGAGGAGAAAGTGAACAAGGCAAAGAAGCTCATCCACAACGTTATCGAGACCGTAAGTACATTATCGCTCCTTGCCAAATCTCTCGCTAACTTGAAACAGGCTGCCTCCATTCCTGAAGGCCAGAACGAACTCAAGCGCAACCAGCTCCGAGAGCTTGCCGCACTCAACGGTACCCTTCGAGACGACGAGAACCAAGCCTGCCAAAACTGTGGTGAAATCGGTCACAGGAAATACGACTGTCCACAGAAGCAGAATTTCACGGCCAGCATCATCTGTCGTGTCTGTGGTCAGGCTGGACACATGGCCCGCGATTGTCCTGACCGCAAGGTCGGGTCAACCGTGGGCGCAATGACGGGCCGCCCCGGTGGCGATCGCAACCAGGGTTCGTATTGGAGGTGCTCCTGGAGAACGAGCTCGACGCGTTCATGGCCGAGATGGGTGGTGGTCAGCCTCGTGCCGCTATCGAATACAGCAATGGCGGAGGTGCAGACAACTCTGCTGGCGCAGAGCGAACTCTCAAACCCTGGGAACGTGGTCCGACTGGCGGCGCTGCACCCTGGGCTCGCAACGACCGCGATGGCGGTGACCACAACTCTGCTGCTGCTGCTCCTCCTCCTTGGGCTGGCGGCGGAGGTGGGTGGTGGTAGGTCGTACGACCCAGAACAACGGGTTACGGCGGAGGCAACGCCGCGCCCTGGGCTTCTGCCGCTCCCAGCTGCTCCAGCTGCCGCAGGTTATGGCTACGGCGGCTATGGCTACGATCAGGCTGCGCCAGGTGCTTACGGTGCCCCTGGCTATGGTGCGCCTGCTGCTCCAACGGGCCCGCCTCCAGGTCTGGGACCGCTCTTCCAGAACTACGGAGCAGCTGGTACCCCTCCCCCGCCTCCACCACCGCCTTCTGGTTCCGTCCCTCCTCCACCGCCTCCAGGTGATGCCCCGCCACCTCCTCCCCCGAGCGACGTCCCTCCTCCACCGCCACCTCCACAGTAGACGCCATAATCAAGGACAGGACATGCGTCCCTTAGGCGCACATACTGAGGCCTTTTGGGAGTGACGAAGTTGCTTCTGTTTCGGCGTTCAACCACCCCTTTAACGTGGATCTAGGACGTACGCAGCAGCGCCATTGCTTCGCTTACATCTCAGCAGCAGCACGGAGCACATATTGCGATAGCACTTGGATGGCACCAGCCAACTAATGAAGGACAGGTACACTTACAAAATCGTTTTGATTCTCATGATAATTTCTTCCGGCTTGGGAACCTGGATGTTCCATCTGTTCTTGGTAGTTTTACTGGACAAGTGGTGCTCTAGCTACGAAATGATATCTTTCTTGCAGATGATGCCTTGTTCATGCTTGTGTGGTCTAACAAAAGGTCATATTTCTCGTAAGGCGTGTATAGCTATGCATGTACTTGTGTGCCCATGATGCTTGACAAGATGTGTGTGAATGTGTTGATTGAGAATGACGTTCGATGTGCCAAGGGGTGTGATCCTGGCACGAGCGCGGGACGAACCATGACGGCGGGCGCCCGCGGACAAGATGGGGCTATTAGACATGCAAACTCACATGTCAAAGAGCCCGCGGTAGCAAGTGGCTCCCTGCATTCACTCGAATTTCCTCTCTACTTGTCATACACTGCACGTGTCCGAACCCCCAAGGCCACCCAACTCAGCGTCGAAGGAGATCCCCACCTACGCGCTCACCCCGCTGCGATGGAGGAGGATACGCGTGAGCAAGGTAGCTCCGCAGACCACCACGCCCTGAATGCCATGTACTGATTTATATAGGTAGAGAACGTCCACCTCCACCGCCGGGGAGTGCGCTTCGATGGCACGCTGCATCTCATGCCCCACCACATCGTCTTCAGCTACTTGCCCAACCCTCCGCCAGACGCACCACCCGACGCGAAACCACCGAGGCAGAAAGAAGTATGGATTACATACCCCATGATATCATATTGCTGTCTCAAGCCACTGCCGCCTATCTTGCGCCAGGAGCCGTCGATCCGCATTCGGTGTCGTGACTTCACATACTTCGCCTTCTATTTCCCCAACGAGAAGCAGGCGCGTGACGTGTACGACAGCATACGCGCTCTGACATGCAAGATCGGGAGGCTCGACAAGCTTTTGGCGTTCAGCTACCAGCCGAAACCTCCAGAAGATCAGCAAAATGGCTGGGACATATACGATGCGCGGCGCGAGTGGAAGCGGCTAGGCATCAGTCCTAAAGATACGGAGAAGGGCTGGCGGATATCGGAGATCAACATCGAATACAAGGTGGGAACGACGAGCAAAATTGTGGGAGAAGTTTTATCTAACGTAGCGAACAGTACTCGAAGACGTATCCCGCCCTCCTCGTGGTGCCCTCAAATGTCTCAGACAGCGTCCTGAGGTATGCTGGCGAGTACCGCTCACGCCAGCGAATACCCGCCCTTGTCTACCGCCACCCCATCAACAACTGTTCTATAACTCGAAGTTCACAGCCAACACCCGGTCTGCGTGGTAACCGCAATCCTCAGGATGAGAGGCTCGTTGCAGCCATCTGGGCTACGAATCGTGGATGGAAAGCGACACAACCGCCCACACCACGTTCAGGCGGTCTGACACCAGATTCGAGTGTCGCGAACTTGAACGAAGCTAGTACTAACAGCTCCTTTGTTGGTGCCGTGGATACCGAGACCATCGACTCTGGAAGGACTATTATTGATAATCTGACTGAATCTTCCGAGATAGCAGACGTTGAACTACCCAGGGTATACGGTGCGCAGCAGCGAAACCTTATCGTTGACGCCAGACCAACCGTGAACGCTTATGCCATGCAAGCCGTCGGCCTAGGATCAGAGAAGATGGACTACTATCCTGGAGCAGAAAAGGCGTATCTTGGGATCGACAACATTCACGTCATGCGCAAGTCCCTTGACACAGTCATCGAGGCACTGAAGGATTCGGACATCACGCCTCTTGCCCCTAATAGGAACCTTTTGGCCAAGAGCAACTGGATCAAGCACATCAGTAATATCCTGGACGGCGTCGCACTAATCGCGCGAACCGTGGGCATCATGCACTCGCATGTGTTGATCCATTGCTCTGACGGCTGGGACAGGACGAGTCAACTGAGCGCACTGAGTCAGATCCTCCTCGACCCGTACTACCGTACATTGGAGGGCTTCATTGTGCTTGTTGAGAAAGACTGGCTATCATTTGGCCACATGTTTCGGCATCGATCTGGTTTTCTTAGCCACGAGAAGTGGTTCACCATCGAGAACGAACGCATCGAGCGCGATGGTCAAGGCGGCAGCAACCCGTTCGAAAATGCTCTCCGGGGTGCGAGAGGACTATTCAATCGACAGAATGAGTCGAACGAGGCGCTTAACCAGCTGCCAGAAACGAACGTTCCCGAGAATGCGACCGATGTGGCGGACACTGCTTCTCCAAAGCCTGCCAAGTCTGGTGCAGCGGAAGAACATCGCGTCACCAAAGTCAACGAGTTGTCACCAGTCTTCCACCAGTTCCTGGACTGCGTTTATCAATTACAACATCAACACCCGACCCGATTTGAGTATAGCGAGCGCTTCCTTCGACGTCTCTTGTACCACCTGTACTCCTGCCAGTACGGCACGTTCCTCTTCGACAACGAGAAAGAACGCATCGATGCACGCGCGCGAGAGCGAACCCGCTCAGTTTGGGACTACTTCTTATGTCGGAAACAAGAATTCATGAACCCCAAGTACGAACCCGAGATTGACGACTCGGTCCGCGGCAAGGAACGCATGATCTTTCCACGCAAAGGCGAAGCAAGATGGTGGGCCGAATGCTTTGGCAGGACTGACGAGGAGATGAACGCTGCTGGTCCACAGGCTCCTCCCAATCTCATGCCCCAAACTAGTAACGCTTCCAATGGTCGAAGTGGTACAAGCACACCTGTTCCCCATGATCCAATCGTCACAGGCACGGAATCAGCTGAAGGTGCAACTGGAGCAGGCACTACCGCCGAACTACCGCCCACTCATGCCCTTGGTGAGCATTCTGCAAGTGTACCTCATGCTTCATCGCCTTCGCCACTTGATGCTGCTGCAGCGCTTGGTCAGGACATCCGGCAAGGCCTGGCCGCGGGTATTGAGAAGCTAGGTATCGGGAAGCCCAGTGGCTCTGCCGCGGATCGAGCAGCAAGCCCGGCGTCGGGGCAAAGTAGGCTGAGCGCAGATGTTGGTAGGGAAGCAACAAGGCTGAGTACGGATTTAGGTGGGCAGAATGGGAGAGAGAGGAGTACGAGTCAGGGCAAGGCGGAGGTTAGGAAGGAGGTGGAGGTGGAGATGCAATGAGCAAGCTGAAATAAGCTTGGGCTCGAAGCATTTCGAGTACAGGTTGACGATGCTTTTGTGGAAGGTAGATAGTTCGGTCTTGATATGATGAGCAAGCGTGAATGACGATACCCGGAAGCGACTTTGTTGCTCAAGAAACATGCTAGTGTGTGGATTCCTTGACGGTCTTATCTTACATTTTGAACATACAATTGCAGAGGCGGTGTGTAGACGTGAACACGTTTATAGAAGCACTGGGAAGAATAGCGACAGACGCGAGCAGAACAGCGATCAAATTTTTGAAGACGATTGTTCTGGCAAATGCGCCCAGTTTGACTGGCGTCTACGACGACATCTGATATGTTTGCTTCGGGATGTTGAAGATATCGAAGCAAGATGGGAGAAATGTCGTATGCACTGGATCCTAAAGACTTGGGAATCATACGTGTACCTTTTCGAATAGTCTAGATAGATAGGCCAGAGAGGGCAAACGCGATGCCTTCAGCCTGACCACGAAGAAGGCAATCAGTTCTGCCCGGACGCCCAGGCTGTGCATTGAGGCATGGATGAACACGTTTTGGCCGTTGAGATGGGTTGGGGAAGAGAAATTTGCGATCCGATTGGCTGCTTAATAGGCAATCCCTGTCGCTACATTTGTTTGAAGCCTTCTGGGGTTGTGAAAAGAAAATAGCCGCACTGACCCTGGCTGTTGTTTTGGCCTTCTTTTTACATGTCTGTCCCGCCGCTAGGCCTCTAATTCTATCCCCCTGATGCTCACGGCCAATGAATACGACTGTGCAATGGTGACAAGTGGGGCGATCGGCAGACGCCCAGGCTAGCCCACCTGGCTCAGTCAGCGCTAAACCTATCTCGCTGCCTGTCGCTGACAGCTAGATGGGTCTCGCGTGGACGCATGCACAATTACGGTAATATCACTTCAACGGCGGGCATGATGCGGACCCGCGAGACTGGACCACGAAAAGGAAGCATGTGTTACTGGTAGCATTTCGCAGGGATCGCGCGGGTGTCGAGAGCGTAGGACCATTTGAGAGCGTCGCTTGCGGCAAACTTTACTTCTTGAGTTGAAGGAACATTTTTTGCTCTTCGACGAAGGGCAAATGAAGCACGCACCCATTCCTCTCTCATGGCTTCTACCTTCGTTATCTTAAAGGCAGCCGACAGTCGGTCGTTTATTGAGCCAGAAACATGATACACAATCTTTCAACCGTTACCTAGGCATCTTTGAGACTCCTTTCGGTATCTGTGATACTGGTCTGATTCCTTCCAACACCCATCACAATATCATTCGATATGGATCTCACTACCTCTAGTCATGATGATCATGCCGAGCAGTCGTGCTTTTTTGAGGTGGAAACTCGGCTCATTGAGAATGAGTGGGTACCACTGCTACCTGAATTTGATGTCGGTAAGGACTCGTTGCTACCTCCGTCACCCGTACTATAGTAAACCTAGAGGAAGAAACGTATGCTGATCACATTTTTGGACTGGAACATTTACTTCGGCGAACCTATCCCTACGGTCGAGGCGCAACAAGAGAGCCCAATTATAAACGAAAACGATGCTGAGATCATAGAGATTTTCGATACCAGAACGTAAGTTTCCCATCTTTTTATTAGTGTGTATATCATCATTGAATTTAAACAGGAGCAACAGCCGCGGAAAGAAACGAAGGCAGATGTCCCTCAGTGATTGGACACCCACATCTAGGTATGCTCCACCAAAGAGCGCATGTGGACTCAGTACAAATCACTGACCTCTCAATTAGTCACGAAGAAGTACTCCAAACACTCCAGCCTTCGATCACATATCCACAGGCAGACAACCTGTGGCCAGAGTCGAGTAGCGAACAAACGTACATGCCAACCCCTTCATTCTTCGGACTGTCCGGCGCTACACCATCAACACCTAAGACTAGCCTATCTGCCATCTCACCTTCACCAAATCTAGCTGCTAGAGTCATGGTCGGAACGATATACAGCTGCCCGGACACAGACACGTATACTTTCCAATGTCGCAGTTCCACTTGCCACGATCGAACATTTAGTCGCTGGCCTGATTTTACACGGCACTACAATGGAGCTCATGCGACGACTCCTACGGTCTACTGGTGCGATGTTGAAGGATGTCCCCGCGGCAAAGCGGCTCGCAATCGGCCATTTCCGAGGAAGGATAAACTGAACGATCACGCTAAAAGCATCCATGGCGTGAGGAATTGAACGCAAACACTTTATGGTATGGATTGGGTTACTCGCATAATATTGGGTGTTGAGGGATTTATACAAGAAGATGATGCAATGCGGCGTTCATAGACAAAGTGTATGTAATAATTTTGGCTTAAGTGTATACTAGAGGCAAGTTTAGGAAACGAGAAGACTACGAAAACAATGCAGTTCAATAGATGAGCAGATGTTGACTCGCAATGAGAAAGTTTGTTCAAGCATCCAGACGTGTCATCCACATAGTCACCATGACGTGTTTGACAAATTTTTCGGTATGAGGCTGAGGGTCGCGATCGGCCGTTGCAGATGATCGTTAATCAGGGAAACTGTGCAGCAGTGGGCCACTACCTCAGTCTCGTTCATGAATACAGGTACACGTTGGCTCGGGTGGCAACTTCCACAATACTCCATCCGAACAGCTCTCGTTACCATCAAAGCTTCTGCGCGCGGAACACATCGACCAACCCTTCCCGATCACAATGGCAGACAAAGAACTAGATCCCACCACTCTCGCTCGCTGGCAGTCAGAACGCGAGCAACAACTTGAAGGATGGGAGGCGCAAGATCCAGAGCAATCCCATCCTTTCTCAACATCATCACGTAAGTGTCGCAAGAGAGACATACAATTTCCAGCATCTGCTAATATAGTGTCATCTTCAGAGCCATCTTTTCCGGCATTTGGATCGATGCCCGACTTCGACCCGATTCCCGCGTTCGACCCATCTGCATTCGACCCAACAGTGTTCGATGCTCCTCCGGTCACGCCATAGAATGGATCCAGTTCGCATGAGATGGGTGAAAATCAGGCAAGATCGGTAGCTCCAACCATCCACAATCACCAGTAAGCAGATGACTTGACGGATGCGTGTTAGATGTTTCGTTTGGCTAAATTGAGTCAGTGACCAACAGACAAGCTACCAGAACATGTCTCCCTTCGTACCAACTTTGCCTCAGCCACGACTGAACCAGCCCGGAGCAAATGCTATCGAAAGCCCGTCGCGAGCCTTGTCGCGCACCCAAACGTCTCAAACACGAGAGGGAAACTTGGAGTCATCTCCATCATCGACATCCCAAGCAACAGCACCATCTCCTCCCACAGAAACATTCTTGGGCCACGTGGTACAGATCAAAGACCAAAAATCCGTACGATATGCGTGTAGGCAGGGGACATGCACCGACATGCTTCTAGCGACCAGAGGCGCATTCATCAAACACTACCATGAACACCAATCTTCCGCAACACTGGATTCCGGACCCGACCCTAACTGGGGCCAAGTTTTTAGAACCCATCGTCGGTTCCGTGTCCATATCTAATGATTCAAAAAGCCTTGTTGTTCAGGTGCGCCGAAAATGGGTGTCCGTGCCACACGATCTGGGAGAAGGTGACTGATCTCGTCGCTCACTTTACGAATATTCATGGGACGCAGAAAGAACAATTTCTTTTGTCCGCATGCGGGTTGCCCGCATAGCCAGGCTGGGGGAAAGAGAGGGTTCGTCGACTTCCCTTGGTTGTGTGGAGCATCTCAGGATGTACCATGAGGGATGATGGTGGTATTGCGTAGGATGGAGATACCACAGAACCGGATTTGAGCAGCATGTTGAATTGCCTTGGAGGAAAATGTGTTGATGTCGACGTCAAGGTATGGCGTGGTCGCTCGTACGCCGGCCGGTTCGGTCTCATAGTCCATCCATTCTTTCCCCAATCACGTGTTTCACACGATTTTGATCCGTGACTAGCGCATGCTCGTGTTGATTTTTTCATTTGTGTAGACCAATAAACGGAGTCCTACAATCCCATAGGGCGACCCGCCTAAACGATGTGAAAAATCTCTTGCTCTACAAACTCCCGGCCTTCTTCCAGGCTGAACCGATTCAAGAACTTATCAATGTGATCAGATCTCTTCTTCCCGTGAGACCATTCCAAGCAATTGAGGAACCACAGCCCGATGCGTCGATATGCATTTCCTGCGCCATCTGCCTCGACCACTAGAAGAAAGGCCAAGCGCTTCTTGATTCTCAGATTTCGCTCGGAAGGATCTTTGTTCTTGCCGATGAACAGCGCCCAGCATTGCGAGTCTTTATTGTGATCCGTATCATCGAGGCGAAAGACGCCTTCGTAGCTTTGCGCATACTCGGGAGAATATGCCGCGTTGGGGCCCAGTACCATTCCGATCGCAGAAGTGGTGATTTGGATGGATGGCAAAAAGCTGGACGGGTCTTCGGCGATGGCATGCAGTGTCGACGCCTCGTTGATGTCTTTCGGACCTTGGATGGCGTGGAAAACATCGACCCTGATGTTATCGGCTATAGCGAGGTTTCTTCGTAGGCAGTATTTGAACTCTAGAGGAGCCTTGTTATGTGTTGACGAAGTTTTGAAGGACGCCCATGTCCATGAGGGAAATTCAGATCGTGTCGCGCCAGCAGCTACCGTGGTTTTCGGGTTGCTATTGGCGGCTTTGAGCGACCAGGCAAGCCCGTTCATAAAAGCTTGGGTGGGTGTAAAAGGTGAACTATCTAGTTGGTGTGAGCTCGCTTGATTTAGAGAGCTTTGGTTGAAAAGTGGTATGCCGTGAAAGTGTTTAGCGCGCCCAGGACTAGGTGGGCAATTGTCAAAAGCGTTCAGGATACCCTCAAAGGCAGCTATTCCATCTGAAGCGTATGTAAGATCCCTTGGAATGTATTCGATCAGCCGATCGTACACGTCGTCGGGGTTGCTGCTGAATACCGAGTGGGGGAATACTTGGAAACTCTCTGAGAAGTCGTTTCCACTATTCTCAAGACCGTGGCCCAAGAATTCGAGATGGTGTTCTCGCTTACATTGGAAATAAACATGAGTGTCTGTAAATACCAAGGTACGCGATGATAGCAAAGCCTCTTGGTATCTGTCGAACCGAAGGTGAGGTTAGCCGATGGTCCGGATGTCGCTAACAGACTGATGCTTACGTCCATCCTCGAGTATTCCAACGTGATGATTTAACCTGTTCACGTGTACTTTTGGATATGATGAATTGAATATCACCGATAGTGAGCACTTTTTGTGGGCTCCGTACAGTGCGGCAGATACCTGGCAGACCACTGAACGCATCCGTCCCGCTTGCCGCTATGATTGTGAGGGCAGCACCACCATAGATAACGTCCATGCTCCGGATCGTTGCTAATCTTTTCTGCACATCATGCTGATTGATGCAGTACTCGTCGACCCAGAGCTGGGGTATTCCTAATTTGGTCGCAACGTAGATCGCATCGCTAATGGTCTTAGGTAGGTATTTCGGCAGCCGTGTCCCTAATCCAAAGGTTGAAGTACTGCATTTGAAACTACCCCAGACGTAGCTAAGGCACACGTACGGCTCGCCAGCCTTGAGTAACCTTACCAAGCGAGTCTTGCAATCGATCACACACAGGGGTCGTGCTGGGGATGGGTGTGCATGCGAAGACCAGCAGCTTGTTGACGACAAACGGTGATACATATTACATCTTTCCAGCCAGGATTTGACGAGATTAAGATTCGCTTTTTTTGCACTGATTACTCGTCCAGCAGCCCACTGGGTGTCGAAAGGGAATGCATCCGTCATACGTAACGAGAAGAGGCGCAATGTGTTCACCATGGGGCAATATGAACATCGACACCTTATCGCATAGTACTTGAGTGCTGAATTTTGCAGTTGCTCTTCTTGTATCCAGAAATTCAATTTCTTGACTGGAGGCCCGTGTGGTATTTGTTCGGCATTCTCGCATTTCCGCAGCTCTTTGAATAAGGCACACAGTGGACAACTCCTGTCGAAGAAAGCTGGCACCCTCATTGCGATACCTTCTGGATTGAGGCTCGCGTCCGTCTTGTGCAGATATCGAAAGACACGAGAACCTCTACATCTTGCGCAGAAGTTGTCGATGTGATCGAGTGCTGTGGTTATAGGAGCTTCGAAGTTTCCCCCGGGCGCTGGGGAAACTTGGCCGATCATTACGTTGGCTTTACGTCTGTTCTGAACCCGTTCTGTATAGCGCATCCAAGCCAGCTCGTGTGTAGGAAGACTAGCCACGCCACGCTTTACTGTCAGGAGCGGAGGAGCCGTGCGAAACAATTCGCAATTTTATCGCAACGGTCAGTATCTCCAGAACATTTATTGTTGTTAAAAAAAGAGGTGCGATGCTGGATGCTGTGGGTGTCGTGCAACATGAAGTTGGTCCAGGCGGCTGCAGTGGCTGTGCCTCATACCCCGCCAGAGCTTTGATCCCCATAACACTCCATTGCTAAATATGGCTCGACAGGTAACGTGCTAGGTTCAGAAAGTTGGATACTATGTTATCGCATTGTGTCTTTTCCTAGTTTTGACAATCTAGAATCACCTGATTCCGACCATGGCCTGATTTGTTCAAAAGAAGAGGCATTCATAAGTTAACGATGCAATTGCGATTATGCGGATCGAGATTCTTCTCCACTTCTGTTTCTCCGCGACCGCCTTCTCAATACTATTCCTCAAAAGAAATCCAGACAAACTATGGCCGCGCTTAGTCTCGTGTTCTAGCAGCGAATGGCAGTCATCGAAAGATCAACTGCATACTTCATCGAACAGCACTTCTGCCACAGGGGCACTTCGATCGCGCAGCTTGGTTGGAGAGGATCTTGCGAATTGTGCGTGGCTAGGCCGGCATCATAGCGTCTCCCTTTTTCAAGAAAGCTGTGTTGAGATATAGGAAAAAGGTGGTAGGATGTGTCGCTTCATCAGCCTAAGATGATGTCCTTCCTGGTCGTCTCGAGCTCCTTCCAGTCCGATTCGTTGACTCTTGCAAGACCCAAGCGGACAGCATAGGGACCACCTTCTCTAGTCTCGCGCCATTCGATGAGCATGATATTAGCCCAGGGCACTGCTTCCGGTTTTGGCACAAGGGAACCATCGGTGTAATAAAAGGTAGCGCAGCTTTCGCCAGTATGGGTTGAGAGTAGAATGAATTCTGCCTTGTATTCCTCGCAACGACTGCAGATGATTGTGTCGGGAATAGTCATCTTACCAATATCCTTGCCGCACGGTGTCAATATGCGCACCGGTAGAGATACATGACATTTGGCAACATGCAAACGTGTATCGATTTTGAGCGTCAGAGACGACGTATCGGCGGTGAAATGGAGGAGACCGAAGTCAAGCAGGTCTGCGTCTAGTCTTGGTGCTTCGGCACCTGTGAATGCGGATTTCGGTAGGACCTCCTCAGCCGAATTGCTGCTACCTGTCACTTTGTAATCTCCAGTGTATAGTATGGGATCGAGCCAGGTAACGCGAGACATGATTGCTTTGTCTGGACAGCCACCGTATCTAACGCGGCTGCCTTTGGCAATCCAAGTCCAAGACGGCATAGGGAGACGACGAAGGACCCCAGCCTCATCCGGCACGAAATGCCCTTCGCTACAGTCATTAATGCAGCATGTATGCCATAACAAGGCTTCGTCCAGGTGGTCATAGGGTAAGCCCCAGATATAGCCATTTCGAAATCGATCCTTGAGGCCCTTCAGAATTCCAATGAATGCCCAGAACACGTCCGAGTCATCGTGAAACTTTCTCATAGTATATTGCTCCACTCTGTGCATGTAAACGCCTAATGCACACCATTGTTCCAAGCCTGGTCCTTCGCGAATTTCCATGCTATCCGAATCAAATATGGCAAGCAAAGAATTAGCCTCCGTTGGCAGATGTCGCCAATCTCTGTATTCGGTGTGCTGGTCTTCACACCACGATTCATCGGGGCAGTTCCAAAACACCTGGTTTTGAGTGAAGATAAGTGCTCTTCTGGCTAGCATACCTTCTTGGAACGTCCAGCCTCGTGTATTCCATACTGTGTCGCTCATGGTAGTATGCAAATTCGGTCTAGAAGTGCTATACTCGACGCCATCAAGCAATTCGAGCGGCGGTCCTTTCGACATAGATATCGGTGTCGTGTACCGACATTGGTTGGAACTCCATCGTGGAAGGTGCATCTCTGCGTTTGTGACAGCGGCGATGATCGTGAGTGTCGCATGTCCGTAAATTTCGTCCATGATAGGTAGTTGCCGTTGTTTGTCTTGCATGTCATCTTGTATAATACAAGCCGTGTCAACCCAGAGAAACCTCTCGCCCAGCTGGGCTACAACTTCCATAGTATCCATTATGAGTCGCGGAAGAATCTTTTCGGTCAAGCTTCCTTCGCGGAAAAAGTTTGCGATGGTGGACTTGATGAGCACGCCTTTGGTACCTTGGCCCCATACGTATGAAAGTGCCACATATCGTTCATGGAGTGTAGATGTTATGAGGCAACGCTTCTGAATGTCAACAAGTCTCAAGCTGGCCCTGACATCGGTTTTCGGTTTCCATCGCTTGCATCGTTCGTGGCTCACCGAACAGAAGCTCATCCACTCTTTGAGTAGATCGACGTCTACGAACGCCGGAAGTCGACGCAAGCGGACAAGAGCATTGCGCTCCGATGTCAAATTCGTAGTGTTGGCGACCTGATCAAAACTCGAGCCGTATGACGCGGCTCTCTCAACTGGCTGTAGTAAAGCTCCGACGTAATTGAACCCGTCGGTAAAGTGACTCGATGTTGTGCCGCAGAGATGTATTTCAAGGTAGAGCGGTCGCCCGATCGGCGTGATGCTCGTGCTTGTAGGCTGTCTGATGGAGAATGAAGAGTTGAGGAGGCGCAAACTCAAGCCTTTCGACTTGGGGATAGTGTCGAAATCTGGGATTGATGCAACATGTTGGGCAACGAGCCGACATGAAGGGCAATCCTTGTTGGCCATGACAGAACCTATTGTGGACATCATGACCTCTCGTCCGGCAAGATAGCGTTTTGGATCCGGTTGCACATCATACCGAACCAGCAAACAAGATTCGCAAACACGGTCTACCTGTGGAAAGATCGCGTAAGGTCTCTTGTTGATATTTTGCAAAGTCATTCTGATAGCCACTCCAGAGTTGCCAGACCCGATCACTAGCGATTAAAGATCAGAATCCTGTCGTCCGATAGTTCGAGGTGCCAAGAGAGACGATACAGAAACTGCCGGATTCTTTCTAGTCGCGTTTCGAGTGTTGAGGATAAGCGATGATTGCTCATGGATGAGGAACGTCCTGAGATGTTATGTGACGTGCCTGGTCAAATGTACCATCTTGAGAAGGCAGCTTGCGCGACAACGCTACGTCTGATTCGATGTCACCTTAGTCGCACGCTCATCCTATACACGGGATACTACATGCTGACCCGCACAATGTAACAGCGAGCGTGGTTCTTATACGGCCAGGCATACACAGCACAGCCCCTGTGAGCTGTTGAGCCATGATCGCCGCGCAACACAGGACAGGGAGACGCGTTGAGGGCAGCTTCACAGACCTAGACAGACTGTCGGCTGGGGTAGATACTTCGCATGGCAGATGCCGATTTAGTAGCTGCTTCTAGGTAAGCACAGGCGGCAAGAGCTGACAGTGCTTAAGTGGCATGGCTTGTTGCTGGAATGAGTTGATGTGATGAAGAGCAATACTCAGATGCAATGAGATGGAAGGAGTCCGGGTGCGCTAGTGGCATCGGAAGGTACTTGCGGCAATGGAAATTTCATCACCGTCGAAGCACGAGCGTAATCACGTGGCAGTGTTTGGATATGTTCGACGTGATATCCTTGGTAGACTGAAATGCGTGAATTGATATCTGAATGGGCAGAGCGCGGTGCTACTGCCCAGCCTGTAGTCGTGACTCGTGACTCGTGAATGTGGGAGGCGCAAGGTGTAGTAAGGTGTAGTACATAATTTGTACGAGCGAAACAAGATGCATGTCACCATGTATGACTTCCCAACATTTTGCACATTGTCAAAAGCAAGCGTAAAATGTGTTGAAGATACAAAAGTACGGCTATCTTCTACCGCCGACCCGACATCAGCTCCATTAACCCCACTGCAGCATTGCCCTGATTAACACTGCTCGAGAGATTGCCTGCCTCGTAGCTCTCGTCCTTGAGGCGCTGTAGCCTCTGGTGCGCGCTCTCGGCGATGTCGGCATTGCCGTCCTCTCCCAGCTGCGCGGTCCGGCTAGGAGGGGGACCGTAGATGTCCTTAGGAGCTGCGAAATGTACTGGTGGCTGACCAAGCTTGCCAATAGGTCGGAACGGGTCCAGATTCGCCTTGACAAATACGGGCTGCGGCTGTGGTGAAGATACAGTGATGTTTGGCACCTCCATAGAGGCTGAAGGCGGCGAACTGGCCTCGAATGACGATATTATGTCCTTCCCCCTCTTCGCCTCTTGGTTGGTCCTGACTTTATAGAGGGCGAACTTGAGACGCGTTCGCATGTTCTCCGCGCGCGTCTTCTTGGGCTGTTCGGTGGGCGCAGATGTTGGCGCGGGGGCGGGGCCGTCTGCCGAAGCCACCTGCTCGCTCTTCTGACTCGCGCATAGCTCGTAGTTCAGGAAGTCGGAGAAAGATTGATTGCTTTTCTGGGAGTTTTGGACAGGTTCGGGCTCTGGTGTCGGTGTATTGCGCTCAGTGGGCGATCCAGGATCTGCGAGGGCAACTGGGTTGTTTTCCTGGTACAGTGAGCATTCTGATGACGCGTCTCAATGCTCGACTGACGTACCGTGTGCTGTTGCATGGCATCAGTTGTGAGTCGGATGCCCGAATTCCACATGCTCTCGTCGCGCGCATGAGCAAGCATTTTGCCGCTGCCTGGCTTCTCGGCGTCGTCGACCTCTTCAATACTTCGCTTCTTGCTGTGCCCCGAGGCAGCAGGAGAAGCCACAAGGTTCTCTTTGTCAGCAAAGACAGAAGGTATATGCGACGTGATCTTCTTCAGTGGGCTCCGTGGTCGTGTGGCTTCGGACGAATCAATGACTGGCGAGTTGATGGCTCTCGGTGTCAAGTCGCCTAAAGCGCGTCGTGATGGAGTGTGATGAGGGCTTTGGTGGGTGCTCATATCTAGTCTATATGGTGTTGTGCTCATGTTGTTGTTGCGACTTAGACGCGTCGAGACAAAACAAGCCAGTTGGTGCAGGCAACGTTCGTTATAAGCCAGCAGTAATGATGTAGAAGGACAGTGTCTTGTTCAGTATCTCAGGATGAGGTATGAGACAGCTCAGAGGAAATCAATCATAGATGTTGTTGTGAGCGAGGTCGCGTTCGAGGTTGGGAAGTCGCATAGCAGGATTGGAAGCTACGACCACCGTGAACGCGATTGGTGGGGTCAGCAAGGGTCTCGCCTGCCCGCCTTCCCGCCTCCACCCACCAACTCTCCACCCTTCGTGTCTTCTCCACCGATGCACCATGAATCCGGCATTCCTTGCATGTTCTTCTTCTCTTCGCTGCAGGGGAGAGATTATGGCTTCAGTTCTGCAGAGTCCAATGCACACTGCGACTCTGCTGCACATTACACGCTGTGATACCAGTTCGCGCAGGCGTATATCCTCATTTCACACTGACGCATCACAACTGCACCAGGACCCATGGAATACAAGAACGTGCATCCACGGGCTCGAACATCACTGCTGTCCAGTCACATGAACTGAAAGAGCTCGCCAAAACCACGGTGATTCTGCAGCTAGAAGCAAGGTATAGCTTGCACGGCATATGGACGTGCTTCACATCTCATATCGATAGGCGCAAATGCCACCGCGACCGCAGTGGATCTTGCCATACGTCATCGCTGAAATATGCGTGGTGCAAGTCGCGTATGCGCACGGCTTCCAAACTATTGAATGTCTGAGTTGAATTTGCGTCTTCAGCGTTTATTGTTCATTCCAATGCGTGTGTGTAACACTCCTCACATCACACCACGAAAATATTCTCAGCGCCCAAGGGTATAAGCAAATATATGCTGCCACGAGTTATTGCACGAGAAGAACAACTCGCAAGTAACTCGAAGACATGCGTTCATTCACTATTCTCCTAACATTAGGCAGTCTGGCCGCGATGAAGGGCTTCTTCCAAAAAGCTAAAGCTGAGCTGCAAGGCATCACGCAGCAGCTTGACTCTAACGCGGCTTATTCGGGATCAACGGAACCATCGCCAAACCAACAACGAGACTCTTCTGATGCAGGACATCATTTGCGCAACAATATTCGAGAACCGACGACTCTGGATATCATGCGTTATCGCTATCATCATGGCACGAATCTCGGCTCCGTGTATGTGATCGAACGCTGGCTCCAGCCGTCGCGGTTCCCAGACGGCGCGGAAGGGTCAAGTGAGCTCGCAGCCGTAAAAGCGTGGGTCGATAAGATCGGCTTGGACGCTACGCAACGAAAGTATGAAGACTACTGGGATACCGCAATTACCAAGGAGGACATACAATGGCTCGTGAACAAAGCCAAGTGCACGACCATCCGGCTGCCCATTGGATATTTCGATCTGCCAGGGCGCAAATTTACGCGCGGAACCCCTTTTGAACCGTACGCCCAAGTTTATAATGGAGCCTGGTACAGCATTCGCAAGCTTATTGCTCGTCTGCGAGAGCACTCCATTGGCGTACTAATCGACTTGCACGCACTCCCAGGCGGCGCCAACAACCAGGAGCACTCAGGCACCAACAGCGGTCGTGCAGAGCTTTGGAGTTCCACTTCGAATCGTGCGCTCGGAGTGAGCTGTTGCGAGTTCCTTGCTCGAGATGTTCAGACCGGTTCCAACCTTGTAGGCATACAACTTGCCAACGAAGCTGAGTGGGACGCGCCAGGTATGTATGAGTGGTATGATCAGTGTATATCTGCCATCTCAGCGGTCGATTCCAGCATTCCAGTCATCATATCAGATGGCTGGAATCTGAACAAGTCTATCAAGTACTCACTTGGCAAGAATTCGGTGTATGCCAAGCAGCCAACGGCACCAGTTGTCATCGACACACACTACTACTGGGCTTTCACTGACGAGGACAAGAAAAAGTCTCCTCAAGAAGTCACCAGTGAGGTCTATTCGAAACTTGACGAGCTCGATGGTAAAGAGGGCTCCGTGATTGATCGAGGCGCCTCACAGGTCATCGTTGGTGAGTATTCTTGCGTTTTAGTCGAGGAATCGTGGAAAAGATGCAATGAAACGTCAAAGGAAGAGTGCGTGACGAAATTCGGTCAAACTCAAAGCAAGCGATGGCAAGATCGTGCAGGCGGCAGTTTCTTCTGGACATGGAAGATGGACTGGATGCCGGGTGGCGAATGGGGGTTCAGGGCGCAAACCGATGCGGGGAATATCGTGCCGCCCAAGCACGCAATTCTTTCACAGCAAAATAAGATTACACTACTCCAGAAAGCGATCCGAGAACGTGATGCTCGACTACATGGTGCTCGGGAGGCGCACGTCACATACTGGCGTCGCGCGGACCCCAATGGCAAGTACGAACATGAAAAGTATGAGCACGGATGGCGAGTTGGTTACCAAGACGCTTTTGCATTCCTCGAAGGGCGTGCAACCCAAGGAGACCGGATTGGAATGCTGGAAATGTGGGTATTGAAAAGATTGAGAGACAGTGGTTACCGTGGCGGCCTCACGTGGCAATTCGAACACGGCTTGAGAAAAGGCATCCAGGATTTCTACAACGCTGTTGAACTTTGAAGTAGACAGTCTCATTCACCACCGTGAATGTCGGACTAGCGCACAGGTGCCGTTTGCTATGACCTCACTGCCGGTACCTCAGAGTATCACGATCTCTGTGAGACCCAATGGCGATAGTACGTCTGGACCTGAGCATAAACAATCACCGCTCACCTTTGATTGCAAACCATGGTCAACTTCTCTCAACATCATCGTCGGCTGTTCCGAATTTCCTCGTCCTTGCGAACCGAGTCCTCTTACAATGCCAGTCCAGGACCCCACAACTTCGTTTATGAATATCGATCATCTCACAGTTGACAGCCCGCGCTTAGACGCGGACGCCGAAGCAACTGGCCTGCTCAAAGAGACCGTACTTCGACCCTACCAAGCCTACTGCGTAACGGAAGCGTCTTCGAGGCCTCCCAGTCCGAGTTCGCTGAGACCTCAGCCTTTGCGCGTTCGATCTTCCAGACTTCAAAATCTTGGTTCTGAGCCGCAATCATTGCCGAGTTGGCCTGATCTCCAGACACCAGCGACGTACACCCAACGAAATGGCAGTCTTGCAATACTGTCCAAAGAGGGAAAAGAAGGCAATGAACAACACGAGTTGTCCAATCAAGCACTTCCCTCCCGCTGCACAAGCCTAGAATCTCAAGATCACATTACACAAGCTGTCACTCCACGCGGAAGCCACCCACTAGCGACCAGTCAAACTAGGACGTACGACGAAACACCATCACATTCGCGGATGCAACAGACAAGCCGAAAACATGTAACAGCGTCCACAGCGTATCGTCGAAAGGCATTGCCACAGCATTTCAGTGACTCAAGCATGGGCCATCATCCACTGCCACCGCTCCCAATTGGGCGCACACATCTCCCCGACCTCAATTGTTCCGCAAGCGGAAGACCAGAGACAGCAGAATATCAAGAAGAGAACTTGTACCACAAATCGCATGGTACACAAAGTTCGATCCGCCTTTACAGAATGGCACCACAGCGGCGAACAGCCTCCGGTCACTGAGCATCGCCATGAAGATCTGCACTTGCCCAACGAGGGAAGAAATACAAACAAGAGATCTCACATACTTCTCAAAAGCGATTGTCATATCTCCATTAGAACTAAGGACTTCCCATGTTGGGACTCTACCCCAACGATGTGCCCGCACCAAGTCTGTATGGACGTTCACGACCAAGCTATGCGTGCGCTGATCAACCTCAATTCGAGTCGTCTGAAAGACTGTACATTTCCCGGGGCCTTCTTTCTGGAATGGAAGACGACAGGCGCGCACATCGCAGAACGCAGCCCAAAGACGCCCAGTTGAAATACCAATTCGGCCGTCGTCCTGACATACGACTAGATGTTCCACCTCCCACTCCACCACACAGATCACTGCCCAAATCAACGCCCAATCAAACAGAACGTTTAAACCCAACTGATCCCACTGCGGATCAAAACGCACTGCTTCGACCAAACCGCTCTTCCTTTCCCATATGCGTTCCCCGAAAACTGGCCCCAGGACCCCGCCCACCTCCCCTGGGGATCCAGTGACAACCTCGAACTCCGCCGCCAGACGCGTAGCGACGCTCGGAGAACGCGAAGATGCGCGCAAAATGCGCGATAGCGGTTCGTCGTTTTACAAAAGCTCGGATTCGACGGAAAGTGTGCGCGAGAACACGATGAGGCGGGAGGTCGAAGAGTATAGAGAGCAGGTGTTGAGATTGTATCCGGATCTGGAGTTTGATGGGAAGAAGAATGAGGAAGGGGGGTGTTGTTGGTGTTTGTGTGCGGTTATGTGATGGGGTGGGATTGGGGAAGGTGGGTTGTGGGTGTGAATGATCAGAGCTGCGTGAGGCTTCACGTTGGGTTCTTTGTTCGTTATCCTGAACGTCACTGTCGATGGATACAACTCTAGATCGATTGATTGCGCATAGCAACGTCTTCCCTTCACAGTAAGCAGTGCAGTGATAGCCACATGCGCATATATATATATATATCCCCAGCTGAGTTGGCGCTCTTTACTCTCTAAATCCCAGCGCACAACCGTCATCTTGCAAGCAAGAGATAATTTCACCGTGTCACCGACATCACACACTCTCCATATCAACAGCACCACCTAGCAACACCACCTACCTCGCCTCCCTAATGCCTCGTAAGATGGAAAATGTTCGTGCAACCACCAACTCTCCTTTCCAACAGCAAAACTCCAGCAGACCAAATTCTAAAACAAAAGCCCCCCATGGATACCAGAACGGGTCTACTCCACCTAGCTTGGTGTGTGTCTTGGGTGAAAATTGCCATTGCAATGTGAGACAAGATGAGAAATGATAGGTGGGGATGGAAGGGCCGGTGCGGTGCGGGGCGGGGCGGGGCGGTGGGATGGGGATGAGGGGTGCTTGGGTGAGAAGGGAAGAGGAAGTAAACTCTAGGAAGATGTTGATTGTGGGAGTAGAATTGGTTGGAACCTGCAGCAATTCTCGCCTGTTCATTGTTTCGAGATTAGGTATGGTCATGGTGTGTGTTTGGTGGAACTTGAAATGCAGACCACGGAAGGTTTTGCGGAACTTGAATTTCGATACTTCTTATGCCCTGTAACAGATGATATGTGCGCTTATGCCATGTAACTAATAATGTGTGCGCTTATGCTGCATGTCTAATCCGTAAGCCAGTTCTACACCAAGTCTTCACATATATGCTATACATAGCCATCTCATCGTACCATAAAGCATATTGATTGGGGTACTATGATACGCTAACAACCCTGCATTGTGGGATCGCTGATCTTCATTTTATGCATCTTACATACTGTACCTGCTTTCGGCCTCATTGTAGCATCATGAGTAGTCCCAAGCTGCACTACATGAGACTTTTTCATCACATAGCTACAACAACCTCAAAGACACGAGGTGCATCCACTCCCGCTCGGCTCCAGCTCAGCCGCATATTTCTAGGCAGCGAGCTAAATATGGCCACCGCCGGACCATCGAGCGGCCCTTGCCGACTCCACACGCTCCCCGGCGAACAAGCTGGAGACTACACCCACGGGCAAGGGCTAGCGATGTCTATAGCGCATGCAGCGCGCGATTAATGCAGAACACCAGAAATTCAGTGATAAAGCTGGGTTTGAAGGACCGATAAATTATGTAAAGGTGGTGCTGAAGAAATGATACTGTGGAGACGGACGGAGGTCAGGGTCCTGGTGTAAACTCGAGATATGTATGGGTGCAAGATAAGGCAAGTATGGAGTGGGAGCACGGAGAAATGGACATTGATAACTGCGAAGACGTGCAAATTTCTTTCCTCGTAACATGATTCACTTGGCCTGGGGCCACACTCAACAATAGTCGTGGTCGTTATGGCTAGCAAGCCTGGTGGTTGCGCGTGGCGTGCAAATGCGTGCCGTGTTACTGCTGTGCCGCCCCCTTGCCTGACTACCCTACCTACATCCAACGAGTAGGCGGCGCACTAAACAATTGCGGGTTGTTGCGTAATACCTGTGCAGCCGAAGTCTCACCGGCACGGGTATACTGCCATCCTGATGCAGGCCTAGGAGATGCTGTTTCTGCCCTACTAAATGCCGTTCTAGAAGAGTTAGCGCTTCTAGCGGGCGGGTTGGTTGAGTAAAAAGAGGCAGAAGACCGCGATTGCCGCATTTCATCGGCACGCGCACGGATTGGTGCAGTTCAAGGCAATTGCCTCGATGCCGACAGGGTCGTGCAACGCCTTTCTAGTGGAGGTCACCTAGGTATTAATTGACCCAGTTCTTCTTTGCAAAAGTTCATCCTTCTTCGTTTCGATATCGACAGGAACACTATGTCAAAGTCTACCGGCATGCTTGCCACTCTAGCGCTGCTGCTTGCTCCTACCGTTGCTGGTGCTGCATGTCCATCTCAATCTGCTTCTACCGTTCACGCCACCCACACTGTCACAACTCCCGAGCCAGCTTACTCCTCTAAGCCTGGTAATTCAAGCGAGTCTGTTTCGTCTGCCGATCTTGTCTTCCACAATGGTTCCATCTACACATTGGACGCACAATCATCAAAAGTTGGTGCCCTCGCAGTCAAGGATGGAATCATCACTTTTCTCGGCTCTAGTGAAGGCGTCACTCGTTACATTAGCAATGCAACCAAGGTCGTAGACCTCAATGGACGAGCAGCCACCCCAGGATTGGTCGACGCCCACATGCACATTCTTTCTGGTGGAGCCTTCCTTCTCAAGTGTGACCTGAACTACCAGCCACTTGATCTTCAGGCGGTTCTGAAACATATCCAGGGCTGTATAGATGGCGAGACGGATGCAGCCGCCGAAGCCTGGCTCGAGGTGGTGAACATGGACTACCCGAGTCTCATCACACGAAGCGGCCCAGTCACCAAGAAGGATCTGGACACGCTGAAAACAACGAGGCCAATGCTCATCAGATCGAGTGACTACCACACCGTGCTGGTCAACTCCAAAGCATTGGACCTCTCCTCAATAACAGCCAGTACCCCAAACCCAGGAAACGGCATCATTGAGCGCTTGGCAGGGAATGAGCCCTCAGGTGTTCTTCAGGATAATGCTTTCGCGTTGCTATCCGGTCCTCCACCTCCTACAGACAAGGAAAATGTGGAGGCAGGGCGTGCTGCTCTAGAGCTGCTCCGACAAGCTGGAATCACTACCTTTCAGGAGGCTGCGGCTAGCGAAGAGCACCATACAATTTTCCAGACTTTGCTGGCCAATGACGAGTTGAGCGCACGCGCATACTTTGACTACCGAATTGAGGCTCCCAATGGGACGGCCGGTGTAGCTGATCTCGTTGCAAAGACGCTGGCTACGGTCGGTCCTTTACACGACAACTCAACTCTGCAGCGCAAGCCATCGCTCAAGTGGCAGGCAATTAAGCTCTTCCTTGATGGTGTCATCACATACCCAGCCAGCACCGCTGCTCTCATCGACCCGTACTGGCTCCCGGTCAATGGAACGAACGAGACTGTCTGGGCGGCAGACAATTCCACTTTGGTCAAGACATACTGGAGCCCTGAAATCCTGACCCAGACCCTGGAGGGACTCTTCCTGGGGGGTCTTGATGCACAAATGCACGCGGACGGTGACCTTGCAGTTCGCACTGGCCTCAATGCAGCCCAGTCGTTCCGTGAAAAACATCCCGAGCACGATTTCCGCCTGGGCCTTGCTCACGACGAGCTCTCCCACCCAGATGACTGGCCTCGGTTTGCTGAGCTCGGCGTGGATGCTATCATGAGCTTCCAGTGGTCTCAGCTTAGCTCCTTCTACGTTCCAAGCACTTTCGAGTCCCTTGCGGACTATCGCCTCAAGAACCTGCAGGCATATGCTCAGATCGAGAAGGCCGGACGACCTGTAGTGTACGGAAGCGATTGGCCAGTAAGTTTTTTATTTCTTGGTATGTATTCCGAAAGCTGACATATTGTAGATCGATCCTCTCGATGAGTTCTTGGCTCTTAAGGTGGGTGTTACGCGCAGGGGCGATCCTGAGAACCCCAACTCTGCAGCTTCGCAGGGTGCCCCCTACGATGGCACGTTTCCTGGAGAGGGCCTCTCTCGTGAAGCCGCCTTCCGTGCTATTACCACCAACAGCGCAAAGTTCCTCCGTGCCAACAACCAGATCGGCTCACTGGAAGAGGGTAAATTCGCCGACATCATCGTTCTGGAGAACGACTACTTCACTGTCCCTGAGGAGGCGTTAGGTCGCCAGAAAGTCCTACTGACTGCTGTGGGTGGCGAGGTTGTGTACGTCGCTGAAGGTGCTGGTGCAGGCTTTGAGCAAGTCACTGCGAAGTTCCCGAACAGCAGTGGCAATTCGACGTTGGCAAGAAGGGCTATCGGCGGCCTTGATCGCACGCAATTGTCGCGAAGCGGAAAGAAGGCAGCTGCGAAGTTAAGGAAAAGGCAGACATGTCTGCACAAGCACTAGATAGTACTTGCTGTCAGCTGGACACAATACAGAAATGAACAAATTTCAACGATCAGTCAAGCCACTTAGCCCAAGCATGTGATAGAATACTTGGTTTCACATAGAGATGATACCTGAAGCATTTGTTGGGGTTCTTGGTAGTCTTGACTTTCGTTTAATTGCAGTCAGAGTTGCTTCTATCGCTTAGGCCATATGCGCGTTCGTCAATTATTGCTCAAAATCGTTTATCGTTGGCTGTTTGCAGATGTAACTCCGCACGCCATTCCAATCGGCTATCTTCCCGCATCAACTGTTCACGGAAACATCCCGTGGCATGATCTGACCTTTTCCCCTGACAGCTTGTTAGCGTGCGGCTGGGGGATTGGAGAGCTAATGACGAGCTCAGCCAATACGACAAGATCAGTTGGGATTACATTGCCCGATCCTGCTTTTATCACACAACGGCACACGGCTGATCCGTTCAGGGAAGAGGGTCGCGTCAAATGATGCGGTAACTGGCTGCGGTTAGCTGTTCCGAGATACGCGAGTCCGGGGCTTGGATCCATGCATAACATGAATCGGGTTTGCATGATAAAGTTCTCGACCTCATACTTAGCACAGTACCAAGAGGAGCGGATCGCCGTCCCCGAGGGCTCTTCGCTAATAGACGGCTTTGCGGATGATATGACCCATCGGGTCGGGAACTAGGGTTGGGTTCGCTCAGTGATAAGGTTTGCGGTAAGAGCGACAGAACCTTGAAAGGGCCGAATGTTGCGCCACTCACATCGAGCAAGTGGAACTATTCATCCGCTATGCGTCGTAAGTGCCTCGTTACCACGATAGAAGTGCTCGACCATACCACATTTCGTAGGTGACGGAAGATCAGTTTGGTAGCGAACATTCACCTTTGTCCACATGCCAAATTTTGAAGAAAGTTTCGGCAACTTCCTGCACCAAATTCTAGAGACGCTGCGTCTGATTGATTGAAATCGAAACCAAAACCCTGTGCCCAAGACAAAAAGGACCGATTGATCGCATCGCTTAGCGAGCTTGACAGACAGGCGTCCAACATGAGGCTCCCTGGGTCTGAGTTCTTTCATGCACGGTTGGAACACAGGAATCCTCGACAAGCCAATCTTCGATCAGGACCAGAGCCACCTCGAGCGTGCCGTGCCACCCAAGGATTTCTAGGAGATCACACTTCTTTTTCGTTGTGGCTCTTGACCAGTGCTCCATCCGCGCACGACATCGCATTCTACGTCCAAACTCTATCTCCATGCGAATGCTGCCCGAAGGATTCTGTGGTTTGCTTCTTACCGCACGTACAGCTTGACATGTTCCCCACTTCCACGTGCGAAAGATTCAACTACTTCAACGGGCACCCGATCTACAGGCGTCTACCTCGATAGATACCGACCGTCGTCCACCCTTCCCCAAGTACCTTCCTTGACCATCTAGGAAAACATCATGGGGCGCAGTCCGCCCTCCGGTGCAGCTGTCCTGGTATGTTCTCGGTGCTACTCTACCGTGCAATCCGAGACCTCTCGCGAGGATGTCGATATCGCACTGGAACAGAATCTTTTACTAAGTTCAATGATTAGGCTTGCTACGGGACTCTTCTTCTCCTCGCATTCTTTATGATAGTGGCCAGGCTCTATCTGCGCATACAGATCCATAAGGCGCGACGGTTGCTACTAAGCGATTGCTTGATGGCTGCTTCCTGGTGTGCAGCCCTGACAACCGCGAGCTTCGACATTGTGTTCTACAAGCAGGGCGCTCTCAGCCCCAAGACTGACTACACCTTGATCAACTTCGACGCATCGGTGGAAACATATGAATATGTGGCAAAGGTAAGCCTCTATCATTCCTACGATTCATTGGGCTCGACTGTAGAGAGAATTGATACTATGTCCTCGTCCTGATCAGCTTTCTCTCGTCCCTCAATGCTCCATCTCATACAGCCTATCTTTCTTAGACCATCAACCTAATACTGACTGTTACAGATGGTCTGGGCCAGTGTCATACCGTTCTATGCGACGCTGTGGCTCTGTAAGCTTTCACTCATAGCGATTTACTTCCAGCTTTTCCCCATATTTATGGTGAAGCTGCGGATTGCGTTATGGGTCACACTCGGATTTTGCATCAGCTCATGGATCGTTTCCATGTGCTTACAGATCTTCTTATGTTGGCCGGTTGAAGGAAACTGGTATGTCCACTTTCACCCCGGTCTCGCCTTTCACAAATGAGAAGATGTGAAGCTGACATGCGATCTTCGTTGCGCAGGCGTGTTTCTAGACCAGAACTTCTTTGTCCTGGTACAGTGCCTCAAACTATTTTTCAAACTGGCTGGGCTCTACACTTCATTGGGAGCGTTGTTGGTAAGAGATTCCAACATTCCGTTCATGTTCATTCCCTGGTGCTGAGCCCGATAACACGAGCGAATGGGCTTTTACACCAGAGTTTCACTGCCTTTCTCCTCACCTACTCCCCACTTCCCGAAGCCCTCGGAAAATAGTCCAAAACTGACACACACTGTTTAGTATTTGTCCTTCCGTTCTTCGTCATTCACAACATCCAAATGCGACGATCGATGATGGTTGGTGTATACGGCGCGCTCTCCCTGGGCGCTATCGACATTGCTTTCTCCCTGACGAGATTCCTTGAGGTTCAGACTGGAAATGTCGGAGACTTCCGGGCCATCACCACTATCGGTACGTTCAATCTTACCTCTCCGGCTCATAGTTCTTTTCATATCCACACACCAGTCTCGTTGCACAAACGATCACAAGTGATCCGAGATGGCTGGAGTCTTGCGCACCCTCGAGATATCAGAAAAAGGCTAACACTACCCAGAACTATGGTCATGTCTAGACATTATGGTCGGTCTTATCGTAACCTGCCTCCCATCGCTCCGTCCCTACCTCCGCAAGGGCTTCAAGAACTCATCAGCCGGCACCGACGGCCCAAGCAACGCCTACGGGAACAGCCAGAGCATTGTTGTTAACCGGAAGGTAATAACGTCCTCTACGTCCGGCCGCTGGAACGACCACAATCAATTTGAAGAGATTGTTGGGGGCGAGGGAAGTTCGGACACGCACAGTGAAGAAGGCCAGCACGGCCGGATCATTACGAATAGGAAACGATGTGCACGTTGGTGGAGGAAGAAACGCCTCCGCGAGAGATAGCTGGCAAGATGATAAGAGGAGTAATAAGAGCGATGTAGAACTCATTCAGATAAAGGTTTGATTTATAACGGCTCTAATAGATAATTGATTTAATGGCAGTCATGAACCACCAAGAGCTTAATCGCTTTCTTTTCTTCATAGCTACCATCACGTTGTGGTGCAATCGATTCTCCCGTCGTCACGGCGAGCTTCATTCCGTGAATGCGATGTCGTAGTCACACAAAGCCCGAAGTGCGGAGTATAAGTCATCGAGTCAACATTACTCTTCTTGCCCCTCAGAAATCACAGCACATATCACTTACCACCAAGTAGCACATCCCGCTCCTGTCTTCCAATACAACTCCTGATTTATCGAGGCAACCAAATATTTGGTCTTCACAAAGCATACACAACTCATAATCACACCACCGATACTCTACCGAAGGCATTAGCCTTCCCCAAGGATCCGAATCTGAGAAGTCGACCATCCAGCGTTGTACATGCGCCAGTCTCCCTAAGACAATTTCGCCACGTACACATACCACATACACTGATAAATTTTATCTGCAAAAGGCAGGATGTCAGGGTTGAAAAGAGGTGGGTTTTCGAGAAGGGCAATGTGGATGTAGCGTGAAATAACATATTTTGTGCTCTTACTTATGCTTATTACTGGTGAAATCTCCAAAGTGTGTGGCGTGCCAAAGTGCCATCGAAACAACCTAAGAAAGCCGCACTATGTTATCAATCGGTCTTGATTATTGCTAGTAGTTATTCTGCATTTACTCAAATTGTGAACTTTCTACTACCTCCTATGGAGATTTATTTATTCAATCATGTTCAACGGACGGTCCTAAACAATCAGTGACACTTCACGACATTATTGTTCACGTCACTTCTGCGTTTCACAGTTTAGCAGTCAAGCTGCTGACATGCAGTCACATTACAGAATCCGCGTAGAAGGATAACATAAAGCAGTAACCTGGCATTCTGTATATTTTCTAAAGACACTTCTTCAACAGACGCAACACTCAAGCCATCATCACTTTTAGTCTAAATATCTCAGCCTGAGGTCTCTTACGGTGTTTGATACGTTACACCACAAGCTTCTACCTTGACATTCGATCCTCAGAGACCCCCCCCCCCCCCCGTTCATCTTCGACTATTAAAAAACGAGCTTCCAAGGACACGACAATTAATTTTCCGATCTCTTGAATCCGGCAAAGGAAATCGACCCCCCAATTAAGCAATGCCCACGAATACGCGAGGGTCCTGGGATTCCCCAACCGAACACTAAAGAATTCGGGGTGGGATGATATGGGCAGGGCTGTACTGCCCGGACATAAACCTGCAGCAAAAACCCGTCTAGGTGCGCCAAAAAAGAGCAAAGCGCGCAGGAAAGTCTTCAAGAGCGCCGGTGGTGAGAGTAGGGCACGGTTGCGGATGTATTCTGATGTAGCGTTTGTGTATGGAACGCCAGGAATCAGATATGAGCAGGAAAGGAAACATTTAAAGCTATTTTGTGAATAATTTGAACAATGAAATATAGTAAATGCAATACTTTCGAGCTGCTCAAATTTTCCCAATTTGCACTCTTCTAACATTTCCGAGCTGCTTTACATTCTTGTTTTATCAATGAGGTACCTTTGCGCTGCTTGAGTTCTCCTATCATCGCGCTCTCCTGGTATGTCCGAGCTGCTCTGTCGTCTTTGTCCATGATTGCAGTATTTTCTAAACCTATCTTCAGACATGTGACCTACGTGAAAGGATTTTGTGACACTATACCTTGAATGGAAACTGCAAACTCACCACGGTGACCATCTCCCGGATGTCACTTTTTCTGTTCATAAAACCCCCAGTACACGTCAGCTTATAATTACAACATACACCTCAATCCTGATTATACGCACACATTCAACATGCAATACCAAGATCACAACTCCGCTGGCGGTATTGACCAACAGGGCACCCCCGCGAACTTTGGTTGGGACTGCTGCATCTACGGAGACCAATATGCATGCATGAAGATCCATGGACCTGAGCAGGCAATACTTGAAGGCGAAGAAGCCGTCTGGGAAGTGGAACAAGTGGAACAAGAGGTATAATGGTCCGGAAACAGCGACAGCGATAGCGACACTTCGGATGATGAAGAAGAGGACACGTCTGATGACGATGAAGATGACAGCTCCGATGAAGACGATACCTCCGATGAAGACGACGCCTCCGATGAAGTAGAAGAGACAGAAGATGGAGTATGTTTGGATAACGACGACTACCTTGTTGAACAAGACTACATGACGCAGGACGTCTACCTTAATCACGACGATCATTTTGACATCATCACTCGGGGGAGATTTCACTCACGGCCAAGACACTCAGCACGAAAATTACGAGCAAACCGCAGCACATGCAACATCCTTTGACGCCATCACTCGGGGAGTAATCACTCACAGCAACGACACCCAGTTCGAAGGTTACGAGCAAACCGCAGTTCATGCAACATCCTCTCGTAGCTTTTTTCAATTTCACAACACTGCGAAAACCTCCAGCAGATTCCGTACGTTGACCGGCAAAGCCAAAGAGCATCTACGGGACGAGAACAATCGCAAGAAAGCGGTAGAAACGTTCCAGAACGGTATGCGAGAAGTCACGGCTTTTGTGACTGAAATTCAGGCCAAGCAGGGAGCAGCGGGTTCTAAACGCGCTGGGCCAAAGGGTGATGGGAAGGAGTTGGCGATGATTTGCGGGAAGGTGGCGATGAAGAGGTTCAAGAAGTGAGTAAGCGACGAGGATCTAGTACGAACGGACAAGTATCAATGGACAAGTGCTAATGAAAATCTTTAATTAACAAGCTTGTTTATCGGAAGTGTGCCATTTACAATCTTTTACGTTCATGCGATGGTTGCGAGATGGTGACTTCACGTGTCTGGAATGATACTCGCTGCTAATCAACTTTCGAAAGCGACAAGCCACTGACCCGTCACTCCGCCATATATTCCTTTCAGATTCTCATCAGTCGATGTGCAAATCACGAAAGAGCTATCTTGCAAATACACGCACTAGCTATACATCTTGAAAAGCAGACTATCTATACAATGTCGAACGACAATGGGCGAAAACACCTCCTGCCTCTCGGAACAGGGTACTTTATCTTTCAGATGAGAAGCGCCCTCGGAATTCGAAAACTACCACCTTCGAAATGTCAAGCGCGACGGTCATCGAAGCGATTGTCATTTGTGCTGTCAGTTTCACTGTAGGGTGAATTGAGTTGCTAGTCAGGTCGGTGGAAAGCAGTTACTTAAAGATTTGGTTGATTGCGCACATCCAATCTTCAGGAATGATTTACAAATTCAACCTCTTCCATCTTCAATACCCAAGCCTGAAAATCACATCAACCATTAGTGACCAAGATTTCCGATTCACATCAGCTCGCATTATTGCCTATACAAACTCAGCCGTTGGAACCACAGCGTCCGCATTCGAACAACAACCCAACAACTCATAATCTAGCGAGCGAAATCGTAAATATGGGAAACACGCAATTCAAGGGAGTGGGAGAACAAGGTGATTGGCGTAGAGATCTCTATGACGAGGCCCGAGAAATCTACGACAAGGACATGCAAAAACGGGAAGAGGACAAAAAGAAGAGCCTGGCAGATAGAGAGAAATATTTGAAGTCGGTCGGGATTTGACGATCGAAAAGTCGAAGAGAAAGGTGTTCAAACCAAACAGGAAGAAGCGCGAAAGGTAGCGGAAGAGCAAGCAAAGGTAACGCCAAAGGGCAGAAACAAAAAGTACGGGAGTTTACCAGTGGTATGGGAAGAAGCTTAATAGTATCAGATGCAGTACAGGTAATTAAATATGTGCTTAAGTATCTACTTTATCTCTAATCTGTCTCTATTATTGCAATATATCTCTTTAGCTTAGAGTTAAACTAAGGCTATTTTATTCTAACTAATTCTTATAGAGGTATAAGAGTTATTATAATATAATATTAAAGACTTCTTAGCTATATATAGTATAATGTTAAAGCACTATATATTAATAGTAGCTATAAAGAATAAGCTTATAACATATACTAACGCTATAAATCTATTTTACTTAAATTATTATATTATAAATTATGCAGCCTTGCTTAATATTTCTTCTGCGAGTATAGAAGTTTACTAGTAGTATAGAAAGAAGCTTAATAGTATTAGATGTAGTATAGGTAATTAAATATATGCTTAAGTATCTACTTTATCTCTAATCTATCTCTATTATCATAATATATCTCTCTAGCTTAGAGTTAAACTAAGGCTATTTTACTTTAATTAATTCTTATAGAGGCATAAGAGTTATTATAATATAATATTAAAGACTTCTTAGCTATATATAGCGTAACGTTAAAGCACTATATATTAATAGTAGCTATAAAGAATAAGCTTATAACATACACTAACGCTGTGAATCTATTTTACTTAAATTATTATATTGTTATAAATTATGCAGCCTTGCTCAACATTCCTTCTGCAAATCTAAACATTAAACATCAAAGATCACTACCGAACTCTCCTACGACTTTCCTCGACAGGTCGAGAAGCTACTAACGGAAAACCAACACATTTCCTCAAATACAACACACTCTATTCCTTGGAATATTTCTTGCTCTATGGGCAACTCTAGCTCTAAGCGTAAAGCGAAGCGGGACACAGCACGTGATCAAGCCGAACAGCGGCGGCAAGCAAACGAACATCGACGACAACAGGAAGAACAACAATGGGATAGGGAGGAAGCAAAGAAAAAGTGGAGAAGATCTGCAGATACCGCAGACACTCTAGTCTATAGCGTTCATTCTGGTCTCTTAGGGGGGTGAGAAATTGTTCGACCAGGAACGCAGTGGTAGAGAGACTTCAAGGTGGACTGCCACTGAGATGTTCGTTCATGGATAATACCATTAAAAAGTCTTGAAATACAAAACCTCGAGTTTTTTTTCTTTTCATATAATGACCCTGCCTGCAGTGTATTGTAGGGGCTTCATCTACTCGCCGTGTGAATGTTTGCTTTAGTTAAGTCTTCGCTCTCTAAATGCATAAATGTGTGTCGAGGAGAGTATTTTTCATGAGTTAGTACGTAGATTGAGTGTTTAGGACTTCGACACATTGCCGATAGTGGTACATGGGCGTAAATCAATTGCACAACAAACTCGTCAATGGCGGTTGTGAAGAAGTAGAAATGTTCACTTGTGATCTACTATCAACCAAATCCAGCTTTGACCTGTGAGCTATTTGAATTGTCACCAGTAATCATAGTTCCTCATATAAATACTCTCCCGTACACTGATATGTGGTTTCCTAAGAGACAAAGATCGTTCGATTACCGCACGCAACTTTATCGACAGGTCGATAAGCTGCTACAAACTCAAACCATACCAACTATCACCCGGATTCAACTATAATTACCCTATACTCTTTATTCTACACCATGGGCTGTGCCAACTCTAAATCTGGGTGCTCCAGATCTTACCGGAAACCGCAGAAGAAGTCCAGGAGTCAGAGGAACAAGGGAGAGAACGAGAGACTGAGAGATGGATGTAGGCAGCAAGAAATTAATGCAGAGCGGCATCGCGGAGCAATTTTCGCCAATCAAAAAGAAAAGAAATCTGATGGCAAACGAGGTCGCATCTCATGGTGCAACAGGAGAGCAGGCAGCAAGAGGAGATGTACAGAGAGCGCAGGTAGAGATAAGAAAGGGAGAAGGCGTACAAGCAACTACCAACAGTCAACCGGGTAGATTGATGTTGGAGAAGTAGATACTTAGTCTCAGGGAAGGTGTGTGGTGTCGATTCTCACGAGCTCCCAGCTCCAAGCTTCAACCCTGAAAGCTCAAACACCATTTTTCGCACATCACCAATCTACCTATATTACCTCGCATTAGCTCCATCTCCACACCACATGACCACACTACACTTCTGCGCATGTTTTAAATTCGGCTTTTTTCAAGGCGCTCCACCGATGACGTATCTTGTGCAACCGTGGCGCTCTGCATGTGAGAAAAGTTTCGAAACAGCCCTCGATGCGGCGAGCTGTCTCGAGTATCTGGTAACACTGGAACTGTAGCGTAGATAAGGTGTGAAAGAGCAAGGGAGTTGCATAGCGAGGGCGTTGCTGGGTTTAAAGAAGCTTTTGCAAAAGCAAACGGGCGTATTGTGACGAGGACGCGCTGATACGCGTCGCGTGGTCTTTCATCAGCAGCAGGACTGTCGGAACTTACACGACTGATCACTTTACATTCTAGCTCGCGGTGACTTGGGACGAGTAGTCTGTGTTCACTCACTGCACGTCAACATCCATCCGCTCACGAGGAAGTGGAGCACGACCTTTTCATTCACTTTCACCGTCCTCGACTCTGCAACAGCCAATCAAAAGCCACGCCATCGTGGCGCAGCTCGCATCATCGCTGCAAGCACCGAGCAGACCCATACTAGCCATCTTTCCGCCCACACACCACCGATCTCACACCATTCAAATCGCCGTCTCCAAGGCCATCACCACATCATCACCAGCCTCAAGATGTCAACACACTTCCGCCCTCGCCCCGCCCCTCCTCCAACACCCACATCCCCCACCCGTCCATCAACAGCTCACTCCACCATTCGCGCCATCACGCCCTCGCCGCCCAACAGCTCAGATGGCACGTTCGCCCTCCCGCGTCCCAAAAGCGAGCACGCGATCGGCTCTCCAGAGCTGTCGAACTTCAGACAGTACGTCCTCAAAGCCGAAGCCGGCGGATTTAGCAACACGCCCGAGGCCAACGAGGTGAGGCTGCAACGCGGTGGAATCGCATCTGGACGTTCAAGCCCCGTCAAATCCGGACGCTCAAGCCCAGCGAAGTCAGGACGATCCAGCCCGGTAAAGTCAGGTCGCAACAGTCCCACTAAGTCCGGCCGCTCAAGCCCAACAAAACCTCGCTCCCTCAGCCCCCGCAAAGCCGCACTCAGTATCCTCGAAGGCGAAGGCGAAGGCGAAGGCGAAGGCGAAGGACTCTGCACATCTCCCGCCCCGCACGACTCTCCCGTCCTCCACCAAGACTCCGACCCAGATACACCACCCGACACACCCACGCCCATGACCCGCGCGCAGAAACGTCAAGCGTATGCTCCGCTCGGAAGTTCTACTACTTTCTCCATCACTCAAGCTACTCAACCCATCACCTCTGCGCAACCCCAGCCCCTCGCCAGCGACGCCAACGCCAACCGCATCTCCTCGGTCCTCAGCACAGCCAGCAAACACAGCATCTTCAGCACGCCTGGCCGCGACGAATTGGAGCGCAAGAAGGCGCTGGTGGAGAGTGATGAGGGACCGTTTGCGAGGGCGAAGAGTATGGGGGATTTGAGAGTTGAGAGGATGAGGGTTGGGAGTGCGGTGGATGGGGAGGAGAGGGAGGGGGGAGATGGAAAGGATAGGAAGCTAAAGGGGAAGTGGAGGTGTGGGATGTGTGCGGTCATGTAGAAGGAGAGGGAGATGGTGAAAGATTGTAGAGATTGAGATTGACGAGTATGACAAGATAGAAAAGTCGTGTCCATTAGCTCAAATACAACTTCACCGGAACAGTTGGCCGAAAGCGCAAGTGAACACGGAAGTCGCGCAGGAAACACTACCTTTTTCACTTCCTCCAAACCACTCCACCTTACCACCTTTTCAACCCATTGCGACCCAAGTCGCAAACCCCCCTCACGCAAACCCCGGCGCCCACCATGTCCCTCCCAATCCACGACCCCCTCCCCCGCCCCTACATGCTGCACGACATCGCGCTCGAAGCGCAGCGCCTCTCCACCCTCCTACCGCCAGACAATTGGGATCCAGCACACTACCACTCGCCCGGCCTCGAGCGCCAGCCAAGCGGCGTCTTTGATCTCGTGAGTAGCGTCGAGACGGGCAGCGACGAGAGCGAACCGCTGATTGCCAAGCCATCGCCGATTACGAGGAGAGAAGCAGTGAGCTGGAAGACTTGCGTGTGTCGGTGGGTGCGCTGGTGTTTTGGCGGGCGGCTGAATTTGGACGAGGGGTGAACAGCACGACAATCCACGAAAAGGATCCACGGCTTAGGAAGGGGGGCATGCGCATGCCTGACACCGGGACGAAGAACAAAAAATTCCTCAGGCGCACACGAAAGGCGGGCTCATGCCATGTCGAGCACGTCCGTTGAGAAAGAATGTCCGAAGCGAAAAAAGTTGTCTCATGGGTTAGATCTACGGCTAGTTCTCTTTCTTAGTCGACGATGCGCTCGCGGCGATGTCAAGCGCAGTGAGGATGTCCGAGCCAAACACGACGGTCATATACGCGGGGAAAATCACCCAGAGACCGCTACACTTTGGTCAGCAAGTGAGGGAGGGAGAGGGGGAGGGTTTGGAACATACTTCATGACGCCGTAGAAGAGGAAAATCGTAAACCAATCATTGTGCTTGACACTCGCAAAGCCCGAGAAGTACTCGTTGAAATCTGGCGAGATGTTAGTCGATTATTCTCACGGATTGCCTGTGGGAACTCACAGTATAGCACCGTCTTGCTCAACGTCATGACACTCGCCGCGAACCCAATAAGTACTGCGCGATTACCGATTGCACCGCGGATTTTGACACCACCCGCGAACCACGCGCTCACGCCTTCGCCAACCTGCACCCCCGTCCCCGCCGGCGCCTTGACTCCATGGTTGTAAAGAATCATCGCATAAAGTCCATACATGACAAGTTCAACCGCATTCAGCGCGCCCTGCGCCCCGCCAAATCCCTCCTGTGCATCCCACGCACTGCGACTATACACCTTGTCAATCGCCGCGTAGATCTCATACGGCTTCCAAAGCGGCCATTGCAGCGCGCCGCCCTCGAAGGTATGCGGGCGCAACAGGATGTACAGCGAGTCCCAGAGGACGAGCGGGATGGATACGGCGAGCCAGAAGACGGTGATGTTGGAGGCTGTGTGGCACCATGTCGATTCGTTGATTGAGGAGGGCGCGGGGGGTGACATGACAGCGGTCGATTCGGCAGCAACGTCTCGCGCGTTTTGGGCTGCACGGCGCGCAAAGGAACTGACTGTCGGTGAGGAATTGAGGTCAGGGGAGCTAGTTGGCGCGGGTGAAGCTGTGGAAGTGCGTGAAGACTTCTTGGTGGGTGAGGGTTCGAAGGTGGGGAAGTTGCCTCGCGGGGTCTGGCGGGTGGACACCATGGTGTATTTGAAGCGCAAGGAAATTTGATGGTGAGATTGGAGAAATTTGGAGATGTGGAGAGCACGCGCAGAGCGGTATATGTGGAGGCGCAGCGTGTTGTTGTGATGCATCCAGTCGGGGGCAGCGGAACTGGTGGGGAGCTTATTCGAGGCTTACATTAGCCGGCCGACTAAGCTGGACATGGCAGGAGTTCATTGCGGAAAGAACCAATCACGAAATTGAGGAGGTTAGAAATTGATCATTGGGCCATTCTCGCAGAGCTGAATCATGTGGGAATGCTCTAGTTCAGGGAAAGCGTTTGGCCTTTGATTGTTCTACAAGTGTGGTGGTACAGCTTCGCGCATCTTCAGCGCAGTATTAAGCCGAAGGCTTTTCAGACGTCTCCAAAGAAGGCGTGTCCGCTGTATCTTCCGAGACACTGCGGTCAGACGACAGTGGTGTCAGCTCTTGCTCCGAAGCGGCCGGTTCTTCTGTCAGAATTACGCCGTGCATGTTGAACTCTTCGCCAGGCTTGCTAATCGTGTCTTGAGACTGTTCTTGATCTTTCCCAGCAACAGCATCATCAAGAAGGTCCAGAACATCGTCCTCGGGTTGTTCCCTACCAGGAGTACCCTTTGCTACCGCCGCTGCAGCTTGTTCCTCCAGCCTCCTATGCTTTCTGCCACTCTCAGTATTCCTCGGTCGCAGTATTTTGGCTATTGGCTGTGCCTGCCCAGCTGCCTCGGTGACTGCGTCTGCGAATCTGAGACTGTTCTCTACAAACGACGTGAGACGGTTGTCGTCGCCTTGCAGTAGTTTCTCAACACTCTTCACATCTTTCCGATAGTGCATAGCCAACGCACCACCTTGCGCGGCCAATTTACTAGACTGCGTAGAGCTATATGTGGCAAACTCATCCATGACACGTCCTTCAATAACTTGTTGAAGTTGCACGGCTGAGAAGAGGTACGTGATTTTCTTCACGCCCAGATCAGCCGGGTTTCCTGTGATTGCCCAGTGCGGGACAGGAATGGTAATGTCTGGGGCGGTGAGACGCTCTCCACTGTTGATGTTCTTATGCACGTCGGTGATCCAGTCCAGGATAGGAAGCTTCATGGTCGATGAGTCAAGATGTAACCGGCCATATCTAGTGAATTGCACGTCCGTTGCGCTATCTGGGAGCAAAACGGTATGCACGTGCTCCTGGAATCCGAGACTAAGTTCGTGTAGAGCCGTGTTGGCCTTTTCCCCAAAGGCTTTCCCACCAGTGCGCATCTGGATATGAAGGCTTGGAGGTGTTTGGCCCGACTTCAGCTCAGTTTGCGCTGGCGCAGGGATAAAGTCGTAGAGAAGCAGCGAGGGCGATTCCGACTTTGCAACAAACCGGAACTGAGACAATTGCTCATCTTGAACTGTGCCATGTACATGTGTGGGGCTCATAAGGCTTGCTAACCCAGGAACGCTACTCGTGAATAGTGGACGAGCTGAAGAGGATGTGCTGACAGGTGACGTTCTCGCTGAAGCTGTGTCTGGCATTGGGAACAGCGCTTGACCGAAGTTTGCTGACAATTTAAATTTTGGCAAGTTTTCAAACGGTGACTGAGGGCTTTTCTTAGGGTCTTTCGCAGCTGTCGACCGCCTCTCTTTCAGCGAATCCCGTAGTTTTTGAATGATGGATAGGATCATGTGTTCTCTGGCGGCAGAGGTTTGGGAAACGTTCTCACCGCTTTTCACGTCAACATCTTGCCCATGAGGCACTTGAGCGTCGACCCTGCGCCCGACAGGCGATGTCCATCGGCCTAAGTTAGCACTTTGGTGCCTGACCTCGAGAGATCGGCCCTCAAACGATGCAGGGAGTAAATGGACCTGACTTTTTCTATCCTCAATTTCTTGTGTGTCGATTGTGCGTGTAGCAGTGTCCTTGAGCGGAAGCAATCGTAGGAGTGCTCGCTCGGCTTCAGCGTTGGCGCCTGGACTAAAGCCTCTAATCACTAACTAGTCACTATTAGCTGGATCTGAAGCAAATGTCCCAATCTTACAGTATTCGCGTTGTCCATTCTCTGGATGCTGGCTCGTGTGACGTTAGTAACGATGCGGAAGTCTTCGTCGCTGTATAGCGTTGCGAGCTTCTCATCTGCGGGAGCTTTGCCCTCCTCCAGGTGCGGTATCCATGTCTTGAGTTGCAACTTGCTGGTTATGTGTTTCCGTAGTGCCTCCTCAATATCATTGGCAGCATAATCAGCTGTGGTCTTGTCTGCAGTGATTCGGAGGACGTTGTGAGGTTGGTAAACCTCGATTCTAGCTTTCCGTGTCGCACTGATGTTTGTGAGAATTGTCTCCTCGTCTGAGATATTGTCAGCTCGATTCACGAAGAGAATTGTTAGATACATACCTCCAGCGTTGAGCAATGTGACATGCCATGGCTTCAGCGTCAACTCCAACTCTCCAAGCGCCTCAACTTCCTCCAGCGGCACAAGCTTCCAGATGTCTCTCATGATTTGGTCGACAAGTAGCCCCCTGCTGACGGGCGCACGCTTGTTCCTGATCTTGACACCTGCCCCTGGTAACCGCTTGGCGAGGGGAGTAGTCCCTGGCTGCCAATTTGTGCGTACGGTGGGATGCTGTGCAGCGCCCGTACCCTCCCTTAGGCTTGCTAGAAGCTCCTGTCTCGATGTTTCCTGCGGTACATTCTTGGCAGCCGAGTAGAACTGCGCCAGCTGTTGCGTGGTGAAGGCCTTGTTCAGATTTCTAACGAGTTTTGCGAAAGTTTTGAGGGGCACATAAACCGGCTCGTTGGGTGCGGCGCCGATCTGCGGTCGCAGGCTCTCGAGGCGTTCCTGGATCTCTTCGGGGGTGAGGGGTTTGCGTTCCTGCTGCAGTGAAGCGACAATGTCGGGGACAACGATGGGTTCTGCGGGTTTGGGCTCCTCAACAGGCTGTTCAGGGGCATTGCTGCCGACTTCTCTGAGCACGAGGATATCAGCGTCGTCGCCGAGTCGTGTTATGCCACCTCCCAGGCGAGCAGAAGTCTCCCGAAGAACCTTTCCTTTGCGTTTTCTGATTCGTTCCGGCAGGTTTTCTCCTCTTGTTATTCTCAAACCAGGCGTCGTGCCTTGGGATGCTGCCGCCTCGAGCTCCTCTGCGCCATCATGGCGGCGTGCAGAGGTGGAAAAGTTCGCGTGTGAAGTTCGCCGTGCATATGCAGGTAGTCGCCGCGCAAGCCGGAGCTCACATCGGACGCATACAAATGCATTGGATGCTCGGCGTGCGAGCATAGAGAAGGAAAGCAGGTCACGATATCACTCAAGGTGGAGGCATTTGAGGTGGAAAAGCGATAGAGCATGCATTAACTTTCCTGACCGCCTTCAGCCCTACTCGATTCTGCCACTAACGCGGGTTCACGTGGGGCGCGTCATCGTTCACCACGCGGGATGGGAGACCAGCATTCTCATGAAGACGTGATTAGCGAGACTCTATATCGGCCTTCGCCAGCTGCACAGGTCTTCCCGCAGGTCGAATTCGTCGACCTCGTGATGCGGCCGGTGTCGCTTCCTCTCCGCTTCCACCTTCATCTGAAGCGCCTGCTGCTCCAGGCTTCCTCTGCCGCGCACAGTAGAAGACTTGGTCATCGCATGCAAGTCCGCCTGTCTCAGCGTCTCATGTGACTTGCGATGCGCGCTGCTGTTGCTGCTCCCCCGCATGTGCCTCGCCTCGTTCTCGCTGGGCGACCCACTGCTGTCGCCGGCTATGTAGCGCACACTCTGACCCCGCTGCTGCTGGTACGGCTTCTCGCGATCGCCCCAGCCGTCTCCCCCCGCGAAGATGTCTTCGATGCATTCGTCGGCTTTGAGTTCGCCGGGCTGGGCAGACCAGTACGCAGCGAGCGTGCGTCGGTACATGTCTTGGAGTTCGCCAGCCTCGCGTGATTTCGTGGACAGAGATGGCGCAGCTGTCGCAATTAGTATTCGTACATGGTTAGGTGTCTCGAGCCTGCACACCTCCGCTGTCCTCCACTTCTCCCTGTTCGCCCGCCATGATGCCGGCGATGCCGCTAAACACCTGCGCCGTCTTCAGAGCGGGCGCAATGTAGTTCTTGTCGCCCTCGGTCTGCCTCATGTATATGCCCAGCTTGATTGTGCTGTTGATCTTGCTCTCCTGCATCAGGTATCGCCGCGTGACGCCTGGGTCGTCGCCATCGGCAGGCGCAAGATCGCTCTGCTCGACATACTCGGCCAGGTTCAGCTTGACGTTGCCGAGTGTTATCCGCTCGCCCCGCCCCGAGCCGGTGTATTCTTGTATGACTTCGAGCTCGAGGAAGCTCTCTTGCAGCATGCCGTTCTTGTCTACGGTGAGCCGCACGGGCAGGGACATGTCATAGTTGTACTGGACTTTGTGGTCGCGGATGGGGCAGCTCTCTGTGCGACCGCGGTGCTCGGCGGCCGTCGAGTGTGAAAGGTGCCATTTGACAAAGGACGTGCCGGTGACGAGGGGCACGTTGTTGAGGTCGATTATCTATCGCATGTCAGTCAGCCAGTCGCGTGCGCCGAGGTCCCTGGAGGCTCACTCGTAGGTGTAACTCAAACTTTGGCTGCGTCTTTGTCAGCCTTGCACTGCCTCAGCGACAGGAATGTGCCTTCTTACACGCCGATTCTTGGGGACTGGTACAACCGTGAGCTGTGCCGCGAATGCGACGGAACGCCGCCGGAGCGTGGACATGGCTCACCGAACGCTTGCATGGTGAAGAAGAAGAAAGAAGGGGCGGGTGCGACGCTGCTTATGGGCGTATTACTGGAGCTGCGAGTGTGCGACAGGGTAGTTGCGACAAAGAGGCAGGAGTGTTTGAGAACGGAGTGAAGGTATGCATCCGGCACCGATGTCATTCGCTCCCGGCAGCACCTCCGAGCTTCCACCACCGCACCATGTCTGTATATGTTCGGCTATCAACACAATGACCTTCAGTGCAGATGCCATCGCAGACTGCGTCCTTGCAACCTTCGACCAGCTGCCCGACAAGCGTAAGCCGCGACCCCGCAATGATGGTTCCAAGGAATGGGTCCCGCTCGCAGGCATCGTCTTATCAAAGGGTAACCTCTTCTGTTGCATCCGGCACGCACTGTGGCTTACGCTCATCGCTCCAGTGAAGACGACAAGCTCTCCTGCGTCTCTTTGGGGTAAGCTTGATTTCCTTCTTACATGTTTGCTGCATAATCTCCATCTTGCAATTCGGCCATATTGGACATGGGCATGTAAATGGACATCCATCAATTTAGCAGCTACGTATTAATGAAGTCGTGACTGACCATAATTCACAATATCTCATAGCTCAATGAAAGCTTACGTGGACTCATCAATGCTCATGTCAATTGACTTGTATCAGGACTGGCATGAAATGTCTCCCTCACAACAAATTACCACTAGCCCACGGCAACATCTTGCATGACTGGCACGCAGAAGTGCTCGCAATACGGACATTCAATCGCTTCCTGCTGGACCAATGTCTCCTCGTCTCAACCCCACCATACCCATCCTCACCATGGATACGCCAACGACCTGACACCGAGCATGCCGAGCATGAACAACAACCCTTTACCATCCGCGAAGATGTCCAAATCCACATGTACTGCTCCGAAGCCCCCTGTGGCGACGCAAGTATGGAACTAGTCATGAATGCCCAAGAAGACGCTACACCATGGACGAGTGCGCCTCCCACGATATCAGCAGCGTCTTCCAATGGAGACAGCGAAGCAGCTCTACGCGGCCGCTCAAACTTCTCCCACCTCGGCGTCATCCGCTGTAAACCCTCCCGCCCTGACGCCCCGCCTACCCTAAGTAAATCCTGCAGCGACAAACTCGCGCTCAAACAAGCTACTTCTATCTTGTCATCTGTGACCTCGACGTTAGGTATCGCCACGGAATGCCTATATCAAGACCCTCGTCTTGCCGAACTCGCAATATGTACCAGCAGCATGTGAACGTGCCTTCACCACCAAGGGACGCATGAAAGACATGAGAAGTGAAGAATGGAAAGGAGGTTATCGATGGTCCGAATTCGACCCCAAACCAACAGATCGAGAATTCAAATGGAGTCGCCGGAACATCGCCTTAGGCGAGAAAGCTGTGGCGAGTAACCTCAGCGCCGTGTGGAGTCCTACATGGCAGGAATCGCTCATCGGAGGCGTACTGCAGGGACGCAAGCAGTTGGATCCCAGGGGCGCGAGTGCGATTTGCCGGAGGAGTGTGTGGAAAACGGCTATACAAGTCGCTGCATTGGCGGGTGTGCCTGCGCTGAGCCAAGTCCTTGGGAAGCGAACGTACGCGGACATGAAAGGAGACGAGACATTCGAAGCGAGGAAAAAAGTCAAAGCCGACGTCAAAGCCAATGGCTTGAAAGGTTGGCTACAAAACAGCGGCGACGACGGATTCTCGTTAGAAATCGGGGTATCATAGAACACTGCTCATCCACCGGCCTTCACGACTTCCCAACCCCCACCCCTCCCCTCCCACCGATCCGCCAAGATCTCTACAACACTTGCACACTCCACACCCCTCGCTTTTTTCATCCCAACCCCCACTCCCATCCCGCCATCACGATACACAACCCTTGCATCCATCTTCCCCCTCGGCAAGTCGCTCACCAACAACCCTACATCCAGATATATCGCCAACACGCCCATTAGACTCGGCACCACCGCATTACTTGTGAAAATCGAGGGCGTCGGTGGGGGCTGTTGTTCTGGTGCTGTTCTGGTTGGTGGGAGGGGCGCAGGGTTGGAGAGGATGGTGTGGAGGGCGTGGGTGCGTGTTAGTTGTGCGAGGGATGCGAGGAAGGGGGATGTGAGGGCGTGCGCTGGGGGGTGTTAGTGAAGTTGGGGATGGAGGGGAGGGGGAGGGTGAAGGAACGGACCTCGGATGGAGTCTTTTTTGAGGAGGGGGGTGAGGACTTGGGTGAGGGAGGAGAGGAGGATGAACTTGAGTTTGCCTGCGTGTGGATTTTCTTTTGGTTCGTGGCGGGATGGAGGTTGTTTTGGTGGTTCGGTTTGTGGGACTGGTAGAGGAGCTGGCTGTGCGGCGCCGAATAACATCTCCTCGTCTTCTTCGTCTTCATCTTCATCCTCGCTGTCCGCAACAACAGTCCTCTTCGGCGTCAGTGGCTCTGGCGTAGGTTGTTTCGGCGTCCCCATCCTCTCCCTCTTCTCGACCCTTTCCTTCCCTCCCTCAAGCCCATCCCTAATCTCCCCCACCGGCCTCCCTAACCCCCACGAAGTCGAAAACCCGCATAATCCCCACCCTCCCTAACATCTCTGCCGCCAAATTTTCTACCTCTTTCTCTCCCAGCACTGTAGAATCATTCTTCACTCGTCCCAGTATACTCGTATACAATCCCACAACATCAAACTCCCCAGTCGAATCCACAACCGCCGCCCCACTCCGCGGATACCTGAGTAACGAATCAATGAGTAAACTCTTACACACCTGGTATCATTCATCAGCCACATACATCCACATCCATACCCACAACCACCATCAATTCAACAATACGTACCTCATCCCCATTACCCCAAACACCAACAATTCCACCGCCTTCTCGCAAACCACCCTCGAGTACACCCATGCCTATCCCCCTCCCGTCATCACTATTTTTCCCATCAACTATCCCACCAATCTCTCCCTCTGTGATTTCGCTGCTCGCAAGCAACACCTCCGCCGCCATTGTCCGGAAACAGTAGCGGCGCTAGGATCGCGTGGCGTTGGGCGATCGCAACGTTCGCGCTATTGGAAGAAAAGGTCCGAAGAAGGCTGGGGGGGAGGGGGTGGTGGTAAAAGTTGTGGCGTGATCTGCAGATGCCAAGCTGAAATGCTACCTAGATAGGTTGGTTGGGGGTATGTGGTGGTTTTGCGTTTGGGTGGGTGCTGACGAATGGGGAACGGGCAGGAGGGATCGGATGCGGAAGGCGCGAACTTACTGCGCTCTCACTTCGAGGTTCGTGTTTCCCACGCGAAATGTTGGATAGTTGTGGCTTGGAGCTAAATGCTGATCATGGGTGCGATTGGACGTTAGTGCAGATCGATGGTAGCCCTTCACTTTGTGTTTGTGTTAATGCAAGGTCCATCCGGGCAGTGTAGAGAGCCCGTGAAACATTTGCCGAGCTTAGTACAGCTGCGCAAAAACGTCAGCATACACTGGCTACTGTGTCAATGTGAGACATGCAATCACCTAGGTATCACAGAAGAACAATTCCTGCAATTCCAATTCAATTTTGTTCATTCCCCAACCGCCCCTATTTGCCAAAGCTAGCCAGTCCATCAGTGCGCCTCCTTGGCAAGCACTCCGAGTCTGCTATTAAAACGTGAAAGAAGAAAAAAGAAAACAGGTCTGATATGCCGGGTTTAGAGCGCCAAGTGTCCCAGTTGTACACGGAGGATAGTATCCAGAACTGTTTTGCCTTTGATGCCGCGACCTACTCCTGGCGCCAAGATACAAAAGGAAAATATGGTCCGGTAAGGGACGTCTGTGATGATAGAAGGTACGCCGCTTTCTCCCTGTTGCGGCTTCTTGAGTTCGCTGTAGAGCTCGGCGGGGGTCCTGGGCGTGGGTGAAGGCGCATCCGAGGACGAGGCGCGGTAAGGCAATAATTTGCTGATGTGTTCGGCTGAAGGTATTCCTAGTGATATTCGCTCAAGCAGGACGTCTGCGACCTCCCTTCAAGCTCTTGACTCTGTTGAGGAAGCCGTTGCTAGGCTTGCTTTCGTTGGTAGAGTTGGCCGGGTTGGTCGGGGAGCCTACACTGTCGGCGGTGACAGATCGCTGTAGGGCGTTGCGGCCAGGCGGTGACTGTCCGTTGCCCTCGGTAGCTTTGATGGAAGCACCCTTGGAGTCGTAGGCCTGGTTGTACTCATCGAAGAACGGGTTTGCCTCGGTAGCTTTCGACTGTGACAGGGCTCCGGCACTGTAGGGGCCATTCGGGCTTGTCGCGGTGCCAAAGCGAGCCTCGGGTGACGTGATGCGCCCTTCTCCGGCATATGCTCGTCGGGGCTGCGAAATTCCGCGGAAGCGCTGCGCAATGGATTTCTTGCGTCCCAAGCCGCTAGCCTCCGCCTGCCTCTGAGCCTCCATGTCTTCCTGGACAGCCTTGCGTGATGCTGGTGCGCCTTCTAGGAAAGTAGACGTACCAAGACCGTGTGTTGGCTCTCCGTGGATGATGTCAGAGCGGCCCTTAACGCTGAACTCGGCCTCGACTCGCGGCTTCTTGAACTCAACCTCATGGCTGCCGAAATCGGTGAAACCCTCCGCTCCTCTGCCGTGGATGCGGTCGAGGTCGATCTTGGAGTTCAGGGGTCCTGAGCCGCCGAGCGAGTTGTTGGCGGAACCGACCGGGAAAAGCCTCCATGGGGGCGCGGGCGTCCCTTCTTGACGGTTGCGGTGGGGCTGTACGGCGTCGTAAGGGCCGTCGTGGTGGATCATGCTCGGACCGTAGATACCAGTCACATCGAGCTTGTCAATCAGATCGAGTCCCTGCGGGCGGCGGACTTTCTTCGTGGTCGAAGATTTGCCGTCTTTGGCGCGCTCGTCTCGCTCCCTACGGCGCTGTCTGCGGCGGCGCTCCTCGTCGGGGTCTAGCGAGCCCTTGTCGATAATGGATGATTCCGAGTTGCGTCGCGGACGTCTCTCTCGGCGCTCGCGGCTGCCTGCGCGTGGCGGTGGACGAGAGGATCCTGGGGGGCCGCGTGCTCGAGGAGTCCCCCGACTGTCTGCACGCATCCTGTCGCGCTCTTCCTGAGAGCGGCTGGGGCGGTGCTGGCGCTGGTCGGTAGCACTGCGGTTGGGGGCAGGCCGGGGTGGGGCGCTTCTCTTCTTGTCATCCTCGATGGTCAGGTTCTTCTGTGCAAGCGCAGGGTAGTCAGCAAACTGATGCACAAAGTGCCTGAAGCGATCCATACTGCGAGCTCGCGGGCTGCGAGTGCGGATGGCGCGGTTTTATCAGGGCTGCAGGTACAGGGACAGAAAGTGCCGCTTGTGCGACGTGCTTCCCGTGGCTGTCACTCGCGCTCTAAGTGAGGAGATTGGACGTACAAAGAGCTCCTCGGTAGCAGTGCCAAAGGTGGCACTTGCTTGGGCGAGTCGGTCATCTTGGCCGACATGTCGATGAGGTGTCC